GTCAGTTAAGAATGATCTTATAATTTTAACCTTATCTGGTTTTTAAAATGATGGAGATGAGAAAAAGATTTAGTTGGGACTTAGCAGATAGAGATAATAATAGTTAACCAGATTATCTCTAATTAAAGCAATCAATGCTTCTAGACACTGCTAAACACATATCCTGCCTTACAAAAACAAAGCTTACTAAGAATTATAATTAGTCACACCTGTTTCAATACAAGAGATCAAAATCTCAAATTGACCTTTTAATAATTATTTTTCACAGGTAATATAAACATTAACTGCTTAACTCTGATAAGGCAGTTGCAGAAAATCCGCAAGAAATCTTATGTAACAGATTCAATGTTCACTAGAGACAGGATAATTCAATCAAATTTGCCAAGATTTAATGTTCACTGTTCACAGTAGGTAGGTGTTCACTATAGGATTGTACTTTAACATGGGAGTCAATGGGGGAAAAAGGTTTTGCCGAAAAAAAATGTTCACTGTTGAAAGGTGTTCACTAGAGAGATGTGTTCACTAACACAGGTTTTACTGTATTCACTTTCCTGTTATCTCAAAATCTGCTTGGATACCATAGGACTGCTATGAGAAATTTCTCAAAGAGAAAATTCTAGGGAATAACATTTACACAATTTGAGAAATTATTGGCATACATTAAACCTATTTTAAAACAGCATAGGTAATCCTTGAAAAAGAGAAATATTTTTTGGGGATTATATGGTGCAGTCTTATAGTCAATAAAATGGTTTAAAGTGTATTGATGTTTTTAAGATAAAAAGCACAAGCAAAATACATGAAAAACTCCCCCGATTCATTCTACAAACAACATGCGGTCCTTTGCTTGACAATCGAATCCTTTACATTCTGTAGAAATGTTGAACTATTAAGTAGGTTTGATCATACAGTTAAATGTCATGCTCACTTTGGATTATAATGAGGGAGTGGGTCATAGTGAAATCTAAAAAATCTGATAGAAACCCAATCATCATTTCAGTTAATCAATTCGGTTTTAATGCATGCAGGATATACATATGCATTTTTCTAAACCTTAAAACAGCTAATTTTGAAGCAGAATTCGCTAGCATTGTATTCTTTGTGAACCAGCCCCCCTCCCAATATCTTCACAAATTCACAAATTTTGATGATTAAATCCTGTTTAGAAACTATCATACCTATAATTACAAAGACTTTTTCCAATTACTGATGACATATACATTTATTCTGTCTGAAAAATTGGTGGTTATTCACTGCATTGTTGTAAAGTTATTAACCATTTTTAAGGTATCCCCTACTTATGTCACACGGGAGGGGTGGTGGTGACGAAGGAGGGGTTGTAAATAATGAGAGGGATAAACAAAATCATATTAACTGGTAACTGATACCAGAATCCTACATTCTGTTGAAATTGTGATAATACAGGCTATACAATCTCCTGTTAAGTAGGTTTGATCATTCAGTTAAATGCCACGCCCACTTTGGATTATTTAGAGGGGGTGGGTCATAGAAAAAAATGTTTAAAATATTTTTGATTGAGACTCAATCATCATTCCAATTTTAATGCATGAAGGACATATATATGCAGTTTTCCAGACCTTAAAACAATACTATTTTTTCAGTATAACTTGCTAACATAGGATTTTTTTGTTGACTAGCCCCCCGAAATAGACACAAATTAGCAAATTTTGACAATCAAATTCTGTTTCCATAGCAACCATCATACCTATTGTCACCAATTTTTTACCAGTTATCAATGACATATATGTGCATATATTCTGAAAAAATTGTGGTTATTCATAATGTTTTTGTAAAGTAATTAATTATTTTCTATGTACCCCCCACTTTTGTCATGGGGGGGGGGATAAATATTGATTTTTTTCCCAAACGCTGTAAAATTTTGCTTAATTATTGCCAAATTGTGGTGAAAATTACAAATTAGGATGTAACTAACATGGTCTCCAAAATTCTACCTCCATACCGCAATTTAAGGGCTAGCCCATCACCTAAAAGTTATTCTTTGTTGGAGTTCTTGAACTGAATGGATGGGAACACTATGAACATGTTTTTCTAGTTCACCCCACACAAAATAATCCATAACATTGAGATCAGGGCTATTTGGGGGCCATAAGTCAGGGGGGATAAAATCAGGTGCATTGGCATGCAAGAACTCCATTGTCGCTTTAGATGTGTGCGAGGGAGCCAACTCTGAGTACCCCTTTTCCCTGCACTATAAAGCATGATCGAACAGAATTAAAATGGCATCTTGTACAAATTATATTATGTAGAATTTAATAACTTATTCATTTGTAATTATATCATAAGTGTATTACATAAAACCATCAAATTATTATCAATATTGTGAACGTAAAAATGAGGAAAATTGGATAAAACCATGGATTTTCAGTAACTTGTTGACCAACTCATCTATGGTAGTATCGGGTGTTTATAAGAGTACTTAATTGTTTAAAGAGGTGTTTATCATCAACTCTGACTATTAATTAACACTCTACTTTGTAATATTTTGCATTAACTGACATAAAAATTATATTTACCATGATAACTCTTTTTCAAATTTCCCTCCTTTTTTTGAAATCCGCCATTTTGTAAATGAAGTGAATTTCTGTTTTTTTTTTCATGACACACCATAAATATATTTAAGGTGTCATGACAACACTGTTGCATAAATTTCACTCAAATCCTAACAACATGTACAGAAATGTCTGAGCTATATACATATCAATTTTTAGAGGCATTGCATCAAAAATAAGAAAATTAGATTAAAATGAAAAAGGGTGAACTTTTTTTGGCCCACCCTGTATTGATATGAAATAAGAAGCTATGATATTGGTTAACACTCCAGAAATGAACATATTATTTGAAGCGTATTTCCAAAATTTTGAGGCCGCCAATTTTCTTTGTTGATTTTGACCAATCAGAGACGAAGGTCATCTCAATACAGGTTTACATTATGAGCGTAGGTCATCTTTGAACTCTGGGGTTAATCCCCAACCCGAGTCTGCATCTACTGAATGCAATGGAAAATGTACCTAGATTCTAAAAGTAGGTCGGAAAGATGTAACGCATACAAGAAAGAGGACTTATTTCCACCAGATGACGAGAAGCAACTTAAAAATGACCCCGTCAAATGGCCCGTTCGTCTGGAAAGGAGTAGGTAAAATTAATTGGGACCCAAGCCCACCCATATGCTTGCCTTTTGAACTAATCACAATGTAGCACCCAAGGGTGCAATAAAATATTATAATTTTGTCACCTGCCTCAGTTCTGACTTTGCCCATGTTCACGTTACTAATATGGCACAGCTTTTAAATCTGTAAAATAAAAAGAATAGAGGATGGGTGTGTAATTGATGGATATGAGAGGAGGTTTGGTGGAGGCAATTAATATATTTTACATTGTCACTGGTCCTCACCTAGTTACGCTGACGATACGTCAGCGTAACAAGATGGAAGAACTTCCGGGCTTCGTTTTCGATATTTTTATTTCTCGATTTTACACCACTTATAAGTCAAGTGCTGACTTTATATCACCAATACCATGAATTTTTGGAATTGTTGATGGTTCACTATCACAAAGCGCAGCCTTCATACGGTAAGATGGCATAACTAAATCGAATAAAATGGTTTGAGTACAACTTTAAGTTCGAATCAATTCTCCTATGTCCCTCATTTTGTCAAGTTTTAACCTCACTGCATTTTTTACCAAAATGATGGTATCTGTAAATATAGAATCCTCATTTCTCGCCGAGTACCTGTCTCTGAACGCTCAGTGCCTCACCCTCGTGATTTTAGGACTTCCAGGACTCTCTCAGTTCTTCCATCTTGTTTCGCTGACGTATCGTCGGCGTGACTAGGTGAGTACCAGTGTTTGTTATCATAAGAACGCCTTTACATTTTATGAAGATATATGCCGTTTCGCGAATTCGACTCTGCAATTATCTGGAAATATCTTGAATTTGTTTTCAATTTTGTGTGGCCACCCCGGCAAGTAATTCCACCCATTTTATAAAATAGGCAACCGAAAGCCCCCATTGGTTAGTGTGTTAAAGGCCTGTTTTAATCAATATTCACAAGTAGTATGGAAAATAACATGTTAGAATATAACTGGTATTTGAGGTGAGCGGGTGATATATACACCACCCGCTCAATAGCAATGCCCGGGAATTTTGTTAAATGTTAAAACCTGTTGAGTTTGAATAAATGTAAGAACTAATTTACACTCGGTCGGATTTATGGTGAATTTGATTTTGTTAAAATAGCCATAAACAGACGTTGTATTGCTTCCGGTTGCCTAACCTAAAGCGGAATGAATGTTCAAACAAAGGGAAATAAATGAAAAAAGAACACAAAATTGCGACCAGCTATCTGACTTGGTTTACAATAGGATTACAGTGTAGAATGAATGGAATTACTTATTAATAGGAATGCTATCACATCATCTCGTCTCCCACGATTAAAAACTCTTAGAGGAGGTACTTATTACACTATCAGTACATATTGCTAGAGTTACAGCAATTTACACGTTTCATTTCGGTTCTAATCAACGGAATACAAATACGTTCATCAAGTTCAACAATATTGTATCGTTTAACTAGTTTAGTGAAGACGAAAAGGACACGCGTTCTTTGAAGGTTTCTATCTTCTGTGATGTTTTACTGGGAAGAAATGAAGCAGCCCCGGGGATTTATAAATAACAATACACCCGGACTTATAGTTCTTTTATTGTTATTTTTGCATACTTAGAACATCTTTCGCCAAATATTGTTAGAAGGTATACATAAAGCACTATAAATGTCAATTGAAGAAGAGTAAAACGCCGTTAAACAGTGGAATATGACGATGTTTATAGAGCAATGCTGAAATCGTAAACCAACAACAAGAGATCGACCTTTATCAAAATCATATCTATCGTGTTGATAATGGTATGTGGATTAAATGTAACGCAATGATAACACCATTATAGGTCGTAGTAGTACCAAGGAAATTGTAGACCCTCATGCAATGATGCCATGCGACATATCAGGAATGCCCTGGTGGTACCAGGATTTGACAATGTAAAAGAAGTGAAGTTCTCGGTATCATGGGTCGGATAATAAGATTGAGATAAAGAAGTACTTTCATACACCAATAACACATACATGGAGAGAATGCAACCTGGATGGTGTACTAAGTTGTATACTGACAGGCGCGACTGGATCGTCAGCGACTGAGCGAGAGAGTTATACCATCACAAACGTCTGATTGATAATTCGATACATCTAATAGGTCTGACGTCAACAGATACTAGCTTGCATTAACTATTTATCTTGTCAATCTTACCCAATGACACTAATTATAAAGCAACAACACCAGCAGGAACTTGATACCATATAGTAGCCTAGACATAAGTGAAGTAATACATAGTTTCTAAGACACGAGAGAAGTCACATTTCCCCAACTCGAGAAAACACTAAAAAAACACTCTTTTTAATGGTCAGGTGCACGTTACTATTGGAACCGATTGGGGAAGAACAAATAATTTGCCGTATGAAGGTGAGTGGTTCAGCGAATATTGATATGACAATTGTACCTTCTTGTCTCATAATATCTGTAGTGTCCAATGTATATAACTGTAGTGTCCAATCTATATATCTGTAGTGTCCAATGTATATATCTGTAGTGGCCAATGTATATATCTGTAATGTCCAATGAAAATAGCTGTAGTGTACAATCTATATAACTGTAGTGTCCAATGTGTATATCAGTCTGTAGTTTCGAATGTATATACCAGTAATGTCCAATGCATATAACTGTAGTAGCCAATGTATTTAACTGTAGTGTCTAATGTATACATCTGTAGTATCCAATTCAATGTATATATCTGAGGTGTCAAATGTATATTTATGTAGTGTCTAATGTATATATCTGTAGTGTCCAATATATATATCTGTACAGTCTGATGTAGTTGTAGTGTCAAATGCATATAACGGTAGTGTCCAATGTATGTATATGTAGTTTCCAATGTATGTCGTAACAAGGTTGAATGAATTGGTAGAGATTAAAAGATGGATTGGATCGAGAGGATTGGATTCATGTAAAAGGTGGATTGGATCGGGAATCTTCAAAATATGGAATTCCTTATAATTTTTCTTCTGTCGATCTCCCTCAAAGCAAATTTCCTCTACAGTATTACAGGTCCCTTTGAGAAATCAGAACAAAGCAACCACAAATATGTACTCCGATTAGTTCATGGATACTCTTAAGTATTTAACTACTTTCCCTTGTAAATCAAATTTTGTAAGACATAAAATCATAGATCTGTAGATAAAAGCTATCATTCAAATTGATGTGTGGATGTTTGCAAAACATTTCTGCTATGTTCAGTTTGGATTGAAAACAGATGATATGGATCTTCAAATCAGTCTGCCTTATGATTTATGAAACGTCTAAAATGACCCTTGGAATGAAAATAAAATTAGGTATCAGAGAGCAGGTACCAGGTCACCCTTCTAGCCCACCCGTGCAAAATAATATTACATCTATTATTTGACATTGTGGAAGGGAGGAGAGCAACAATCTTCCGAGATGGACCCGCAGCTCAATAGATTTTTTAAAGGAATATCCATATTTTGAAGATAGCCAATCCAATCCACCTTTTACATGAATCCAATCCACTCGATCCAATCCACCTTTTAATCTTTACCGAATTAAAAGGAATTAAAATGTTTGAAACAATATTTACAATTCATACCAAAGTTGTCCTAACCATCAAAATCTTATTCTTATTAAAAAAGAGTTGAGATGATTAAATCTTCTAAACTTGAATATTATGACAGAGTGTATAATTTTTATCACAGATGTATAGCACTGATCATACCGAAATTGCACACAGCAGCTTGTCCAGAATGACCATTTGGTTTCAGCATACAATAATTTATTTCCGCCAGAATCAGCAAAGGATCAAAGAATTATTTCGAAAAAAACGATTCCACTTTGCAGCTCCAACAATTCGATGCTCATATTGAGTGCTTAGTTCTAAGACATCTCTCAACATTATCCGCAAATGTATAGGCTAAATTGTCTCATGACCAACCGTCTATTTCACAAGCACGCCGGGCAATGTGATAATTTCCATATCATGACAACGAAATGAAATCGCCACCATTTTATCACCCTAACATTTAAATCGCGTGTTTTGCTCTGATCACCGTGTAAAATGTTTCAAAGCAATCATGAATTGATGACAGCATGAGTTTTATCCCTTGCCAAGATTACAGTCCTGAGAACATCTCAATCTTTTGCCTGTACGATTACAATATGGGAGAATTTTTCACGCTTCCTACACTTCAATAGATCCCTTGGTATTTTAGCATTCTTTTCGTGTAGTTGAATCCACAATTGTCTGGGTTTATCGGCATCATGAAGAAATTTTTGATCGCAATATTTGCATGTAATATTTAACTTATTTCAACCGTCAAATTCCTCCATATTGGTACTTCCGGGCCACATTCGGGACAGTCAAACGGGGGAATCCCCTTTTTAATCCAACCGCCATCTTGAAAAGTGATGGAATCTCTCTCGATGAAAAAGAAAGATGTTCCCGTTCTGCCGATATACCCAGACAATCGGCGGTTCCAATATATTAGAAGTAATATTTTGAGTTCTATAATGCATTGAGGTACGTATCTTAAGTGTAAGGGGCGTAGATAATTCTCCCACGTTGTAATCGTACAGGCAAAAGAATGCGCTTGATACAGGACTATAGTCCTAGCACGGGATAACATGATTTCAAGTCTTTTGGATTGCTTTAAAGGCCCAATACTAAGTTTGAAAATATGTTTTCATCACTCATTTACTATTTTTCATGACTTAAAAAGCTATAACAGAGATTTTCGGAAAAATATATTATTTTATTTCTCAAATATTCAAATTTTTCCCGCCATTTTCAAACAAAAATTGAAATTATTAATCATCAAAGATTATACTTGACAGTGCAAAGCACATTATCTTGTTACCACATAAATGCGTTTTTCGATTATTCGAACAAAAGGTACTCAAAAACACTTTTTGAAATTGAAACAAAAGTTTTACATATCATATTTGGATAACATTGGGATTATAATGTAAGCCAATGTGGTCTAAACTTTATATAGGGCCTTTAACAATATTCTGGCCTGCTAATTTGTCATATATTCTATAACGTTAACCATTTCTTGGTCGTTGCTTGACAGTATCAGAAAATACATTGCGGACACAAAGCCATTTTGTTAGAATGAACTAGTGACTCATTATAATCCATGACAAGCATCGACGTCCAAATAAAATTGCATTGATTAAAAAGATCGATAAAAATCACATAAAATGTCATTTGATATCACAATAGTCTACTCAGTTCTAGTGATGAAATGTTTCTAATTAAAATTGATACAAAATACAAGACGAGGCGATGAAACGTGACACGACACTAACCCTACTATCACACCAAACTAGTTTTCACTACGTTCTCGTACTTAGAACCGTTTGGGGTCTATTTACGGACTTCATCGAACGTACTCGAACGGGTAGGTCCTCTAGAACTTAGAACATGCTCAAAATGTTCTCGTGGTCGATACATTCTACAATTAGAACGAATGACAACGTACAAACGACGAGCTGGACGTACTACGAACGGAACCGTCGTACTTCAATCCTAACAATAATAGTAGGGACGTTTTAACAACGAGTTGCACTGTTTGAGGACGTATTGAGAACGAGGTAGAACTAATTGCAAACGGGTTTAAACTGATTAAGAACGTATTTAAGACTGCTTATGAACGAGTTAGCAAAAATATAGCTATCACACCAAAGAAGTTGCCAGTGCGTTCTTCAAAACTGGTTTTAAACTGTGTGCGAACGGAATGAACGTATCTACAACGTTCTACGGTCTGTTTACGAACTTCATGGAATTTCCCGGACGGGGAATGTGATTTAGAATTTTGAATCGATTCAAAATTCGATGGCGACCATTCCGTTCTGTAATCAGGTCATGATGACCTTCTAGACTAAGGGACACGTTATACGACGTTGCACACCGACGCGGTGCGACCTGAACGAACTGCGAATGAGATGGACGTATTGAAGACTGTTTATGAACGAAGTTGCTAATTATTTACCCCCCTATCACACCAAACTCGTAACATTGACATTAGAGTATGACTGTAATAGGCCTAAGGGATTTGTTCCACATATATGATTATCTTTTAAACCTCTTATAGAGGCTAGTAAAATTAAGTCACGCAATAACTTGTTTTTACAAAAAATGAAAGGATGTGATTTTCAATCATAGGGAAACGAAGCTTCAAAATGTCCGTCCGTTAATGTCTATTAGTTCTCTGCTTCGTAGTATCTAGTTGCCCGATAAGTGTGTATAAAAGTAAAATAGTTGTTGTAATTAGGTCCATGAAAAAAGCAATTGTGGGGGAGACAGTACTCCCAGGGTGTCATCCATTCACCATCATAATATTCATGACATCTCATTTCTTCTCAGCCCTGAGATGTTTCAGGTGAAACAGAAAGATATGCTTTGAGTACCAAAATGCACATTCACCTACATCAGATCGTTTAAGCTTATAACTTCCCAATCTGTGATGTTAATAATGCGATTTATCCGAAGGTTCATGACCATTTGAAAGTTGATAATGTCAGCTTTAATGACCTGCTTACGTAGATTCACTGGCAAGATAGGGTAAGAACTAGTTTGGTGTTGTCTAATTGAATAATGTAAAAATTCATTGAAAGATATACATCTATACATTTATGTTTTATATATAATACATATTCTATACCATACTTTTCACCCTTTACAAAATAACATGACATCATCTAAGAGAATAAGCAAATGACCCGGTTTCGCTTTACATACACATTTATGTGTTATCTCGCATACAATACATGTACATAATACCAAAATGTCTTATTATTATAGCCCGGAGCTTCATATTTTTGTTATATTTAAAAATCCAAAATTAATAAGAACTTTGCTGATAGAAAGGAGTGGTATCGATATGGAGAACTTTTCGAACACACGTTTCTCTTAAACCAGTCATAAAAAAATCTAAAAATTTAACACATCGTTAATTTAATGGTCATCTTTTGAATGGAACCAATATTAGAAATTAGAAAACACATCAAACACTTGTTTTGTTCTTGGTATCATGTTTCCAGAGTGAAATGAAACATCTTTCCGAACCTCATTGGAACAAAACGACATAAACACAACATGTTTTAGGTCTCTCAATATTGTAATTGTACAACGGAAATTTTGGTTGATGTTAAAAAAGTATCTTGTTAACGCAATTAAAGGTTTGTCTTGATTTTTATCAATTTGGGGAGGGATTTTGTTTTAATTTTTTGAATACTTTTTTAAAATCAACCAAAAATTCCTTTGTATAACTATAATATTGAGAGGTCTAAAAACATGTTGTATATGCTATTTTGTTCCAACAAGGTTGGGAAAGACATTTTATTGCATTCTCAAGAATTGGTAGAAAGGAGCAAAAACAATTGCATTAAAAAAACAAAAAATGTTTACAAAAACAGTTATATAAAATATTTCTAAATAATTTTCGCATTAAATTGTTGTCAATCAGTCAACATTACCTAAAAAAACATTTTTTTACAGAATGTTTTCAATGATTGGTTAAAAGAGAAAACATTGTTGAATTCAGTTCTCTAGTATGCTATTGTAACAAATTAATGTCGCGGCTACTCAAATGTACAATTTAAGCATGGTACTTTGGCAAAGAGATGAAGATGACGTAATTCACTCGATACCCAGTTATAGCATCAGACTCGGAAGTTACAAATTATCAGAATTAACACATTGCAGGTGACATTTGAACACAAGCTAAAGGTATTGAATGCCACTCGCATGTGGCTGCGACTTGAAAGATTCATATTGCTTCACGATAAGATGTATAAATATAGACACAATATGTATGATATCACCAATGTACTACGACACGAATTAATTAGTTGCTCCATCGGATACTTTTTAATATTCTGTAAAATAGCGAATTAGTTGTAGATGCGCAAACATGTAGTCTTAATGCTTTATCAATTACAGCAGTCCATAATGTAAAATAGAGATGTCAAATTGTATATTACCATTAGCAATTTAGATTCTTGTCTACTATGTCATGGCTATTGAACAGACAGTACGTTAATGTCTTGCATTAGTCGGACATAAGGCCCAGCGAATTCTGTTTGCACAGATATTACATGGATATTAGAAAAATATTAAAACATTAACTTGGGCCTGACGGAAACAAAGAGGTAATGATACAGGTAAAGACAACAAATTCTCAATTGCTATATTACAGTTCAAATGTTATCAAATCTTTTATGCAACAGAATTATATTTCAGGGCAATTTTTATTGTAGCAGATTGTTTACTATTTTCATTTTCATTGGCTTGAGAAATATTCTGAATTCTTATTCTCCAATTATAAATCCGTTGACGTTATGTAGATACACCCCATGCAAAGATCGCCTAAAATTACATGCGTATGATGCTTGATAAGTGATGAATGACAGTCACATTAAGTTCTACAAGTATGAGAATAGCATGACGTTCTGATATTTCAAGGTAACTCGTTTGAAAAAATAATGGTGGTGATTGAAATTAAGATGTAAAGATAAAACGACCATAGATCTAGGCCTTCACATTCACGTTCAAGTTCTCTTGAAAACATGTAGCCTTCCTCGTCTGAGATTTAAAAAAAGAAAGCGACTTTGTTTACATAAACGTTCTTACACATTTTAGAAGAGTCGTCGGAGTGTCGTACTGTCCAACGCAAAACAACGCCAATGCTACACGTAGGGATTGATCTAGTGCACCTGAAAGGGACCAACGTAAGTCATCGAATTCATTTTCTTGTAATTTGTGTTTGTTGCCTAGAGTGTACTTCGATATTCTATCAGATACTTTAAAGGGTTCTTTGATTTGGTCGTGGACCACTATTCGATAGAAGTTCATGATTTGACGAGGGCCTATCAATTCAGTTACAATAATTACCAGCAGAAGTACTACGAGTGCCAAGAGTAAGAATAGCCCATATCAATCTTCATCAACTGAATCTCTTTGGAATGTACAAACAGCCTTTAGAAGCCCATTGGGGGTGATATGACACGTGGATAGAGTTTGATATTAATGGTAGTGATACACTGGCATCAAGTATCTTGTCCCTCTCCCCTCCCCACCCTCTCTACCCCTCCCGTGGAGGCGGTGTATGTATAGAGGGGACAATTAAGGTGGAGGGTGGTCAAAAGGACAGTGACAATACAATATAGTGTCAGTTATATTATGTGTAAGATTGAGCTATTTGTCTAACTCCTAATAATGATGTTACAACGTATTTTTACATTTTACGTTTGTTATGGCTTTAAAGATGGCGTGCTAAAAGAAAACCTGCATTGAAGACGGCGAGGTAAAAATACCCGGATATTAATATCTGCAGATCAGATTTAGATCTATTCTTTCTTTTGTTCTTGATTGACAATCAGAATGTTCTAGATAGTTGTTCCAACCTGAGGCCCGGGAATTGCGATTATAAAATATTTTACAATCACGTTCCTTGTGTTATATCCATCATTTGTTCATCGTTTTCAGGTTTAGTCGTGTCATGTTCTGTGGATGTAGACTATAATTACAACACACCACCGTATATTTAAATAATATAATATACATTTTACATTTTAAGCATTGTATGTATTATTCCTGGGTCTTTTTGTCTTTTGTTAATTCAAAATGCATTTAAGATACCTTTAAAGTTTTTCCTCATTCTCTGATAGAATGCTGATAATGCTAATAATCATAAATATGATTATATATATTGTATAATTGTATATATAATGGACAATACTATGTCAACACATCAATTTACGTCAACACCGATTTGCAATATTTAAAAAAATCAAAAAACGAAATTGTTCAGTTCCCTTTTGGCGAGAATATAAGTTACTCATTTTGGTAGCACCAAAATATTGAACTAATCCTTAAAATATGTTCCCAAAATAATTAGCGAATTGATTATAGACTCGGCAATTGTCACATGGCAAACATTATTCAATATTAAGTAAGATATGTGCTTCCGTTTTCACCAACCAATAAAACATACCTAACGATAATGGAGCGTCGTAAAAGGCTAAGCCTGTCAGCATAATTATTAGATGAGAAATCCATTGGGTACCTTTAATATAACCTCTTTAATTCCCATTTTTTCTTTTCTGATTGGAATTCTTTGTGTATTGTACGATTTGCACACTGTGCGTCTTATTATTATCATATCAAACATAATAGGGCATGTGAGTTCCGTTATGTGCGTTTCTGCCACCTTTGCAAATCCAAAATTCGTTTGACCAACGCATGGGCATTAATCTCTCAAAAGCCCATGACCAACACGATAACAAGTAATTTTGAAATTACAGGATTGCCTTACCATTCTTTATTTTTAGACCCTAATAGTTCTATACTTTTACGCGAACCCGATAAATACATATTTATTTTAGGTATATCGTCTCCCATTATTCATATTCCATATTTTTTTTACTTTCACACATTTTTATCCCTGCTATTCCATGTGAAGTAATCCCCATATATCAACATCGGAAAACAGTGTTGACCACACCCTTGTTATTAGAAAAACGCACATGGTGTGCGTGTCCTTGTGAGATTTATGCCAGTCGTATCTTAGAAATGAGGCATTAATGGTGTTTGTACAATAGTGAGACAATTACAATCAAGCACTGTCTGTTGATACAGGAGAAATAAACACGGGTTACATCACCTAGGTGACACTATCATCTGACGCCTTATTAAGCATTGTTCATATGAGGTATTAAAAAACATTACAGATGCAGAACACATCTGAAGAGGATAAAAATACATCTTTGAAGTTAAACATAAAGGGACCTCTTACGCCGAAGAATGGGGCCACATCTCCTTTGTCGCCGCCCTCCCCAACACTATCGCATCTGACGCAAGATGAGATATTCATTCTGAAAGATGTATTTAGAAGACAGGTGGAGGTTCAGCAGGAAGAGAAGCAGTTTATAAGGTGAGATATGTTTGATTATTCGGTTAACAAGGTGTGGTGATGATTCCATTTAGTGAGCTATAAATTAAAGCATTATATAAACAAATAGTGATAATTCAGTTTATGAAAAAGCTGTTATAAATCAGTTTATAAGGTGAATTGAGATTATCAAGTTTATAAAGTGAACGGCGGTGATTATTCATGCATTATTCATGGGTTAAAAAGTGATTTTTCAGTTCATAAGTTTAACTGTGATTATTCAGTTCATAAGCTGAACTGTGATTATTCAGTTTATCAGTTGAAATGTGATTATTCAGTTTATAAGTTGAACTATGATTTTTCAGTTTATCAGTTGAACTGTGATAATTCAGTTTATCAGTTGAACTGGGATTATTCAGTTTATAAGTTGAACTATGATTATTCAGTTTATAAGTTGAACTGTGATTATTCAGTTCATAAACTGAACTGTGATTATTCAGTTCATTAGGTGAACTGTGATTATTCAATTCACGAGTTGAAATGAGATTATTCAGTTTATAAGTTGAATTATGATTATTCAGTTTATCAGTTGAACTGTGATTATTCAGTTTATCAGTTGAACTGGGATTATTCAGTTTATAAGTTGAACTATGATTATTCAGTTTATAAGTTGAACTGTGATTAAATTTATCAGTTGAACTGTGATTATTCAGTTTATGAGTTGAACTGGGATTATTCAGTTTATAAGTTGAACTATGATTATTCAGTTTATCAGTTGAACTGGGATTATTCAGTTTATAAGTTTAACTATGATTATTCAGTTTATAAGTTGAACTGTGATTAAATTTATCAGTTGAACTGTGATTATTCAGTTTATAAGTTGAACTGGGATTATTCAGTTTATAAGTTGAACTATGATTATTCAGTTTATAAGCTGAACTGTGATTATTCAGTTCATATGCTGAACTGGGATTATTCAGTTTATCAGTTGAACTGGGATTATTCAGTTTATAAGTTGAACTGTGATAATTCAGTTTATCAGTTGAACTGGGATTATTCAGTTTAAAAGTTGAACTATGAATATTCAGTTTATCAGTTGAACTGGGATTATTCAGTTTATAAGTTGAACTATGATTATTCAGTTCATAAGCTAAACTGGGATTATTCAGTTTATCAGTTGAACTGGGATTATTCAGTTTATAAGTTGAACTGGGATTATTCAGTTCATAAGTTGAACTGTGATTATTCAGTTCATAATTTGAACTATGATTATTCAGTTCATAAGTTGAACTATGATTATTCAGTCTATCAGTTGAACTGGGATTATTCAGTTTATAAGTTGAACTATGAATATTCAGTTTATCAGTTGAACTGGGATTATTCAGTTTATAAGTTGAACTATGATTATTAAGTTTATCAGTTGAACTGTGATTATTCAGTTTATCAGTTGAACTGGGATTATTCAGTTTAAAAGTTGAACTTGGATTATTCAGTTTATAAGTTGAATTATGATAATTCAGTTTATCAGTTGAACTGGGATTATTCAGTTCAAAAGTTGAACTGTGATCATTCAGTTCATAAGTTGAACTGTGATTATTCAGTTCATAAGTTGAACTTTGATTATTCAGTTTATCAGTTGAACTGGGATTATTCAGTTTATAAGTTGAACTATGATTATTAAGTTTATCAGTTGAACTGGGATTATTCAGTTTATAAGTTGAACTGGGATTATTCAGTTCATCAGTTGAAATGTGATTATTCAGTTCATAAGTTGAACTGTGATTATTCAGTTTATAAGTTGAACTATGATTATTAAGTTTATCAGTTGAACTGGGATTATTCAGTTCATAAGTTGAACTGTGATCATTCAGTTCATAAGTTGAACAGTAATTATTCAGTTCATAAGCTGAACTATGTTTATTTAGTTCATAAGTTGAACTATGATTATTCAGTTTATAAGTTGAATTATGATTATTCAGTTTATCAGTTGAACTGTGATTATTCAGTTTATCAGTTGAACTGGGATTATTCAGTTTATAAGTTGAACTATGATTATTCAGTTTATAAGTTGAACTGTGATTAAATTTATCAGTTGAACTGTGATTATTCAGTTTATAAGTTGAACTGGGATTATTCAGTTTATAAGTTTAACTATGATTATTCAGTTTATCAGTTGAACTGGGATTATTCAGTTTATAAGTTTAACTATGATTATTCAGTTTATAAGTTGAACTGTGATTAAATTTATCAGTTGAACTGTGATTATTCAGTTTATAAGTTGAACTGGGATTATTCAGTTCATAAGTTGAACTATGATTATTCAGTTTATAAGCTGAACTGTGATTATTCAGTTCATATGCTGAACTGGGATTATTCAGTTTATCAGTTGAACTGGGATTATTCAGTTTATAAGTTGAACTGTGATTATTCAGTTTATCAGTTGAACTGGGATTATTCAGTTTAAAAGTTGAACTATGAATATTCAGTTTATCAGTTGAACTGGGATTATTCAGTTTATAAGTTGAACTATGATTATTCAGTTCATAAGCTAAACTGGGATTATTCAGTTTATCAGTTGAACTGGGATTATTCAGTTTATAAGTTGAACTGGGATTATTCAGTTCATAAGTTGAACTGTGATTATTCAGTTCATAATTTGAACTATGATTATTCAGTTCATAAGTTGAACTATGATTATTCAGTCTATCAGTTGAACTGGGATTATTCAGTTTATAAGTTGAACTATGAATATTCAGTTTATCAGTTGAACTGGGATTATTCAGTTTATAAGTTGAACTATGATTATTAAGTTTATCAGTTGAACTGTGATTATTCAGTTTATCAGTTGAACTGGGATTATTCAGTTTAAAAGTTGAACTTGGATTATTCAGTTTATAAGTTGAATTATGATAATTCAGTTTATCAGTTGAACTGGGATTATTCAGTTCAAAAGTTGAACTGTGATCATTCAGTTCATAAGTTGAACTGTGATTATTCAGTTCATAAGTTGAACTTTGATTATTCAGTTTATCAGTTGAACTGGGATTATTCAGTTTATAAGTTGAACTATGATTATTAAGTTTATCAGTTGAACTGGGATTATTCAGTTTATAAGTTGAACTGGGATTATTCAGTTCATCAGTTGAAATGTGATTATTCAGTTCATAAGTTGAACTGTGATTATTCAGTTTATAAGTTGAACTATGATTATTAAGTTTATCAGTTGAACTGGGATTATTCAGTTCATAAGTTGAACTGTGATCATTCAGTTCATAAGTTGAACAGTAATTATTCAGTTCATAAGCTGAACTATGTTTATTCAGTTCATAAGTTGAACTATGATTATTCAGTCTATCAGTTGAACTGGGATTATTCAGTTTAAAAGTTGAACTATGAATATTCAGTTTATCAGTTGAACTGGGATTATTCAGTTTATAAGTTGAACTGGGATTAATCAGTTTATAAGTTGAACTATGATTATTCAGTTCATCAGTTGAACTGGGATTATTCAGTTTATAAGTTTAACTATGATTATTCAGTTTATAAGTTGAACTGTGATTAAATTTATCAGTTGAACTGTGATTATTCAGTTTATAAGTTGAACTGGGATTATTCAGTTTATAAGTTGAACTATGATTATTCAGTTTATAAGCTGAACTGTGATTATTCAGTTCATATGCTGAACTGGGATTATTCAGTTTATCAGTTGAACTGGGATTATTCAGTTTATAAGTTGAACTGTGATTATTCAGTTTATCAGTTGAACTTGGATTATTCAGTTGAAAAGTTGAACTATGAATATTCCGTTTATCAGTTGAACTGGGATTATTCAGTTTATAAGTTGAACTATGATTATTCAGTTCATAAGCTAAACTGGGATTATTCAGTTTATCAGTTGAACTGGGATTATTCAGTTTATAAGTTGAACTGGGATTATTCAGTTCATAAGTTGAACTGTGATTATTCAGTTCATAATTTGAACTATGATTATTCAGTTCATAAGTTGAACTATGATTATTCAGTCTATCAGTTGAACTGGGATTATTCAGTTTATAAGTTGAACTATGAAAATTCAGTTTATCAGTTTAACTGGGATTATTCAGTTTATAAGTTGAACTTTGATTATTAAGTTTATCAGTTGAACTGTGATTATTCAGTTTATCAGTTGAACTGGGATTATTCAGTTTAAAAGTTGAACTTGGATTATTCAGTTTATAAGTTGAATTATGATAATTCAGTTTATCAGTTGAACTGGGATTATTCAGTTCAAAAGTTGAACTGTGATCATTCAGTTCATAAGTTGCACTGTGATTATTCAGTTCATAAGTTGAACTTTGATTATTCAGTTTATCAGTTGAACTGGGATTATTCAGTTTATAAGTTGAACTATGATTATTTAGTTTATCAGTTGAACTGGGATTATTCAGTTTATAAGTTGAACTGGGATTATTCAGTTCATCAGTTGAAATGTGATTATTCAGTTCATAAGTTGAACTGTGATTATTCAGTTTATAAGTTGAACTATGATTATTAAGTTTATCAGTTGAACTGGGATTATTCAGTTCATAAGTTGAACTGTGATCATTCAGTTCATAAGTTGAACAGTAATTATTCAGTTCATAAGCTGAACTATGTTTATTCAGTTCATAAGTTGAACTATGATTATTCAGTCTATCAGTTGAACTGGGATTATTCAGTTTAAAAGTTGAACTATGAATATTCAGTTTATCATTTGAACTGGGATTATTCAGTTTATAAGTTGAACTATGATTCTTCAGTTCATAATCTGAACTATGTTTATTCAGTTCATAAGTTGAACTATGATTATTCAGTTTATCAGTTGAACTGGGATTATTCAGTTTAAAAGTTGAACTATGAATATTCAGTTTATCAGTTGAACTGGGATTATTCAGTTTATAAGTTGAACTATGATTATTCAGTTCATAAGCTTAACTATGATTATTCAGTTCATAAGCTTAACTGGGATTATTCAGTTCATATGTTGAAATGTGATTATTTACTTCATAAGTTGAACTATGATTATTCAGTTCATAAGTTGAACTTTGATTATACAGTTTATAAATTGAACGGTGATTATTCAGTTCATAAGTTGAACTATGATTATTCAGTTTATAAGTTAAGTTGTGATTATTCAGTTTATATGTTGACTGTGATTATTCACTTCATAAGTTGAAATGTGATTATTCGGTTCATAAGTTGAAATGTGATTATTTAGTTCATAAGTTGAAATGTGATTATTCGGTTTATAAGTTGAAATGTGATTATTTGGTTTATAAGTTGAAATGTGATTATTCGGTTTATAAGTTGTAATGTGATTATTCAGTTCATAAGTTGAAATGTGGTTATTCAGTTCATAAGTGAAATGTGATTTTCGGTTTATAAGTTAAAATGTGATTATTCAGTTCATAAGTTGAACTGTATATATTCAGTTTACACGTTGAACTGTGATTATTCAGTTTATAAGTTGAACTATGATTATTCAGTTTATCAGTTGAACTGTGATTATTCAGTTCATATGTTGAACTTTGATTGTTCAGTTCATAAGATGAACTGTGTTTATTCAGCTCATAAGTTGAGCTGTGATTATTCAGTTCATATGTTGAAATGTGATTATTCAGTTTATCTGTTGTACTGTGATTATTCAGTTCATAAGTTGAACTTTGATTATTCAGTTCATAAGCTGAACTGTGTTTATTCAGTTCATAAGTTGAACTGTGGTTATTCAGTTCATATATTGAAATGTGATTATTCAGTTTATCAGTTGAAATGTGATTATTCAAGTTTATCATTTGAACTGTGATTATTCAGTTCATAAGTTGAACTGGGATTATTCAGTTCTTAAGCTGAACTGTGTTTATTCAGTTCATAAGTTGAAATGTGATTATTCGGTTTATAAGTTGAACTATAATTATTCAGTTTATCAGTTGAACTGTGATTATTCAGTTGATAAGTTTAACTGTGATTATTCAGTTTATAAGTTGAGCTGTGATCATTCAGTTTATAAGTTGAACTGGGATTATTCAGTTTATCAGTTGAACTGTGATTATTCAGTTTATCAGTTTAACTGTGATTATTCAGTTGATAAGTTTAACTGTGATTATTCAGTTTATAAGTTGAACTGTGATCATTCAGTTTATAAGTTGAACTATGATTATTCAGTTTATCAGTTGAACTGGGATTATTCAGTTTATAAGTTGAACTGGGATTATTCAGTTCATCAGTTGAAATGTGATTATTCAGTTCATAAGTTGAACTTTGATTATTCAGTTCATAAGTTGAACTGTGATCATTCAGTTCATAAGTTGAACTGTGATTATTCAGTTCATAAGTTGAAATGTGATTATTTAGTTCATAATTTGAACTTTGGTTATTCAGTTTATCGGTTTAACTGTGATTATTCAGTTTATAATTTGAACTGTGATTATTCAGTTCGACATATGGTTAAATGTGATTATTCAATTCACATGTTGAACTGTGATTATTCAGTTCATATGTTGAAATGTGATTATTCAGTTCATAAGTTGAACTGTGATTATTCAGTTCATACGTTGAACTGTGATTATTCAGTTCAAATGTTGAAATGTGATTATTCAGTTCATAAGTTGAGCTGTGATTATTCAGTTCATATGTTGAAATGTGATTATTCAGTTCATAAGCTGAACTGGGATTATTCAGTTTATAAGTTGAACTGTGATTATTCAGTTTATAAGCTGAACTATGATTATTCAGTTCATGAGTTGAACTATGATTATTCAGTTTATCACTTGAACTGGGATTATTCAGTTTATAAGTTGAACTATTATTATTTAGATTATCAGTGATTAAGTGATTAACTGAACTGTGATTATTCAACAAAGATGTTTACAGATTACAGTCACTCCATTGCAGAGCGTATGCTATATGCTTTCATACATGTAGATTCTTATTTGCCAGAGTTGTGACTACCGGACTGGTGATCGATTAAATGTGAGTTTTGAGTTTGAAAATGTCCTTTTATTGAGCAGGGACTTATATCACTCCATTGCAAGGAGGCTGATATTGTTTCCATATATATGATAAGTGACTCAACTATGCAATGTCAGGATACATTTACATGGTGTAGTATCGCTTTACATGATTAATAATAACCTGATGGGGACTTAGTATTAGGTTCACTTGAGGGGAATGATCTCTCGGGGTGGTGGGGGCATCAATCCATATGCAAAATGCAAAGTTTTTTTGTAATTTATTATACCTTGATAATTGTCTAGAATTTGAGTTACCTGATGAATCTAGGTATAGGATAGAACACAGACCATCATAACCCCTAGACAGTATTTAAGTATCACCCTATTGGAATTATCCATACATCTGTATTGCTATCCACAGGAATAATATATCAATAACAATGTTAAAAGAGACATTTTTACAACACAGATTGCCTCGACACCTTCTTTTGAAAAATATTAGAGTTGGGTCATTGCTGATAAACGAATTAATGTCTCAAATACATCAATTACTCCTTTAATTAATAAATATCACTTATCTAGCACGTTACAGACACAACAGATGGAATGAACTTTCTTTCATGAATAGCTCAATGTCGGATTTTATGGGAATTCCAATGCATTGAAATATGCGACATGACAGGAATTCAGCATCGACGAGTCGTGCAAAATAATCGTTCTGTATATGGCGACGGCGTAATGCCTCGCTCATTATTTAATAGTCGATGCTTTGGTCTATTATTACAGGAAAACATACGAGTAATATGTGCGCTTAAGTGACTTAAATCTTATTCTTTGTGTCATTAGCTAGAAGTTCCCACTGGAAGTTTCGTACAATAATTTATCACGATACTCTGGAGTTAATTTGTAGGATCGGAAAGATGATTCAGTGAAAAACATGCATTAATGAATTGCGATCATATTGTGATTTGTTTTGTTCAGATGTCTTCAGAGGGAGTTGGCACAGTACGAACACCGCGTGAAACAGCAAGCGGCGAACACTAGCGTCCTACGTCAGGCAGATTTGCGCTTGTGTAGACTTTGCTTCAAAACACGTTTTACCAATGGGATTGGGCGAGCTTGCTACGCGTGTCAAAGACGAGTCTGTAATAAATGTGGCGCGTGTTCAAACCCAAGATACGACCCTAAAAAGAAAAAGGTATATATATATTAACAGATAGTAGTATATAAAGTTCAAGGATGTGGGTGTATCAACAACCATGCCGTGAACCCTGAAGATGCATGCCTGGAGGAGAACAAAAGCGCATCTGCACATCATCATCTGCACAATTGATAATTAATAATTTCTCCGTTGTATATAGTGAACCAGGGTTGGATTTACAAGCTCTGTAGTATGTCTCCCTGATCAGTAGTGCTATATTTTAGAATAATATGTAACACGTCATGTTGACGTTTTGAGATTATTTGAGATAAAAGGGTGACGCGAGATGGCTTAAGGCTTACTCACTAATTGTTAATACTGCATGGTGTACACAGGATAATCCGTTATATACCTATTTGATTCATAGCGCTATAAAATATGTCTTGCCATTAGATATTATTACGTGGATCACTTCGTTATATTAAGGTTCGCAAAGGGAAATGGAGGTGTAATCTCTGCAATCTGAAACGGGAGATTGTTTGCAAATCAGGGATATGGTTCTATGGACGTGATTCGAAGAAGGTCTTAGAAAACCGTTCTTTCAGACGTAAACTTATCTCATCTAGCGATACAGAATTAGAGGTAAGTGGTATGTCTGTTACATCATCACGAACGTCATTAGAACTATGGATGTATACGTATTAATAACATTTTTATGGAGTTAACAGCTATTAATCCGACTTCACAAGTAACTGCTACTTGGGTAGTTATCATGTTGAGGTTTACTGTGTCATTAACGCTGTTTATGATGATGAACCCTCTAATAAATATTCCAGTCTCGTTTGTCATTGGAATGCGTGTAAGTAATTTCAACTCGCGGTCGCATTCCTGACAACGAAAGCTCCATGTAACATACTGTTCGGACCAATTACCAGAGCAACTGATACTATTAATATTTCAACATAAAGCGCCGTAAAAATACAGGTTTTTAAATCAAGATCGATAGAAGTATCGTTTCAAGAATGGTCACAGACGTTCAAGCATAATTGTATATTGCGGATGAATGTAGGATGGAGGAGGTCGTTTTGATAAGCATTCTTTGTATGTACAGAAATGCTATGAATAAGCTGTTTGAGTCTTGGGTATTTTTAGGGGGAGGGTCACAAAAGGTTGTTACAAGACCAATTTTAGGCAGAGATCCTTATGAATGATACGGTTTTTATTTTGTTTGGTGTTATGTAATTTGAGGAATTCAGTAGTCGTTTAATGGTTTTTATCATTCTACTTTTCAACGTGATGTGGTGTTTAGACGTTGACAAAAACGAAAATTCAAATGATAATCGAGTGAACTGGATAATCTTTATTGGAACATGACATGTTAAAGATGACTAGCCTCGTTTTTCCTTCCCAAAAAGTGCAGTTGTGCACCTCATTTCTAAGATAAATTAATATATGTTCTAAATTTCTTACCTAGTCTACTTTGAGTGATCATGACGTTGTTTATATTTACTTAGCCACGCTAAACAAATCTTGCAAAAGATTGCCAGTTTCGTAATTTGTTCAAGAGCCAGTAATGCTCACTTCAATTTTTTGAAGCGACACTCGCCAGCCTGCACATGTTCGGGATAGCTATCAACCAATCAATTCTAGTAATCAAGTTTGCGCATGCGCCTTAAACATTAGTACAAAATAAAATTCAGTATAAAATCATTTGCAGCCTTTGACTTCCAAATTAAGTGAATATCGACAAAAATCAATGTCAACATATCATATCGAAGAGAGCCGATGGGATACTCGACCATTCTTGGAAACTGACCTTTAACATAGGCTAGGACGTTCGAATGACTGAGGCAGCTTTCGGGTCGAGTAGAGTTTTGAGTAAAAAGTGTAACATTTTCGTACGAATTCTTGGCTGGATGTTAAATGACGTCCTCCGAACAAAGACCTCCAGAACTCGAACCTCCTTCTTCATATGATTACATGTACAATGTAGGTCAAAAAAATATTGGCCTAGATTCTGGGCCTACCAAACAAGTTTCAAATTTAACTTCCGATATGTTCCATTCTCAGAACCCATCATAATTCATAGGCTATCACGCATTTCGAGTTGAATATCACCTTGAATTAACAGTTCCGTAATGAATTTCCCGACTTTCATATTGTAAAAATTAATTTCAAATCTTAGATTGTTGATATTAGCATTCTGAACAAATCTCAGATCCCCCAAGTGCTCCCACAGACTCTATGGATATTATTGCGCACACTGTCGTCAACTACTATAGGTTAATTAACTTGTCGGCTTATCCTTTAGAGGCCCAAACGTCAATCTTTGTCACTCTGTATAGCAATAGTGGTTTATAGTGGGTTTTTAGTGGGTGTATACGATGTATACAGATTAATGTTCCAATAAATTATTGCCCTTTTTATGGCCTTTATTGTTGTTTTTCTACCTGTAATCACCTGATTCCCTGGTGAACTTGGAATTAGAGACATATAGAATCCAGGGTATCTCATCGAAACACTGTGCGTGAACTCTTCAAACTGGTTTCAAAAACAGATCCGTTTTGGTAACAAAATGGCGCAGGTTCAGAGGCATGAATTTTATTTTCCAATGATTTTACTAGTTGTAGGCAGAATCTTTGCGATATTGCACAAACGTGTGTCAGTAGCATCATAAGTTTGATAGAATTTAAGCGTTTGGCAAGATGTTCAAATTCCAGCTAATCAGAACACAGCATTTCGTACAATTTCATTGATAATACTAGGCACCCAAGGTCATCTTTAGATTACATCAATTTCATAGTTTCAAGTTGGTCGTTTAGTCACTCCCTCACCTTTTGTATTTCAACCAAAAAGCAAACGGATGCACAAAAATGGAGGAATCGCAATTCAAAGTAGGAAAATTAGTTCTGTTTACGAATGAATTCGCTCGAATTGAATGAATCTGAATTTGAAACTATGAGGAAATGAAAGTTAATATTCAATTAAGAGGGAAAATAGACACAATTCTGAACAGCAATCTAGAAAGAGAAATTGATATGTTCACAACTTGACCCCTGCAGAAAGTCTTGAAAATATTTACTTTTATTTTAGCGGTACCCTTTAAAATATTTTACAATGTGTAAAATGAATTTAGCCCTGGATTCAATTCATTGTGGATGATTCATTCCACGCAGGTGTTATTTCCTAAACTTTGCACTCATGCTACGCATTTGTGCAAAGTTTGAAACAACACCTCAGTGAAATGATAACCAGTCCTTGAATATTTTACGAGACGTCAGGATCATCGATATAAATTCCAACTTTTGAGTAAACATTTGTACCTTTTGGAAATTATACTTTGAATGTTGATCGGACTCAGGCTAAGTTCAAAAGGAATTTTAGGAATGTGGGAGAGAGACTGAATTGAAAATCTTCCTGACAAGCCACTTCTTTATTCCATATGTGTTTATGGAATAGCATTATTGTAAATACTAAAGGACATTAAAAACTAAGGTTTGAGTAAAAGTTTCGAATGAAGATTTTGAGATATTCTTTCGTGGCCAAAAGTTGGAAAAGTGCACTTTTTCAAAATCGTTTTTATGGGCGTTCAATAAATGTTGCTAATTTTTTTGTTGTAACCTTTGTTCTCTTGCATTTTTCTTCATGCAACTTTCACATTTTAGAGGGACATATAAACATACACCTTTTTTCTAAAATTGTAAATATTATATATATTATAATATATATGTTTTTACAATTTTAGGAAAAATTTGAAATATTAAAGCTCCGGTTCTTTGTTTTCGGAGTCTAAATTAGGGGGAAAATATGGATTTCCAAAATATTTTCCCCTCTATTTTTTCGGTCATATTTTCTGAGTACAGGAATTCCCCATTTCAATACGTTTAGTGTTCCTGTTAGAAAATGTCCATATAGTTTTTCCAAAGTATTTCTTTTATCTATTCCTCCTGTCATATTTTCAGAGGGCTAAAATTCATATTTCAATATGTTAGCGTTTCTACTTCTATTACTATTGTAAGCTTGGTCATACAAGTGAGTGGTGAAACAAAATTGAGTTTGGTCAAATCTTAAGACAAACATATTGATGGACATAGTATACCAAAAACATATGGTTCCTGTTTCGGCCATATTGAGAACTACCTCCACCCTAAGTGAAAGCTGAAATTATCAGACTCAAATTAGACTTTAGAATAAGCGCATTGAACGAAAAGGTAAAAACGTAAAATATTACCGGTTATCCATGCTAGCAAAATTAGTTGTGTAATATCCAACATAATAAAGTATAAATTAATCTCAAATAATCGATACATGAACCTCTCACACATGGGGCATCTTACTTTGATCTAAGGGTGTTTTGCAATACAACGAAATGAGAACAAGGAATAACATGCACAATTCTGGATTCTGGAGATACTATACCATTTTATAAAACTCTGCATATTAAAGTAGGTCTATGCAAATATTTGCTTACGTATCTCTGATTAAAAGGCGAGTCAGAAAGAGCTGACAACTTGTCGAATTTAAAGTCAATCGTCACTGGCCCATCTGGTTATAATAATGTAACGTCTTCATAAAAAAATGGATGAACTTCCGCCGGAGGTTCTTTTCATCGTTTAGAAGGGGGTATTTTACCCATATGTTAATAGTGAATTTTGTTACTGAAAAGCTAGTCAGGAACGAGCATATGTTTCTAGCAGCTCCAATAATTGAATAAGATATTCCTCACTTCAGCAACCAAGACGTTATTCTCACTCGATTATTAGAGCCCTTGGAAATATCAGAGACAAAATGTTGTATATGTCTCTGGAAAAACTTGTTACTGATTCACTTATCAGTAGCCGGATGTTAGCATAATATTGACATACGGGTAAAATATTTGGATTCAAATCGACCTCCTCCTTGGTGAAATAAAATTTTCATCCATTTTGTTATAAAGATTTAACGTCTTTGTAACCGGTGGGGACCAGTGATCACCGTCAAGCCTTCAAAATCTCAAAAGCTCTCACCTTATTTCAAGGAATGCACAGATCCTAGTTCATTAAAAGTGACTATAATTAATAAGTGACATTTTGTTTAATGACTTTAAATATTCAAAACTTCAGTCAAAGAGAAATATACTTTTAAAATTACATGCAGAAATGTGGATACAAAAAATGTTTATCAACTTTGAATTTTCTTTTCTTTCATTAGTTTATGGACAAACACATATAATTTTTCTCCAACTCACGATTTGTAGTTTCTATTCAGGAAATTTGTGCCAATATTACGATATGTATACCAATATAAAATACGTATATTGTTTCAAAAACCTATAATTCAATACTAAAAAATCGAGAAAATAGTGCTTCTGAAAATTTGAAGTACATCAAGATTTAAAACATATTTTGTGAATGGAAGTGAAGTGTAGTGTTGGTAATTTAGGAATTTGCTAATGAAAATTGAGAGAAGCATTTGATACGCAGTCCAAATCGTAGTCAAAATATATTGCAGTGAGTGTACATAACAAGCGCTATTGGCCTACTGTGGCTCTAAAATTAGACAAATGGTCCAAATGGGGGACAGAGGTGTTAAATTATCGCAACGGGCTTCTAGCTGGTTTTTACCTTTGCCTAAGTATTATTGTTGCCATAGTTATGTCCATAAATATGGTGTATCATCTTTGCTGATCAATTGCACGTATGTTGAGTCGTTGACATTAGCTACTTAGACTCTATTACGGCCATTTCATACTCATTTTCCGACTTCAATGATTTGTATCCTGATTTAATTCTGGCGATCGTGTCTCTGATAGAAAGCAATACGCTGATAACAATGATGCTCGACCTGACCATATATTACTGAAGAAGCTTTACCAATATGACACGAGCAAGACGTTTTGTCAAAAGAACACCATTCCTATATCTGTTTTGAATATAGATTGTCTCGCGGGACAATGAACGTCTCCACTAACAATTATTCATTACATTGGCAGCAAGTTTATGCAAATTCCTTAACATATACTCACTATCCAATTACAGCAGCCAGAAGTACACGGTAAAATAACGTCGAACATTATAAGACGTGTGATAGTACATCTAAAAGCAATGCATGCAGTATTTATTTTCGGCAAACCGTAAAGTGCATAACATTATGAACATATATAAAGGCCCGGTCACACCGCCCGGACGTTGCTGGAGCGTTCCTTGAACGTTGAAAAAATTCATCAACGCTCGTCAACGCGCACAAAATGGGGAAAAAAACAAAAACACGGGCGTTGGCTTAGCGGTGCACCGCTGAAGCCGGCGTTGCTTTAGCGTTGGTTAAGCGGTTGCGAACGGTAGCTAGCGTTTGTTTAGCGGTAATGCGAGCGTTGGTATAGCGGCGTTCTGCGCATGAGAGCGTTTCCTCGGCGGGGGTATAAATAGCAGCAGCGTTGGTTTAGCAGCATATCGCGTTTGACTACTGGGAAATTATTTCAAGTGGTAATTGTGTTTAAGAGTAAAGACCTTTATTGGAATTTGTAACTTTAACAAAAGTCCTTCAAGGATTAAAGAAGAAATGTTTTAAATCTAAAGTGCTTCTATTAATGTAATATGACATTAAGAATGAATAACATTACAATTTTCTTTAATAATCTCTCATATCATTTCAAACAAACATATCACAATTTATCGTTGCATTTCCATTACTTGGAACCGATTTACGTTCAAATTGCTTTAACAATGTCAAATAACATTTACAGCAAAGTAATAATCATGACGCATGACAAATTTTTGCATTGCTGTGCGCGCATCAACTTTTTGTATAATACCATGACGAGTGCAACATTTTACAAGCTGCGCAGAAAATTCACAGATAATTTATTGAATTGCTTGACGTGAAAACACTAGGTACTATATTTGAATAAAGGTCTCAGTAAATGTCTATTTGTTAACATTTAATGAAAAACAAAAATCGCATAATTCACCTTTTTGAAATCCAAAATCACAAACTTTGAGCGCTTAATTTAGGAATTTACAATGCAAAAAATTGAAATGCCAGACATGAATATATATCAAATGTAAAATGCGCAAGTGTCTCCACAGTGTTCTACACAGTGGTGCATTTCTCAACTTATTTATAGCCAAATTCTGGTCCCGCTCCGACACCTCTATACCAACGCCAAAGCAAAGTTCATCGCCGCCATGGAACGCTGCGACAACGTCCGAGACCGTTCCAACAACCCCATGTACGCTGATAAAACGCTAACAACCGCTCCAACGACGTTTGTGCAACGTTTAATCGCCGCCCAGGCAACGCTGGCGAAGCAGCGGTGGTCCAGCGTTTAAGATTTCTGCGTTGGTCTAGCGGATTCAAGCGTCCACGAACTTGCGTCTAGCGGTGCCAAACTTTGACTGGGCGTTGGTGGAGCGGTGATAAACTTTGCCAGGGCGTAAAATTGTCCCTTTTTCAACGCTCGCAATATTTTGAGCAGCTCAAAACTTTTGGAGCGTTAGGATGGCCACTCGAGAAACATCCGCGTTGGCCGAGCGTTTACAGCGTTGCTTTAACGGATGCCAACTTTTGTTAAACGGTGGTGAACGTTTACGAGCGTTGATGATTTTTTTCAACGTTCAAGGAACGCTCCAGCAACGTTTAGGCGGTGTGACCGGGCCTTAAGTCATTATGTTGAGTGACTGATAATGACAGTTTATTAAGTGAGTTTAGCATTCACAGTGACTCGCGTTATTAGAACCCCGCTGATCGCAACATCATTTATATATCTTAGTTTTTTGTCAATCAATAGTACAATTAATTTCAGAATCTTGATGGTCTGTTGAGTGATAATGATTCCCTGAGTGAAAGTGATGATGAATATTCATCTGTAAAAGGGAGCGCTTTCGATATGCAAGGAGGACGCAGCAGAAGTGATAAAAAATTGACTCGACGCCATACACATGACGTCATTAACACACAACACCTCACTGATGATGATATATCATCAGATCATCGTGAGAGAAAAAGGCGCAACGGGATAGACAACCGGTATAGATATAAACAAAACGAAGAAAGACATGAGACTGCAAAAGAAAGACTGGATCGACTTTCCAAGATCAATCCACCAGAGTATCAAATGCTCCAAAATTTTATGGCTGAGGATTACTGCCAACGTGATCAGCTGGAATTCAAAATGTCGGTATACTCCCCGTCCTATGCTGATTCTAACAAATGCTTTGATTTTGATGAATATGATGACAACGACTATAGTTGTGATGAAGCCATAAGGCGTAGCTTGGTAGAACAATATGGATTACCAGAGAGTGATAGCACACCATATTATCCATTGTCAGTGAGTCCAAGGCAACATAGAGTTGACCCTAGAGATCAAGAAAGGTATGAACTGGAAAGAGGTTCTCACGATGCTCCTCGAAGGCATTCAGCTCGCCCTCCTGTCATCGAATCAACACAGCCTCAACCGTACCCTACCCGCAGAAGAGCTAGCAGTCCTTCGGCATATAGCAGTGCTACGTTAGACACTCGTTCAACAAGTGACTTTTTCGATATTCAAAGGGATCGACGAAGGAATTCCTCATTATCCCCACGCCACCCGCCAGTTGATCACCGTGGTCAGCTGTCAAGAAGGCAATCAGAACAATCAATTTCAGAGAGACCCCTAAATGACAGATCTCCTCGCCCATATAGTAAAGAAGATGCACGCAGTAGATCAAGGGCAAGGCGGGTCTCTAAAGTTGAAATACCAGAAGCTCATGAATATTACGAAAAACAATCACATAAACCTCGACATACTTCTAGTGAAAAACATTATAAGACTCAACATACACACGCCGATGAAAAACGAGAGGATTATAAGACAGCTACTTGGAGTAAATCACGATCAACATCTTTGGAAAAGGAAAATGATAAAGAACCATTGGTCAAAAGCTCAAAGAGGGAAAGAAGGTATTCGGATACACGACAAATGGATTTACATAGTTATAATAGGGACCATGATTCCAGAAGGCCATCACACACAAGGATTGACGACTCGCCAACAAGATCTAGGCGACGACGACAAAGCTGCACAAGACAAGATAGTTTCAGTGGAAGCGATTCAGCCAAACATCGTGACGACAGACACCGTAGATTTGATGATCGATCCAGATATGGAAATGTTACTGACCATATGGAACCTACTTTGGATAACAAACGGAATCCGTTGGTACGTCAGGGTAGCTTAGGGTCTATTGACAGCCAAAGAAGGTACAGGAGCAATGCAAGCAGCATAAATACTGATATTACAGACACTAGCGAAGCTACTGAGAGCTCTAGTTTATACTCATCACTCGCCCAGCCAGCCTATGTGCAAAGCTCTATTTAGAGAAATTTCTTTTCCAAAACTCGTTCAAATTCGGCAGATCTCGCTCTCCGCGATTTACTACGAGATCTCGTCCCCGACCCCTTTCTTGTCAAAAAGGAATCCCCTCCAATGTAGAACGAACATGGCGTCTTGAATTTTCTAAAAGGTAAGAAATTCTTCTTCAATTTGGTGTATAGAATGTTGCGATTATTTGAAAAGAAGTATGTTTTTTGAGGGTCCGAAAAATGAACATAAATTTTGACTAGGAGAGACAAGGGTACGCTACAAACCATATCTTCAGCGGGCCATTAAACTTTGGTGTTCAAAATGGTCGAAATTCGTTTCAAAATATATCGTTTTTCGTTAATTTCAAGTAGTTTTTTTGGGGCATCAGGTATCTTTCGAGAAATATACGAAGTAAAACTGATAATATTACTTCCGGTTTACCAATTTATCGAGTAAATTGAAGGAGTTTGTGCTAAAAAGGCAAAGTTCTTGCCGCGATTTTCAATAAAGTTGAAAGTTTCATGTATTTTTTAGGGGTGCTAGGTCTTCAGATATACTATCGTATGGTTATATGATACGAGACGCAGCTATCGATCACTCATCACTTGCAAAGGTAGGGAATTAATACTTTTTTTTGAAAAAAGTTTTTAAAAATCGTCTCTCATCGGGCAAACATTCACATTCAAATCAACACACATCATCAGGTAGGCCCTAGGCTTAGCTCTATTTGATATAATCATAAGCCTATGATGATGTAGGCCTAGCCTAATTCATAAATTCAATGCTCTTTTGGTAGTATGAGGTGGCCCTAAAAAGGGCCATTTTTGTTGTGGCTTATCTTCTGTGTCCGCATACATACACATCATTTATCACCTCAGCTAGTTGCATTGCAGCTGCCTTTTTGCCTTCAGTCGATAGGTGTAGGCCAGGGTATCTGCCATCCATAATATAAAATTTCTCTTGGATGATTCCCCCTTCTCGAAACGTCTGGGAATGGCGCACGTATGTCACTTCATGGGCTGCATATCGTTCTTGGATGTGCTTGCAAACTTGACGATTGACATATCGCGTTATGTCATTTATCCATTTCAAGGGCGTCTTCTGGGGGTAAATGTCAGAAAACACGATCGTCGCAAATGGAAACCATTGGTATAACCTACTAATGATTCGGTCTATTCTCTGCACAATCGTCTTCTGGTTTTGCTTTGGCGCACGTCTGTCTTTGTAGGCAATGTCGCAGCATCCAACATGTAGAATGATACATTTGTATGCTTGAGTGTTTGCGTGTTCTCTTTCAGCATCATGGCTGCCATAGTTGTCATAAAGGTATTGTAGCATTTCTTCTGTGTTGCACCCTGGCATTGAAACAACTTCAATATCTCTTCTTGAAAGTCCTTTGACACATTCTTGGTTGTTCTTGTTGAAAAGCTGGTCCTTCAAGCCACGGCCATGAGAATCACTAAGGATCAGAGTTTTCTGGTCTCGTCTGGTGTTCATTGTATGTGATAACTGTGAACCAATGGAATGAACAAAAGTTTTCTGCTATTTATACTAGAATTAATTGTGACACTTTTGACACATGTCACTTGTCAACACCTTTGTGACAGTTGTTTATTTGTTTGTTTTGTTTCTGAATCTTGAAATTTGTAATCACAAATTCTTGATTGCATACAATAGGCTAGACTGTCAATTTGTATCAATTTGATTCCAAAACACTATATGTAGCTATTATAGATAACCTTGAATCTTGTCATTAAATATTAACAATTCACTAAAACTGACATTGGATTTAAAGAGTACAGATAAATTTGCAAATTTATAAAATGGTTTTGATTGATTCCGTCATTATCATGTTATGTTGTAGGATTCAATCTTAATTACTTCATTGCTAAATGCTTAGTCCTTAAAGGTGTTTTTCATATTCCAACACCTGGCCATGTTACATGCCAGCCTATCGAAACATTTGTTCTCATGGTTCATGTTATCAGTTTCTTATTTCAAATTAATACTATTTTTTCTTTTTTTCAGGTGGGCCTCAATCTTGTTATCATTCCTCAGAAAAGGCGGTGCTGTATTATCACTCCAGGTGCTGTACAAGGTATGTTATTTCTATGCATGTTAAGTGGTGAATTCAAGAATGATAAATTGCACAAACAAAGGTATTCTAGAGTCATTGTAGAAATATCTATTGTAGTTAGTTTCAAATCATACCCAGGGGTTTCACTAGAATTTCCCACAACAGGCTAAATTAATGGATTTCATATATTTAATAGGGAAAACTTGAAAAAACCTAAAATCAACAGGCGATTTTGTGAAATAACCATTCAAAATATAAAATTGTTATTGAGTTCTACATATAATCCAACCTTAGATTAGCAAGCTCACTTAAAACATGAACGTGTGATTCTTAATATATGATTTTGATGTTAAAACTTGCTAAAGAATATGAAATCTAAATACACATTTTCAATTGTTTATACCAGTATACACCTTTCAGTTTTTATACTATGGTCTAGTTTAGGGTCTAGTTTTTAGTTATATGTAATGTTGATGGGGAAAAGCTCAGTGGTAGAGCAATTGCCTTAGAAGCAAGGGGTTGTGGGTTCACACTTTTTCAGATCAGCCCTTAGCACAGGGTCTCATTCTTTGTTTTCTTAAACTTTTCTCATTTCTTGCTAGATCCTTGAACCTTCCAATGTGAGCTTTTCTGGCTTTATTCCTTTTGAATCAGAGCTTAAAAGGGAGAATATGTATCTAGTCTGGTTTTTGCAATGTTATTTTCATTAATTTTTTGTTTGTTTTAGGTTGGATGGACTTTCCTGTTGTTTTGCTGTGCTGGAGAAGCTGATCAGTAATTCATACTGGACTTGGAGGTGATTATATTCTTAAAACCTGTATCTGTATGTTGGCTATTCTAGCTTCACCCCTGAATACTATGTAACAGAATACAGTTAGTTTTTACTCTAAAATACTGAAATAATATAAGGATTGATTGTTTTTCATATTAACCAGGGCCATACATATCATAGGAAAAATAACATTTTGTCAACCTGTATTGTTCAATATACTACTAGGTTCAAATCACCTGTTTATCAGTTGCACATATTTACTCCAGATTTTTAAGATTGTGTACTGTAGTTATCAAGCAAGCATTCATTCCATTTTCAAATTTAAGTAACATTTTTTTTGTTAAATTTAGGTTTTGGATGGCGGGGTAACAGGCGGGCAGGGACCAAGCGAAGATGGGGACCACACATGGACCAGCAGGAAGCAGGGGGCGAGAAGCAGTGGAAATGGATTGGATGCAGTGGTGATGGACAGGATCTATTGGGGTTTGCTGATTGTTTATTGCCACATATTCATTGATGATTAATGGTAGGTAGCTATTTATTAAGTATGTGAATACAGTAAAACCTGTGTATAATAAACATTTGTTAACTGTCTACAGGGGTTCAATAGATAGGTGTTCGTTAGCGCAGGTTTTACTGTATTGAATAATGAATTTTAATATGGCACTCAATGGGAGAAGAAGCTTTTGCCAAATATAAATGTTAACTGATGGAATGAATTTGATAGAGAAGTGTTCGCTTGCTAAATAGAAAGGTTAACTGTTGGTAGGGATTCAATAGGACACGTTTACTAGTAAAGGTTTCACTGTATTTAAGTTTATGAATTTTAATATGGGACTCAATGGGAGAAAAAAATTTTCTTAATATAAACAAACTGTTGTTGGGGTAATTTCGAATATAGAACATAAAACCAGTAAACACTTCAATTATTTATCATCCAAAGCTATAAACAGGAAGTTGTGATTACCAAAAGCAGATTGTTAAGACCTCTGATTGGTAGACTTTTTAATGTGACCATTGACTCTGTGTAAAAGCTTAACCAATCAGAAGCATTATAACATGATTTTTAATTTGAAAAAGTTTTATTAAATTGAAAACAAACATTTATGGTCTTATCTTTCAAGGAAGTTAAATCTAAAGACAGTGAATTTTAAATAAGTTTATCTCTTTATTCAGAGAGAGATTGTTGGTGTCCTCAATCACTTTTTTTAATTTTATTTAAGTGTTTTGATGGGTTTAGTTTGAAGACATATTGAAGTTATCATTTTTGATTTGGATATTTTGTTTGGCTTTGTTAATGCATTACATGATTAGTCATTTTGTCATTGAACTTATGCCTGAAGACCCTGTTATCTGTCTGTATTCTGTTCAGTCTACTTTAATGGACAACTGTGTATAGTGAACACCAATTCCCAGCAAATAAGCCATTGATTCAGTACAGTCAAACCTGTCATAATGAACTCCTCTTTTTAGTGAAGACCTGTGCCTAGTGAACACCTAAGTCTATTGTAAAGTGGGTGGACATCTTCTAGTATTGTCTGTAATGCCTGGACAGCATGGTCTGAAATTAGGTGACACCAATTTTATGGGTTCAACTGTCCAAATAATTCTGCTTGAAAGCCACCATATTGAAAAATGGCCGTCATTTTAACGTATTTTACCATAGCTCAAAAAGTAGTGGATCGATTTTGTTCATATTTGGTATTCGAATACTATAAGCATGGGACACTGTCTAATGACACTTTTGGTAGAAGGTGGCCATTTTGAAAAATGGCCGCCATTCTAACATATTTTACTTTAACTCGAAAAGTAGTGGAGCGATTTTGTTCATATTTGTTATGTGAATACTATAAGCATGGCACACTGTCTAATGACACTTTTGGTAGAAGGCGGGCACCATTTTAACATATTTTACTATAACTGCCATTTTTGCTGTATACTTTGTACGTAAATATGCCAGCCGTGGCTGTTCGATGGGATTTGCTACGCTTTGGCGTAGCTGTTGTCTAGTTGTTAAATAGTCTTATAAATAATGATAAAAAAGACAAAATCAATTGATTGGTGAATAGTTTTACAAAAGTTTTTCAAGATGGCCGCCACTTTAGAATTGACGGTAATATCACAACATCTTTCTTTGTCATACATATTCCAAGTTTTCAGGCTGACCCCCAGGGCTATGTGTGAAGTCAGAAAACAGGATTTTTTGTCAGTTTTGAGAACTTTCTGAAGTATAGCTTTATTATACTCAAATTAAAATAAATTTAAAGTTAATTGCAAATGTTAATCGTTTTTCTGATTCAGGCCTCGCAAAATTCAAATGGCCGATTTTTGTGGGATCTAGCAATAATTTCCAGATCAACATTATACTAGATAATAATCAATATTGTATTGTCTTTATTGACATGCCTTTGAAACACATTAGTGGTCACACAATGCTTAAAATGGTAACTCTGGTTGGTAATTTTCTAATGTATGACTTTTATATCTGCCAATTTAATTTAACTTTTACAAGTTGTTTTTTATAGTTTTCAAAAAAGAATAGCCTGTGGCTTGTTAATGCCTGTAATAACTACTAATAATAAGAATACATACAATATTAACTCATCATTGTCATGTATGTTGCATTATTATTTAAAAACTTTTTTCTTTCAGTTGTTGTAATGCCTGAACGCTAATGAAACGACCCACAGCAGTCATGTGACGCACTACAACTCAACATTGGACTGTGGACTGTGTAATTGTGGGTAACTAATTAGTTCATATTTTACTTGTTTGATATCCCATTGCATAAATAAGTTAGGTTAAGGAATAAGTTAGGTTAAGGAAGAAGTTTAGATTGTATTTTTTTAATTTTTTTTGAATATGATGCATCTCACTTGAATATGTTTGATATGATTAAGAGTTCTTATTCTGGTATTTTCTTTCTTATTTGATACACATGTAGGTATATCAGGCATATATAAGGCATCCGTCCATTCAAATCTCAGATAAATATATAAACGTCAGACTGCAGTTACTGATGTTATAGCGATATATATCTGGATATGACTCATGTTAGTTCTGTCGTCAGGTTGATCATTTATGAGCTAAGGAAGCATATATCATTGGATATGATAACTTTTTTGCAGTAGTTTAGCTTTAGTGTAGTAGTAACTGATATTATTTACATATCATTTGAATGTAATTTAACTTAAGGGACATGTGGAGCAAACAGTATTCTACATGCTGGTGTCAAGTCATAGTTTGGTGATTGATCTTAAGGACTGAATGTCTATAGGTATCCTAATCCAGAGATGTGAATCATTTTTTGAGCCATAAGTAGGCTACCAGATTTGAAAGGATCAAAATCATATATATCATATGGTATTTGATGGGCAAAAACCTTGTTGATCTTTAGAATTAGGGTCATGTTTTTAATGCTGAAGCAATAGATGATGAAATGAGGTTGTGTGATGCAGCCAATGCAGGTCAGGTGTTTCCATATTCAGTATAAGTCTTTGTTACATTGTTATTATTACAATATAGCCTTGACCAGTATTTCATTTCCAAACCATATAACTAGTCATAGATATAGTAAACCAGGGGCATGTGGAACACACAGCATTATGTTATGCTGATGGTTGTTATCTCCCATGCTGCCATGTTAAGTTGATTTATTGTAGTACCAGGTATTTCAAACTTAAGTCATGGCAGAGTCTCGTTATGGAAGACGCAATAAGCCCAGGGAAGAGGCCAGCAAACCTCCCAAACTACGTAAAAGTAATGTTCACCCAGGACCCTGTATAGAGTGCAAAAACTGTGGTAGTGAACCAGTTACTAAACTCAAACATTTTAAAGGTTGGAATATAAAAGAATTTATAATGGAAGAGACTGGCTTGCCTGAAACCTCATGCTTATGCAATTCATGTTGTTCAGAACTTACTAAGAAGAGTAAAGATCCAAATTATATGAAAAAACACAAGAAAGTGCGACAGCCCTGTAGCATATCTGACTGTCAAAATGAAGAGCATAAAAGTGTAACTATTCAATCTGATGTAGAATTTCTCAAGTGTTTCAATCAACTCATTTATGAACAAATTGTCCCATTATGCAGTACTCATAATGAATCATGGAAAAAATTTAAACGTTTAAAATCTTCTTTGAATTGTGACATATGTGAGTCTGTTCTCACATCAAAGCAAAATAGTGGAAAAAGATGTTCAGACCCAATCTCTACTGCCAAATTTTTTCAAGAAAAGCTATCGCTTAGTCCCATTTTGAACCTTACAACTGAAAGCATTTTATGTAGCTCTTGTTATGGCCAGTATAGAAGAGCGGTCACAACTGCAAAATCTTTGGAGGAAATTAACCAAGAAACTTATGAAAAGGGCACTGTAGACGAAGTACTTGGCGACATAATATCTCATGTAACCACAATATTCAATGGTAAAGGTGCCTGTCTGTTGATTGATGTTTTTGAACTTTTTAAAACAAAGTATTTTGAGTTGTTTAATGAAACCTGTCCTTTTTCTTCAAAGTGGCTTCTTATACAGCTATCATCAACATTTGGGAAGCATTTAAAAGTGTTCACTAGTCATTCCAAGAAACATAGTCTTATGCTTTTCTATGAAACTATTTCAAAAGAAGCTCATCATATAGCTTTATATAAGCTGAGAAAGGCTGCACAAGAAGAAGAAAGAAGAAAGGAAACACTGGCAGTTGAATCTGAGCCTCCAAATGTAGAACCTGATGTATTTTCAAATAACTCAGTCAGTATTATCAATGGACACTTTCATCAAAATTCTAAACAAATTGTTGACTATTATAAACATCATCCAATGGAAGTCAAGAATTTTACATTTGATTCTCTTTTGAAACATATCTCGCCAAAAGTATGGAACTATTTTCTCATATTAACCTCAACCCAAGAAGAAAAACGTGCGATGCTACAAGATCCTACATTTTCACCTTTACATCACTACAAATTACCAAAGCGCTCATTCAAAAGACTCTCTGTTCTCCAGTCACTTTTGAGTCTGGTAAATGATGAATGTACATACCCCATGCATATAGCTGTAGCTGAATACATCAAAAGATGTAGTGGGTCAGTGCAGCTGGTTACTGCTTGCAACAGGCTAGGGTTTTGTGCATCTGAAGACAGCAGGTTGAGGTTTGAGACTAGGGTGAAGAAGGAGGAGCAATCTAAAACTGTTAGTGAAAAGCTAGATTTAAAGACATTTACTGTTGTAACTGCTGACAATATTGATGTCCAAACTCCTCATGCGATGGTGACAGGAAATGACAGGAGTTGGCATGGGACAAGTGTAATGGCTATTCAACCAAGGCCAAGTAAACAGTGTACAATAGAGCAAAATACAAGGGAAATGGGTTACTCTGTGGAAACCAGTTTGAGTAATGATATCCCAGAGCCCCAACCTTTGCTAAATACTGCAGTACCAGTAACTTTAAAGAAATTTCCTGTTTATGGAGATGGCCGCTGTCTTTTCCGTGGTGTTTCTTGTATATTGAACAAAGATTTACAAAATGCTGTGAGGAATCAACATGGAATGTGTGTAAATCAACAAATGGAAATGTATGAGAGAAATGCAGCAGATAATTTGAGGTCAAGAGTCGTCCAGGAAATCAACTCTCAGATGGACACTCTTAGAGAACTTGATGATGGTACTAAAGCGGTTCTTCTGGACAACTTCTCAAGTTTTGGTGAAAGGGTAACCAATGTCACGCAACCAGCTGCCTATGCAGGAATGCTTGAAATTATTACTTTAGCATACCTTCTGAAGACTCCAATTCATATGTATCGAGAAGAAAATGGGAATTACAAATTGCATTCCAAATTACCACCGTGCTTTACTGAAAAGCCAATAACACTCCTATATCGCCCAGATGAACCAGGACAACCCGGACACTACGATGCTTTGTTGAACAACAATTTCAAAAGTCTAAGTGTTCCTTTGAATGATGCTAATGACTTAGATGCTTCATTTCAGGCATGGAGGAGTTTGACTAAACACAACAACAACATTCATTATGCTGATACATTTAACTTTGATTTGGCAGCTGAGACTGACAATGTGATCCCTTCAACACCTATTGTTGCAGGTGCACCACCAGCAGATACTATATCTCAAACCACACCACATGTTTCAAAAAACAATACTTCTCTTGAAACTGCGGAGACCAGTAGAGTCTTATTCCCAGAATCAAGAAGTCATGTAGAAACAGTCAGCAAGCCACGGCAGAGGGGTAATACAAAACAGCCAGTTTACTCTTCTCTTTTACCAACCAGTAATGTTGAAAAGAGAACACTCGATCCTCGAATACTGGAACAGACAGACTGTTTGGAAAAGTTCCATTCCCATGGTAATGAGTTGGTCCAGTTGGAAAAGTTGAAGACTGCATGTTTCACCTACATATTTGAAAGAGACTGCCAATTGAGATTGATCCAAGAAAAGTGCCTTCCAGGACTCCGTTGCAAGCTAGCTTTAGAAACGCAGCCATCCACCGATAAATCAAAAATCATATACCTCGATATACTTGATCTTCCTGCTGATAGAAGAGAGACTCTTAAGATTGTTCTTGCCAAGCTGTTTGATGATTTCAAGATATCAACAGAGCTTAGTCATCTTGTTGTTGTGGGAGATGCAAAAACATATGACTATATCTTGAAATTACGTCAGGACTATGGTGATATTCTTGACTGGGTTATTCCTTGGATGGGAGACTGGCACATCTTGAAAAATTTCCAACCTATACTTATGAAGATATATTGGGATGCTGGATGGAAGGAGATTGCCCAGAAAACTCACAAGGGATCAACCTTAACTTCGCTTGCAAACGCAAAACATTTTAAGAGAACACACTATTTTATCCTCCAATCATGGGAAGCAATATACTCCTACCAACTCAGGTCATTCAAGCAACATTTAGGCCTTGAGCAAAAAGAAGATCTAGTGAGCCTTGAAAATAGTGTTGCAAGTTTATTACAGGACTTGGCAGCCAAGAATGATGATTTTGAAGAATCTTTCGTTACAAGACAAGGTTTACTGAGAAATGACTTAGACAAGTTTGGAGATGCCTTTGAGGATTTTTGTTCAGAAATGTCGGACAAATTTGAAACGTTTCGTATGTGGAACAAATTTCTGAAAGAAGACGCGATGGCATATATAAGTCTCTATCTAGCAATTCGTGAGCGGAACTGGGATTTAAGAAACGCAGCTATTAAATCGATGGCACCTCTCTTTACTGCATTTGATGCACACAACTATTCTAGACTTTTGCCTCAACATATATCGCATATTCTTACCCTACCAAATGATGTTTCGGAACAGTTTCAAAGTGGGGCCTTTGCAGTAAGTTTAAAAGGAACCAATTATGCCAGCGTTGGGCTAGATGAAGCCCATGAGATGACCATTAACAAAGAAGTTAAGGAGGTCTTGTTTAGGATTAATCCACACACTATTGGAGCCATTACAGATTATATAACAACTAGTGCAGATATAGTGCAGAATCTTAATGTAAATCTCCAAAGGAAGTCCCCTATAACAGCTGACTCAGTGGAAACCATATTAGAAAGTGAACAATACCCTGAGTCAGGAAGAGTGAATTTTAAGGAGAGTAGTCCTAAATTTATTGAAAAGGAATGTGCCAATGTAAAACAGTATTTGGAAAAGTTCAGCGAGTCATCAGCATTTTCTGTTTCCCAGTCAAAAGATTTGCACCATGCATTCACTGGAGCAGAAGCAAATGAACTCCAGAAAGATGGGTTGCTTAATTATACTACCATTGGAACGGAAGATTATTCAACCTATGTTGAGACCCGCATACTGAAACGACCAAGCACTATTCCCCCCAGAAAAAAACATAAACTCCACACATTCACTGCAAGACGGATCACCAAAACAAAACTCAAGCAGGAAGAAAAGGAACGAAAATTTGTGACATCACTATATAAAAGAACCATAGCAATGTCTGTATCGGAAGATCTTCCTGTTCAAGATTTATTTCAATTTCTTGAAACACCACGGGCCATCTGTACAGTTGAAGGGCTGCCTTACAAAGGCAATAAGAGCTCAACAGTTGAGTATTTCACCAAGAGATACAATAATGTCGATTCTCCTGTAACCAATGACATCCTTCCCATATCAACAAACATTTCAGCGGCAATAATTGAAGGGATGAACATTATTTACATCTCCCCCATTGGTTGTCACAAATTTCTCAAAGACTATGCCTCTTTTCTGATGTATCGCTTTGTTGATCATTATTTTAGGCAGGGTTATTCTGATGTCAGAATCATATTTGATCAACAAGGAACACAAGGCTTATCTCCAAAGATGGTTGAGAGGGAGAGAAGAGGAACGGTTGAAGAAAATGATGCTGATATATCCATATCTGGTGATACAGCTGTTCCAAGAGGGGAAAAGTGGATAAAGTTCATCCAAAATAAAACCAACCGGGAACAAGTTATGAGTTTTCTCAGTTACTACTTTCTTAACAATGTTTCCAAAATTCTTAGAAATCACAATCAGATATTTATAACTGGGGGTGGATTTCAAGGGGAACATTTTGGCAAAACGATGGTAGTCAGAAAAGAGTGTATAACTGAGTATCACCTGCAGACTTCAACCGAAGAAACTGACCTCAGTCTTTGGCTCCATGTTAAAGACACTCAAGAATCAAACATTCTTGTAATCTCCAAAGATACAGATATCGGACTTATTGGACTCCCTCTTGAAATTCACGACAAAAATGTGTACATTCAGTACAAAAGTGGGGCTGAACAGCGGTATCTCGAATTGAATGCATTGAAAAATGCAATTTCTAGAGATCCTGACCTGGGCACCATTATTTCATCAGGTGTGAATGTTTTCAAGGTCATTCAAATGGTCTATATTGCATCAGGGTGTGATTTTGTGTCTTACTTTGCAGGTCATGGAAAAACCTCTTTTTTCAAGACATTTTTTAAACATGCAGAGTTTGTTACAAGTGGCAGATTTGACAAATGTCCTGGAACACTTGACAACAGCTGTTCGGAGAAACAAAATGAAGGACTTTTGGCTTTCTTCCGCCTTATCGGATGCTTGTATTTCCACTCAAATAGGGCGTGTTTAAATAGCTATGACAGTCCAGAAGCAGTTTTCAAGGCCTGCTATAAGGATGGTATGAACATAAAATACCAGCATTCCAAGTTTCTCAACACCATCCGGAAAGCATCTTGGAAAGGTGTTTACGAAGATCAGTTGCTGCCTTCGGATGATGCACTCCGTTTTCACTGGCTGAGGTCATGCTGGCTAGCCCAGGTGTGGTCTAAAGCCCTTACTCCCTTCTTTCTGTTCCCCAGCATTGAAGATTATGGCTACATAGTTCAAGAGGGTAAAGTTTCATACAAGTGGGATAGCCCTGCAAATATAGACAAAATCAAGACTAATGTAGCATATTTGACCAGAGGGTGTGGATGCAAAAGTGGGTGCAAAACCTCAGTATGCAAGTGCTACAAACAACATGCAAAAGGTGGAAGGGGTTCTTGTGGTCCTGGATGCATATGTAGAAATTGCACTAACCCTTATGGACGGGCCAAAAAATTAGTTGTTGACTCTGATTCTGAGAGTGAATCAGATAATGATCTTCAAGGCAACACAGATAGTGAAGGGGAGTGAAAGAAATGTATTTTTGGAGCAGCACACTGGTAATTCTGAGGAAACCATTATGTGAAAAATGTCCCAGAATTCTTCATATAAAGTGATCTTCAATACAACCCAAGTGGCAATATAGTCTCACATTAGGTGACATAGTGTAACATGTATTTTTGGAGGAGCATATAGATAATTCTGAGGAAACCATTATGTGAAAAATGTCCCAGAATTCTTCTTACTAGTGATCTTCAATACAAATCAAGTTACAATATAGTGTCACATTAGATGGCATAGTGTAAAATGAATTTTGGAGGAGTATATAGATAATTCTGAGGAAACCATTATGTGAAAAATATCTCAGAATTTCTTTATAAGTGATCCTTAAGATGACTCATGGTGCTGTCAAGTCTAGTATTGTCTCTTATTATGCACCTCATTAAAATACTCAAATCTGATTGTTCAAGAGCTGCAGGGTCTATTGCCATACGTGGCAGCAACATCTCGTTCTAACCAGTATTGAGGCAACAAGATCTCGAACCATCCCGTATGCCATAATACCTATCCTCGAAAAAAAATACTAGGCTCGGCTTCTGTTTTAGTAGACCCATTCTTTAAAATAAAGTATTTCTCAAGGGAGGTGCATAATAAAATAAATACTGGATGACCATGAGGTGGATATGCCAGAATACCCATCAGAGGAAAAAAATATAAGTATTTTTTTTCTCAGATAGGTATTCTGGCATATCCACCTCATGGTCATCCAGTATTTGTTTAATACAGTATATTAGAGAGTCAGGTTCAGCCGATCTAGCGGTTTGTTTCAATGAACTGGAAGTCAGTTATTGTCTGATTTTCAAGTGAAAATACAGCGCCAATGTACAATGTGTAAATATGTGTACAAATGACGTAGAACATACAATAGTGCAGTCTAGTCTAATGTAGTCTTCTATCAGAGAGTCAAATTCAGCCAAACTAGCCATAGGCTGTTTTAATGAAACTGGAAGTCAGTTTGGTTACTGTCAATGGTTTTCAAGTGAAAATAGATTGCCGTGAACAAATGAAGTACTATCATATCAAACTTGCCTTATCGATGTGTACAAAAAATATATGTGCATGGTGCAGTCTAGTCTAGTGTGTAGTCTTATATTAGAGTCAGAATCAGCCAATCCAGCCATAGGCTGTTTTGAAAATATGTTGCCAATGTAAATGTGTGTACAAATGAGTTAGAACATATCATAGTGCAGTCTAGTCTAGTGTAGTCTTATATTAGAGAGTCAGATTTAGCCAATCTAGCAATAGGCTGTTTTGAAAATATTTTGCCAATGTAAATATGTGTACAAATGAGTTAGAACATATCATAGCGCAGTCTAGTCTAGTGTAGTCTTATACATGTATATAAGAGAGTCAGATTCAGCCAATCTAGCTGTAGGCAGTTTTGAAAATACTGAAATACATTGCCAATGTAAATATGTGTACAAATGATGTAGAACATACAATAGTGCAATCTAGTCTAGTGAAGTCTTAGTGAGTCAGATATTAGATAAATTAGATATTAGATATATTAGATATCAGATATATTAGAGAGTCAGATTCAGCCAATCTAGCCATAGGCTGTTTTGATAAATCAAAGTCCAACGTCATGTCTTGCCTATGATATTCAAGTGAAAATACCTTGCCAATGTAAATATGTATAGAAATGAGGTAAAATATAAGTGCAGTCTATTGAGGTTGTAGTCTTGTATAAGAGAGTCGGATTCAGCCAAACTATAGTCACAGGATAGAATTATAGGCCGTTTTGATAAATTGAAGCGAAAATACTGTAAATATGCCTAGAAATGAGGTTAAAGATACATAGTGCAAAGCATAGTGTAGTCTAGTCTAGTTTAGATTTATATAATCAATTAATTAGAGAGTCAGGACTCAGAATCAGCCAAACTAGTCATGGGCTGTATTTATAAATTGGAATCATTTTCTGTCAATGATTTTTAGAAAACCTTGCCATGTTTGCACATATCATAGTGCAGTCTAGTCTAGTGTAAGCTGTTCTAATTTTTTTTACTGTTACATTTGCTCTCTGTAACAGTCATGAAAGTGCAGATTGAATGCACCATGAGAATGTATAATACATTTGTATTTTACAGTAAACCTATATTTGCAACATGTAATTTCGTAGAACAGCAAATGTCAGATAACAAATTCAGAATGCAATCATACTTAAAACAGATATAATCAAGACAAGAATTCATGTCTATTTGTAAAAACTTCTGTTATTTGAAGAATGTGTGTTAACTGCCCAAACTGTGTCAAACTGTTAAAACAGACAAATAATATGAAAAGTTCCCCAGGAATTGAAAGGTTGTGCAATATAAACAATTTAGTGAGTTAAATCAATGAAAATGTGTGAGCGAGAAAATAAGTTAAAGTAGTTAGAAATAGTCAAAAGTCAATACAAGAATTTTGTGTAACATGAACCGTTAGGTACAAATATATGTAAATTTATGCAATGGGATATCTATGGCATAGAGATATATGGGTATTTACAAGTAAAGCCATGTTATGCAAGTAAATATAAAGAAATATGTTCTTGTGTGTAACAAATACTGAAGTAAAGTGCAATTCTCTAAACAATCATGGTATTTGAGGCAATTCATTATTGTTGCTTTGTACTGTTATTCACATAAGTATAAATCCAGTGAATACAGGTACTCAACTTATGTAAAGTGTTGCAACATGCACAACTTCGATCATATATCCTATAGTATTTCGATCATATTCTATAGTATTATATTAATTTGTGCAGGGCATTTTCAAAATTAGGTATCCTGACATGATATGTCAGTTTGTATTGATGTAAAAGATTGGTATATTACTAGAGATGAAAGACAGTCAACAAATACTTGAAATACTTATTATGTGAAGTATTCTGTTCTATTTTATAGATAGAATATTCGATATATTAAAATATTTGTTTTGTCTTCCAGTTACATGTTTACTTCTAATCCAACAAAATCCAACAAAAAGAAAAAACAGGTAAGGTTTGGAAACAGGTTTCAGAGTCATATCATGAGATTGTGGTAATTATCCAATCATTTTAACAGAATACACATAGAGATGATAAAATAATTTGAACTTTAAGACAATAAAGATGCAGTCACCCGCGGGAGGTCACTGTATATAAATCTTAACAGGGATACCCAGCTCATGTGGGGTAGCATTTTTTCACATTTTGTTCAACTTTAACGATTTGTTATGGGGACCAAAATTTATGACTTGACTTATGCCAATGATTGAATTTTTCTTTGCTTTTCTGGGATCAGGGTCAAGATACATTGCCTTATATTTATTATGGTATGGCATTGGCTACTATATTACATTTTGACTCAAGTTCTAGCATTGGTCTTATATTTTGCTTCAAATGATGACATTTAACCTATATTTGAACATTTTGTATTGCATTGGGCCACTATTTTTGGTATGACTTTTGGGTGAAAATAAACTTTACAAGTATTTGTAAAAATTATTTAGAATGGGAACATATTGAAATTTTATGGATTGGGAACATATGATATGTGAGTGTTCCGCCAAAGATCCCTGTCAAAGTTTGTGTACAGTGAACCCCCAGGCAGTTATCTCACCAGCAGACTTCTTTTGAAATGTTTTCCTAATTTACACTATTTTCACCGCCCTGTATTTCGATGTTTGAAACATGGTGTCACAAACTATTCATGTATCAAACATGGAAAAACTAGGAATGGAAAATAAAGGAAATTGGAAAAACATTGGAGAAAATATCTGTTGGTAGTGTAACTGCAGCTTCATTGTCTTAAAGACCAAATGACAAATATCATGTCTATGTGTATTTCACTATAGATGTTATCATGTAATGCACTGGCATTACACTCCACATCAGTTTAAACAAATGGTTGGAAAATTACAACCAAAGACATATTTGACTGTGTAAAGGCTGTTGCCAAACCTTGTCAGGTCTTTTAAGTTTATCTGGGTTTCAGTCACTGTCATTTTACTACTTCGTTAGTCAAGTTGCATGCTGTTCATCAACTCTGGTATGTTCCAATCTTCATTTTATATGATACTGCTAAGTAAAAAGGTCAAAAAATGTGAAAATGTGAGTCATATTACATAAGACTAGTAGTAAGCTTAACTCCTGTACATAAGTTAAATATTGTATGTACTCACAAACAATGTACAAACAATTTGTATGTACTGTACAAACAATTGTAAATTTAGCAGACAATATTTAGATACTTGTATTTTTCAAGTTTGTAGTTGTATCAAGATCTGATGTGTAGGCTAGTAATCTCTTGATACTTTCTCAGCAAAGAACAAGTGTATATAACACTCAATATGTGATAATTGAACACAATGAAATGCTTAACTTTTTATACATTTATAAAGGATGATATTATTTGCTCAACAGTGATCACGAAACTCAGGTTGAACTTCTCATGCTAATTGGCATCTAGGAAGTTTTTTGTATTGCAAATGTAGTATTATTTAAATATTTGCTTAATACAGGTTTTTATAGCTCATGAACAAGTGTATATAACACTCAATATGTGATTATTGAACACATTAAAATGCTTATTAACTTTTTATACATTTATAAAGGATGATAACGAAACTCAGGTTGAACTTCTCATGCTAATTGGCATTTCGGAAGTTTTTGAATTGCAAATGTAGTTTTGTTTAAACATTTGCTTTATACAGGTTTTTATAGCTCATGAACATTTGTATAAAATGTGCTAAGTCTTGTGTGTACATTTGAGACCAAAAGAACCTACTGCTTTTTTATTTTACATTTATTGTATATTCAGTTTCACAAAGATTTTACAAATACTGAAATATGTAACTTTTTACCAGTTTAACTGCAGTACATCACATGATATATTAATAATGATAACATTCCATGAAATGAAGCTGAGCAAAAACATGAAAACCATGATATTTTGATAAATATATATAACTTTGTATATGAACTAAGCAAATACTTTATTCTGTTATAATATCCAGGTATGCCCTATTGCATTAAACTAGCATTTCAGTATTGTACGCATAGATAGAGAAATGTTTTTTAATTTGAATCCACTTGCTTTCTTACTTGTCTTAGTGCACAATATGCTGAAAATATGAAATGCTAGTTTAGTCTTCTCACTACTGCACTATGCCCAGTGTCATTTGATAAGAAAACAAGAAACTTTTCGATGGAAAAAGTAGCCCTTGGTGTCCAAATTGATTGTATTATTATTATTATTTGGTTCAGTTCATGCTCTCTAGCCTTTACCCACTCTGTGGTGTACATGACTCCCACTCAGTTTTGACTTTTCTACTTTCTGTACACCTGAAACCTATACATGTAGAACTTTTTAATAGTGTACGATGCCCGTCTTTCAAACACTAATTGAAGAATAACAATACATCATTTGACAATTTTAGTCTTTCGATCATATATGACATGTATGAAACGGATAGTGACACAAAACATTCTAAAAAATTCTTGAAAAATTAAAATAATCAATCATAGACGACTTCTACACTATTCACGAATCTAGGCATTCGTCTGGTGCTGGAATAGAAGGTATAAACATTATATTTAGTAATTATAACCTCGAAAAATTGAATACGACTCTGTTTATGTTCGTATCAAAGAAAATAAATTCTGAATTGGACTTTTCGAAAAATTATTTCGGCCGCCATCTTGTTTTTTTCGATAAATCTACAAAACTGAAAAAGAAAAAGTGTATCTTCATCGGGCCACTCAAGGTATACTTGTGGTTCTACGTTATTTGGGTATATGACATAAATGGCAATCGTTTTGTCCAAAAATAAAATCGGGGCAGAGTCGGCGTATAGTCAGAATCAACGAAAAACGGAAGATCAATTTTTCGAAAAAATATTCAATCGGCAAGTTAACTCGATATAATTGATCAATTTCCACAAATTCGGTGTTAAAATGTTCTTCAATTAATTCGCCAGACGTAGGTTATGAGAAGTTTGAAAGTTGGAGAGTATTTCGAGATGAAAATAGCCTTAATGTTTCAACCGGAAGTAGGTGCGCAGAAAACCTGCGCAGAAAACAAATATTGGTCTTTTTCACCTAGTGGCCGTTTGACAGTCATCATCCAGGCGTCAATCAAAAGACTACGCTCATCCATTCGGAATTGGCCAAGAACATCAGATACAAAGTATTCATTCATACACACATGCAGAAAACAATAAACGAGTTAAAGGTAATAGCAAATCACCTACTCAAATTGCATGAAGCTCTAAAAATTGCTTTTTTCTTTTATCGTATTAAAACAACCACATTATCACGTTCAAAAATAATTATTGTGAATTGCCTCGAAAAGCATTTCCTTTATATCTATTAGATGTTATTTTATGTTGCTTTCTAGGACAACGGGAAATAAAGCTACATCGAGATTGCACAGACACAAGCGCAAAGAGTAAGTTGCAGAGATAATGCTGAGTTGATTACTTGCTATTATGGGCATGTTATTGTCTGAGATGTCATAGTAAGCCGATATGGAATTCTTCTGATTACCAATAATGGTTCTCATACCGAGAGAAGTTATTATGATCTGTCTGAGGACAAGTAATTAACTAGCAAGCAATGATTACGAAATGTATCACTTTGGATAAATGTTTACGTTCATAAATCATCATTCATAGCTTGGCATATCAAAATGGTAATAACTAAGCTAAACCTATGTAAACAAATGTAATTTGTACATGGAACGTCGCTATGGCTGCCACGATGTATAACAATTAACACTTTTTGACGCAAATGAGGTTTGTAGTCCATTTAAAAATAATTTCTTGTTATTTGATGACACGCTTTGATATGTGTTCCATTTTGGTGCCCATCCTATGCCAGGCCATATCTCGGATATCCCCTTGTACCTCCAGTCTAGGACCATTTAAGAAATCATATCCTTGCCCTAAGCTTGTCCTAAACTAACCGAGGCAATGCTTGCACACTATAGTCCAGGTAACATGACCCAATTCCTTGACGAGCTCCACAAATTAAATACGTATGTATCATTTATTGATGCAATAGTGGTTGCGAACGCTCGGATTCCATTTTAAGTTACTTTAAAATTTCAATCAAAATTCGAACAAAAATGTCCATCAGCAATTATCAAAATGCATCGAAAAACCATGACGATCTCACGAGTTATAGCCATTTTGAAACTAGATTATGTTTTTTTATTTTGTTTTGCGCTACACTTTGCATAATTATAAGTATACACATTCGATTTAGCTGCAGGGCTTGGGTTGCGTGTGGTTGGAGGGAAACAAATGTCCGATGGTTCTTATCGCGCATGCGTGGTTTATGTAGCTCCAGGAAGTGAGGCAGACAGATATGGTATCCGGACAGGTAGACAAGAATTGTTATACTAATCTATTTGTTTCTAAACATGTACAGTTGATGATGGATCGCCTGATTATTGTTCTTGTTTCATTTTGCACCGCAATATTTGGATTATGACAAAGTTAAAGTAGAATCAATGAGTTTCAAACCCTCTTACTAGGTATCGTACACTCTAGGACGCCCTAGTGTTATTAAACCCAAGTTGTATTTATGACTGGTCTCCCCCTGGTTGTTAAAACGTTACGTTTTTATAACAAAATAGATGAACTTTCGTCGGAGGAAATTTTTATTTTATCATTTCACCAAGAAGGGGGTCGATTAGTATACAAATACGTAACGTCTAAAATAATCGAGTGGGGACTAGTGTTGATGCGGACTCATAGCCGGCCATTATCATTGTGCTTTCTCAATGAAGTATTATTCATATATATTCAAACAGCACACTCATATAAAATACGTTTACATATGGTTCATTCTCCAGTGACTAATTATTTTGATTTTAAACAAAATAATTGTAGAATTGACTTGTAGAATGTAATTTTGTTCATTTGTCTTCATAGGTGACCAGATTTTGGAATGGAATGGTCTGTCGCTGACGAATATGACATTCGAAGAGGCTAGACAGATCATGGACCGTTCAACCGATACTGTTCATTTAAAAATAGTGGACAAGGAGTACTGGTAATATCACAATTTTTGACTTTTCTACTATATTTATTAATTCTGATACACATATTTTACTGACTTTATTACCTTATGTCGTTCACCTAGTCAGATTAGCACCATTTAGTTGCATAGAAAAATGATATCGCGTCCTTAAATATGATATTTTATTCATGAGACGTGGTAAATTGAATTAAGATGTTCTGTTGTTCGGTGAGTATTATAACCAAGTTAACAGAACTCCTCTACAGCGATTCAAACGCAAATTGCAATCGCGGAACTTTTAGTAGAGATTTTAGAGAAGTAATCTATTGTCATTTTGCATTGTAGTAATAATTTCCCAGCGAGACCTACAATTTTGACAGACACAGTCAAAGGTAATTATTTCATAATACCCAACATTCAATTTTTATTATAGTAGATCGGACAAAAGTGGTTAATGTAACTCAAGGTCATATCTTATATCATGAATTACTCTGCTTGTGTTTTCATATGTAGTTAATTTTAACTTTACAGAATTCTTGCCCGAGGGTGACAAAAGTCCAAGGATAATTCTCCAACGAACTACATCAGTTAGTATGGAAGAATTGAATATGATCCATACCCGTCGCAGGAGAATGCTCCCTAAAACACCAGTAAGATTTCATGGTTTAAACGCTTATTGTGTTGTTGACAAACTAGTATACGAATTCTGTCCAAAATGTCTATGAGTTCAAAAACTTGAGGCTATTCTTAGAAGCAGTATTGCATGACACTTCAACCCAACAGTTCAACTTGCCAATATTTAAGGCCATCTATTTTACTCCGGGCCGGGCTAATAAAATTGATAAAGCAGATGTACAGTCGCCCTAATGTCACCAGAAGCAATTTGAAATCGTTTTACGTATCACAAAGTTGTCCACCAAGCATATCCTTGACGTTAACATAATACATATTATGATAACTAGACATAGATGTAGTCATGAAGTTGATTTTAGACTTCAAATTGGGGATTTTTTATATCTTAACTTGGAATAGATCTAGACTTTGCCAAGATGGTATAAGACTATCAATACATCCATGTCCATGATTTAACCAAATTGAGGAGAAAAATATCTTGACCTTAACATTTGACCTCTTGAATTTTGCATTGATCAACTGACTTTATAGGTCCATTCTTATGGGTTGTTTTAAAACTTTTTGGCACAAGTGCCAAAGGGAAAGGTCAAAACCGTGTTACAGAATAAAGCAAGAAATTAAAAGGAAAACATCGAAGAGTGCACAAGTCATAAGGAAAACAAACCCCAACTATCCCAAACCATGATCTAACGTGGAAAGAAATAATGTCTGATACGCTCCACCATGAAATACAATTATCACACTCCGAGACCACACCATCAAGAGACATTTCATTCATACCGAAGTCAACTATCCCAAACCATGATCTAACGTGGAAAGAAATAATGTCTGATACGCTCCACCATGAAATACAATTATCACATTCCGAGACCACACCATCAAGAGACATTTCATTCATACCGAAGTCAACTATCCCAAACCATGATCTAACGTGGAAAGAAATAATGTCTGATACGCTCCACCATGAAACACAATTATCACACTCCGAGACCACACCATCAAGAGACATTTCATTCATACCGAAGTCAACTATCCCAAACCATGATCTAACGTGGAAAGAAATAATGTCTGATACGCTCCACCATGAAACACAATTATCACACTCCGAAACCACACCATCAAGAGACATTTCATTCATACCGAAGTCAACTATCCCAAACCATGATCTAACGTGGAAAGAAATAATGTCTGATACGCTCCACCATGAAACACAATTATCACACTCCGAGACCACACCATCAAGAGACATTTCATTCATACCGAAGTCAACAGATTTCATTTACTTACATCCCTGAGAAATTTATTGAAACCATATCATCAAATTTAGAAATTTTATGGTGACAGTATTACAACATATCTCAAAATCGGTAGGATTAACCAAAATACGGATGCTATCTTGTCTACATGATGAAAAACAGATTAAAAGAATTATTGCACTCTTAACAAATACAAATTTTATTTATATTTTGAGATTTGACCTACAACATTTTTTATATCTTCCAAATAACTTGGTCACGTTCCCCAACTGACAATGTATATATCTTAGATTAAAACCCTAAAGTTGCTGAGAATCTTTAGCAAGAAAGAAGAAAAACAAGAAAACAGATACCCATAGGACAGTTATTGTGTTTGTTAATGTTTAATAATTGGAAAATCAATATATGTAAATGTAAAATGAGCATACCAGTATAATTTACCACAAAGACAATAAGCTTCATGTAGTCTAGGGAATAAGATTGTCCGCGTTCCTTATAGGCGGAGATGAAAAAGCGCAACAAGACTGTTACTGGGAAGATGCAAGTGAAATTGAATTACGACAAACTCAGTTCTCGACTTGTTGTTCATGTCCTGCAAGCCGAGGGGTTACTGCTGCGTAAGACGGATAAGGACACGATACCTCCTAACCCATATGTTAAAATATATTTGCTTCCAAATCGAATGTAAGTTACATACACGACAGGTATAAATTTAATATAAGGATACAGTTTCTGCCAAACAAGAAGCGCATGTATTAGCTAGGCTAAAACAAATATATCAGCGTTTATAGATCCTTATAGATTAAGCTTATTACCATATTAACAGAACTAATAAGGAATATAAGTTGTGATAAGACCATTGTATGAATCATAGGAAAAGGGGTAGAACTATGTAAATTAATGTATACATGGCAGTTGTGGTCAAACTTAAGGAATATAAAGCTAGCATATTTCTATCAAATTTCGGACTGCCTTTATTTCAGTAAATGTTATTCTCTCATTTGGTTATTGTCTTTCATATCATTGTCTCAAAATACACCCTGTGTAAATATATATTCCCAAATGGGTTAACATTCTCCTTTACGCTGGAAATATTACAAAATTGCTATAATTGTAGGGAAAATCAAAACTTCCGGACGAACACTATATATGGGTCGGATACTCCAACATGGGACAGTTCCTATGTATTCACCAAGATGTCGGAGTCGCAGGTAGAAATCGTTTCTTAAGTCTACTTAGATTTTCATTATTGTGTGATTCCTTTTAAATATAAGGAAGCGAACACTAGGAAATTCTGCACCAGATCCCATCATAATGGGCCTGGAAAATAACTTCTGATAGGTGAATGCATTAAGATAATTGAATTCTTTACAAGTTGTCAATATGACCTCCCTCTCCCGACAGAATGTATTTCCATCTAATTCCTCCATAATACGCATAAAGAGAACAATAAATATCAATTTTCCTGATTAATCCTATACTTAAAATGTTTTTAATATACAGAAATCAGTTCTATGAATATCATGCATGGTGGTGCTAATGCTAGTCCTCACTGTAGATCACCTGCGGTGTTAATTTCACAGACTACATGCAATATTCTGCATATTTGAATACTAGATATATAGTAGTTTATGTCATTATATGTCAAACCATCGCCTAGATATATAGAATTTAACATACGTATAGCTAAGTATGGAACAGAATGTCTTCACAAAAGCTATAATTATGAAAATTTAAAAGTTCTCATTTTGAACATGAAGCATGAGGTAAATCACTCAATGAATGCCTCGTGGGAATTGTATATATTACTTTCATGGCCTCCAAATCCATTCCAGAGCCCTATTGGGTAAAATAAAAACAACTGATTGTTAAAACGTTAATTAAAATAACTCCCCCTAAAATGAATATCCCAGCAGATTGGAAAATACTCCTTTTTATTCTTGTTGGCTGAAGAGGGGGAAACCCCTCAGAATTCTGCACAGAGAAATGCTTATCAATGAATAATTTCCTTCTCTTAGTTGGCTGAAAAGAGTTTGGAGCTTACTGTTTGGGACTACCACTCGAACAAACTGGATACGTTTCTTGGGGAAGTTCTTTTAGACCTACATATGGCAAGCCTTAATAATCAGAACATATGGTATATGTTAGAAGACCACGATGAAAACAGTGCTGCGTTACCCACTCCAAGTCCTAAAAATTCACTGATTGATACCATTCGTGGACAAGATGTGATGTATTTGGAGAAGAAGGCTGGTGGGAGTCCGCAGGGCAGTGATGACCTAAGTGGGAGTATGCCTCTGCTGCCAGCCATGCCCGCCCATGAGAAGGCAAGAGAATGGTTGGGCAGAAAGCAGAGTGGTGGTGGTTAGTTGCATTATCTCTTTGACCCATTCACATGATAAACATAGTGCGTGTTTGCAATTATATGGTCATTCATCAAACAACTCAAATCGATCATTTTGCGCCATCTTTCCGTAGAGCAAAATCACGAACGCGCTAAAATCACGTATTATATGATATTATAGAGCAAGGGCGTAAGAATTCTGACCAAGGGGATAGTACAGGAGGTTTACTCGCCAGCAGTAGTTTGTCAGGCTCCGATGGTGCTATTAAAAAACTAAGTACCAGTCTATCAGACCACATCGGAATCAAACGAAAGGTTTCAAGTGCAGTGACTTCGGCAGTAGGAAGGATGTCAAGAAAACAACGCAGTTCTTCAGAAAGTAGGGAGCGATCTAAAAGCTATGGTAATTGAACTAAAATGATTTCCAATATAGTATATATATAATACGAGCACAAATTATTGACGGTAATCGACGAAAAGGACTTGAATCGAAATCGGAATCTCACTAGTCTTAAAGAAATGACCATTTAGACCAAAAGGTTATATTATAAATACAAAAATACTTGATACTTGTGCCACGCCCACTTTCTTCAATTTTCGGGATTTGGGCAATCCAAGGAATATTAAGAATATAAAATTGTATCCAATAATTTCCATCATTATATTACAATGTCCCATATAATTTGGAAATGTTTTTGGAATGCTACTTTGAGTAGTGTTACTTGTCATTATTTCTTTGAAGCAGCAAGAATAAAATAAGTGAAGAGTAAAAAATGAACGAAAATAAGCTTATTTTTCCTATGAATTTTCTTCTAAACCAACCGATGTATCTCACTATAACTTTACTTACGATCTGCGAGTCTCATTGATGTTATTGTATGATTTTATAGTATCCCCCAAAAAAATTCTAGGGGGAGTAAAAGGCTCAAAATGCTTAGTCCACAAACGAATATGACCCAGACATATGTAAATTGATGCTGAATAAAGTTATTTTTCAGAAAAATTATGTCTAGCAAGTGGCCCTCTGACTTCCCAAAACGCTTGCTGGAGACTCTCCTAATTGTGTATGTGTTTTAGACCATAGCGGAGATAATGACGAGAGGAGGGATTCGGGAGGTAGGAACAGACATACATCTGCAGAACCATCAGCATATGACGGTACTGATTTACGTCACTCAAGGGGATCAGATAGACTATCAAGTAAGAACGTTTTCACTGATTGGTGAATAATTTAACTTCTATTTTGTATAATGCGTTTGAATAATTATCAAGCAAATGAAGTTTGTGGAGCCTAGCGATAAAAAGTCAAGCCGTTCGTGCATTGGTCCGGGTGAAAGTACTTGAATACTTGAATACAAGTTCTCCAAATTGGCTCAAACTTGGAATAATTAAAGAGGGAAGAGGGAATTTCCAATATGGCCTCTAACTCAAAGGAGGAGTAAAGTTTCATTGATTCATACACAGTGTCATGTCACCACCAAAAGTGATAACATATTGCTATAGTCTCAAACTTATTGTGGATGGTGTTCGGGGTTTGGCGTCTGTAACATGGCGTCTAGTCTATTACAAATTACGGGGTCTATAACAAATGACAGGTGGTGACAATTTACATGTTAATTTAAGCTAACAAATTGCGGCGTTTGTAACAAATGAAGGGGTGGTTATATTTAACATGTTAATGCCTTGTATATGTATATGATCAGTTAATGATATTAACTTATATATGATATATATATAGTACTATATTATTTAATTTCCTACACGTATTAATTTAATACGTATAGGAAATTAAACATATCGATGCTTTGTCTTAGAATAGTTACTCAGATAAAAACGGAATCCCAGCCATGCCTAAGTTGGTATTTTCGTTACTTCTCTTGGTCTTCAATTATTATAAGTAAAAAAGACACCGTCTTAGGCGATGCTAGGATTCCGTTTCTGGTAAACTTAAATGAAAAAATGATTTCAGGAAAATGTTTTTAGGATTTGCCAATATATTTTGAGTTAGAGATTTTTTGAGATTATTTGGAGATTGTTTTCGAGTTACAATTTAATGCTTTTGTGAACTGGAGAGTATCCTTTTTATAAGTCCTACCAATCACAGTAATTCTATTTGTATAACTGAGCTGCTCAATCAGTATGATGTTATGTAAACGAACGGTTTCAGATGATTTTGAATTGCTGATACCACCACACGACCGCAGTAGAAACAGTAGTTACACGAACTCGTTCACGTCGTCTATGCTTACCGAAGACGAGGACATAGACTCAGCTTTTGGGTAAGCTATATGGCTTCACATCATCGCCAAAACAAAGGTGTATTCGCCAAATGCCTAGCCGGCGAGTAAAATAACTAGGTGACGTACCGTTGAGCAAATGGTATGTAATTCTATAATTACTCAGATGCGAGTTGGTAGTTACCAGTTTCGCCACCAGGTGGCTGATTCGGGGGAAATAACCGGGGAAATAACATGGCAAGGTATTACAAAATTCCCTTAAACTTGAATATTCATCAGTTTTAGTGGTTCATATTACCCTAATGTATCTGATAGTTATACAAATCAAAATATGTCCAGTAAAAGAAAATATTATCTGCCCAACACAAGAAAAGATATTTCCATTCTTGTGATTTTACAACATGGGGGCTATGGGGAATCTCCCCGACCTAGAAGTCGCATTTTCAAAGAAAATTAAATTTTTAAAGTTGATAAATCATATTTTTACATGTAGATTCCAAATATGACATCAGCTTGACTTAATTTTGAATTTTTAATGATGTAAATCAAGATTATTTCTACTCGCATCTAGGCTATTGAGCTTCTCCTCGGTTGATAAATGTCTGGATAGATATTTCTGCGGAGGCAGGTTACTCATGAATTCCCGGCTATGTCTCTGTACCCTTTAAAATATACTCTCGATGCTTAAAGTATTGGTGATTTGAGTGGGTCGCTTAGCGTGCAGTGGCATGTGCGGAGTATAGTATGATTCCTATGTAGACAACATTTGAAAACGTAAACTATTACCCACGTTTCAATTTGTGTTTTAGAGCACACAGGGATCCCGAGAGACACCCGCCAGAGGGCATTGATAGTCACTTTATGGCTGGACGAGGCCAGGTCATCCCCAAGGTGCCTATAGGTACGTAATAAATATTCATTTACAATCTGATTTACCAATTACCCTTCTTAGCTAGCGATGTGAAGGCCTTGGTATACCATGATGTACCATCTTGGTTCCATTGTGATCATACACTCCCCTCCAAAAGGTTGCCAACCAAAGGTCGTCTTTCGAAACACGCTTTATTCTGCATGTTATCGTAAATATTAATGATTTTAACAATTTATTAGTCATATTTCCGAAGTAAATACATTCAAACATAATCAAGCTTTGATACGTTATCAAGCGGGGATTTCCGTTTCGCAAACTTGTGGACCGAGGAGGGGGTGCTAGTAATTCCATGGTTTGGGATATGGAGGCAAATGAACCAAGGCAAAATGACACACTTAATACAGATGGGACACAATGGAGACAAGTGATCAATACGAGTTCAATGAAATCATACCTAGCTTTAAAAACGAATGCAATTTGTATCGATTAGCAACACTGTGCCTTGGTTGCTCAACTTGTGTCGTGCTGAAACGATGAAAGATGATAGAAATTAATCATGGATTAAAATACTGTTATCATAATCAAGCACAGTGTAACCAGATGTATACCCTGAAGTGTTGTAATTTGTTGCTTTATAGCAGTAACATGTAACATTCAACTTCCGGAATGACTCGTAAATATTGTCGAAGGATTTATCTATTGTACAAAATGTACAAACAGAGATTTTCCATATCTCTGGCTTGTATATATTCTTGCATGTATGATTATTAAAGTTAGAATCAGATTTATAGAGGGTAATAAAATTGCAAGCAAGTGAATACATCTCCCAAAAGATCTACGATATGTTAAAAGTAAATTCGAAGTTATAAGGATTTAAAGTAGCAAAATGGGAGAAAGTGTTTCAATCCTCGCAAATAATGAAAATGGTAGTAAAAATACAAGAATCGTTAGGTTTCCTGGAATAAAGTATGCACTTTGGAGATTTTTAGAAAATAGACATGACAAGGAATAATATGAGCAAAAAACTCAAAAACATTGAAACATTTTCTTTGTTTTCTTGCTCGCTAGATACGATTCTTCCTTTGATATTAGATTATAATAGTGATTCTGTAAAACAAAACAAAACAAAACAAAACGGGCTATTTTACTGTAACCATATGAATATTATATTGTCACCTTAATAACAAAGTACTAATTGCTTCTTAATCATACTATCAATTCTCTCATCGCTGAAGGTATTTTATATATGCTTGTGTGTCCTTTTAAGAAAGCTTGAGCTTTGAAGCTTTGAAGTGTTTCGCGTCATATTTGAATTTAGAGCAACTGAAACTTTGTGAATCAAGACGCGTCATTTTGAGATATCATCCCGGTGTAAAAGGGTAGGAGGTCCTATCAAATTATGGTCCTACTCTCCATTGATTTATATGGTGACCTAAATACAACTCTTTCCATCATTATCTTATACGCAATCAGGGCCAGTAAGGGCCGTTAAGAAAGGGGACCATAATCCCTGGGGGACCATCATTTCTTTCACACCGGGCGTCCTCTCTAGGGGAAGTAACATATCAAAAATTTGTACAAATGTGATAAAGCAAAGGTCCATATATGGATGAAGCCAACGAGAGAACAGCATATAGTGTCCCTTTTATGACACTTATGGGATTCAAAGTCAAACCCGGAGACTCAGTGTCCTTATGATGCATTACCGACTGAACTGCCTTAACTCAAGTTAAGGTAGCTGCCCTCGTTCGTTACATTACACCCATCGGCAAAGTCCCTCAATACCAGCAGTGTGACGACTGAGCTTTGCTGTGGTAGCGCACTTGACTCGACTGATTTAGTTCTTTCACTTAAATACACAACATGTGATAAATAAACGTTATTAGTGAATCTCTATCTTAGAAATTAAAGAAAGAGTTTAAAGAAATGCAGCTGTACACAGGCTCCCAACAGATTTCTAGAAGAATCAATCATCTGTGCTGTATAAAGCACCGTTGTTATGCCAACAATGAAGTAAGTGAATATAAATGGGGCATTTTTAAATCATCAATTTTCTGATCATTCGTTGACATTTTCAGAGCCTGAAATCTGCAAAGGAGAGCTTAAGCTGGGTTTCATCATAACCAAAGGAAAGCTAGAAGTCGATGTTATTTGTGCTAAAGGAATCGTGCCATATCAACCGGGACACCTGCCTGGTAGGAAAATAAGTTATTTATGCATTATAGTGAAGTATATAGCTGAATTAAAATATTCTACTCCATACAATGACTAAATTACCCATTATCATTATGATAATCCACGACATCGTTTATCCTCATAAGCTATGAAACAGAGAGATGTGATTAGAATCATAAGATAACCATTCAGATCACAGTGCTGATAAGATATTTGAAATGATCAAATTTCCATGTTGATCATTAGGCTTATTAAACTAATAAATACAATCAATTTTATGTGTATACCTGTGTTTCACGAAGCCGAGGATTTCTTGATGATTCGGTGAATTTTGTTTTAGTTTTTCGTGAGATTTGAAGGATTTTTAAGAAATATTTAAGATGAATGTTCCTCACTTAGCAAATTCATTCCAGCACTGTGTTTCCATCTATTGATAAGAATCCAACATCATTGCTTCAAAATAGTGATATGATATCGCCGGCAATCAAATCAGCTATTACATGTAGATATACTCATCCTTTATTCCTGACACGGATTGAAAAATACCATTGCATACCATGTTATAAACATCTGCGTAGTATCCATATCCATATTGTTCCAGATACGTATGTAAAGATATACCTGATGCAGGGCAATAAACGTATTAAGAAAAGGAAAACAAAAGTTGTAAAAACAGACAACTATCACATTTACAACGAAAAGCTCCACCTCTCGGCGTGTAACGTACACGGTAGACATATCCAGGTAAGGGTTTTCCAGGCATTAACTTCATGACATGGTTGAAGTTCTTTTGATCACAAGAATGAATAAAGGGTAACATCAAAACACAAGATTTAACAAACACAAGACGTATTCATAAAAAAAACACACACGTGTAAAACTTAATGTAACTTAAGTGTACATGAGTTAACTCATGCACTACATGTAGTACTTATTAACATTCTATTTTAAGTATACTATGTACATTATCTTTACAAATTGACACATTTATTTTGCGACTTATATCACCTTTAATTATATGTACTTAATTAATGGCAATAAAATCTGTCAATAAAATATAGATTCACTGCACTATTGCAATAACCGTTTTTCAGGCTTCTGTATGGGCAAAGGGTGGATGTCTCGATAAGAAGCAATGCAAGGGAGAAGTAGTGGTGAAGTTAGACAGTATTGACTTGGGAACTCTAACCGTCTCTTGGTACAGAATATTTCCGAAAGGACTCGTTGAGGTTGGATCGACAGAATCAATCAACATGTTCAGATGATATTATACTGATATGATATTCATAATATCATTTTTTTATATGAGGACCTGAATGATATTTTAAATGAAATTTATATGGGCATTTAGTCATCGTCTTGTGAGTATTGCAGTGGATTATCTACGCGTCATCGGTATTGTAATCTGTATTTGGCTTTAAATTGGCATTTTGTGTTCTATTGACACGGTTTTATATTGTTATACTGTAAGTTATATATTTATGTATTTTTGTACGTATATGATACTTATATTGTTAAAGCAACATTCGCTTACTATATCTCACTCTTCCATGACATTCCAAATGAGACATATCTATGTTTATATACAATCATGTACAATTAACTGTTGTTGGAATAAAATAGATGTCAGCTTGTACTTGAACAGTAACTTTCTCAATAAGATGTTCTTGAAATATATCTTGAACTGTTTTAACAAAAAATTATGTGTTTTAAAAGATGATTTTTGAAAGATGAGTTTCTTAGTTTACAAGTATATAATGTAATTTGGATGGATTTAATGAAGTATACCAGGAAATGACATTTTTAATGCAATTATCTTTATTGTACTTCAAAACTTAATTAGAAATAACATCAACTCCGCGGAGTAGCAAATACTACCGAATCATTATTCCACCCATTCATCATTAGTGGCCATCTTGAAAATTCCTTCTTGAGCAGAGCTTGTTCGTCCCTAGACATCAACATATAAAATGTAAACCACATCCTTTAAAGTTATCAAAGATTACATTTTTCATGAAAAATAGCAGCCATTTTGAAATTCAGCAGCCAATTTGAAAATCTTTCTCGAACAGAGCTACTGTGTCCCTAGGCATGAGCATATAAAATTTCAACGAAATCCATTTACTGCTATTTGAGTTATCATATTTTATGAAAAATGGCGGCCATTTTAAAATTCAGCTGCAATCTTGAAAATTCTTTGTCAAACAGAGGTACTGTTTCTCTAGGCATCATCATATAAAATTTGATCCAAATCCGTTCACTGATACTTGAGCCATTCTAAAGATCTCTTCTTGAGTGCAGCTCCTTTGTCCCTAGGCACCAGCATATAAAATTTGAACCAAATCCGTCAACAAGTATTTGAGTTAACTAGTTATCAAAGATTATATTTTTACGAAAAATGGCGGCCATTTTTAATTAAGTGGCCATATTGTAAATTCCTTCTCGAGCAGAGGTTCTACCCCCATAAGGCATAAGCCTATAAAATTTGAATCAAATCCGTCAACCGGTATTTGAGTTATCGTCCGGACAAACGGAAGGACGGACGGCTTTCCTATATCTCCCTCGAACTTCGTTCGGTGGGATAATTACAACATGAATTATGTAAAAGGGGTCACACAAAAACCATACGAAAAATGAAAAACGTAATTTTTCGAAGAGCAATAGTAAAAAACGAAGACGACGACCAATGAGTTTTATTTTATTGAGATTAACTTAAATCGTTAAACTGTCCAGTGTGCAAGAGATCCTGTCGTTCAGTTTTGGAGATAATACATCCCCTTAATCTCTCCTTCTCCTATCTATAGATGATTGGAATGTTTTCTAGCTTTAAGTAAAAAAACATAGTCGGTGACACCTTTGATTTTTTGACTTCAGGGGAGAGGCGAATTTTAAGTCTGAAAAATATCAATTTTTAAAAAATTTCAGGCCCATTTTCTTGATAGTTTGACCTTTTCAAGAATAAGGCCCAGTAACGCCCAAAAAGGCCCTCTAATTGGGGCCCTGGCCAAAATTCGCCAGCGATAACCAAGCCATGAAGATTTCAATATAAAATTATAAACACTTTATTTGAAAGGAGTGGTATCGATATGGAGAACTTTTTGAACACACGTTTCTCTTAAACCAGTCATAGAAAATCTAAAAATTTAACACATCGTCAATTTAATGGTCATCCTTTGAATGGTAACGATATAATTTGAAATATATATATATATACTTTCATCTATATTGTTTTAGAAAACACATCAAACACTTGTTTTGTTCTTGGTTCCATCTTTCCAGAGTGAAATGAAAAACCTATTCGAACCTCATTGGTACAAAACGACAAAAACAGTTATATAAAATATTTATAAATACTTTTCGCATTCAATCAGTCAACATTACATAAAATACCGTGTTTTTACAGAATGCTTTCAATGAAGAGAAAAACATTGTTGAATTCAGTTCTCCATATCGACACCACTCCTTTATTTATTTACTGATTCGCTTTTCAAACATGGGCTTTCAAATTATTTAGGCTAAATAGAGATATTATATATGGCAGCTATCGTCAGAACCTTTATTCATTATTTATAATGATTTCAAAATTATCTTATTATAAGTCCACATACATAAGAGGTTAACTACCGTACACCCTTGGTATTAAGGCTCATATCTTTAAGGGCCCTATACGCGGTTCCTTATATTGCTCAGATGCCCTAGATAGCTGACCAGCTCGTATAAATCAAATGCTATTGACTCTATTCTTCTAAAATGTTATCATATTTCGTGGCGTCTGTAACCTCAACTTAGAATCACTATCTCAATAGTCCACTCGTATCATTTATGAAATATTGCAATTAAATATCATAATTTTGTGAGCTCTTCGATTCTAAATAAGTTTAATTGTGATTTCATAGCTTTGTATGACGACATTGCGTCTGCAACTAGATACGTCCATTTAGCCCATACCAACCTTGCCCATATGATATAAATACAAGCATGGGTCTCTCCCAAGTATATCGGGGAGGGTTTCATGATACAAAAACCATCTCCCATCATAGAAGAAACACTCACAACCAGGCTACCGGAGTTTCTATTCTTAAAGTCTTAGTTTGAACTTCTTCAATGGCAATCATAATTCGAAAACAGATTATTTTTTAAATCATCGAATATAAACAGGCCTAGGGTGTGGTTCAGTAGTAAGGGTATGTGAGACTTTTGGAGAGGAGTGCATATTTATTGATTTTTTCTTTTTCTCCACCATCGTCAGATCGTTCACTGTTCCACAACTAGTTATTTTGACGGAACGTCAATGTAACAAAATGGATGAACTTCCTGGATACGAGTTTTTTGTTTTCTCGATTTAAACAACGGCCGGAAGTCATGTTGCTATTGTCATTTGGCACAAAGTAAGACAATATCAATAGCTTTTAGAAATGCTCTCGGTTTGGAATTTGATTTTTAAATAAAGGTGTAATGCATGCATTTAGACTATCGATTTTGTTACGTTGACGTAAGTCGTCAAAGTAACTTACATTGGGAATAAAACGGACTTTCGTCAATGTTACAAAAGCGAGGGGCTAAATATATGAATTGCAACTTCGTTTACAAAACAAATACCAAATCGAAGGAACTTATTAAAACTAAACTATATTTTCTAGCTTCGTGCCAAATTATAATCTGCAAATTGACTTATAAGTAGGTACGTTGTGTACAAAGTAACTAGTTGTGGAACAGTGATCGTTAGAGGCTCAGAAATATGAACAAAAATCATTTTCACACATATGACCGATTCCAGTCAATCCTAACATGATATTTCAAATAACTGCATGTTATTAAATAACCACCAATTCACCCAAGGTCACTCATTCTAACTTCTAATGAAACCGATATGCTGAGAAGTTCATATTTGAGTAAAATTCTATAAATAGTAGCATCGGGAATAACAAGCTACATGCGTATGCAGGTCAAATGTTAAATGTAGTCTTGTTGTCATGGCGACAATCCATGATATCTCTTAAGTGATATTGAATAAAATATTTTGAAATGAATGAAAAGAATTCCAAATACTCAATGCATTGTTGAATGACCGTTCCTTTCAGGCGTTGTTTAACATGCGCATCTCTTCATTCAAGGAATGGTCATTCCACATTGCACTTAGTCCAGGGCTTAAATCCTTAAACATAATATTCTAATGATAAACCAATTAAGGTAATGCATTGATCAGTTTATGACATGATAAAAGTTATCTTGATCAATTCAAAGCTGAAGTCATATACAGCTAGAAAAGCAAATACATTTCGAGGGGCACTATTTCATGATATGCATACGCGCCGGATGTGACGTCAGCAGCAGGATGGGCTATTCCTGTGTTACAATAACATGGGACTCAAAATAGGCCATGTACCATTTATTTTGATCTCGATTGGGACTGATACAACTTTACAAATTTCGTACCTTGATTGGTCAAGTAAGTTAAGTTACAGATCCAATTGCAATCATAATGAAATTTATTTAGACCCATTCTACCAAGTTAGTTCTCTATGAGTACTAGTATCAACAGGTATTTTTATGTCCGATGTCATATTATTGGAAATATCTACATATTATTTCCCATTTGTTAAATATGTATTGCAATGGTTCAGCTAGAACAAAATGTCCTACGGTATTGTGTTTTTGACTTGATTGTAATAATGATTCCGGAATGGGGGGGGGGGGGGGGAGTTTGGACTTAGCCGTTTCTTTGTAAGTAATACCATGTGTACTTTGAGATATCGGGGTTCTTTTTTCCCGAACAATTTTGGTGTTTCTTGATTATTTCACGGTTCAACTAAGTCTCAAGTCTCAGCTACCTGCTTCCCAGGAAATATTATTGGTATTCTAACTGAACAGTTTTGATATTTATAAGGCAAATAACTTATTGACTTACCCGTAATCAATACTTATAGATACAGCCATTTGTATCTATATATTACCAGTCTATACTCAGGGGACCTTTCCAAGAATTCATCCAAATCATTTTCAGAATAATTAATGGTGGCAAACTAAACAATATAGGTAGAATTTTTTAAAACAATTAAAATCCGTAGAGTTCTGTAACAACAGGCATACAGGTATCTGGTTGTCTCTATTAACACGGAATTCTGGGATTACATATGCACAGTGGCTATGGTGTATACGTTTCATCCAAGAATATGACACAAAGATTGTTGACAGTGTCGCGACAGGCATACACTTCTAAAATTGTTTTATATTAAAAAATTCATAGTTGAAACAAAATATATTTACCAATTGCCAAAATTATCAACAATGTTTCGTTTTAATTCAATACCTATAAAACGTTTCTGGAATGTAATGAAAGCAATGATGACTTATAGAGTTATATTTGCTTTTTATGGAGTTGGTCAACTTACAAATGCGAGTTTAATAGCTATTCTGTCCTCCGTAAGAGCCATCTTGAGTTGGACAAATGTCTTTTTAGGAGCCTTTACGGTTCTTACTATCATACGAAGGTCAATAAGGAAAGACGAGACTCTCTACCATAATAGAATATCTTGTTTTGATAGTATTTTACAACAGTTTTATTACTACGTTATGATAAACTTGATAGATTTTCAAACTTGTTGTAAATCACGGTTTCCGAGCAATGTGGAGTTTTGTACCATTCCCAATGTTTACTTTGAGATCAATAGATGAAAGGAATAATCGGCGGGCCACACGACTCACGTTCCTCACTCCATAAACAGATCAACACGGGCATTTGCCCAAATGTGGCAATCGGCGTTTGGTGTACTGTTGAACTTTTCCAATTTATCTTAGGCCGGGTTATCAAACTAAATATGTTAATATAGCCCACTCATGAAAAATGTGTCATGGAGCGATATTTGACGTGTTCGGGTTAAAACAGTGAAAAATCAAACAAATTGCTACGTATACGAGTCTTAAAACCAATTTTTGAAATAGAACTGGATAAGAAGACATATTTACTAAGGTGGAAAAAGTTCCCCAAAGTCGACATTTTTCTTCACTATACTACACACAATTGCAGAATTGGTACAACACTCTCCATGTGTGGGTTTGTGAGATACCATCTTCAACAAGCTCCTGAAGAGAGAGCTCAAGTACTGTGTATTTTACCACTCCACATCAAAGTTTCAGTGTCGCTATTAGCTGGAAAAAAGTAGAGGATGACATGTGTTTCATATTCAACGGAACAGCTTTTTCAAGTGGAGATTGATAATTCATTCATTTCACTTTACAATTAGTATCATTGGCATAAAGTATTGTTTGCTAGTACGTCGAGTGTATACCTGGAGATATTTGCAGGTATCGGTATATCAATTGGTACCGCATCATCCGCTCTGTCCTTATCTTCTTATCTCTACTCACTTATGGAATTTTGGGTGCCTACATTTCATTATCAACCAGATATTTAGGTTTTCGATATAATTTATCCTATAATCAAATTTGAATAAACATTCGTTACCATGATGGCACCCAGGAAACGAGAGAAGAGACAAATATTTTATTTTTGAATGTTCATACTTGTAAAGAACGTTTGTAAAAATCCATATTTTTGGATTGTTTATTTCATTGTTATGTTATTCGTCATTTAGAATGAAATTCTCTAACATTTCCAACCAAACGTTTTTTATTTAAAATCTATTTTCCTCGTACATGTACCTTATCGATAAATATAATATATTTTATCGATTTTTGACCAAAATACACTGACACCAATGTGTTACTCCAAAATTCCCTGACATTTTAGACTTATATTGTCCTAATTTCAAAATGAAAAAATAAATACAATGTATCCAGGTCGGTAGGACCCTGCCGTGGGACCTTTGGCCACTAGCTTTTAGATCTGTGTTATATGGATGGGGTTCTACATGTTATTTTACATGTTCAATTAAATAGGATACTATAAACCTTACTCTATACTTAGATGTCCCGAAATAACATAGCTATATTTGGTAGATATTCTACTATCTAGTATCTTATTCGACTCCAGACTCATCTTATTCTTATTTATTAAGTTTAATCTGACATAAATGCTTATTTTATTAATTATGTATCATTTATTAAAACTTCTTTCAAATTTAATTATGTTCTTCAAAGTTCAATTCATTCTTAAATAAAGTCTTGAGTTAGTACCTAGCTACATACTAAGCAACAAACTGGCAATCCTTTATGTCATTAATAAATAACATGAAATTATGATTCAATAATAAAAGTTCATTGACTTTTGAAGGTCTACCTTTAAACAGATACAATCTTTTTCCAAGATAATTTTTCTCAGCCATTTACAAAATGAAAGATCGAAGAATGAATAGTCAAGTCTTGAATGTTTTCAATAAAAAATTGAATAAATGATAAATGATCTTGAATGTATTCTAAATCGGGAAAAATTATTTCATGACGTGACCTTGAAATTTTTGCTGTTGCGCTGTTTTAGAGGTGGTTTTCGTATGTTTTATAACTTCCACACGACGTATACGTTCAGCTCAAGTAATTTCTACAAATTCAAAAACAAATACAATACTGGTTTTCTTGGATATAAACCATGAAGAGTCGACTTCTCATGTCCTACGATGTACGCCGGCACGTACCCTTTGCATTCGTTTGACTTCACTTCTTAAAAGAGAGCTTCGTCTTCGTTTAACTAGACTCTGCGCGCAGGGTACCGGCACGATTTCTCAAATAAATTTGACTTTACTGGGCTCAATTTGGTTTTATATGATTTTCAAAAAACATGATCATTAATATTTTGTGCTAGTACTGTGCGAGGGAACAAAAGAATCGATCAATTCATATCCCTCGATATATATTCATAATGAATATTTGAGAAACATATTTACGTGTTTAATTTTTTACATCAAAGGAACAAAGTCACTTATCCATCGAGACAAAGACGCCGATTGTTTGAAAACAGAAATTTGAGCGGTGTTGTTTACTTACTTTGAAGCCAAGGAATCACTAATTATGATCAATAAACACTTAGTTTTGGACTTATTGGATTTTAATCAAAATAAATCACATTCTGGTATACTAATAGATAAAGACAATCACTTATCCTCGATTTGTATTATCGCATACATAAGATAATGTGGTTTAAATCCCAAAATGAGCGTAACGATCATGAATATACAGATCGCCTGCATGATCAGAAAACGGCAGTCGGTTATTTTTGAATTATGAATTTTTCTATGTATATAGGAACTACTGGACAATTTTCGTCAAAAGACGTATGAGCGTTTTATTGTTTTGCTATAAAACTATCATCGAGTGTAAATTACCATTTAGCCGTCAAGAAACATAAGTTTTATCAGGTAAGTTTAAGTGTCTGTCAACAAGACTGCGGCTAAGTACGGCAGGGCACGAGGGGAGGAGTTTTCCCACATTCTGAATTGCGAATTCGGTAAGATCGCATACGAATATATTGGTTCTACGTCAGAATTTTTGTAAGCACTTGAAATCTGACTGACAACCTAAATGCCGATAACAAGTGCGCCCGTGCTGTCTGCACCAATCATAGGACATTGTTGAAGTACTTATGTCTCTATATCATCACTTACCACTTGAAACAACGTGCCGGGATCGAGGATTGGCCTGGGCAAGGCACGACAAACACGTCTCATGTGAGCCACGGCGCATCTTAATTGACAACTTACTTATTGCGATATAAGTTTTGTTTGTTTTTCCCACAGACCTTATTGGTGATATACATTCGAAAGAATTCAGAATGATTTGATTGTAGATGTCGAACTTGACGTAGATAGATTACTTACTAAGTGGACATTTACTAACCTACGATACCGTTGGTAGAACAGATTGTTTTAAAAAAATAATTTGTAAAAAACTAATGAAATAGATGTGCAATCAAAAATGAATCAAGAGAAACAACCAAAACCATCAGAAGGAAGACGAGTAAGTAAAAATTTCACAAAATATTTCCAGCAAAGACAATGAAATTGATGTAGCGCTTAGTTAACGTTTTAAATATAACTTTTATATAACGTTTTTCCTTTTATTATAGGCGTCGAAGCCGATGATGGAGAAAAGGAGACGGGCGCGAATCAACCAGAGTCTGATTGAACTGAAAACACTGGTCCCAGAGGCAGTAAAAAAGGATGTAAGTACGAGACAACTTCCAAATCCTCTCTTAGGGAAGAAATCCGTACATCAATACGGGCGTAAGCTTATATCTTTTGAAATGATAATATATTCGGCTTTGCTTTTAAATAATTATGTCCACTGATAAATGGTCGATCAAGAGTATATTATTAGCTAGAACTTTTGTGACTTGCTGTAAACGGAAATGTATATGAATATATTTCTGTATTCCTAACCGTAAAATTTCTTTATATGTTTAAGATATGATTCTAAAAATAAGTTTTTATATTTGTCTATTTCTTTGTCTTATTTTAATATCCAAAACATTCATAACCTAAATCTTAACGATAACAGAAACAATCATTAACCACAACCCATGATAAACTACTGTATTGTATCGTTATCGCCCTACAATATATATGAACAAAGCCAATTGCAAGACTAGTTAAAAATTGATGATTATCAATGAGGAATTTGAACTATTTTTAATTTTTTTTATTGAATTTTAGACATCGCCACATTCCAAACTTGAGAAGGCAGACATCTTGGAAATGACAGTTCGACATCTACGTCAACTGCAAGCACGACCATACCCAGGTCAGTTGGTTCAACCATTTCTTCCATCTGTGTGATTATTGGGCTGTTTGGGCTCTAAGTTATACATTTTTTAAATCACCGTACATGGTGACTAGACCTTTTAAAAATTCAGTGTCGTATTTTGTTTAATTTTTGACAAAACGTCTAACTATTAGATATGAAAGATACCCACAAATGCCAAGCAAAATTATGATCAGCAATTATGGCATAATTAATAGCATAATTTATCATTATGTCTTATATTATTATCGTCCGTGAAGTATATAAGGATGATGAAATCATAGCGCAATAGATAACCTTTGTTGAGTTCGTCTTTTAAAATATCAAAATGAAACTATAATATCGAGTGAAATGTGTCATGTTAATGTTCTTGTAGATGTCGATGCTGGTGATATTTCTGCAGCACGTTACCGTGCAGGTTATAACCAATGTGCCAACGAAGTCGCAAGATTCATTACAACAGAAAACGTCGATGCAACACTGCGAATGCGTATTATGAATCACCTAGCAAATACTCTTCATGTTCCTAAAGACGCTGGATATATTCGCAATGACCTTACCATCAAAAACAATATCGAATGTTCCATGTCAGAGATGGACTGTTCAGTCCCATGTAGCGCAGTTAGATTAGACCAAGCACAATCGCGCCACCTGTCGAACATTGCTCCGAGTCGTGACGTGGCAGTGGTTGCGCCATCTATCCAAGTTCGTTCGGATAAACCATTTTCAAATGATATCGGCAACCCGACTACAGTTAATATCCCTCAACATAATATGAACAGTATCAATGTCAGCAACACGCGAGTTGTTAACGGTGGTCAACTGGCTCTTATTGTACAACCTGCAGGCCAAAGTGTGAATCTCCCCATTCCCGTGATACCAGTCTACGCCACTAATATAACCAACAATACCACGCCCACTACTAGTACATTTGCAAATACTCAGGTCCTAGTTCCAACGATTGTGTATGCTGCTAATAACCAAGTCCAACAACAAAATGCTTCTTCAATTGCTATTCCATTGGCAACGCCGCTGTCTGAACAGACTCGGCTTCTGCAGCAGGGGACGCATATTAAACAATCATCACCTCTTGGTCACACACATGCCCTGCTCGACAGGCGGGAAAAAGATAACATTGTGACAAATGAACCTATCCGAACGAGCCCTCAGTCACAAAATGAGACTTTGGACAACCTCAGCAGATTCAACGCTAATATTAACCAACAAAATAATGTTTGGCGGCCATTTGATGTTTAATACGTTAAAACTTATGAATCTGTGTTTGTCGTTTGCTCAATTATAACTTGATAACGTTCTCTTGTAATAATATGGTGGGGGTTATGAAACAATCGTATAATTACGAATGACGTCTCAACATGCATATTATACCTTGTTATTCAAGAGAAAGCTGAAATAAAAATATTTTCCATAATTTTTTGAATCGTTGACACTTGAATGGCTGAAAAACAATCATTCATTACGCAATATTGATTATGATATGGGAAGATTTGTTAAATCATCAGCTGTTCACATTCCGATCAAGTTCCATTAAGAATTCGAATCTCCAGTTGTAAGTATCAAGGAGCGCAAAGCCCAAGTCCACTACTTAAGTTGAAGGGCCTTTATCTTGTACAACCTACAAATGCTATTATATACCACATAGATGAAACCGTTTTCTAAAGGAGGAATGTAAGACATGTAATCACTGATATATATTGTTCTATGCACCTTAACCTCATTTATGATGCAGAAGGTCGTGAGAAATGTAAATAAACACTATTTCATATTAACAAATAGTACATGTAGTAGCGATACGTGAACAATCATTGCAATTCTAGTATTGACGATAGACTTCAGTTGAATCAATCATTTCATGACTTCGGGTGTACAGTAAAATTGGTTAATGTTTGGACAGTATGTCAATTAATTTTTTCTGTTGGTAAAATATTTTCTAAATCCAACAACAGTATTTAATTCCTGGTGTGATCTATTTATTTTATGTATAATTAATATAATAGTATATTTTCTTCAAATACTGTATACTGGAGGCGGCTCCTTTTAGTCTTCTACCTTATTTTAGATTTTCTAAGTGTTGGAACTTATGATTTATTTTTCGATTGTCTAACTCAGGGTGACACAAAAATTGATCACTCCTTTTTGGAATAGCTTTGTTTTAATGGTGGACCCTCTAAAAGTGCACGTAAGATATGGCAAGCATTTTTCAAAGGGCATTATCTTTAGTTTGAAAAATAATTTAACCACAAAAACAAATGGTTCTGTTAGATCCATGTCTTATCTTCAATAAATTACATTAGGATGATAATCAAGTTGATTGGATTATCTCTTAAGCTGTCCCTAATCCACCCATCCTCACCAATTTTCCCTAATACTTACGCAATTTTCACCAAAAATGCAGGCCTTTTTAATAATTTTTAGTGCAAAGTTGTATTGAACTTTTAGACATGATTTAAACTGTAAAGGGGAAAAGTTAATTATGAACCTACTTTTTGGTATTTTTTTCGTGATTTTTTCCTAATTTTTTCTGATATTATTAAGTGCTTCATACTAATATTATACAATAACAAAATAGAGGGCAGCTAAGTGTCACAATAATTTGTTTGCTACATTTGAAAATGCCTGCCATATCTTACCTAGCTTTTTTTCTAGTGTAAAAATACTTCAAAGGAACAACTAGTAATGTTTTATAGAAAATGCAATTTCTGTGGATGTATACCCTCCTATTAAGTTTGGTTCTTTGCCGTTATTTGCCAAATAAGCAGCAATTTCAGATTTTTTAAACATATAATAATTCACCTGAAGTAACATCTAATGAAGATATCTTTACCCCCAGTCCACTGAAAAATCCTTGCATTGGCGATGGTAGTCAATGCATCTAAAATCAAAATTGTATTCGGGACAATGAGTAGATCTGTAGGAGACCTAGGATGATTAAAATGCCCTAAAGACAAAATTGTGTCATTATAAATACAAATACACATGAACTCGCAAATACATGCAAAATACTAAAGCACATAGTGGATATTCAAGAGGAATGTGTTCTACAGTTTTGGATCTACCATTATTAACAAGGATGGGCGCAGGCTCCGTTATATGGTATTCTACGTTATAGTTGTATGTTATAGGATTTTGCAAAAGAGCAAAAAAGATTAAGATTTCAATAGGCAGAACTGGGTGTGGAGTTGATTTTAAGATTCAACCCGATTTCCCTCTCGCTATTTATTCCTTCTAATATACTTCTCTGGATTTATCCATTACATTTGTATGTGACGAATTCGTTATAAATTAGCCCTGATAAAGATGGCGCTTAATTTGTTCGGCAACAAGGCTACTTAGATAAGATGATTTGCAAAAGATGTCACTACTATTCAACAGGCTACCTATCATAATCACTTCCTATTCATGATTTTACTACCATGCATGATGGCTCGAGTACTGAAATGATTATCTCGATGTAAATGTTAAAAATTTGAAGTTCTTGTAGATACAGGGTCACTCATAAAAAATCTGTATTGTCGCAGTTATAAAGGAAATATCTATATGGGAAATCTGAATTCTATACTAGTGGACTTTATATTCTTGCCATCATTCAGTTGATCACCAAATCGTGGTTTCATTTATTCAGTTAGGTTAACGTCCGCATGACTCACAAAACAAATATTTTGTTATGTTGTTATATATATTTTTAATTAATAGAATACATATATAACTTAATATATAAAATTGCTTTGAGGTGACCATTGAAGGTCTACAACAACGTTTAACAAAGTGCTCGGTGAGTTAAATGAAACCATGAAAATATTTACAATTCTCATATAAAGCACCTTTTATTTAATTCCGTTTAGACTTTGAAATATATACATTCCTATAATACTTGATACTTACAAAAACTAGTTCCAAACGGTGTAGACCCGTCATATTGGATTAATTGAAATATGTACAGAATATGTGCGTAATATATACAGTGTAAGATAACTACGACCTGAAAAAACGCTAATCGATGTTAATGAACTGATACAACAACAGTAGATTCTCAAAAATACATGCTTCTGAAATATACTACTCGAGACAGGTATACTTGGACACATCTACCAGGGATACTATAAAGGCCCCATTCAGCCGTGAGTTAGCTCGCTGTATCATGGTTCAACAAGGGTCTCCTTCACAAGGGGCCTCGTTCACGAAGGGCCTACACTTGTAGCCCCTTGCATTATACATGATACCACAAGCAAACTCAAGACATAATGGGATCTTGATAGTATCCGGACATGAGTAGACGTGTACCTTTATATAATCATTAATGACACTACACTCATAGAATATAAAATTATTATACAATAACAAAATATATACATTTGTTGTATTCATCATTGTCCATTCATTCATACAAAATAATGCAAAAATGCAAAAATATTCTGTATGGAACGTTTGCATGGTTTTATATGTATATGTATAAAATTATAAAAACCATTGATCTAGAATGTTAGAATAATATACAATGCATGAAGGATGCCTAATAGAACTTACGTCAAAACGTACGTCAACTACAAATAAAATCTTCCATAAGTATCGAGAGAGCGTCGCTTAATAAATGGCAACCACTCAAAATAATTAAAGAATAATGTGAAACCCACAAGCTCCCTGGATAAATGCAGTTGTACATCACATGGGAACCACGATGGCATGTTCACGGTTATGCATTTGAAACAAAAATGGCAAGACGATATAAATCTTCAGTTCAATATACATACAGTGACACCTGTAAATCCAAACACCTCTCAAATTTGAACATCTCTCAATGTGAACGCTTTCTCGTCTTTAATCTCGGGTATTAAAGAAATCTTGTATCGTGCCCATCTCCTTATCCGCACATTTTTGGCCGGTCCCAGTCACGATCGAATTAAACAGGTTTTGCAGTAGTTTGTTAAGATGTTCACTGTTACTCATGATTGCAAAAAACGTTCTCTTATTCACCACTAGCAAAACATTAAAATTCAAATATGAGCTAAAAAGATAATTTGAAGAAACCATTTCACATAGAGGCGTTCCAAATACTACAAAGGTGATATATCGAGCTATGGATACACTATATCGTACACAATTAACAGTTGCACTTTTACCAGTTTTTCATACTAACACTGTAGTTATATATTACTGAATAATTGGGAATGTTTTTATGCGATATAAAGTGACATTATATTTTTTTTAAAATGTTCCCGCCACATCACACTTGCGCCATCCAGTCCTTAGAGCTGGTCGATTTGCTGTCAGCAGTGCCAGTTCTTGATCGTGTATCTCCGTTATTATTTCCATTTGATGCCATCGGATTCCCAGAACCCGGGTCTGATATATTTGGCATAAAATAATCCATTACAGTCTCACCCCTCATTGTGGGGTTATCATATGCCATCGATCGTCGTTTCTCGGCACTTTCTAAGTCTATTTCTGGGCGATATGTGCTATAATAGCGCTGTGATTTCCGTCGCTTACATACAACAATTAAAACTATAACGAAGAGTATGGTCAAAAGAATCATCCAACCCAGAAGTACCCAGAAAAACGCCTCGTTGAATATTCCATACTGGCCAGTCTGTGCCGCTGTTGATGCTACTGCCACCGTTGTGGTTGTGATGAAAACACATGATCTTCCAGGTAATGGTGAACCAGGGGCATCTTCGAATCCGACCTTACACACACAGGTAAAACTACCCTCGTTATTTTGACAAATGGCGTCTTTGGAACAATCATCAAGTCCTTCTGTGCATTCGTCCACGTCTGACACAACAAAGGCATTGCTATCAAAACTAGGATCGGCGTTTTCCTTCAGAGCAGTCGTCAGTGAGTTTGAGGTTAAAGATGATGGGGCACTCTCGAATTCAGATTGGAAATCCATGACAATACTCCCACTGGTAAATTGTATGGGTTTACAAGATCGATAATAAGGTGCGAACTCAGATTTAAGGAATGCATCGTTTATACCCGCACAAGCGGTTTCTGCAACTTCTCCATAGTAAAGGGAGTTGGGATCATTTAAAGAGGAATTGAACACAGCTGGATTTCCACCCAAAGTAAGCATTCTGGCAACTCCCTTGAACACACTTTTAGGTAGTGGGGTAGAGCTTGTAACTTCAGCAGGCAAGGTAGTAGAAGTAACTACAGCAGCTTGGGTAGTAGTAGCTTCAACAGTTGGGATAGAAGTATTAACTTCAACAGCTGGAGTAGTAGTAACTTCAACAGTTGAAATAGTAGAATTGGCTTCAACAGCTGGAGTAGTAGTATTAACTTCTGCAGCTTGGGTTGTAGTTACTTCAACAGCTGGGGTAGTAGTAATTTCAAGAGCTGGGGTAGTAGTAATGTCTTCAGCAGCTTGGGTTGTAGTAACTTCGACAGCTGGGGAAGTAGTATTGTCTTCAGCAGCTTGTATAGTAGTAACCTCAACAAAAGACGTCGTAGTATTGTTCTCAGTAGCTGGGGTAGTAGTTATTTCAACAGTTGAGGTAGTAGTATTGTCTTCAGCAGCTTGAATAGTAGTAACTTCAACAGCTGTAGTAGTAAAATTGTCTTCAGCGGCTTGGGTAGTAGTAACTTCAAAAACTGGGGTAGTAGTATTGTCTTCAACAGCTTGGTGGGTAGTAACTTCAACAGCTTGGGTTGAAGTAACTTCAACAGCTGCAGTAGTAAAATTGTCTTCAGCGGCTTGGGTAGTAGTAACTTCAACAACTGGGGTAGTAGTATTGTCTTCAACAGCTTGGGTAGTAATAACTTCAACAGCTTGGGTTGTAGTAACTTCAACAGCTGCAGTAGTAAAATTGTCTTCAGCGGCTTGGGTAGTAGTAACTTCAACAACTGTGGTAGTAGTATTGTCTTCAGCAGCTTGGATTGTAGTAACTTCAACAACTGGGGTAGTAGTATTGTCTTCAGCAGCTTGTGTAGTAGTAACCTCAACAAAAGACGTCGTAGTATTGTTCTCAGTAGCTGGGGTAGTAGTTATTTCAACAATTGGGGTAGTAGCATTGTCTTCAGCAGCTTGGGTAGTAGTAACTTCAACAGCTGTAGTAGTAAAATTGTCTTCAGCAGCTTGGGTAATAGTAACTTCAACAGCTTGGGTTGTAGTAACTTCAACAGCTACAGTAGTAAAATTGTCTTCAGCGGCTTGTGTAGTAGTAACTTCAACAACCGGGGTAGTAGTATTGTCTTCAACAGCTTTGGTAGTAGTAACTTCAACAGCTGTAGTAGTAAAATTGTCTTCAGCGGCTTGGGTAGTAGTAACTTCAACAGCTGCAGTAGTAGAATTGTCTTCAGCGGCTTGGGTAGTAGTGACCTCAACAGCTTGGGTTGTAGTTACTTCAAAAGCTGTAGTAGTAAAATTGTCTTCAGCAGCTTGGGTAGTAGTAACTTCAACAGCTGTAGTAGTAAAATTGTCTTCAGCAGCTTGGGTAGTAGTAACTTCAACAGCTGTAGTAGTAAAATTGTCTTCAGCAGCTTGGGTAGTAGTAACTTCAACAACTGAGGTAGTAGTATTGTCTTCAGTGGCTTGTGTAGTAGTAACTTCAACAGCTGTAGTAGTAAAATTGTCTTCAACGGCTTGGGTAGTAGAAACTTCAACAACTGGGGTAGTAGTATTGTCTTCATCAGCTTGGGTAGTAGTTACTTCAACAGCTTGGGTTGTAGTAACTTCAACAGCTACAGTAGAAAAATTGTCTTCAGCGGCTTGGGTAGTAGTAACCTCAACAACTGAGGTAGTAGTATTGTCTTCAGCAGCTAGGGTAGTAGTAACTTCAACAGCTGTAGTAGTAAGATTGTCTTCAGCGGCTTGGGTAGTAGAAACTTCAACAACTGGGGTAGTAGTATTGTCTTCATCAGCTTGGGTAGTAGTAACTTCAACAGCTTGGGTTGTAGTAACTTCAACAGCTGCAGTAGTAAAATTGTCTTCAGCGGCTTGGGTAGTAGTAACTTCAACAACTGGGGTAGTAGTATTGTCTTCAACAGCTTGGCTAGTAGTAACTTCAACAGCTTGGGTTGTAGTAACTGCAACAGCTGCAGTAGTAAAATTGTCTTCAGCGGCTTGGGTAGTAGTAACGTCAACGGCTGCAGTAGTAGTATTTTCTTCAGCATCTTGGGTATTGGTAACTTCAACAGCTTGGGTTGTAACTTCAACAGCTACAGTAGTAAAATTGTCTTCAGCGGCTTGGGTAGTAGTAACCTCAACAACTGAGGTAGTAGTATTGTCTTCAGCAGCTAGGGTAGTAGTAACTTCAACAGCTGTAGTAGTAAGATTGTCTTCAGCGGCTTGGGTAGTAGAAATTTCAACAACTGGGGTAGTAGTATTGTCTTCATCAGGTTGGGTAGTAGTAACTTCAACGGCTTGGGTTGTAGTAACTTCAACAGCTGCAGTAGTAAAATTGTCTTCAGCGGCTTGGGTAGTAGTAACTTCAACAACTGGGGTAGTAGTATTGTCTTCAACAGCTTGGCTAGTAGTAACTTCAACAGCTTGGGTTGTAGTAACTTCAACAGCTGCAGTAGTTAAATTGTCTTCAGCGGCTCGGGTAGTAGTAACGTCAACGGCTGCAGTAGTAGTATTGTCTTCAGCATCTTGGGTAGTAGTAACTTCAACAGCTTGGGTTGTAGTAACTTCAACAGGTGCAGTAGTAGAATTGTCTTCAGCGGCTTGGGTAGTTGTAACTTCAACAACTGGGGTAGTAGTATTGTCTTCAGCAGCTTGGGTACTAGTAGTAGTAACTCCAACAGCTGCAGTAGTAGTATTGTCTTCAGTGGTTTGGGTAGTAGTGACCTCAACAGCTTGGGTTGTAGTTACTTCTGGGGTAGTAGTATTGTCTTCAGCAGCTTGCGTAGTAGTAACTTCAACAGCTGCAGTAGTAGAATTATCTTCAGTGGCTTGTGTAGTAGTAACTTCAACAACTGGGGTAGTAGTATTGTCTTCAACAGCTTGGGTAGAAGTAACTCCAATAGCTGCAGTAGTAGTATTGTCCTCAGTGGCTCGGGTAGTAGTGGATTCAACAGCTATGGTTGTAGTTACTTCAACAGTTGCAGTAGTAGTATTGTCTTCAGCAGCTTGGGTTGTAGAAACTCCAACAGCTGGGGTGGTAGTATTTTCTTCAACAGCTTGGGTAGTTGTAACTTCAACAGCTGAAGTAGTTGTATTGACTTCATCAGCTTGGGTAGTAGTAACGTCAACAGCTGCAGTAGTAGTATTGTCTTCAGTGGTTTGGGTAGTAGTAACTTCAACAGCTGCAGTAGTAGTATTGTCTTCAACAGCTAGGGTAGTAGTAACTTCAACAGCCGAAGTAGTTGTATTGACTTCATCAGCTTGGGTAGTAGTAACGTCAACAGATTGGGTTGTAGTAACTTCAACAGCTGGGGTAGTAGCATTGTCTTCAGCAGCCTGGGTAGTAGTAACTTCAACAGCCGAAGTAGTTGTATTGACTTCATCAGCTTGGGTAGTAGTAACTTCAACAGCTTGGGTTGTAGTAACTTCAACAGCTGCAGAAGTAGTGTTGTCTTCAGCGGCTTGGGTAGTAGTAATTTCAACAACTGGGGTAGTAGTATTGTCTTCAGCAGCTTGGGTACTAGTAGTAGTAACTTCTACAGCTGCAGTAGTAGAATTGTCTTCAGCGGCTTGGGTAGTAGTAACTTCAACAACTTGTGTAGTAGTATTGTCCTCAACAGCTTGGCTAGTAGTAACTTCAACAGTTTGGGTTGTAGTAACTTCAACAGCTGCAGTAGTAAAACTGTCTTCAGCGGCTTGGGCAGTAGTAACGTCAACAGCTGCAGTAGTAGTATTGTCAGCAGCTTGGGTAGTAGTAACTTCAACAACTGGGGTGGTAGTATTGTCTTCAACAGCTTGGGTAGTAGTTACTTCAACAGCTTGGGTGGTAGTGGCTTCATCAGTTAGAGTAGTACTTTTGACGTCATCAATTTTGGTAGTAGTGACATCAACAGTTTCGGTAGTAGTAGCTCCAACAGCTGGAGAAGAAGTATTGACTTCAATAGCTGGAGTAGTAGTATTGTCTTCAGCAGCTAGGGTTGTAGTAACCTCAACAGCTTGGGTCGAAGTGAATTCATCTGCTTGGGTTGTAGTAACTTCAACAGCTGGGGAAGTAATACTGACTTCATTAGTTCTGGTAGTAGTGACTTCTACAGGTTGGGCAGTAGTTACTTCAACAGCTGATGTAGTAGTATCGACATCAACTGTTTGGATAGTAGTAGTAACTTCAACAGCTTGTGTTGTAGTATTGACTTCAACAGCAGGTGTAGAAGTAGTGACTTCATCAGCTTGGGTAGTAGTACTGACTTCAACAACAGGTGTAGAAGTAGTAACTTCAACAGCTTGTGTTGAAGTAACTTCAAAAGCTGGGGTAGTAGTATTGTCTTCAGCAGCTTGTGTAGTAGTAACCTCAACAAATGACGTAGTAGTATCGTTCTCTCTAGCTGGGGTTGTAGTTACTTCAACAGTTGGGGTAGTAGTATTGTCTTCAGCAGCTTGGGTGGTAGTAACTTCAACAGCTTGTGTTGTAGTAACTTCAACATCTGGGGTCGTAGTATTGACTTCAGAAGCTTTGGTAATAGTAACTTCAACATCTGAAGAAGTAGTTTTGATTTCAGCAGCTTGGGTTGAAGTTATTTCAAATGTTGCAGTCGTAGTATTGACATTAGGGACTTGAGTTGTAGCTTGGGAAGTAGTTAGATCGAAACCTTGGGTAGTTGTTATATCGACACCCTGGGTGGAAGTGCCCTCAACAGCTGGGGAAGTAGTATTGATATCAACACCTGGAGTAGTAGTAACAGCAGAAGTAGAAGTAGTTGTGGAAGTAGTGACGTCAACACCTGGGGTAGTAGTAGTGACTTCAACAGCTGGGGTGGTAGTATTGACTTCAACAGCAGGTGTAGAAGTAGTGACTTCAACAGTTGGGGTAGTAGTATTGATTTCAACAGCAGGTGTAGAAGTAGTGACTTCAACAGCTTGGGTAGTAGTATTGACCTCAACAGCAGGTGTAGAAGTGGTGACTTCAACAGCTTGGGTAGTAGTAGTATTGACTTCAACACCTGGGTTAGTAGTATTGGCTTCAACAGCAGGTGTAGAAGTAGTGATTTCAACAGCTTGCGTAGTAGTATTGACTTCAACAGCAGGTGTAGAAGTAGTGACTTCAACACCTGGGGTGGTAGTATTGACTTCAACAGCAGGTGTAGAAGTAGTGACTTCAACACCTGGGGTAGTAGTATTGACTTCAACAGCAGGTGTAGAAGTGGTGACTTCAACAGCTCGGGTAGTAGTATTGGCTTCAACAGCAGGTGTAGAAGTAGTGATTTCAACAGCTTGGGTAGTAGTAGTATTGACTTCAACAGCTTGGGTAGTAGTAGTGACTTCAACAGCTGGGATAGTAGTATTGACTTCAACAGCAGGTGTAGAAGTAGTGACTTCAACAGCTCGGGTAGTACTATTGGCTTCAACAGCAGGTGTAGAAGTAGTGATTTCAACAGCTTGCGTAGTAGTATTGACTTCAACAGCAGGTGTAGAAGTAGTGACTTCAACAGCTTGGGTAGTAGTAGTATTGACTTCAACAGCTTGGGTAGAAGTAGTGACTTCAACAGTTGGAGTAGTAGTAGTATTGACTTCAACAGCAGCTGTAGAAGTAGTGACTTCAACACCTGGGGTAGTAGTATTCACTTCAACAGCAGGTGTAGAAGTAGTGACTTCAACAGCTGGGGTAGTAGTATTGACTTCAACAGCAGGTGTAGAAGTAGTGACTTCAACACCTGGGGTAGTAGTATTGACTTCAGCAGCAGGTGTAGATGAAGTGATCTCAACACCTTGGGTTGTAGTATTGACTTTAACAGCAGGTGTAGAAGTAGTGACTTTAACAGTTTGGGTAGTAGTATTGACTTCAACAGCAGTTGTAGAAGTAGTGACTTCAACAGCTGGAGTAGTAGTATTGACGTCAACAGCAGGTGTAGAAGTAGTGACTTCAACTATTTGGGTAGTCGTATTGACTTCAACAGCAGGTGTAGAGGTAGTGACTTCAACAGCAGGTGTGGAAGTAGTGACTTCAACACGTGGAGTAGTAGTATTGACTTCAACAGCAGGTGTAGAGGTAGTGATTTCAACAGCTTTGGTAGTAGTATTGACTTCAACAGCAGGTGTAGAAGTAGTGACTTCAACAGCTGGGGTAGTAGTATTGACTTCAACAGCAGGTGTAGAAGTAGTGACTTCAACAGCTTGGGTAGTAGTAGTATTGACTTCAACAGCAGGTGTAGAAGTAGTGACTTCAACAGTTGGGATGGTAGTATTTGCTTCAACAGCAGGTGTAGAAGTAGTGACTTCAACACCTTGGGTAGTAGTATTGACTTCAACAGCAGGTGTAGAAGTAGTGACTTCAACAGCTGGGGTAGTAGTATTGACTTCAACAGCTGGTGTGGAAGTAGTGACTTCAACAGCTGGGGTAGTAGTATTGACTTCAACAGCAGGTGTAGAAGTAGTGACTTCAACAGCTGGGGTAGTGGAATTGACTTCAACAGCAGGTGTAGAAGTAGTGACTTCAACAGCTGGGGTAGTGGAATTGACTTCAACAGCAGGTGTAGAAGTAGTGACTTCAACAGCTGGGGTAGTGGTATTGACTTCAAAAGCAGGTGTAGAAGTAGTGACTTCAACAGCTGGGGTAGTAGTATTGACTTCAACAGCAGGTGTAGAAGTAGTGACTTCAACAGCTGGGGTAGTAGTATTGACTTCAACAGCAGGTGTAGAAGTAGTGACTTCAACAGCTGGGGTAGTAGTATTGACTTGAACAGCAGGTGTAGAAGTAGTGACTTCAACAGCAGGTGTAGAAGTAGTGACTTCAACAGCTTGGGTAGTAGTATTGACCTCAACAGCAGGTGTAGAAGTAGTGACTTCAACAGCAGGGGTAGTAGTATTGACTCTAACATCAATTGTAGAAGTGGTGACCTGAGCTAATGTGGTTGACACCTCTCCAGAAGGAGTGGTTGAAACGGATGGTTCAACATTCTTTGTTGTTGCTGCAGTTGTGACGGTTGTTTTAACTTCTTTTGTAGTCTTGCCTGTGTCCCGTGTTATTTTTTCTGTTGTCGTTGGTGCCTCGGTTGTTGTTTGTGTTGCTGTCTGTGGCTGCTCTGTTGTTTGGTTGATACAGGAAACCCCAGTAGCGTTTGGATCATACGTTACCCCAACAGCAAATCTATATGGCAAATTCAAAGTATCAAACAGCACTTCATCTCCTTCAATTGGATAATTATTCTCTGTAAAGCTGTATTGGATAAGTCCATTTGCCACTGGAGATTGGAAGGTATATCCAAGTGGACTTGTGTCATTCTCATTCAAGAAACCAAGCAAGTCGCCATTCAAGGTCTCAATCCTTTCAGAACATTCTAGGTAAAGTGTCTTAGTCCCCGTGAAATTTGTTGGAGCCACATACCGTTTCTGTCCTATAAGGGTATATTCGGAGATTCCTGTTTGACGCCAAATTTGAAACCAAACCGGCATGCTGTTCATTATTACGGCGTCAAATGAGGTTACAATACCTTTGCCTAATATCACGCGAGGTAAAAGGAACACTCGTTTTGACCCACTCTGTAGTTCATTGGAGGCAATTAGAGGATAGCCTACCCGTGTTATTTCTTTATTACCAACATCGTTCCCTTGAGTCGTCGAGGCGGTTGCAAGAGTTGGAGTTGTCTGTGGTGCATCCGTTGGCATTGCTGTTGCGTTCAGAGGATATTTCCCTACGTCCTTATCAATAAGTGCAGACAATGACCACACGTTGGGTCTTCGCACGTTACCGAATGCTTGGATATCGTCAATAGCGGGGAGGCCATCTGTAGCGCTATCTATAGTATACGCTTCAATCAGATCAGTGGAGTAAGAAAAACCGATCGGCCCAACACTTTGTTCATTGGTAAAGCCCAGGACATCCCCCCTTTGAACAAAAATGTGTTCATTCATCTCAAGACTGATGACAGTGTAGCCAGTCCTGGTAGGTGTGTATCTCTTCTCTCCGACTAGCTTGTATCGTATATGACCATTCACGAGATCCACATCTCTCCATATCTGGAGACGCACTGGGTCCAGACTGTTGAAGAAAGTGGTGAAGCTGAGGATAACGCCATCGGGCAAGGCTAAAGAGCGACCTGGAAGTAAAAGAGAACAATTATAGGCAGCTCAATTGTAATTATATTTAAAAATATATATTCAAATTATGCAATTGTGAAGAGCAGTGAATAAGTAGTACCCTGCCCGCGGAGTCTAGTTATAAGAAGAAGTCGGACGAATGCAAAGGGTAGTAGTGTGGTGTAGTGTGTTGTTATGTTATGTTATGTTATGTGACATAGTGTAGTTTAGTGAAGTATCCAAATAAGCACCTCTCCACATGTTCACACGATTGCATGATTAAGAAGAATCAACATAAGTTGAGGGCCTTTCAATTTCTTCATTTTCAGCCCAGTATCATACATGACTGGTTTATTATAGCTATGATTATAATTACTAGATAGTAATGCATTAGTAATTATCTCAGTATGTCAATTTCTTCTGTGTAGAATGGTATGTTATAATTCGGAAAGATCCAGATATTCTTGGAACAATGAGCAAGGTCATTAATAATGAAACACGAGACATATTGCTCACAAAATTAATTCTTCAATTCTTGATGCAAATATTTGGGAGCAATTTTGGCAAGACAAATGGTGTTTTATACTGATTTGGTCATATCCCTGTTTATGTATTTATTGTTTATTTCAACACAATATACATAATTGATTTGCAAAGAATAAAAAGTAAATTGTTTTGGTAAGACACGTTCAAAATGTTCATGTTCGACCATTTTGGTCCATGCACGCAATATACGACTTCGCCTGTCAGAATTATTAGAAGTGCACATATTTATCAGTATAGGCTCCGTTTGATTCCATCTCAAAACCACTTATCCAAACTTTACTTTGTACTTTCTTTTCATTCTTTAAAAGTACCCCAGGAAGTGTAATTTATATCCATCATCATTGTCATATTTACGCATCTCATCATATCCGTGATCGCCACTGGATACTAAATTTATTTATATTCTCGTAAAATGATTAACTATGGCTAATCATAAAACATCATTCCTGACCAATCCTTTCAAGACCTTGTGTTGTTGAGAGATGGGTCAACACAGCTACAGAAATAAGACTCTCCAGGCAAAATGTAGCTTTAAGTACCTGTGACAACCTGTACACATCACCTTCACAGGAGGTGAAGTAGGAGGGGGGGGGGGGGATTCAGAGAGCACAGAGAGCACGGATTCAATGCTATGAAAATCTCATTTTAGGTTAATGCGGACAGTCAATCCTCGATAATTAATGGTTCCGTGTAGATGCTAATTAATACAGAAATTGATAAATAATAGAAACGGACATTATGTTGCAATATTACAAATGATCAATAATGGGCTTCATTCAAGATACTGCCCCTGATTTATTCTTGTCTGGAGTTGATTTGTCTTGATTGATGTGATGTCCTGGTATACTTATCGCAATCAAGGGCGTGGCGGCCATTTCACAATGTCATTTATACATGCCTAAAACAACTATGGTATTTTGTTTATGGTGACTAATCAGCCGCTAATCAGTTGATGGTGAGCATGTCATAAAGTTCGTATGATAACTATTTCATGTGTGGTATTTCATGTGTTACTTAACGCTAGCTTTATGTCCTCCGGTGTATTTATAGCTACGCACTTTATAAAATGTAGTGTCCTTTTGATTCGCCACATCAACCCATCCCAACGTATATCTAGTAATATCTAGAAACTAGTAATTTCAGAATAGAGCGACTTACTGGGTGTCCAAAAACTGTAGTACAGTGGAAAATAAGAATAAAAACCACTTTTCAAAAGTTTTAAAGGATATAACAATTAGAAAACTCCTTTGTATATTTAACTTTAGTTCAAATCTTCATGAAGTAGTGACCTATGCGGTACACGCAGAGACTTACACGCAACTCATCCCCAATTGTCTCCCGAGAGAGAAGTCTCACAACAAAGCAAATCCTTCACGATGTCATTTATCTTACATATATTCCCTCATTTAACCAGGTGGGGATTCCCAACCCAAGCTTTTGTCACCTTACTCGAGTCTCTTATGGTTAGTTATAGTTGGTGGTATTGGTGAAACCATGTGATGACCAAAATGAAATATCATTGAAATGAAAGATGGTCATGAGATTATACGCTTTGGCAAAAGGAAAAGGAAAAGCACTCATAGAAATGCTTTTTCAATTTTTCTTGCATCAACATGTTGCGTTTTGACACACAGTTAACCCCTTAAAAGGAATAAGTAATTCTTTCAGGGGTTTTAAAGATATTTATTATGGGTGACCAAAATTAAGCTGAAAGCAATGGATCAAATGAGTTTTCACTGTGGGAAAATAACATGGGATTACTTATTCTTTTTAAAGGGGTTAACTGTGTCTCAAAACACAACATAGTGATGCACCAAAAATTGAAAAAGCAGGGGTGAAAGGGGTTGAAAATCAGGACAACATTTCAGAAAAAAATGTGGTGGTAGAAAAGGTTGTCTGCATCTTCCCTGTCTCAAAATCGAAATTATTTTATCATCTCTAGGAGTGCTTTTCCTGGAGGTAATGCATTGGTCTATCATATGCACCTGTTTAAATTTTCAGAAAATATGTTGCGATACTTTCAGTCGTACTTGCGCGAGGAGATTATTTGATTTATTTCTTCCTCTGTAACATGGTAAACAAACAAGGTCGCATCATTTCGATTCTCATTCTGCTATAGCATCTTCTTGTTTCACCAGAAACAATACTGTGAGAAGAAATGAGATGTCATGGTTTACCATGATGAGGTCGCACGTTTTTAAGTCTCAACAATCAATTTTTTGTCACTAAGTAAGTCGCAAAGGCGAGGGACGAAGGGTTTTAATAACATTCCGAAATCAATGTAGGGGAAATTAACGCTACGGGCAATCCAACTCAAGCGCAACGTTGCAGTGAATTGGGCCACGGATATGGGTATTTGCCAAATGTGAAACCGGATGATCTAAGCCTATTAGATGATGGCGAAACTTTATATCATTTAGATCATCTTCGACTTCCAGGGTGGTTATAACACATGATCAAGATGCATATTGATTGCAGTTCATTTATTGCCACTCGTCGGTTGTTCTTCACACATGCCCCATTGGTTTGTATGCAAATATTACTTCAGCTGCATGTTCTAGTTTTTATTATTGGCATTTACTTCAATGTTGTGATTCACCAAAATACAACGAGAAATACCAAAACCGCCATTTTCTTCAAAAAATCAGATGTAGGTGTAGTCTTATTTTATCGTCTGTGAACGTCTTTTAGTAAGAACTTCCTCAAATGCCGATATGCTCATCACGTTCGTTGTACATCGGTTGTTACGAACTGACACCCAATATTCTTAACCCTACTATCACACCAAACTAGTTTTCACTACGTTCTCGAAAACGGGCTTCAACTGTGTACGAACGGACTGGGCGTACTTAGAACCGTTCAGGTTTGGGGTCTATTTACAAACTTCATCGAACGTACTCGAACGGGTAGGTCCTCTAGAACTTAGAACATGCTGGACGTACTACGAACGGAACCGTCGTACTTCAGTCCTACTAGGGACGTTTTAACAACGAGTTGAACTATCTGAGGACGTATTGAGGACGAGGTAAAACTATTTGCAAACGGGTTTAAACTGATTAAGAACGTATTTAAGACTGTTTATGAACGAGTTAGCAAAAATATAGCTATCACACCAAACAAGTTACCACCGCGTTCTACAAAATTGGTTTTAAACTGTGTGCGAACGGAATGAACGTAGCTGCAACTTTCTAAGGTCTATTTACGAACTTCATGAACGTTCTCAGACGGGAAGGTGATTTTAGAATTTGAAATGGTTCAAAACTCGATGGAGACCATACCGTTCTGTAATTAGATCGTGTGACAACGTACTTCAAACGAGATGACCTTTTAGACTAGGAACGTAATTGCCGTACTTCGACCCTACTATAGGGACGAGTCAACCACGTTGTGCAATCGGATATCAATTTGTAGTGCGTGTGCATACCGTAATGGCGCGACTTGAACGAACTAGGAATGAGATGGACGTATTGAAGACTGTGTATGAACGAAGTGGCTAATTATTTTTGACATATTTCACGACCACAACCAGACTTAGTCCGTTTTACGGATTTTTCGTAGGACTGGAAAGAACGGTTGAGAACTAGTTTGGTGTGATTGGGGCTTTATGTTTTCAATAATGTGTCGTTAATCACGACATTTTTTGTTCAAAATCAAAATAATCATTGGGTTAACCCCACAGTTCACAAAAACTAGATGGATGGCTGTCAATAACGCATATGCGAGTAGGTAGTTACCAGTCTCACCACCAGGTGGCTCGTTCGGGTCAGATAGCATGGCGGGTATAGAAGAAAGTTCCCTTTAACTTAAATAACATCTGTTTTAGTGGTTCAATTTTCATATTACCCCTATGTATCTAAAAGTTATGCAAATCAAAACATGTCCAGTAAATGAAAATGTTATCTGACCAATACAAGAAAAGATATTTCACTTTTTTAGATTTTGTAACATGGGCTCTATGGAGAATCAACCCGAGCTAGAAGTCACACTTCCAAAAATAATTAAATTTTCAAACTTGATAAACAATTTTCGAAACCATATTTCTAGATGTACTTTTTCACGTAGATTTCAAATATAACATCGCTTTGTCTGAATTTTGAATATTTAATGGCGTAAATCAAGATTTTTTCTACTTGCATTTAGTCCATTTATAACAATTTAAAGTTTCCCCGATGAAGGGGAAACTCTTGCTACAAAACGTCCGCTGGCTGAAAATACGCATTTCCCTGCGGCCACCTATTAGTACTTCTTGATCAACGCTTACCAGAGAGTCTTTGGATAACACAGTGTCAAGTATGTCTATGTAAGCTTACATCAAACTAACATCAATTTTCCTGATCGCAATATTCTAATTTCAATATTTGAGGCTTCGCGCTATTTATCTTGGGAGATTTTCAATCGGGGTCAGTCAGGGTCACACTTAAAAGAGACCACATTTGTAGCAAAAATTTATTGGCCCATTCTTTCCATATCTTAACGATGACTAGTCGACTCATAGACAGCAATATATAAGACAATGTACTATAAAGTCTATATATAACGATCAAATAGGATTCGAGTTCGGACAATGACAAAACAATTCCGGTTATGGACTTCTATCATTTTGAACTTAGTTTGACTTGGTCAGTCACACCTTTCGTATATCAAATTCCTCTTCCAGGTATCGCAGCCATTCAACAAAGTGCAACCGCACCATGTGAAGAAGCTGCATGCGTATATTAAGGAAAATAGCGATGACAGTGATAATGCATACATACATTCATATGCTTTACAATTGACACAAATGATACCTTGTGATGTGGCTGCCAAAGTACTTACAATGTAAACCTTTTATGTTGTCGTAAACTATTACAAAATATAAATCTGGTCATTAAAATACTTTGTGGAAACATTTGACTAATACTGCTACACCCATAAATCGCAGGTCCGGAAGTCGGCTGTTTGTCAGACCGAAAATGAACTAAACTGTTTGCAATGAGTTGTGTCAAACAGAAATGTTGATGCAGAGTTTGAAGTGGAACCTGACGCATCGGTTTATGGACGTTAATTACAGATTGCATACACAAGTGTGATTTAACTGAGATAATTAACCATTGTTAAATACACTCTGGGAAAATTTGACATTTAAACTTCAACTGTCCCAGCTACATAGCTTATTTAATCCTATCAAGTTATATTGGAATTGAAAGCTTTATATTTCCAAAGAAATTCTTTAGATTCTTATTGTATGTGTGAATTAAGCGAGGGAAAGTAGACCTTGTCAGTTATATTGTGTAGTTAACTTTGACATTTCACAAACTTTTGAAACGGGCCGGTGATCACTTGAAAGTACCGTACATCATTAATAATATGTCTATCCAATATGAGAAGATATTAAGATAATACATTATGAAAAATAAAGGAATAGTACGGCGGGCATCTTAGCGCTAATTTTAACCGACGTTAGTTAGGTTGAGGGCTAAATTCTAATGGTCTAAGATTAACCGATTCAAAAATTGTATGTAACTATTAACGCATTTGAGCAAATTTGAGATCAAGAGAATATTGCTTTTTGGACATCATTTTCAAATTTTCAGTGATAACGTCATTGCTTTTTAAGTAATACTTTGTGAAGCATTTGCCTCGCCTGTCTCATGCATGGCTACGCCCATGCATACATTGCGTGTCTACCAAACCATACCACCAGATTGACATGAAGAGCCAACCATTGAACATGCAAAGATATTAACTGAAAACACGTAATATGAAGGCTAAATACAGATTAGCGTTAAAAGAATATTTACATAAAGATTTTAACAGTAGCGTGAATTTGAACCACTGCTTATACTCTGAACTTAAGCACATGGAAATGTTCCTATATTGACGTTTATATTTAATGCAAATCCGAGACATGAATGCTATATTAGTTAAGGTACATCTGAGTGTTCAGAAGTTTTTAATGGCTACTTAATATTCGAGTCCCATGCGTTATTTTCTGGTACACATAACTCATTCAAAACAATGTCTAAATCGTTTATTATTAATAATCGTACATAAATATACCAAGATTGTGAGTTGGGGCTGATAATTTTCTATGATGTATAAAATTCAAAAAATCAGTGACCTACTTTTTAGAAGTACAATTTCCCCACTATTTATCCACCTAGAATATTTATTAAAGCTCAACTAGTCATCAAGGTCTATTCATGACACTGTTCTAAATCAAAAGATGTAATCGTGTATTGAATGAGTATGTGTACCTGAAAATGACTCCAAATAGTAAGCCATTTAAATTGTTGAACATACAGAGCTACCTTAATTCCCTGATAGTCAATGAAAATATTTGCAGGGTGTGCATACCTTTGAGGAGAAAGGTGCGCCTGGCTGATGCTTGTAGGAAGTTTACTGTGTTCAGTACGGGGTTGCCTAATGTAATAATGGAAGACTGTGGGGTAGACGGTGTCGTTGTTGTACTAATTTCTGGTTGGCTTGTCGTCAGCTCGATAGATGAGGTGGATATATTGGTCATCTGTATGGGCGTGGTCATGGGGGCAACTGTCAACGTTGTTGACGCGTTTACGTCCTCTTGCGTAGAATATAAAAGCCCAACTGAAAACTTATAAGGACTTTTAAGGAAGGTAAAGTCAGATGAATTGCCGATGACTGGGTATGCACCTTCTATTGAATTGAGCCACATTGGGATTACACTAAATGAGTATGCTAAAGACATCGAAGTGTCCCCATTAAAAATTGCTAAAGTGTCATTTGGCTGGCACTGAATACGTTCTGATTCTTCTAAATTAACAGTGTCTATTCCTGGTACATTTTTTGGTGTAAAACTTTTTTCTCCGACCAATTTATATCGACCGGGGCTTTCTGGGCGCCATATTTGAAATAATACTGGATTGGTATTGCGAAAATATCCTTCAAATGATCGTACAGATCCACTAAACTCTATCCTTAGATCATCAAGAAGAAATATAGTGTTTGAAGCACCTATATCTAAAGACGATTGAGTTTGTATGATATCATATCCAATTCTAAGCAAAGTTGTGCCTCCTCGGCAAACTGTAGCAATGTACAGTAAAAGTGTAAATAAAATTGTCGTTTGTCTCATCTTTCTTGATATAAAATCCATCATCTTGACAATTAATCCAATTCTCTCCTAGTTCACTTTCCTTGTAAACACTAAATGAAATGGGTCCTATTTTCCATGAAGATCCTTGCATGAATCGGCCCACAATTGGCACACCCTGTGACTCAATCAGCGTAATATGCAATGAAATCCATTATATCAATAATACACCGTGTATTGTTGCTGGCCCAAGTTTTGACCAATCACGATCTGATTCACCCGGTTTAACAATAGCCGGCTTTTATAAGTACATGTATAACTTGCCCTAAGCCCAACTGCGTGAATGAATGGGCGAGTTACTCGATTTATGAGTGTACATACTGACTTGTGTATAAAACTATAGACTCAATGGCCATGACATGAATGGAAAAGGAAGACGCATGGTTCATTCAGCATGCGGAAGCTCATTGAACAAGGTGGGATGAGCTATAAATATGTATCACTTTTGCCATCAGGGGCGGACCTAGAAGTTGACAACTGGATGCCATTGCCCATTCATTTAAAGATTCTTTGGTCATGCCATTAATGATGGACCAAAAACTCCAAGCCTCAAGCGAGTAAGACCGGTCCCCGACGATAAGCTATACGTTATGGGGGGGGGGGGGGGGGGAGATGGAGTAGATGACTCATGCCTCTTCTTGTTCTTCATTATTAATCAAGTCTATGTAACTAATGTTTTAGTCATACGTAGGCTAGACTGACTGGGGAATGACAGCCGATCGCGAGGCGTTGAAGCAAGGAGTAGCGTTGTGTACCGTTGGGGCTGAACAGATAGATGGTGTAATGTGATTTATATATTTGTGGGGGGGGGGGGTAACTACTTTTTACATTTGCATTCGGAGATGCCATCTCTGGTAAATGTTATTTCGAGCATGTTTTGAGTAAGAGTGGCGTTATTATGCAGTAGGCTATATCTAGCTACATGCCTCTGTGTGTGTGTGTGGGGGGGGGGGGTCGTCATAACGGCTTGTAGCTTGACCAGCAGTAGGCACTGTAGGCTATTGGAAATGAGATCCATCATAGACCCATCAACATGTCAGAATGTCACCGATTGGACAAGCTTCGATTTCACATTAATGCCCCTGGCCATGGTTTGGGTACATGGTGCCCTCTAGGATTGTTCATCGTAGGGTCCTTTAGTCTAGCTACAAGCCCTTGAGCCCCTCTCCACTGTGTGAGAGGGTGTGTAGTCAAAAAAAAGGGGGGGGGGCGGGTACAGGGTCTCGTAGCTAGACTAAGGGTCATTATGTAGTTTGCAATGTGCCTTTCCATAGAAAAGTGACAATTACTATTCTAGTATCCACACTAGAGACAGCCAAATATGTTGAACCGGATATAGTGCGCGGCAAGCTTCTAAAAGTATGTTTTTGATCACTCATGAAGTATGTCAAGATGTTTTGAAGAAATCTCTCGGAATTTATTGAGTTGAATATTTGCGAAATATTTGCGCACACGTGACATAATATAATCAAATGAATAATATAATTAAACAAATGAAAATGCATTACTTTAACACCCGGGCTTTAAACTCGTCGGTCTTGATTACAGACCATGGATGGGATTGGGAAGTGTGACAAAAATGTAATTATTAGTTTATATTTGGCTAAGTGTTATGCCACAGCTAATTTGAGGTGAATACTATAAATATACAAATATTGAATATCAGATGACGACGACGATATTGCTTCTTCATCAATGTTTTAAAGATTGCCTATTATATCACGCGATACAAATTTGGTACTTTTGAAATGTTGCATGACATATAAGTCAAACACGAAAATATGTAACATAATAAGAATATCCATAGCGCTAATCACTTCTCAATGGCGCTTAATTTTTCACTGCTTTTTAAGCATCAGCCAAAGTCTTACTTTTCGGTGAAATATGGTCATGAAAGTCCGCAAAGACCAAGCAACGTCTCCCCTTTCAACTAGAATTGATAGCCCATGGTCTCCCCCATATGAATATTCACCCATAAGTCATCGATCGTTATTAATTTATGCATAACTTATGACCAACTGTGACCACGTGATTTGAAAACAGGTCCCATAAATATTGATGACACGTGAGATTTTAATCTTGCCTCTGGCCGTCGTGACCACCAACATACCTCACCGGGTGGCTGATTGGAGCTGATACGGTTGAATAGACTAGGTGCGAGTAGAAATAATCTTGATTTATGTCATTAAATATTCAAAATTCAGTCAAAGTGATGTCATATTTGAAATCTGCATGTAAAAGTACATTTAGAAATATGGTTTCGAAAATTGTTTATCAACTTTGAAAATTTAATTTTTTTTGAAAATGTGACTTCTTGTTCGGGTTGATTCCCCATAGACCCCATGATACAAAATCACAAAAAGTGAAATATCTTTTCTTGTATTGGATAGATAACATTTTCTTTTACTGGACATATTTCAGTTTGCATAACTATTAGATACATAAGGGTTATATGAAAATTGAATCATTAAAACAGATGTGATTTAAGTTTAAGGGAACTTTCTCCTATACCCGCCATGCTATCTGACCCGAACGAGCCACCTGGTGGTGAATCTGGTAACTACCTACTCGCATCTGCGTTATTGTGTTCAGTTTTTGTTCACTCATACGGTGTCACGGACTCTAAAATGTTGTTTGCTTAAGCCTCAGTCGCATTTGCTCTACGGTAACCACACGGCGGCCGTAGCTTCAGTAAATCGATATAGAAAATCTGCATCATAATGCTTATCCCTATATGTTGCAAATTTCTCTAGATTTTGGAAGCTACGGTAGCCGTTCGGCTGCCGTGGATCACAAGTGACTTAAAAACATTGGTGTACTGATTTCTTTAGTGTTGTTATTAGTTGTCAATAAAATATACTGCATGTTCACACATAAAAGTTACAGTTCAGTATCCATACCCAACTGCATGATTTTGAAATAACCTTTGACCAGGGGCCCCAACTCTCCTTCTCTGGCTACGGGCCAACATTTGCAAATACTTTAGACTGCCGATGGCCGAATGATGGATACACCCCCGGATACACCACAAGAAACGCATCCTTTATTCAAAAGCCGTCATTTATTCCTGAATTTATGGAAGGAAGTGAAATACCCTTGGACCAAGAATGCCAGAAACGTGAAATTACTTCGCTTCGCTCAAATCTCAAGAAAACCAAACAAACTACTCTATTTAAAAAGCTAATTTAAGTTGTAATTGCATGCTATTGATTGATTGCAGTTCATCTTTCATCCGATTACAATGGATCAAAAATTAAGATGAAAGATCACCAGCGAGTGATTTTCACAATCACCCTGGTCATCAATACGTGCTAAGTATACGAGTGTCATAATTTTGCTTTGATCATGCAAAACCGTGTATCTTAAAATCCAGGATGACATAACATGCTCTCAAGTTTGATTTTCATCATGAATATCTCATTCGCTTCTTAGAAAACAAAAAAGCTAATCACCAGATCATATGCCTATCAAAAGCTGTTTCATTTTAATAAACATAAAACTGTTAGTGTAAAACAAGAGAATGTCTTTACAAAACTGTAGAAATGCAATATAATCAGTGAAAATGCAAAATCCATACGCAACACAATTTCATATCTCACCATCAAGAGGTAAAGCTGGAGACAATTCATCAAATATTATCTAGAGAAGAATAGGTTTATTTTCCGTAAATAAGAGCAAAGTTCGAAAATGCCACCTTACTCATTGCGCTTCAAAAATTTGGAGCACCAAATCCCCGTTGGTCCACAAAAAGTCTGTTCATGTGGTTTTGTGGTTCATAAAAATGTTCAGTCATAACTGTTCAACATAATTAAAAATTAAATTCCATTAAACAGGTTATCCATATCCATGGGTTGCCATTACTTTCTCTATCAGTCACATTATTGGCCCACTTTCAAAAGTATAATGAAATATTTTATAATATATAACGCTTGTTTGATTATCTGAAAGTGAACCAACTATTTATGTTATGATGAATGATTCATATAAATTCACATACACCCCTGTTCATAAGTTCGGCAAGCGGATGTTCCATTCTGGATTGCGTGTTAAAGCTTGTTTATATATTTGGTAGGCCTAATTCAATTTTTTTCAAATTCATCACAAATTTCTGAAGTTGTATTATAAATAAACAAAATAAAGATTCTAAACATTTACGGGCTTTAACACGGTATAAAAACGAAGGCATTCGGTTGGCTATATCAAGCCGGTAGCCGGGGCGAGGGGGAGTCCGATGGGTTCGACCCCTGGCCAAAAATCCTTTCAAAATCATGCAGTTTTTCACCATTCTGAGCACTATTTATTCATATGGCCAGTTGCTTTATCAAAAAGAATTTCCCACTTCCACTTGATTTTGTTATCCTCAACGAATTTATTTTGCTACTTTTTATCGTCTGACTTAGAATTAAGCCTGTGATGATCTGCCTTAATGCTCCAGGGAAAGCTATGCCCAAATAAATGTTAAGCAGGCAAAGCTTATACTCTCAATTTGCTAATATCATCCTATGTTAATGTACTTCTAGGGTTTAAATTAGTGTTAAAATGATTTGATGAACATTGCAATATTGACCCATTTTCACTTCAAATGGTCAACAACCTTCGTTTAACCATTTCAAGCAAAGAAAACCCGCATATATGATGATGTGTATTGAAACAAGGATTATATGTGATCTCTATGATCTATTTGATTTTTCAGAGGTCAAAAAAATTACATATCAACTAATTTGTGAGTTTATACACGCAGAAATAGTCTATATGTCTCTGATATACGTAATGATACTAACGATCCGCGGGTTTTTAAGCATTCATCTTAGATATGGCAGATACAAACGAGTTCTTTGAACTAAAAGCATTATCAAAACAAATATATGCATCATAATATAAAAGTACACTGAATGGTTATTCTGTTAATGGTCTGTATAAAGTTTATAACATAAAAATGGCAAGGTATATTTCTCCTTTTAACTCGGGCTTCAAATTGTTTAATTTCAAATATAAATTAATAAATCGTGAATTATATTTCTTTCATTTCAAACTTGTCCTCAAAACAGATTATCCCATTCAATGTCGTTAAGCTAAATGCATTACAAGCTCCCAATTTATATAACAATATCCGATACAATGTACTTTCTAAATCTATAAATCGAGGCAACTATATTCATGATAATTAATATTATATAACTAATACTTAGATTTTAAAATTAATACATTACTTAAAATGGTCTTTGCTATAGAATATTTAAACATGAACTTGATTTCTCATAAGTCTCTCAGTTAAGAAATTGATAAGACAGTTTGATCGTTTTGGTTGTTTATACCCCCTATCATAGTAATAAAATATTTATTTTTAGAACAGGATGTGTTGTCGACATCTGAGAGTGTGAGGACAGCTTGATTTCCAAAATCAGTGCCATCTTTCTGTCGGTCATCTTCTATCGGTCCTCTCTACCAATCAATAGACATTTCCAGGGTGACCCTACCCCGAATGCAATCCTCATTAATAATTTATAATATTACAATGACATTGCTCATTTGTTCTGTACAATTGCGTATTTTCAATGTTTTTGGGCAAAATAAAGACTTTTATTTGAATTTTATAGAATGTCCAATGTATTGATAAGAACCTTATCTTTCATTTGACACAAACAACAGCTAAAACGGACCACATCAATAAATTATCAAAAAATATCTTCAATCTGTCAAGCTTTATATATCAAGTTTTTATCAATGTCATTGAAAGATGGCGAAGTTGTTTGTATTACATGATACATTGATTCATTTTAATAAAAGTGTTCGCCATCTTTTAAAACAAAATTAATTTAAAACATGTACTTTGTTTATCATGTGCATGCACTACTAATGATCTCTGAACTTCAAATGCTTTTTTTATTAAGCATAGGGGCCTTTCAGTATGCCACATTGAATTGCTACATTTATCGGAATCTCTAGCGCAACGGTTGTGTGCAGCAGGTTTGAAGGACTAGGTCGACATAATATATCTAACAAATCCTGTTGAAACTTTACACTTCGTAGTTAAGCTTAATGTATAGATATAAAGGTGGCAGTAGTATGTATATAAACATATTCGATTGAAACTGTCTAAATTAATATACCCTTTGCATTCGTTCGACTTCAATTCTTAAAAGAGAGCTTTGTCTTCACTTTTCTTGGTAGTTTAAAACTAGACTGTGCGCGCAGGGTAAAATTAATAGTATCATTTATGAAAGACCAATGCGTATGTCTGTATGTGCAATCACAATTTATTATATTTTTGGAACATGTGAAATTAAATTAAAATAAACAACAATAAATAATTCAAATATAGCAACAATTGGTATCAAAAACATGTCATGAAAAGATATTACAGTATTTATTTGCCATAGTGATATACGGATTTTTCAAGTTTCTTCCAAATGAAATCAACTTTTTAGGCGTCAAGAACTTCCTTATTCGTTTCGCAAGTGACTTCTTCTTTGGCGATTGCTGCTTTGTATTTACTATTTTTACTTCGTCCTTTAACTCCACCATCCTGTGGGGAGTTGGTTCTGTTATGCTAGCAGTATTACTGAAGTCAACAACTTCTTTTGGCGTCTGAGACACCGAGCATACTTTAACGTTGACGCTTAAATCGTGGATGTCGTGTATCGGGGCCTCATATGCAACAGGCTTCAACGCAGAGATTCCGTGCTTTATTTTTGGCATAGAGGTCAAACGTTGGCGCCGCATGGTATTGTAAATCTTAGAATCAATGTCAAAGAAATCAACATCTGTCGGTGATTGTCTCAAAGGACGAGTACCCATTCTCATCATAGGTGATTTGCAGGCGCTTCTTGCTTTGATATAATCGGTTACCTCCGTATCAATAAACCGACTCCTTATAAGCGAGGGATTAATCGTAACATCGATGACGGCTTCAGTCGATCGTTCTGAGTATTCCTCATTCGTATTGCCAAGATCAAGAGGCGTCGGTTCCTTTACACTGTCACCTTTACCAGTCTGTTCAGCCTGTACTTGATGAAACTGCGTTGATGAAACCGCGTGGGAGCGACCAATGAGCCCTTCAAACAATAAAATAAACATGATTTAGAATATGAATAAAGTTATGGTGTACTAATTTGTTTCTGTACCCCACTTGTCAACTATTTAGTACCAAATAATTCCGTACAGAATACTAGTTTACCATTTGTTTTATCTGAGATTCATTCGCGAAGATTTAAAAGATTAGAAATTACCGTAAGACTAATAGTTAGTAAAATTACCTTTTAGATAATCTTTCAAGTATGCAGCATTTCGTAGAACATCTAGTGCGAGAGTCAACACTCTCAGAAATGATGCCAACCACGCTGATAGACGATTCAGTAGACTTGGAATATATTTTAAGAGTTGACTATGAATCAAACTAAAAATAAAATATGTTTAATATTACTAGTGGTTTCAATTACAGTCAATTAGATGAACAAATTATTTTATTGGGATTATAAAAACATCTGAGAAAAATCATAGAAAGGAAACAAACAAATAAACGTAAACTGATTTGCATGGAATACAAAAATGCTGCTTAATTAAAGAGCTGTTTTAAGCTGTTAATTCAAATTTACCTCACGATGGTATCAATCACATCCGATGACAAGGTCTGTATCAACGACATTATATCTTCAAGCATTACTAAACAGCTCTCAACGAACATCTTTGCTTGTATTATATATCACAGTTGCGATGAACACGTCTTGATAAATAGATTGCATAGACTTTTTTGTTTTGTTATGTTGCTCTGGGAAGCATATCGTTATAGACAACTTCCATGATGTCATAATGTGCATACACAACGTCACAGTAAGATAATTGATTCCAGTTCAAGGTTATGTCAATGCGACATAAATATATAATGACGTCACGTTTAGGTCGTCATGGCAACACAGAAATTGTTTTAGGTTGAAATCATCGCCAGTAACAGAGTTAAACACTGGCGGAATAGGGGGGTGGGGGGTTGGCAGGGGTTTTTGAAATTTGCCTCCCGCCTTGTTAGTTTCAAGATCCTCCCATTGGCCCCTGAATAGGAAATAGATACTAAAGATATGTCACCATTCAAGATGTGGAAATGATTGGGACATCTACCTCTTCGGAGTTGACAAATAACCTTAATAAATAGACAACGAAAATATAATTATTCAAGCTCACTCCATGTCGGGCATGTTGTTGGTAATATGTAAGTACATGTATATATACCACTGTTTCCCCACACCGAACACTCTATCAAGTTCAACACAAGCCTAACAAAGATTCCATCAAAATTAGGAAAGCTAAAGACCCAGAAAAGTGGCTTTAGAATTTTCTCAGTTTCCATTCAGTGCCAGAATCGAATTTGCAGCATATCTGGTAGGTTAAATATACACAGCATTTCTAAATTTTAGCTTTGCTGATTATAAATACATTTGATAATGGGTCAACTTTTTGGGTCACTCTGTAATTTGTATATACTCAGTACTTATGTATACAAAATACAAATACAACACAGCCAATAATTATAACTCATATTTTATTTAGAATAAACTCATTGTATGATATATACAGAACCAACACCCGATTATTACACAATTTATGAATGATACAAAATAAATTAGAAAATACAATTATGATCTACAAACGCGTACTTAGTACGTACACCTATAGTACTATAACTTTACCTTTAATAAGGTATCTCCCAACTAAGTAATGATGTGATTTAAAAACTATATCTGCAAAGACCAATAAATATTTCTGAACCCACGATGTCCAAGTTCCATATCATTCGGCCAGTCATTTTTGGCTCATATTGTTTTCCAAGGGAATCATCCTTCTGTCTGTCCATTCGTCAATATTTAATACTTTATACCATTGTTGGTCCCAGATATTTTGTGTTTCTTGTTTTTGAATAAATTAATTTTTCACCACGTGAGCCTGCCAAATGGTGCTATGTTTTTATTTTATGATGAACGACTGTCATTTTAATAATGAAGGGATAAATTAGTTATATAATAGCCAGTTTTGGATAGGATTTATCCTTTGGAATACATAATACATATACACATGTATTTATAAGCACATGTGCTTTAAACCTCCAGACGTCCCAATTAAATAACCCTTTCATCATATAAAACGAACCATTTGTAAAATAAAACTGATCGATCTCTTTGTTATTTAGCTTCATGAAGATTCTTTATAAAATATGTATGTATAAACAGCTAATTACAAATGTCATTCCATTGTCTTTGTTAATATCATATCATGAAATACAATTTTACAATAAAGTACAATAAATGTATGTACATGTATACTGCACAGTAGTTTAGCAACAGCCCCAAGAAAATAATGAGGAATGGAAATAATGAGTGCTACATTGAATTTATCTCATTGACTAAGGGGATATCTCAAAAGTTTCGCACTCATTCTACACACAATTGATTAAACAAATTACATACTCATTTGAATGTGAAAATTCAAAAATAGTGCCACTGATTTTTTCAAATTTGTAGGAACTGATACCACGCATACATTACATTATACACAATCAATATTGTAAAATTTAGTGCAAAACTTATGAGACAGCAATAATTCTTTAAAAGCTAATTATGGCAGAATCAACAAGTAGTTATGTGTCACAGTATTGTATAACTGATAAACTGAACTTCTTCTACAGTCTTGAATCTAGATAAAGATGATAAATATCATATCCCTTTTTTAGGTGTACTGCACTTGAGGGTAGGGGTATAATAGAGAATAAATCAATATTTAAGACAATTTATTTCAACCTGTCTATCTAGCTTTCTTTCTTTTTTTTTTGGAAAATAGATGGGATTGTAAATAATGTATCCCAACTACATTTTAAATTATTATTATGAAAAATAATTGACTTCAATATTTAAGTTTGCAAAAGCTTATTGCAAGATCTGGAAGATAATGCTACTTTTCCAGTGTAAGATGCCATTGCATTTTACATTCAAGCAAATCAAATATGAGTGTGAGGTCTTGAAAGACTTTAAATTGATTCACCTGACAAAAGTCGAATCATGTTATATTTTGGTGATCTTTTTGTCGAAACATATAAGTAAACAACGGACATCTGAGAGCATATGGTAAATAATTCCAGGTGTCGTCAAACATGGTACACTCCCAATTTACGTATATCCCTATCAGTTGGATAAATACATATATATAGCTCTCATTATTTGCTTACGTTTTTTAATATAAAACAAATATACATATATGTTACAAGTAGCAGACAAGCCGATAAATCTACAATTTGAAATGATTCAACTAAATATACAGTATCATTGCATTTGAAAGACAGTGGCACCCCCTGGTGTTGCCCCACATTGATATCTGAAAACTAAGGATCCCAAAGCCCACCTCAAAGATGCTCAGTTTTTTAACTTGGGTGTTCTGAAATAATATTTATTAGACCATTTATTAAACTACAACTTAGTCTGTTGCTCCCTTCGTTGTGATCTTGTCGTATCAGGTTGAGAACTCTCTCGTAATTCTGCTTCCTTACTGCGAGGCTTCTGTGATCGAGCCACAGCAATGTTCAAACACTGTACCCAATCTTGGGCATTCTTTCCATCTTTTGGTTTAAAAACATATTGCGTGTTGTCATGCGTGAAGATTTCAAAAGCACGTGGAATGTCTCTGGTACCTTTACATACTGCTTTGACAGTTTTGATCTCTCGAACTGGAAATGTCTCTTTTTTCTGGAAGAGTGGAATTTTATCAAAATTAAAACTAGAATTGTAATTCAATATTATTATATGGCAAGATGGATTACGTTTTGCTGTATGTCAATGATTCTGGATTCCGATTTACACAAATGATGCGGATTAGCATCTCCTGATTGACCATGAATCAATCAATCTGAATGTTGCATTCCGGCAACATCAGATTGATTGATTCATGGTCAATCAGATAGAAATTGATCTTGTATTAAACTAAGATGTACAAGGAGGAATTATCTTAAATGGACAATAATGGCCATGCATCTTTTAATTATGAAACTACATCAATTTAATAAAGCATTACTGAATCTTTTTTGTTGTAGGTCATGGTTGCCCCTGACAATGTAAAGTATCTCGTCTTCCATCTCTTGAGAAACTTCCACTTTCCTCTCTTCTCTTTCAATTGGCCCTAAAAAGAAATCACAAAATGTAAAATTGTTGTCTTTATCATTTATTTATGGAGGATACGGATACAAAAGTTGTTTTATTGTGTTCAACATGTGCTTCCTATGTATGATGTTATACATGTTCATGGTGATCCAGAAGTGAGAGTTGAATACTACTGACCCAATTATCTTGAAACTTGGTACAGATGTTCTCGAAACATTACCGAATTGTTACCTCAAGATTATTTTTTCAACTATTTGATTGGACAAATCCATGATTGCTATGGTAACCTAATGTAATGAAATCAAATATTTAAAAGAATATATGCCTTTTATGGTGCAAATTTTTCATCAGGGAAATGTTGTCTCTACTGATAACATTTAACTTTTTTAATTCATAAAATTATTTTTTTCCAACATACATACAAGTTGCAAAATATATAGACCCACCCACCTCTATAACTGGGTTACCATCCTGGAGCAAGTCAGTATACTTCTGAGGGTGGTTACAGATAAAACAGCCCCAGATTTTAAGTTCAATACCTCCATACTCAAACACATCGAAGAATCTCTCATGATTTAATTCTTGGATCAGCAGTTCTTGGTCCTAGAAACAAAAAGTGATGAATTATCAACATGCAAAATGTCACATTCAGAGGCCTTATTCACAAAGCATCGCAATTTGAATGCGATTGCTATTGCTATGCAATTGCGACATCGCAATTTTGGCGCGGTATTCACAATGACAAGATATCGCAATCGCGTAGCAATAGCAATCGCATTTAGGATAGCAGTGTGTTAGCAGCTTTACTGTAACAAATAAATCAAACATAGGCTGGTTGAAATGGTATTTAATTGATTTACGACTGTCCGTGGAGTTAATAATAAAAACAAAGATTAAATAAAATAAAATTGTTGTGTTTAAATGATTTAATAGACCCAACATCCATTTATTTGAGTAGTTTATTCGATTCTATCCCAAGATATATTTCTAAATTCTATTTTGATGGGTATGGGAGGGGACCCGCTCAACCCTCTCAAAATTATATCTTCTAGGAACTTAGTTTATGTTAGCTGTTTTCCAATAATCGTTCCATCAATCCCCTTCGTTGCCTCAAATCGTTCACTCCTCCGTATTTTTACAATTTACTCTTTATCTATTAATGGAATTAAAGTTCAAGTCCATTCCCTCATATAACGAAGATACCTCTCGATCATCTCATGATCATCGTAAATATCCAATGGATGTGTTCTGTCGCGAAATAATCTCGGTCTTACTACTACTGTCTGCGGTTCACCGCTATCATCGCCATTTTGTTTTACAGTGTCTCAGACGACTGATAATGGCGGGAATTATAACATTGCGAATCATTGATAGCAATTTTAGATGAAATATAGAAAATATTCTTCCATTATTTAAGACGACTTTAGACCCTTAGTATCTCGTCAGAACACATGAAATGACGATTTTTTTTAAAATCACATGTTGGTTAGTATACCGAAAAACGTTGTATTAAAATAGCAAATAATTCTGAGAACGCTAAACGCATTTAATTAAAACATAAAGCAACCTTTAATATTGCGACTGTATTGCGGTTGGTAGAGGGTAGTCGCAATTATACGACGCTATTGATGCGATTAAATTGCTAAGTCGCAATCGCACTTTGATGTGAATAAGAATTTTAGCGATTTTTGCGATGGCGATTGCGATGTCGCAATCGCATAGGATACGACACATTGTGAATAAGGCCTCAGCTATTTATTATAGACATCGAATGCTGAATACTAACTGCTGAACACCAACTGCCGCCACAAAAAAGTTGGAGACTATAACCATATGTCATCACTTGTGGTGGTGACATAATAAAAGGATGAGTCAGAATACATGGTTCCTTGGTCCCTCTCTTAAATGTTTGCTAAACATGGTTTTTATTATTGTCCTAGTTATATTTGATAAGTATATGTACATGTACTTTTTCTTGAGTACTGATTAGTGGTCGGACTTGCCTGAAAATCTCCACTCGAGTGGACCATGAAAAACCACGATTATATTCGCGATTTGACATAGTTGAGTTACTTCCGGTTTCAGTTTCCCAAGTAGCAGCAGAATTCATCAATTTGATCAAGTCTTTCAAGTGCCTCTATACTTTTTATTGTCTAAATCGTATATGTTGGATATTCCCAGAATCTGTGCTTTCATTAACGCCGTCCCATAATGGAGAGGACCCAGTTTTTACTATAGGGACCCCAAACAATGAAGAAAATGAGGGGTCACTTGGACGCAGTGCAGGTCATATAAAAAAAATCAACTCTGGATGAATGTATTGATAAAGATCTTACCTTCAGTCTTTTATTTGGTCAAAATCCAAACGTCAAAATAAACGAAGGATATTCTATTTCTAAAAGAAATAGAATTTTCTTTCGGAGTTTCTTTCCTGGAAGTTGATTTCCGATCAAAATAGTATGAGGTTTGTGATTGGACAATCACTAGTTCTGCCAGAATGCATCAAACCGGAAATGAAAATAATGAACGCAGAATAAAATCCAAGTATGTTTGTCTTCCGCACATGGCATTAAATAGAAAATAAGTCGCATTCTATACAGATTAAGCAGAACATTACAACTATAAGCATGGAAATTGCGAATAGGAGAGACGAATCGCGAGTCAAGGTAAGGTGAATCAAATCGTGAGTTCAAGTTTTCAACTCGATCAATTGATTTTTGGGACAAATGCGAGTAAAACTCGAGTACACGAGTCAGTCTTCCAATCACTAGTACTGATGCATAATTAACCTCCTGCTGAGAGTCAAAATAAGCGTTGTAACTAAAAAAAAAATTAGTACCGTGGGTACTGGGCTCACATGGTGTTGCTCAAAAGTGAAGGGAATGATGGCTAAAATAACAGAAAATAAAAAAAAACGGATATAATTTTTTGCTGATTTTTTGTAACAAAATTATTTCAAGCCACTTGCCACTATTTCTGACTGACTGAGAGACAGATGGACAAATCGATGTAAAAATGGCTGAAAAAAAAACGGATAAAATGTTTTGCTAATTATTTGTAACAAAATTATTTCATACAACTACTCTTTACAATGACATGGCTTTTTGCAATGCAGGACACCTGAAATTATTTGTAAAGCTAGGAAATGGGCCAAAACTGAATTTCGCAAGACAAAAATGGCGACCATTTTGAAAATAGGCAAGGAGTCATAAGGGAGTATTTTTGTTTTGATGTTGAACAAAAATAACTTGAAACTGGAATCCTATCGACAGAGGTTTCAAGCAAATGGTCCAAAAGAGGATTTCGCGAGACAGATGGACAAATCAATGTTAACTAAAATGGCTGAAAATAAAAAAACGGATATAATATTTTGCTTATTTTTTGTAACAAAATTACTCTTTACAATGATATGGCTTTCTACTATGCAGGACAGCTGAAATTATTTGTAAAGCTAGGAAATGGGCCAAAAGTGAATTTCGCGAGACAAGAATGGCGGCCATCTTGAAAATAGGCGAGCTTTTGAACCAAGAGTCATAGGAGAGTTTTTTGTATTGATGTTGAATGAAATTAACTTAAAACGGGAATCCTATCGACAGGTCCAAAAGTGGATTTTGCGAGACAGATGGACAAATCAATGTTAACTAAAATGGCTGAAAATAAAAAAAATGGATATAATTTTTGGCTGATTTTTCGTAACAAAATTATTTCATACATCTGCTTTTTACATTGATATGGAGTTTTACAATGTAGGACACTTGAAATTATTTGTAAAGCTAGGAAATGGGTCAAAAGTGAATTTCGCGAGACAAAAATGGCGGCCATTTTGAAAATAGGCGAGCTTTTGAACCAGGAGTCATAGGGGAGTTTTCTGTATTGATGTTGAACAGAAACAACTTAAAACAGGAATCCTATCGACAGAGGTTTTAAAACGTGCCACTGTTGTTGACGGAAAAGTTGATTTCGCGAGTCAGATGGACAAATCAATGTTGTAACAAAATAATTTCATATATCTACTCTTTACATTGACATGGTCTTTTACAATGTAGGACACCTGAAATTATTTGTGAAGCTAGGAAATGGGTCAAAAGTGAATTTCGCGAGACAAAAATGGCGGCCATTTTGAAAATAGGCAAGCTTTTGAACCAGGAGTCATAGGGGCGTTTTCTGTATGGATGTTGAACAGAAATAACTTAAAACAGGAATCCTATCGACAGAGGTTTTAAAACGTGCCACTATTGTTGACGGATGGATGGACGCACACACGGATGGACGGACGGACAGACAGACTGACGAGTGAGTGATTGCAAAAGCTCACCATGTGAGCTAACTAGTCATTTTCTTGATCATTTCATGAGAGATTTTTTAACCAGATATGAAACCAACTTCCACATTCAAGACAATAACCCAGATGCGAGTAGAAATAATCTTGATTTACGTCATTAAAAATTCAGTCAAAGTAATATCATATTTGAAATCTACATGTAAAATTACATCTAGAAATGTGGTTTTAAAAAGTGTTTATCAACTTTGAAAAATTAATTTTCTTTGAAAATGTGACTTCTAGCTCGGGGAGATTCCCCATAGACCCCATGCTATAAAATCACAAAAAATGAAATATATTTTCTTTTAGTGGACAGATAATATTTTGCTTTCCTGGACATATTTTCATGAGTATAAATATCAGACACATAAGAGATATATTAAAATTGAGCCACTTAAATTGATGATATTCAAGTTTAAGGGAACTTTCTTGTATACCTGCCATGTTAATTGACCCGAATCAGCCACCTGGTGGTGAAACTGGTAACTACCTACTCGCATTTGGGTAATTGGTTAGTAGCATATGTTCCCACTAACAGAAATGAAGTTAACATGCCATGAATTACAAATTACAAAACTACCTTAAGCGAAGGAAATGCTGCAGTTACAACACGTGTGAATGTGTTACTCCCATCAGTTTTCAAAGCATCCCAGCTTCGCTTTAATGTATGCACCTCAGCATGGTCCCTACTTAGAGCCCTTTCAGCGCTTGCCTGCAACCAAATAGCATGTAACAGTTTTATGGGTTCTTCATAATGAGAAACATCCTAGTTGGTTAATATATGTTTTTTCAACAAGGAGGTCATAATTTATTTATTCAATATGCCTGCCAAGAGTACCACAAATTAGAATCAATAGTTGAATTCCAAAAACAACATTGACATCAAAACAGATAGGAGCCTTTATATTGTTATTTCAGTATTCAGATTGTAATCTACAGTTGTTATTATCTATTTACCAGCATATCAAAAAGTTGCTATCTGAATAAATCTATTTCCAAGATGTTATTCATTGAAACATATCACATGTACAATATCTATATATATACTTGTATATATATCAGTTTACCTGTAGAGCGAGAAACTTCAGATGTATCCAGAGTTTTGGCAGTTTGCTCCTCATGATGAAATAATTTTGGCTGTAAAGACACTCAGGCCGTGACATTGAACAGTTGAAACTCAATTTCAAATATCGCTTGTGGTGTTTGTTTTCTGAAATGAACATCAAAATCCTCAAAATTGATGCCCTCATTTTAGCTCTTTAAGAATATCAATTAAATAATAACATCAAATTGGAATCTGTTGTCTGGTAATTGCAGACTGGTAAGAGTTAATAAAAATCTTGAAAGGTGCTTACATCCTATAAAAGGATCAATATTCAATGTTAAGAATGGGGGTCGTATTCAAAAATATGTATTGCACAGGATAGGGCTAAAGATACTCCTGTGTTTATTCATGACCTTACCTTCTACTACACACACTACTGGCTCAGGAATGCGGGCAGATACATGACTGATGTAATTACGAATCTTATCCATATGCCTCTCACAGAAATGCAGAACTGGGTCAACTGCACTATGATTGGTGGATGAGCTGCCTGCTGAGTGTGTACTTGTAGTTGTCATGACGCTGTGTGGTCGCTCTATGTGGGGCCTGTCTATTCTGTGTCTCAGTTCGGGTCCAGTGCTGCAATCATTATAAATATTATTAATAATTGTTATATAACATAACACCACATGTACAGATCTCAGTTTTTTTAAACAGGGTGCAAAATTCTAATTTCATCTTTTTGCTAAAATTATTTCAATATTTCATTCAAAATCAATCATCCATTTAACTTAAAAATAGTTTTATGGTGAAGACGCATGAATAATTTGTGTGTACTGTTCCTAAAATGGGTTTAATAAATTTTCAGGAGATTCTGAAAAAGGTTAATAGAGACAAGGGGTCTTAATGAAAATATATGTTATGTTATATTTATTTTCATATTATAATTATTACAATTTGAATAACAAGGTTTGCACAAGACGCTGGGCGTATACTGTGCAGTTTACACCACATTATATATTACATTGTAGTATATATATGGTATAGCAAGAGCACATACTTTGATGATAAGGATCACTAGATATACATTTCTCAGGTAATATTCTATCAGCAACAATTTTACATTGATATTTGTCATGCCTCAAATGATAGTACCAAATTGACATCATTATATTATACATTCTTTGCATTCCCACGGAGCAGTGAGAAACCCCTAACTGACCTTTTTCATTTGAATAATTCACCAGTTTTACTTACAATGTTCATAATTTCAAGTAAAACTACACATATACATGTTTTCAATAGGTATGTACCAATATAGTTAAACTAAAATCACATGTAGATCTCCTCTACTAACCTTGAAGGTCTGGGCATACGTTTGGCAATATTACTGTTTGAGTTGCTTCTATGGTAGATATTAGGATTACTTTGTCGTTTATCCCGGTGGTTAGGGGATCGTGTGTAGACATGGGGTCTTGTGGGCTGATTGTGAGAGGAAGTGACTGCATTGTGTGGCAAACTGTTTGCATTGCGAGGTGCTTGGCCTGTGTTGTGAGGCACGAATCCTCCATTGTGAGGTTGAAGCATTGTATTTTGTGGAATGTTCATGCTAATATGCATTACAGGTGGAGTCTGTGTGGTCTGCTGTGTACTGTTCACCATAGATGGGGCTGATGGTTGCTGCCCAACTGCGACATCAGAGGTGGTACTCCCCAAAGAGGCTACCCAAGCATTGGCAGGAGGGGGATTACCCACTGTAATAACTGTAACTGTACCATCTGTCTGGCAACTTGTAGATTTCATCTCCTTGCCACCGGATGACCTACAATCAAGCATTCAAGTTCAAGTTGTGACAATTATGGACACAAAAAGAAATAAAAATACAAAAGCTGAGGTCAGTAGCTAATTAGCTAAGCGTGAAGAAGGCAAGGTAACTGCCTCAGAAAAATATATGCAAATGATTGAATTCCACTGATATTATCAGAGAGCAGGGACTTCGACTTGTACATGGTAAGAGCGATACTTTGACTTGAGCAGTACCTCCACTTTCAAGGAAAGAATAGATACTTTTACCTACATAGTGAGAGCATGTACTTTGGCATAGCAATACATAGAGGGAGCAGGTACATAGTACTTTGACTTACGTGGTGAGAGCTGAATCTTTAAGTTGTTGCACAAGGACTCTTGTAGCTGCTGAGCTGCTCTCCGAATACAAACTGATCTCAGAGAGGTGACTGTGTAGCATCTCTGGGTGATTACTTGACACATTAGCAAGCTCTTTTAGGAGAATGGGGAGTGTGTTCTGGTCAGAACCAGATAACTGAGACACCAGGTAATTGATGGACTCATTGGCTTGCATCTGGAATCGGAGTTAAGGTAAATGCAAAAGCGTTGATTTGACATACTTGATTCATCTTTATATCAAACTACAGGCCCGTAGCCAGGGGGGGCTCTGGGGGCTCGGACGAGCCCCCCCCCTGATATCTCCTAAAAAATGTGGACCTACCTTTTTGCTTCCTTGAAGAAAAACTTGCTCTTCCCCACGTTCACTGGGCAATTAAGATTAAAAAACTGGCTTTACTTTGCATTGTTTTTCGAATTTGGGCATTATTTTTCAAAATTTGGCCCAATTGTTTCACGGACATATTTGTGCCCCTTTCCCTCTGTTTTTAAGGATCGTCCCTTTGTGTTTTGTTAAAAATGGCCTCCTGGGGGTTCCAGGAAGGGGGGGCATGGGGCCACCCCCTCCCTAGGATGGGCCCGGAAAAAAATGTTGGCCTTAAAATATTGTAGGGCCTCTTTAATGGGCTTTTTTGGGCTTAACTTGACCTTTTTGGGCCTTATTTTTTCAATGTTAGGCCAAATTTTCAGAAACGGGCTATAAATTTTCAAAATTTTGGTGTTATGGCCCTAAAAATTTTACGCGCGGCCCTAGAATGGGCCCAGAAAAAAATGTTTGGCCAAAATTATTGTAGGGCCTCTTTAGTTGGCCTTTACTTGACCTTTTGGCCCTATTTTTCAATTTTAGATAAAAAAAAACGGGCCATAAATTTTCAAAATTTTGGCCCAAATTTTAGTTTTAGGGCCTTAAAGAATTTTCTGCGCTGCCCTAGGATGGGCCCAGAAAAAATGTTGGCCCAAAAATATTGAAAGGCCTCTTAATAGTCCTTTTCGAGTCCCCCCTTACAAAAAGCTGGCTACGGGCATGAACTAAAGCTATGATTGAAATATGATCTTTAAATTTGTATAAACTCACAAACCTACACAGTATTTCAATTGCTTTTAAGAACTGCATTTCAGGTTCATGTAACTACATACAGCACAAAGCAGAGTGCATGTAGAGGGAAGTGATTCAAGATTCCTAAATTTCTTCCTTTTTTAGACCCCTTTTAATTAAGGCTTTGGATGCCTATCTCAATAGACTTTGCCACACACATTATTTTGTTGCTAACTTCAATATAAGATCTAGTGCATTCCTCTATTATGCATAATCCCAGAGTACATTAAATCTATTTGAACTCACCTTGTTCAGTTTTCCTGTCTGTCCAACAATCCTTGCAACTAAGCTTAGCACCTGGGGCTGCTGGGAAGCAACATCTTGTAACGTGATCATGTGACTGACAAATGGCTCACCATTGGTTGTTGCCATGTCAACAAATATTTGTAGCACCATATTTGATGTGGAAGAAGATTTTAGAGCAACACATAGTTGGGTGATGTAGGATTCCAACAACTAAAAATGAAATATGCTCAGTCAGGGACTATTGTAAAAACTATGAAGCTTTGTAATTTACTCTATCTACAATGCAGGGGCGGATCTTGGAACCAACAAGGGGGGAGGCAAATTTCAGGCCAGAGAAAAAAATATTTTGGGCCCATCAAAATTTGGCCTGAAATTAGGCCTTTAAGGCCCAGTAATGAGCCTTAAGGCCTAATAAGGCCAAAATCTTTTATGTGCCCAATTTTTTTTCTGCCCCCCCCCAGTGCAATATAATATGTAGTTATGAAAATTTGTTCAAGACCTTACATTACACACAAAATATATATCATATTGACTTACTGAAGGTTTGTGTTTAGCTATGAGTCCATAGAGCTGTAGAAGACTGGTTCTCTCTGAAGTCTCGCAGTCATCCAGTATTGCAACAAGGTCACCAATATGTCTATTAATTGGTCCCTTGTTATCACCATATATTTGGGGCAGAACTCGTGTCAATGCTTTGTTACCTGGAAAAATAAATACCATCTATGAATAATCAACAACAGGAGATAAAAAATTGTCAAATCTTAATTGAATTCAGCAAATCTGAAGACTATACAATAAAATGGCTTGTTCATGCCCATACTTAAAGTATATTTCAATGGATGATAAATGTATCACATGGCATGTTAAAATCATACCTTGTATAATACAGTTGTATCACATGCCATGTTAAAATCATACCTTGTACAATACAGTTTTATCACATGCCATGTTAAAATCATACCTTGTATAATACTGTTGATGATTGGCTCCAGATGTGGGGAGAGAAGTTCTGCATTGTCAATGGCAGCCAGGGAGAGATAGCTGGACATATTGCGACTCAAGTCCCTGCTTCCTTCCTGTAGAAACCTTACTGCAGTTGGAATTGCTTTAGACATTACCAGCTTACGATTGTAGTTCTAAAATCAAAATTATGTTCAAAATCATTTCAATAAGTCACAAAGAGGCAGTCTGATATCTGACATCATGTCTATTACACAACAATCAAATTCTGTCTTTTAAAAATGTGTTATACTCATGTGTCTTTTGACAGTTTAGTGTTTGAGAAATGAATTAAATTCAAAATGTCAATAACACTATAGTATGTGATTTGAAGCCATTACCAAGAAAATGCAGCTCATTATGTCTGAAGCAATTTTGGCATGAGGGGTGTCTTCATCCTTAGTGGGTGGCTTGAGCTCGTGTTTAAGACACGACTCAAGGCATCCTACTAGTGATTCTATGTGCTGCTCTATGGTACGCATCTCCCTGTAAACATATCAATTTCATTAGGTTTCACATGTACATCTACATGGACCTGGTAGATTAATGCACTTATGGAAAATGCTCTAATTTCAAGATTTTTTATGTCATTCCACCTTTTTACATAATATGCAAAAAGATAGATGATACTTGCATATTCAAATTATTGGCCAATTGATATGGTGAATGCGGAGAATGTGCCAGTATAGTGAACAAAATACACAAAATAGTAAGGACAAAGTGACAATTCAACAGAAACGTTCCGTCAGGCATTCATTCTATGACCTTTACAAACTACATGAGACAAATAAGGAAAAATATCTATGTGTGTTTGATTACCTTATTGCTGATGTGACTCTGGTGATACATATCTCCACTACACTTTGATCATTGTCATTGTCTATATAGCCGGGTGTATCTGCTATCTCCTGGATCTTTACCAGCACCTAGCAAGAAATCAAGCCTTTTATACCATGAACAATATGTCACACCCAAGAGTGGATGAGGAAGAGCCAACATATTTATTTTTAAAACCTTCCCATTTTTTGAAAGTCATTTCTGCCAGTGGTACTTATCCTTTTACATTGCCATGGACTGACGCCGAACCAGGCATACGCGAGGGTACGCAGTCGCGTACCCTAATGATGGAGCAAAAAAGAAATTGTTGTACAACAAAATAAAAAAGCAAAGCAAAACATTTTGTTTCATGATCTTTCTTGGACTACTTCTCATCAAGACATAGTTTGATATTGCTCAGAACGCACTATTTAAGGTCTAAAATCAATTTTTGTCCGGGGAGCATGGCCCTGGACCCACCTTCGGCCTTGCGTACCTGCTATCAAAATAAACAATAAAAAATACTGGGATATTATCAATCACAACTAACAGTTATCGAGTAGTACCTTAAAATTGGTTTCTATTAAAGGAAAAGCAATAACATCACTAAAAGGTCATTAAAAATAAATTAAGAATTCTAAAAATCTAAAATTTTCTCACATCTCCCAAATCATCATTGATGTCCTTGTCCTCCAGAGAAAACAAATCTCCTGCCTTTGACAGATCTTTTTCAGCTAATACTTTTGCAAATAGTTCATGCATTGTTCTGAAAATATAGAGGTACATGTGTTAGCTAACATGTGTATACTTAATACGTGGGATTAATGTTCTATATCTGGAACTCTAATGTGAGATGTACAAAGTGGAATATACAGTCTGAAAGAGACCACAAACTCATCTTTTAAAGTGTGTCATCAGATATTAGCCAGTGAGGCAATGGAAACAATTTCTAATGATATAATTACATGTATATTGTATCGTGTCATGGGCTTTCAAGAGAAGTCCATGATCATGTTAAATATATAAGGGAAATAAATTCAGATTTAAGTAAAAATGAAATTTAAATTGCACATATTGAAGTAAAGGCAGTAAATTTAAGCATTTCTATATGTCGCAAAATTACTTCATCTGATTTGTACATACAGTCCATTTCACTTAAGTTGCATAATAATAAGTGTATTTATCAATGGCGTTTTGTTCAGTATGTCGATGGCAGTTTTTGATACGATTTCGCATTAGCCATTTAGATATTATCATAACCTGAACCGACTTTTTCCAAACAATTTTGAAAGCCATCTCGAATACTTCTGAATGTATCCATCATCAAGGACACAGAGGATACTGAATGATGTGTTTGTATTCATAAGGTATGTATGCTTGCCTGGATCTCATTATAAGGGGTAATATCATGTTATCCTGATTTAAACAGTAGCGCTTGTTGTAGGCGGGCTGCCCCGCCCCTGATGACTTTGACTGTTGGAGTCTTAATATGTTACCATAATAATTTCTCCAATCTTCAGAAAACATAAAAAATTTGAACCTAAGTACCACACTAAAGCCAAGCAGTGTCGCAATGTAGTGGCGCAAGAATTTCTTAGATTAAGGTAAGGACCTTTGAGAAAAAGCAAAAACTCCATATCTCGAGATTTTCAGAGTTTCAAAACATTTATTGGTGATGATCTGCCTCTTAGGTAGTGACAAATCTCAGATATATAAATATAGCCCCAGAGGCGCATTGATTCACCTTCTCTTGTCGAAACAAGCGGTAGATCTACAGTTGGGGACAAAAATAAATGACAGGTCGATGTTCGATCACCATTTCCTAATTATGGTGGTCTGAAAGCCCATAATTTCCAATATTGTCTAGATATATGTCCCTTAAAATTTGTATATTTTACATTTTGTATAATCTCATTCACTGATGTATGGCTTCTTGTAAATTCTCTTATTTTTAACATGGGAAATCCTCACTTCAGCAAATCCACCTGTCATTTATTTATGTCCCCAACTGTAGATCTAACACAAATAATAATTTCCATGGAGGTTAGACCCAGTGGAAGCGATAAGATAAGTCAGAAAAGAAATAAGGCACAGAGACTAGGTTTAATTTTATGGTGTGGTTAGTTTAACAATTTACCATTGGATATGAGATGACTTTCATTTTGATTTTCTCGGCTAGACCTAATTTTTTGTTTTCGTTTTTGATTTTTTCATGATTCACAAAATGTTCTCTCTTCTTTCTCACAAAGTAGTCAAACAAATTTCTCTTTAGGTCATTCTATACTTACAGTTCATTTTACATTGCCAACTATATCTCCAGCCATTGCCCTATACAGACAGACGATGAAAATCGATAAAATTTTATACTTTAAAAATGTAGTAAGGCGGAAGTGGTATCCGTTTTCTTTTTTTTCCCAGGATGCCATTCGTTGTTGTTTTGCGGGAAAATTTGAACAACGTTAACCCTTGTCGGCCAAGATAGTGGCCAGCTTCTTTTGTCACGCGTATTTTTTTCGAGGTCTCCTCTGCCCAGCCGAAGGCAGCGCGAAGTAGGAGCGTAGCGACTACTTTGCAGGAGACCTCGAACCATTGATCACGTTTGCTCCTGTAATTATTCACTTCTTCACCTCTTTAAAATGTGATTTCAATCAGTTGATCAAATGTACGGACTTTGACCTCAAATTCAATTATTAATATTTATAAGAAAAAATACTGACTCATTGATATATTTTTAAAAGTCTTTTAAATAAAGTGAAATGAAGCCAAAATCAGCTAAAATTATGCAATGTCGTAAAATGGCGTGACTGGAATATGATGCAATCACCCGTGACGTCAGACACGTATTGCCACATCAACAACTAAACAAACAATTAATATAGACTTCACTGATTGGTTTAAAGATTCTTCGCATCATTTGTGACGTCATTAACATGTTACCCAACCAACAACTAAACAAATAACAAATAGGCATATAGGTTCGTTCAGTCCCACGCTCTTGAATCAGTTATAAACAGGGATAATCAACAGATATGAGAGGGTCAGGCATTTTTTGACTTGGAGACCTCGACTCGAGGAGTTTGCTGCATTTTCTTGTTTCTTTATCCTGTGTCGTGATCGTGTACATGTCACTTGGTACTGTAATGCTGGCTTTTGTCACTTGGTACAGTATTTTCACATTGTACGAAGCATAATTGCACTTTGATGAATGAAATTTCATGACCATGTGCAATTTTCAGATAAACAACTCACACATCATCTGGCTTTCATTCTTGCACAAAAGATGTATTAGTGTAGTGTACCTAAACTATTAATTGAAGGTTGATAATTCTTCAGAATGTTTGAAATAATAGAATATTCAGTGGTTTAATTTTCAAAATTGCAAAAAATCCAAAGTGCACTCTGGCCTTCAAGTCCCACTATACTAAATTAAGAAAAAAAAGAAAAAAGGAAAAAATAACACACACATTAAACAAAGAGCATGTCTTAAATTACTCTTGATTTAAATGATGGCGACACTTCTATAAAAATGAATGTATCACACTGGCGGATTAGGGGGGGGGGGCCTGGGGGCCCGGCCCCCCCCCCCCCCTTGGGTTGGCCCAGAAAAAAAAAATTGGGCCCAAAAAAAATGTTGGGCCAAAAAAGGCCTTCAAGCCCCAAAAAATGGGCCTTTTTGGTCATCACTGGGCCTTTTAAGGCCTTATTTTTTAATTTCAGGCCAAATTTGGAAGAAAATGAGCCTCAAAATTTCAAAATTTGGGCCCACTTTTTGGTTTCAGGGGCCCAAAATTTTTTTTCGCGCGGACGTTTTTTTCTCTGACTTGAAATTTGGCCCCCCCCCCTTGTTGATTCCCAGATCCGCCCCTGTATCATGTAATACAAACAAATTCGCCAATATTCTACTATACCAACCATGCTATCTGCCGGCTATCTGACCCGAACGACTCGAGCCACCTGGTGGTGAATCTGGTAACTACCTACTATCTGCGTTTTTATTACTTGATACTTGTCACTTATATTGCGTAGGGTCCCGGGATATCCGATCACAGTAGCTGACAGTCGTTTCAGGGTATTTCAACATAAAGGAACTTCCTAAGGGGGTACATGGGCCAACCAGAGAGTTTCCTTTAAATTCTAAAATGAGTTGTAAACCAACAAGAAATGCCGCGTTTTAGTAACAGAGTCATTGCTTGAACAGCCTCCCTGAGATGACAGTGATGGCACTGATAGTTCGGATAAGTTCAAGGGAACATTAGACAGATCAGAGACTCGGGGTCATTATAATATTATTACATGTCTCTGGACAGATGCTGGCAAAATTATCAATATGACATAGTTTAATGTAAATAAGCTATAAACTTCAAGATCTGAGCAATCATTGACCTTCAAGCTCAGAATATGGGGATGATGATGATGATGATGATGATGATGATCTAAATTGTATTCTATTCAAATTTTATCACTGTTAAACTATATATCTGCTTTAAATGGGCTTATTAGCCTTTTGCAGATTATTGATGTAGATGTACTGACACGGGCTTTCAACTACGGAATTGAAACACCATAATGTAGACCATGATTGACTCAACTATTTTTACACTGTCAATTGTAAATTTTATGGGCCAACAAATTTTTCTGTAAAAGTTGATGAGACAGTTGAATTTTCACAAGTTACGCTCAGGAAAGAAGCATGTCCCACCCAGTCCAGAAATTTGGCGACCTTATATCAGAATGGATGTTCAAGGGTTAATATTGAAGCAACTACAAAGTGCCCGGATAATGACATCATTACAGATCCGCCATTTTTGTTTGGAAGAAGAATATTACAGGAATTTTTATCGATATTTATTGAAAATCTGCAGCCATGTAAGTATCTCGTACATTTTAATACCAACTATATGTTCATGAAGAAATCGTCTTGATATATAGATGTGAACTTTCTCCGGGAAATATACCGATAATGTTAAATTCAACATTTTCTTATAACTTTCAGATCAGCTGCTATTTTTATTTTTCAGAGGAAAATAATCATCCTATTTTTCAGTCATTGTCACAATTCACAATCATCTACATATATTACCATAGTTACCATTATTTTCTATTTTGATTGTCTGAGTCCAAGGAACAAGTTTTGTTTTATTTTGGTTATTTCACGAAAAATACTTTTTTTGACACATGATGACTCAACTCAAGCCTATTCTGAGCTGTGAAAAGGTCACCTGACGTGTTGTGCACAATGGTTATTGAAAGATCTCGTCACATCGAAAAATAGAAAATTGTTTACATCATCAGCATTCCTGGTGTATGTGGAATTTCTAAACATTTGCTTTAGACTATTTTTAATAGTAAAAATAGTCATATGACCTCTAGCTGTTCATCTGATCTTTTATTCATTGCTGTTTCCTATTTGAACAGTTATGAATGCAGAACTCAACAAATTTTAGAGAACCTACCACTTGATCCATGTACACATTTATATACACATGATTTAATTCTGCAGTCTTAGTGATCATAAAGTAGATTATTTGTGAGATTACGTCATATCAAAACAGCTACTTAAATTATATGTATATGATAAAGTTATATTAAAAATAGCTGTGTGTTATCTTTGACCTAATTTTTTTTCAAATGATTGAAAACAACATGATAATTTATAACTTTCACTCTTAAATGGATTTTGGGGTCCGTTTTGAAATAACGATTCAATCTATATGAATTTCCACCTAATCCCCGATTAATTCATTTTCTTTCAGATAAAACAAACCAAATGTAAATTGCATGATAACTTTTTGTCAAAGAAACCATATATTAAAATAAAATAATACCATAATCGCCATATTAAGGGCCCAACCCTAATAAGCACCCATCCCGCTTCACAGAGCTCAAGAAATATCGAGGAATGACCGAGTATTAAAGAATTTCCAAAGAAATATAGTGGGCGATAATAGTGTACTTACACTAAAATGCAGAAAACGTGACACATTTTGTAATTCGACGCATCCCCCGATTAATATCTATCAGTGGGTGCTTCCCATATCATACTTTACTAATATTATCTCAAAATAGTCCATAATGTTAAATGATGAAGGAAATGTTTATGTTTCAGAGTTTTGTTTCAACATTTTTTCTAAGTAGCGATCGTCAAGGTCATGAACTTTCTCTTTTCTTTTTAAGATTTCACGACTTTTACACGACTTTTACATGAAAAATGATGATCTGTCATCAAATTAAAAGAATAAGGCATACTTTAGATCAATATCTAACAGTCTATAGGGGAAATATTGAAGATAATCGTAGAAAACAATTTCTACACCTCAAGGGGCTCTGCTGGAGAGTTCTTCAGTCATTGTCAATATAGTTAGATTTTATTTTAGCGATCTTTACCATATTCTCTCCAATAATGATACATATCATTATTGCAAAAATATGATGTTACTTTCGTTTTGTTGGCAAGAAAAATTCCTATACATGAAATTCCTTGGGATTTTTGAGTTACTTCCTATATGGGCGCTTTTTGTTATGGGTTACAATGGGAATTTCAATTTCAAAAGCGCCCTTGGCGCCCTTTCCTTTTCTGTACTTGAACAGTTATATATCTACTTTCAATCAGACCTTTAACCTCTTTGCTATTTCCAGAGTGACAGGACTTCCCGTCACAAAATAATTTAGGTGACAATATAATATGTCATACAAGAATTTTGATTTGAAATTTTAGTCCCATCCACACAAATTTTATTTCAAGATAGATAAAAGAGCATTGATGTCTCAATGTTTACTTAATATATAACTAGAGTCATTTGTACAAATACAGCTAGTTCAGTTGCAAAAACTGGCAAACTTGTGAAAGGGCCATAGTAACTATATATATGATGCAGGATCATGCAAAGAAAAATAAATAAATATCTGAATTCTTTTCATTTTAAAACATAGGGTATTTAAATTATTAATATTTCTCAAGATACAAAATGTGACGACTGAAGACATTTTGTATTAGATAACGGAAGATAAGATTGCAACTTATCTATAATGCCATTCTGGACATCTGCTCTTCAGATCTTAACCAGAGCCTTGATTGTTATTAATTGTAGGTCATTCAAAACTAGATCAAAGTACCCTTTGTACTTTGCAAAGGTTTGGCTTCACATCTGAAAATATTAGCCTCATCTCGCATGCTATTGCATGTAGGTAGTCATATGCATGGTCATGATTGGTCTAGCATAGGCATAAGTCATTTAAAAAATGCTGTATATTTTAATTCACGTCTAGGAATATGTAATACATTTACCCAGCACCAACAGGGTGTCTTTATTTGAACAAATTTATGGTTTGAACCTCGAAAGACACATCATCGATTGGTTTTTAAATTGATGAGGTACTCATACCTCAACTGCTTTCTCTTTGGGTATGGGACAAGCTCAACCAAGGGCGTTACAATACCCGGGAATTTATCGGTTCGTCCAGTACTTGTTTGTGATAGCGCCCTCTGTAGGTCACTGTGCTTATAGCCTACAGTAATACGGGGTAGGATATCGGGAATTCGGTCAGTTTCTATCCGTCGATTTCGCTATGAATTGAAGCAAGTGTGACCACTTTATCCACTTAAACAATTTGATAATTGATTAAATCTTTAAACAAAATCGATAAACACGTTATACACTTCCTATCTCCTTAGAAATTAGCATGTATTTATGGATTGTGTTTTCGAACAAGGCTCGACTCACCCCAATAGGGAAAAATTTATGCTAATTAGTATGACGTCATATTTTCCTGGGGAATCCTAGATTTCAAGGCCTCAGTCTGTTATTGTGTCAAATGTAAACGCTCTTGGGACGCTCTTTTGCAGACAGAAAATTGACAGATTAGCTTTTAACTTTCAGCTTTGATGTTTAAATATTCTGTATTTCTACCGGACTTCTTGCTGAATATCATATAATGTTATAACTTGATTTGGATCATTGCCTGATTGATCATTCTGAAATTTTGATTGTGATTCATGATTGATTGGCAAGAAAAATAATTCCTATTGTTATCCAGCGAAGTCAAAATGTTACAGCATGAGTTATAATGTCGAGTTTGCATCATGTTAAATTCTGCTAGTGATTAGAAGTCCATGCACAAGCATACACATAAGAGACAAACACACCCAGGCTCCAGGCCGTGGATGGAAATATAAAACTATTTAAGGCACAAACTGGTATTAATAGACCGATATGTAGTGTCTGCCATGTATTGAAGGTAAACCAATCTGTATTATTAATGTTTCTTCTATCAATACATGGGTTGTGCAATAGAAAAGCAATGGCACAATCAAAAATGTGCATATCAATCGTGAATATCTCTCGGTTCAAAGCTTATTTCCAACAGAATCGTGTCAAAATATGTGTCTGAGTAACAGTTATACATTATAAGATCGCAAACTCTTACCAATTATCAGCCGAATGGCTCATTTTCAACGAAATGTCCTTAAGACAACAGCCCTGGGTCGCGCCTGAGACCAAAAACTACTTCAAATAGCCCTCCCCTAATTATATTGGATAATCACATTTATGCGTGCGCGCGCAGCTCATCCAATGAACGAAACGCCACTTCCCGCTGAAATCACCGGGTATTGATCTTTCCCTTGGCTCAACTGTGTATTTCATTTACTTTCTTTAAACAGAGAGAATAGTCTGTTATTGGAGTGTAATATATTAATATGATCAGTGGTAAGATCAATACATATATATTCACAATGTTATTCCAAAATTGAGACCAATACTGCAATGCAATATTGCAGTATTGCATGGATCAATATTTCCTGATAATCATTTATGCCATAACTCTCTAATCAAAGCTTTGTTGATTCTAAAACCAATACATTAACTCTGAAGTATGACTTAGAAGATAAACTTTCCTTACTGTACAGTTCCACAGTGCAGTAAGGTGTTCAAAGATAAGGAACAATTATGAATCAATTCATAATATCAGACCATATAAGGGGTAATATTGGAACACACTCTAATAAAAATACATACAAATGAAGATGATCCATTTTTACCAATCCTTTTTGAAAGATAACTCCATATTCCATCAGTATAGCCTGTTATTGACCAATACTTTTGGATGATCATCAAATTCCCCAACTGAGTGCGTTATATTGATTTTCAACTCATGTGCAGTATTAACATTTTCAACTGAGTTCAGCATGTTATAAATGCACTCAAGCAATACCTAAAAAAATCCTGATCATTTTTGTAAAATAGAGCTGTTTATACATAATTTATTGGTTTAATGCCCTGATGCAGGAATAACCAGATCAGAGTTGATTTCTTCTAATTATTCAATCTGACAGATTCTCTGAAATAGCATTAAATAATATAGATGGTCATATTAGCCATCTGATGCAGGATCTTGAGATCAATGTAATTGTTTAATTGTATACTACAAGTACTACTACATAACAATGTGTAGTGTATTGAACAATGAACGATCAATGAGAGGATTGAAGAATATGTCATTCATTGGCAAAAACTATTGATCATCTTGCAAGTGAATGGCACTTTCTACTTGCATATATCTTTCCCTTCAAATGCTTGAAGGTTGTCTCGTTGTGTTGGCATTCAGATTTAATATCTTTCAACAACAACATTGAGTGATAATAACCTCATATTAAATGTTATCACTCTTCAGTAGGATAGTCCAGAGAAGGACCATTTGATCTGCATACATCTTACAAATCAATCATCAAATGTACTTGTCTCTTATATCAAGCTCAGTCACTCATGTTCATTTTTCAGAGGGAATGGGGTGTAGCTACAGAGTATTGATGCAAGACATACTTGTTCATATCTATAACTGAACTGCTTTGTGTTTGTAGGTCAGAGATACCAGAGAAGCAGCCTCTAGGAGGAGAGGATGAGTAAGTCCCTGGATCAATTCCGGGATGATCACGACATATTCACACACTGCTGACACTTATTTCATCTCGGTTCACAGTTCAGTGGTTAATCTCAGTTGTATCTCTCACAAGTGTTCTGTTCTGACGCTGATATGAATACATATCATGAACAACCAAAAGCGCGCTATCAAGGGATTGTGGGATTAACCAGGCTCTTGTGATGTTGAGATATTTTTTCTAGATTTTGAGCACCTTACAGATGCATGGCACTTTTACATTCCAATATTCTATTCAATGATTATAATTATTAATAACTTACATTTTACTGTTATTCTCTGCATCATGTTATTTTAGGTCACAACAGCCTCAGGGTGGCCCAGGAGGCCCGCCAGCGTAAGTTTTCTAAAAATTCCATCACCCCTCTAATATATGAATATGAATATGAACATGAAAATCTACAAGAAAATAGAATTTTATCTTAAAGTGAGGGAAAGGGAATCCCATTGTCTATTGTTGTGGAAAACCAAAGTAAATTTTGTAAGGGGAGGGGATAAATGCAGATTTTGTTAGTTAATATGTTGATTGTGAAATTAAAGTAGATGCTAAATCATCATTTTCAAAAGGTGTTAATTAAGGGAAATGGGAGTAAAACCGTAACAAAATCAACTTTATTTTTTCACCACATTTGGACATATATGAGGAATGTATCATGCTATGCGGGAACTTAAAAGGACTGGTATGCAAAATTGGTTGAGGTTATGCTGAAAGGGTAGTAGTATGATCCTATTATAAAACCTTAGCCCATGGCAAAAACTAGCAATGTCAAATAGTCCATATCGCTTGATTAAACTAGTCCATTCTGTAAAGGAGGGGTGAATCAAGGTTCCTTATATATATAAGTTGCATGTGATGTATTGTGCTTCCAATCACCTCAGAAATGATACCATAAAAGGAGGAATCCCTTTAGCTCTAATTCTAGAGTACCCCAAGATTATTTCTTTCTGGTTTTGCATTATCAATAGACCTTGACTGAATGTGATAAATCTTAAAAAATGAGACATGACAAGTTCTAAATTGAAAAAAAGCTGTCAGATTTTTGCAAAATATGAGCAAAACACTTCATGTTGGAATATTTTTAAATTGTTATACAGTATATATTTACAATTAAAAAGAAAGTATGTATCAAATTCTTGATGATCCAGTTCAGTTGAAATTCAATGTAATTTTAAGATCGATTTAAAGGGGTTGTTCCTTTAAACCATTCCTATGTACATACATTTGATAAATATGTGGTATTATAATCATGTCTCACATTTTTAGCTAGATGTTCAAGTAATTGCACCACCAGAGAAATCTACTTATTTTACTTCTGATGAATGTTTTTTTTTCTTCTTAGCTATGCTTTTTAGTGTGAATGCAATGACAGTTGTAGACTTGTTTTCTATGTTGATAAGATTGCATGTACATTTTTCTAGTCATATACAATGAATAAATGATTAAATATCATCAAATTATTTGATCTTATTAATGTATAAATGTAGTTGAGTCAATAAATTATTTGAAATAGTATTCTCAATCAACAATAGTTATCTGTATTGTTTTAATGTTTCATAGTTGATGTGAGTTTATATATGTAGCATCTGTCCATAAATTGTCTAGCTTGTATTACTGTTTGCTGTTTGTTATTGTGTATGTCGTAAATGCTATAATTAAGTTAGTATTTAAAATATCTTCATGATATGTCATAAGATAATATCAGTTATATTTTGCCTTGCCATTATGGCTTGATATTTAATTACTGAGCTAGCCCAGAAAATGAATCTTACTTTCAACAATAAACATGATAAATCTAGAACAATGCTTACTTAAGTTGTTATGTCATGAGATAAATGTTCCACATTTTCATGAAGACTTTTTTGTAACCTGATTTTTAATCATAAATTTTAATCATCAGTTTAAGTGTAACTTAAGGAGTTATTCTGATTTTAATTTGTTGTGGTAAGTCATAAATGGGGGAGTGGGTTGATTCTAAGCCAAGAAAAATGAGTATGGTTATTTTCTATTCTGCAAAAGAATATTGCATGTTAGCATCTGATATCATATGGATGGTACATTGTTACCTGTGCAATCATATGTAGAATACACTCATAGAAAGCCTTATACATGTTTATAACATATAGTAGAATATGAAATTGGAAATTGTTTTTATATTCATTTTGAATTAAATATTTTCAATGTGCATTTAGGATTTTGGTATACTAAATAAGCCAGGCATTTTACTGTACTTATATGACGGTGTCATCATGTGAATTGTATATAGTTTTGGTAGATGATAATTGGAGGTATTAACTAACCCAGTTTTCTTTATATTACAGTTTGCTCCGTATCTGCCATTCAGGAATCTTGCTTTATGCTTGGGAATGCATCAGGCTATTGATTTTTCCAAGTATTACCACCCCTTGTTATTTCAGAATCCATATCTGAACTGATATCTGATTTTCATAGATTTTCAATACAAAATCATGATTATTTGAAGAACAAATTGTTATATGATTATTATGTAAAGCGTTTAAAGTTACTATGACGAAAATCTTTGTTGAAATGAATTCAAATTGAGACTGGGGTAGTATTTCAAAGGGATTATATTGATTTTCTGGTTTGTGAGACAAGGTCTTAGAGTACAATTATGGGGGAGTTGATTGCAATATGTCCTAGAATCGTGAGAATATCGAAGCTAAAGAGAACTAGGGATTAATATCTGATTGGATGAGGGTGGGTTATGAAACATCCTTAGTATTAACTGTAACATTATATTTAGTGGGAATAGAGCATTGATTGAATCGTTATAAAAAGCAATTTGCAACATTGGGCCATTTAATTTGAGATATTGCACATGAACTTGGAAGATTTGAATGACCTGGCATATTTATTGAGGAAGATATTTTTTGGTACCTTTGATAAAAATGATTTTTATGAATCTTATTGTTTGGAATGAGATGCATAAATCCATTTATCCTATGCCAAGTAGAGTTTTAGGGAGATAAGTTGGTAAGATATATCCCGTATCCTGATTTTGAGTTTTCCATATCCAGAACCTCCATATCTCCCGCCATATCTCCCGCTTCGGTGCATATCTTCCCGCTTCGGTGCATATCTTCCTGCTTCCGGTAATTTCACTGAAAACTCTTCTTTGTATAGGATAAAGCAGTTATGTACGATCGGTTTGGATATTGGGTTCATGCCTCGTGAGATATAGACATCTACCTTCGGTACCTACGGTCCCTCAGGTAGATATGCATATCTCCCTCTGGATAAACCCCATATCCAAAACCTCCCAGTACATAACCCTTATTTATATAGTTATGTATCCATAAATTCATCAAATAACTCATGTAAATGCAATAAGCATTTGGGGGTTAAAAATTCTTCTTATTTCATATCCGCTCTTTTGCATAAAGAGCACACAAAGGTACTTAGAAAAGAGTGAAATAGGTCACTGGGTTTCCTCATAGATCATTTTTCATACATTGATTTTCACTTTTTTTATGTACTCTTTTTGCAAAACTGAAAGATGTAGACAATGTGGGGAAAGAGGAGTCCATATTTTAAAAGGAACATCTGAGGATTGCGTCAAAATGGCAGAAAGTACACATTGACCTCAACTCAGATATCGTTTAAAAAAATCAAAAGTCATATAACAATATTCAAGCACATGATGAAATCTACATGTGGAGTCCAAATGGAATATCACTCAATTCACTGTTCCACAGCTGGATGACTCTAACTGCAGTCAGCTTCATTCAAGATGGTAGCCTAATTTCTTTCAATTTTGATAAACCTCTTATTTCAGCTAAACTAAGTTGAATCCTCAGCTTCACTAAGGATGACTCTTACTGAATTTGTCATCATCAACTTCAGTTAGAGTCATTATAAGTGAAGCCTTTCTCTTTCAAATTCTCTAATATCGCAGGTGTCTGTGCAAGCATTTATTTGTGTTTTTTTACAATCATAGTTTTCATTAGTTTGCATGGCGAAACTTTTAGAATCAAGATTCAGCTTAGTTTAGCTGAAATCAGAGGTTTGTCAAAAACGAGAGGATTTCGGCAACCATCTTGAATAAAGCTAACTGCAGTTAGAGTCATCCAGCTGTAGAACAGTGCAATTGCAATGCCAGCGAATAGCTAGTTTGGTAAATCCCTCTGTCCAGTCTGTTCTTGACCAAGGTCAACCATGTTTCTCTACTAGGGTATAGTATACGAGTATGCAACTATACATATGTAACTGGAATGCTGTTGATTGCAGGTCTGAGGGGGTAGGAGGACCACCAGTTCAGCGTGATGTTTCAAATAAACGTCTACAGCAGACACAAGCGCAGGTTGAGGAGGTAAGAATGGAGTCATGTTTGTCTATGCTGATCGTGTTTCTGCGCTCTTTGTTTGTAGGTCAGGGGAAGCTCCCCCACCACCACAGCCGGCTCAACAGAGTAGGCGTCTAATGCAAACACAGGCTGAGGTTGATGCGGTACGCTTTTAAAAACTCTGCATCGTGACACCCCTCTTGTTAAGCATGGAGTCATCCAAATAGTATCTTGGATGATTCCAATTTGTTGTTTGGCATTGTTAGAGGGGTGAAACATGCCTTTCTTGCACTTTGTCTAAATTTTCACCTTTTCACAGATTTTATCCATTATATAATGATGTTAATTTATGCCTGCCCATCAGAGGTTGTTATACAACTTACTTATCAATTGACAAAATAAGAAAATTGCCTTATAGAATCATAAACTGCATAAGGGAATTTCTTATATCTTTAGGGTGTAGCCAGAGAGGCAAAAAGGCAAGTCCAAATGCAAAATTTAACCTAGCCAAAATGATAGTATACTACAGTGACATCATTTTGTACAACGCATTAATGAAAGATGCCTAAACAATATTTTTCTCCCGAATTTTGCCTCGCCTGCAAGCTACACCCATGATGACATTGGTCAATCAGTCGAAACACAATCCCAGGAACTGATCGCAAAAATATACCTCAATAATAAGTTTTGTTTTTGGCACTGTGTGTTAGGCTGAATAACAAACTCTGATATATTATATTTATTTTTTCACTATATATTATCAACTTTGATTTCTATTTATTGAAAAGGAATTTTTAGACACTGGTATGTGTGTTCCTAATTGTCTTGAGCATGTGCTGTAATCTCGTTTTGTTCATGAACTCAAATACCAATCAATGTTCAAAATCTATTTTTGCCCGATATTTGAAAAAAAAAACAGGTCAGGTTTGAGAAATGTTGTCAACCTTCAACCTATTCTATTATTCTGTAACCTTGAACAGAAACAAAGACCCGTTGTTATGAAGAAACACATTTGAACATGTAACGACTGCAGTATTTTCTTTTTGTTGTTGTAGTGAATTCTAGATTTTATCATATATGATCCAGGATTAGTTGAAAAGTAATTGTTTGACATTTACATGATCATAATTGAAAAATTGTGTCATTTTTCCTTTCTGTATCTTGTAGATGTTTCTTACATTTTTTAGATCAGTATACCAAAATGCACTTTTGCATTTGAATATTCTGGAGTTCTAAGAATTTTATTTTATTTTTACAATTTTTCAATCTTGTCAAATAGAAGATACTCTTAGTTTTTTTAATTTATTGATTTAATAATGGGGAAAATTGATATGTCTTATGCAATATCCAGGTATTTCCTCAAATAAATATAGGAACTGGGTTTGCTGGGATTTGTCATCCTTCTCTAGTTCTTGATGTATAGTTAAAATAATTCCACTTCAGTCTTATTTTGACCAGTGGACTTCAACAAAGTTTGAAATTCATGTTGTTTTTGCAGTGAAGGTCCTTACCCTATACATGTGTGTCTGTGATATAAATCTACAATATAATTATTTTTATATTAGGAATGAAGATCGCATGGCGTGTCCAAAGAATGTATCTGGACAATTTCTTCATGTCTTCTGTTTTTTTGGCAGTTCACAGCTTTTAAACACATATCAAACAAATATATTATTCACATGTCATATAGTCAGTATTTAGTCACTTGCTTTGCAAAATATCCATTTCCATTTAGCTTGAAAAAACTTGTCTGAATATTCAGTATGAAAGTTGACTAAAATTTGATACATCCATATTATATATGCAGGTGATGTATAATATCATTGAAATGTAGGAACCAGTAAGTTTTTATTAAAATTCATTTCATTTTACTCATGGCTTTTTTCTCAAAAGTAACTTAAAATTGTAGATCTATCTCATTGACACACATGTTCAGAAATGCTGAAATAGCATTTGTATTGAAGTATAATCAGATGTAATAAAAAATAATAAATGCTAAAACTCATATAACTGAATGGTTAAATATTTGATGCAAACTCTTGGTCTCACAGAATACATGATTTTTTATAACATAACCCCCCAGTCATTGTCTGTATGTAAACCTATGTATAATATTTATATGCCAATCAGAGGTAAGTGTAATGACTGACAATTATTTGTCATTATTCTATAGATAATTGATTTGCATTTCTTGATTTCAGGCACAACCATTATATTATTATATGCACATTTGAAAATTAAAATACACCAAAATCTGTAGTGATATTAATATCCTTCAAGAAAAAACTCGTAAAATGATGAACTGAAAAGTTCATGCACGTATTGTGAAAATTCTTATATGGTTATTGGATCAAACCTATGTTATGTGTACATATATTGTGTTATTACATCACACTATAATCCATTGTTTTGATATCATTTGGACATTTTTAGGTTGTGGATATCATGAGAGTGAATGTAGACAAAGTACTGGACAGAGATCAAAAACTTTCAGAATTAGATGACAGGGCAGGTATGTACTGTAGACAGTTAGTCTCAAATTCAAATAAAAATTCACCTATTGTTATTTGTGTCATTGATATCAAAAAAAAGAAATTACATTATCAAATTAAGTGATATTTCATTTGAAAATTATTTAGAGTTATTTTAATGCTTTAAGTAACAAGTGAATATAAAAAAACAGTATAAGAGATTATCATTTAAGTATGTGTTTTAAAAGTATATTGTAAAAAGATGCAAAATTTATAAATATAATCATATCTTTATTTTAGAGCTAGATGTCAGTTGAAGTTCAATCAATCAACTTCATATATTGTTGCAATTCGATTTGTAATTTTTGTATTAACTGTATGCACCAAACCAGCTATGGGCATGCCTTATTATTTGTGGTGTGGTGTGGAGGTTAACCTCTGACTGCATGAAACAATGCTCGGTTTAACAGATTTTACATAATATGTCCAGATGCTAATGCTAAGGGGTAGTCTTGAAGAAGTAGCACTAAATTCCACACATGATTTAAAGTTAAACTTAAGAATTTTAGAAAAGAAATTATCAAATATTCTTTTTATGTCCCCTCCACATACTGTGGGCCGTATTGTCGGCCTAGGCGCATCTGTCAGTATGTTATAGAATGTCATGGCAAATAAATAATAACAAACATGATGATCAAATTTAAACACTGCGATTTATGATCAGCGCATGTGGAGAACTATCGCATATGATTGAATGTTAAGATATTGTTTGGAGGTTTAATCATTTTCATTAACTAAAATACAAAAAAACATTTCCCAGATTTTAGTCATCAAGCAACTGTTTGGCTCCCACCAACTAAAAATAAAAATGGTTCCTGTGAAGAATTTAGTGTGAAACACAACATCAATGGAAATCAGCTCACTTAAAAAGGTTATCTTTAAGAGGGTTGTCAGCCTGATTTTGTCTTTGAATCATAGATGCTCTACAAGCTGGGGCTTCACAGTTCGAGGCCAATGCAGGCAAATTAAAACGCAAATATTGGTGGAAAAATTGCAAGGTATATGAAAGGAGAAGTAACTTAATGAAGCATGATTAACAAACATAACAGATGTTGTCCATGTTTATCCTACAATTGTATAATATCTCTATACATATATATGTACTCGAAAACATTCGATTTTACATTGAAACAGTTAATAACCATTGTCTAATATAAGCTAAAGTTCATGTTAAATTAAATGAAGTACAATGTATATAAATGACTAAATTACAAAAAATTGATGAGCATATTGACTTGAAATGTGTATACAGGGACATGATATGATTGTAAGGTAAACATGGACATCAGTGTGCTGTGTTCTCTAACAATGTTGAATTGTTCTGCTGCAGTTCAGGCATATAACCCTCTGCTTCTTATTAACTTTCAGCTTGCAACTTCGGTGGCTTGGAGGCTGTTGCTTCTACATAGTCATGCACATGTGAAATGTGAATTTCTTTGTCTCTTGGATATGCCAAATGGACTCTCTGATATGTGGAATCCAGTGTTTCTTTTCTCCTCAGATTTACATCATGGTAGCACCTGTGGGATCAGGGGTGGTGTCCGCTTTTCAACAGTTTTTAAAAATGAAGTTCATTTTGTCTCACTGTCTGCCAAAACTTAAATTTGGAACCATTTACTTGCATTTCTATGGCTAGGCCAAAGATTTATTTTTTTACGAAAAAAAAATCATATTTATCCCTTCATCCTCATAAGATTAACTTTAATGATGCCATGTGGACACCATCTCTTAATATTAAGGATACATCATAATAATTGATTATACCTGATGTAAAGACAGGACTGTAATTATTTTGTCTGACATTCAACATGTACTGTCCGTCATACGCAACCCTGTGAATGTACAGTGTAACATCAGCCATCTGATTCAAGGAAAGACCATATACCCATTTTGCACTTGAAACTTCTGCTTTCAACAAGATTTTCACAAAATGGCCAATTTCAAGTTTCAGAGTATTCATGTTAATTTTACACATTTAAATATTTGGAGTCAATAAGAGAAAAAATAAATTGGTTATAGGTTTGGGATAATTAAATATGTAATATTGGTTATTGTACACAAAAATGTGTTACTTTGCATCTTGAAACATGTTACTATATCATTACTCCCTTATATTGCAGGGCTGATTTTTTGCAAACCAGGTCTTTTCTTGAATATTACCATTTGTTTTGTGGTGTCCAAACTGTTCCTCTAAATCTAACCTCTCCTTGTTAATTGCTTCATAGACGCGTTACAAGCTGGAGCATCACAATTTGAAGCCACCTCAGGTGCACTAAAACGCAAAATGTGGCTAAAGAACTTAAAGGTATAATTTGATAAATAAAACATGCTGTCACCACTGTAAAAACATCACTTGTCTATATTTGACAAAAGACTAACTTAAGGTGGTCAACAAAAAGCATGGTTTTCAGTGTTAGATGTAGGTGTGTTCAAGCTCACTTTTGTCATTTGTAGCGATATTTCTTTTTGTTGTATTTGTTTATTCATATCTGTGGTGAGTTTTATTTTGCCGTTCATTTTCAGAGATTAATTCACATATTTTTCCGCTGCTAAATTTTGTCAATGTATTTTTTCTTAGACCATATATTTTAGATGCATCTGAAGTGAGACCCCAAGATTCTACTCTGCAAATCTACTTTTGCAAACTATCTTTTAGCTTTAATTGCACTATGTTGTCACTTTGTTCACTAATTTAGTTAGTTGGCTGCTCTTCACATCAATATTGCACATTTTACTCAACATTTATATGTTGTATTATTCTTTTAGAACAACTTATAATGCTAACACCCCTGTGAAATATCAAGTGATGTGGGTGCATGACCTTATTTGGTTTGCTTATGAAATTTGAGGGGTGTCAGCATTTGTTTATTTTATACTGTTGTATACTTTTAGAGCAATTAGAGGCGGGTGCTAAGCATTTTGAGACCAGTGCCGGCAGGTTAAAGCGAAAATACTGGTGGCAAAATTGCAAGGTGGCATATCTCATTTAGTTAATTTAGATTTCACTTATAAAGTCCTTCAGTCTCTAACTCCATTCATAAAACACACCAAAATTGAGAAATTAATTGGTAAATGAATAAATTACCATCTGTAAATTGGGAACTCCACATGTCAGGTTTGGAGTTGGAGACTGGACCACTTTAAATTGCACGCTATCAATTCCACAAGTTTTATAATTTATTCATTATTATCAGTATCCAAATTTGAAGATGACCGAGACGTTTCTGCAGTAAAATGATCTGAAAATGAGCAAAGAATTACAGATACATGTGCAACTTGTAGTTTGTGAATTTGATAGCAAATCACATATGATAACATATTTATTTTAAAACAACATATAATGTAACTTGACACATTTAATATTTCTTATTTTTTCTATTTGAATATTTTTTGCTGATAATGTTATTATTTGAAATTCTAGTTTTGACTTCTGTTTCAACCTGTTCAGATTCCCCAATTATATTTTATTTGCTGTACCAAAATATATTTTCTATATCAGTATATTAGATAAAGATTTCATGAAAAATAATGTAATTTATAGATAGTAAATGAATATAATTGTTAAGTATGTCACAAAACTCACAGGCAATATTTCTTTTCATACTGTAACCTTATCTCATTGTGAAACTCCATAAAAAGTAGGTATATCTATCATATATAACAATAAAAGTACAATTATTCATCACTGTAAAGTGTAAATGTAATTGCCAAATCATTGAATGGTGAATTTCAGATGATGATTATAATGGGAGGAATCATAGGCGTTATAGTAATAATTTTAATTGGTAAGTGAGGAGTCAGCTGAAAGTAGATACCCGAAGATAGGAGCGCACAAGTTCGATGTTGTATTCACTCACAAATCACTCTTGTTGAACAATACACATAAGTTGTGCCACGTAAAGGGGTAGTCTCTGATTTTGATCATAAATGCTTTTGATTTATAACTTGCATCATCAATGGACCTTTTTCTGTAAATTTCAAAGTTTATTTTGGAAAAGATAAATGGTGTCAAAGTCAATGATAGCTTCAAACCATAATTACACTGATAGAGACTGCCCTTTTAAGAACATCAACATATTTTGACTTAGTTGTAAGTATATCTGTCAAAATACAAATACAAGAGTGATTTGCTTTTGTACATATATATTGTTTTATTTATTTCTAGAAGTGTAAAAATTATTTTAGTATTTTGTATTTGTTATTACAGATGTGGGCGATTCTAATAGCAGTCATCCTTGTCATAATTATTATCATAGTTGGTAAGTGCTGCCACCTATTTGTACCCCAGGGTACTAGTTGTTTAACCAAGGATGGGGTTGTTGTCTTGGTAACAATGATTGAATACACAAAACACAACAATAATACACAATTACATGGACATGCATACACTCAGAAACCAACTCAAATAGCCAAACTAGATTTGGTAAAGCAGCCAGGGGATGAGTTTTTACAACAATCCCCCAAATGTGAACAAGTATGTAAAATGTGAAGGTGGTGGTACTCTATCCATACAGGTCATGCTATTGTAGAGATTGAAGACTGTATTTGTGTAGTTTAGTATGAATGTCCAGTCCAGTATATTGTCTAGTTGGCATCTGCTGTTTCTATCAGTTAAGTTCACAAAGCATTCATGGATGTTAAGAATTAATTATCATTTCAGCCAACAGATTTTCTTGTTTCATATTTGAGGAATGTTATATGTGATACTATTGTGATGATAAACTATTGAGAAAGTTTGTGGCTCGTGAGTGAATGATCACAGTGATAAGCATGCATGTTTTTGATCATGTACTGAATTTGTATTATTCCAATAATGTCTTCCTCATCATTTAATAATTAGATTATTTAGTCAAAAGGAGTAATTGGAAGCATGAAGTAGGTCTAGTATGTAGATACTAAGGGTCCCATGATGTACCAAATATTTATCTTTGAACTTTGACTCATTTGGTGATATGCATCACCAATTATTGATAAAATATTGTATTATAAATCATTGGCTAACTTTTGATATATGTATCAGATTGTAACGATAATGTATCGTGGGACCCTTAGTGGATACATGTAGTATAGAACTGGCATTAGTTAGAAATCCCAATTATATAAGGTTAATTTTAAGCACAATAATATTGAGTTAAAAGAATTTGCTTAAATAGAACTTAATTGCAATTTAATACACAGTTTTCTTGCTTGCCAACATTTCCTTACCAGGCGTTGCCTTTTCACTTGCATGAAATTTAAAATTTCTACTTACAAACTGTTATGCATATATACAGATGGGTGTTGGGAACATTGTTGTGTGTTCTGAAAGAAAACAGTGATGTCATTTATATTTGAAATTGCCAATTCTTGATCCCCTCAATACATTTGTTTGTTTAATTCAATACATGTTTTTTTTAATTGATATAATTGAACATTTTGAATAGGCCAATTGTTTTCCTTCAGAACCTCAAACAGTGCATGTGCTAACACTTCTTTAATCACAACTAACAATCTCTGTTCTGTCTCAGTATGGCTGGCTAACAAGTTTGGCGGCGGTTCTGAGGCTGGAGGTGGGGCATCAACTACTGGAGTGCCACCAGAGCCATCTGTAGGCCCTGGTCCAACAGCAGCAGCATCAGAAGCTGGATAACTCGTAACACTACACCGGTGATGGGACAAACATGTATAAAGAAAACACCGCTGCGTGTCAATTGTATAGTTGATCTAACACATGGACTGTCTCTTCAAGTCTAAACACTAGTGACCTCTATATGTAGGATAACACATGTAACTGTAATACGCATTTACAATCTTCTTGAGTAGCATTTTGTTGGACTTGAGTAGCATTTATGTACTTAAGCTTAATATTGAAATGATTTTGAGTATGATAATGCTGAAATAGACTGGGACATTTCTTGACATTTTCTAAGCCATTCTTACATCCCCCTTCTCTTCTGTGGCTGTTCTTTTATCCTCCGGGTACATTGGGACTTTGTTTCCTCTCTGTTGATAGATTGATATTGTTTCTTTTGTAGTGTTACAGAACATATCCGCAATAACCTCTGTACAGTTTCTGATCTCTAACCTGAGTAATTTTAATCCTCAGAGGACAACCATTGTGTCCATCAGATACAAATTTTTAAAAGCTCTTTTTAAAACTTTTTTAAGACATGCAAATGACATGCAAGCTTTGATTTATGTCCTAAATATATGAACTGATTGTCATTATTAATCAAGAATGGAAGTTGATCATAAAAAATAATTTTCCTGCAATGACTTCCAAGGGTAAATTAAATTTAGTCTTATCTCCTCTGGGATATATGAACTGTACATGGGTTGAGTCGGCCTTGTCTTTGTATTGTAGCTGTGCAGTAGACTAATGAATATCATTGTCATCATTCCAATATAATCCTTCCTAAATGTAATGCTATATATACTGGTGTATTAGGAACTGGATGATTGATCTATTTATTTCAAAGCTTTGGCCTACTTAAACTCAGATGTATATTATATAATTAAGATATAGCATTGTATTTATACAGCATGTACAGCAAATATTGACAGAAATCGGAGACGCAACTTAAATGGAGCCAGCAAGTCTCAGTTCTGTACATACATGCTTATATGCATGTAAACTGCTAAAATGTGGAACAAAAGTAAACCTTACTCAATCATGAAATTGTGATAATAGAAGGATTAAAAAGGAGACTGCTTTTATGATTGATATAGAGTTTATTTTTGTGCATGTTGATACTAAAAATGTTTGTTCTTTTAATATATAAAGCACATTGTAACTCTATTTAGTGCCTCCCTTTCTCATAGTTAAGGGCCTAACCCACGCAAACAGCTTATTTATGTAGCCTTAACCTGAATCCTAACTCGTGTACAATAATGAAGTAGCTATTGTATTCTTGTTAATATGGAAACCAGACAATTTCAAATTAGAAAATGAAAGAGGAAAATATTGAATGGCAATGGATTTTGAGTTGTCTGATTGCTGTATTGATTGAGATTAATTTGTGCCTAGGGTTATGGGGATAGACTCACGCATGGGTATTCTAAGGTGTCTGTGCTCCTGTATGTTCTGTGCTAACATAGCTGTTGTTCTGTTGTTCAGTGTGGCTCTACCAAAAGTTTGGAGGTGGTGGCGCGGGGGCAGAAGCTACAACCCCAATGCCAGCCGGTGTACAACCAGTCCCTGGTCAGCCCATCCAACCAGGTCAACCCATACAACCATACTCAGGCCAACCTGTTCAACCAGGGGGTGCCCAGCCAGCTGTGCCAGCGCCGCCAGCTGGGGGAGTACCTCCAGCTACTAATGGGGGAAGCCCCCCTGCATAATATATAGCACTATACGGACTCCTTATACTCAAGTTGCTTCATATCTTGTTGTGCAGTATGCTCTACAAGTCCATCATTCAGTCTGCTTTTTACAATATGATGTGAAGAAACAAACTGTTCATTATCATTTCAGTTCACATTGATGAAACTATACAAGTGGGGATTTGAAGAAATTCAATGTGAGCCTTAATGATTTGAGAATTTATGCTTTAGGGTGTAGGGAACACTAGCACCGAAGACCTCTTTATGCCTGTACTATAGACCTAACACTAACAACTTTGTAGTACCTTCAATTCCTTCACTTATAACATCAGAGTGATATGTTTCTATGTACTCTATGTTAGCATCTTCCTCATGTTTTCCTGTGTTTTTAGCAAAAGCATTACCACCATACACCATACTATATATTATTAAAGGTAGATTAGATGGTGATAGAATTACTGTTTTGAGTAGTTGTATTGTATATAGACCGGACATGTGTGCAATAACATGTATATAAACCTGTCACCATCTGCCATATGCATGAGTGTAGATAAAATATCTATTAAGTTTACTAAATATTATATACATGTTTGTGCAGTACTAACATATTAGAATTATCTACTTCGGGTGAAGGTTATTGGAAAGATAGGTGTTGAAATAAGTGATTATTAATTTTATTGAAAGGTTAAATGAATACTGTTTAGTAAAGGAAGGTTTATACTCAGATGTAGATGGATATATTATTGTCCTTTATTGTGTTGAAAATAATTTGTTACCTTAGCAACACATTGCTATTGCATTGTGTTGCCACAGATACATGTTGCCACCTTGTGTGAATGAGGAAGGATGAATGTGATGCTGCAAGTCATTGTTGTTTAGATTAGATATTTTCCATAGATCTGCATTACACATACTACACTCATCACTTGTGTGGAAGAACCTGTGTTGGATTTCAGTTTCCTCAAGCATTTTAGTTGCTCTAGGAACAGGAATGTTGCTATATCAACCAAAACAATCTTCACATGTTTCATGGCTTCCCAACTGAGGACCAGTCGGCTGTATTTTGGCTTTAGGCCATTCAAAGTTATTATGTGTTTAATGTCCTCTGACAAACGTCATCACAATTTTAACGTTTATATTGTCATTTGAATTCATATATTAAACTTTGAATGGCCTAATGAAACATGTCTCACTTGTGCTCTTTTCCACCTTACACTTCAATACGTCTACTCTCTTTCTTGGACATAATTTTTTATTTTTGACCTGTCAATATTTTTTACTGATTGGCTAGTTTATCCCTGATTTACTATCACACACAATAGCAGCATATGAAATAAAACAATTTTTTTAAACACAATATAAATCCTCGTCATTTAGTTTATGTTTAGACGCTTTCAAGTATTTATTTAAAATATTATTTATTTGAAGACTTTGTTGATATGAGGCTATTGCATGACTACTCCTTGAGAGATTTTCTTGTTGAGGATAAAACAAGATAACTTTGGTTAACTTGTGTTTGTGAAACAAGAGTATTTGCAATGGCCTGCATATTGCATGGTTTATATAGATGTAGGGGTCAGGTCAATAAGCCAACATCCATCAAAGAAATATTCTGATGTAACCCCAACTTTCTGTTTAAAATGAAACCTTTACTGTTGATTTGTGTTTGACAACTCTGAACAAAATGGTATCTGATTTGAAAATACAAAAAAATAATTCTAACCCAGGATGATATTGACTTTTGTCCCACAAATATGTCTTGATGGAAGTGGATGTTCTGACCCAAGCCCTTCAATATAGATGTTGTATTATATGTTGTCTTTATTTTTTGTTTGTTTGACTTGCAGTATGGGTTGTAACAAGCCAACAGAAAAAGGAATGAACAATTAATATATATCTGCTTGGGGGAACTTAGAAGAGTCAGCTTTCAATCTTCAGGCAGAGGCTGCACTGTATAAATCTCTATGAATTGAAGCAGATAAGCTTTCAATTTGAGTCATTCCTATCAACACTATTCCATGTATAGATAGACCGCAACCTTTACATACGACATCATAATCTCCAAGCAAATTCAGGATAGATGTTTCATTTGATTTGATAGTATGTTCGCATGCATTATCACATGTGTATGAAACATACTGGCTTCTATTGCCAAGGTATTTGCCCATATTTGGATTATGACCTTGTATGCTAGGGTTTATGCAGTTGATGTCTCTAGTCTACACCTGAAAGCAAACCGAGATCTTAAGAATGGGAAGTGTTTGACACTCCTATAGCTGACCAGGTTGTACATTAATGAGGCTAATATGCTCTGTATGTGTTAGTACCTGGTAAGACCAGAGAAAGCTTTCAACACTATCTGCTTCTGAATAATGAATAATGAATACGTTAGACAAAAGAGAGATTGTGTGGTTAGAATTATTCATGACCTAAATGTCCCCAAAACTGAAGGGGTCGTTGATTAATGTGATCTGATGAGTGTATTTTAACTTATTATTGGAACATGATTTTATGGTTTAGTTTCCATGTGTATTATATGTACTATAGGGTCCCAACAAGCTTAAGATCAGTGTGATAGAAAGAATGTCTCATATTTGTCAAAAATACTTTGTTTTAATTATAATACATACTGGCATTTTAAGAAATAACTTTTGATTTAATAACACCTGTAAGGAATCATTTGACAGTGAATCTCAGAGATTTCAGCTGAACAATGATATATATGTATATACATATATGAAAGTTTCCAAAAATTGCAGTTACAATCCTCTATTTTGAATTTTGAATTTATCATAGAATTGATCCAGTAAGCTGAATTTATGATAGATGAAATGGGTTTATTTACATTCTACTTGGTTATGACGGAGTTATAATGTTTGTTAACAGTTATTGTTGCTTTCCCGAACATATTGTACAATAGCTTCTTTACAGTTTCAATTTTATTATTATGTGTTATCATATTTTTGGATTCTATTACTCTATTATGTTACTACATTACATTATTATACAGTATATTTAAATATATTACCACAATGTAATTAAGTACAATTATAATATTATTAATAATACATGTAAATGTTGAAAAAATATTACAGTGCAATGTGTTGTATGTACAAAGTTATTGAATTATTTGCTAAATAGAGAGAAAAATTAGACTAGTGATGCTTGTATATAATAGTCAAATATCATTCAAACGCCATACAGGCCACTCACATTTTTCCAACTTTCAAAGTCATCACTATTTGTAAAGATCTGTCTCAAGAGTCAAAATCTGTGGAACATTTCAAAGAATTTTAGGTTCTCTTATCACAAAATATGTACACAAAAAATGTATATAAGGGTCACATGATGCATACAGTGTCTGTACTTACATTACGTTTGTGTTCTGGCTTAACATGATACTTAAACATTCTGCACCAAGTTTAAACATAATATGAATTGTGTTATGATACACAAAGATTGTTCAACAGCAACTGGGCAACAGCATATAGTCTTTCAAAATGTCACTTTGAGTCAAAGGTCCCATCATAACTAAGAATGCCAAATGAGGTTACATTTGAAAGACTATTTAACTGTTCACCGAACAATACAAAACACCTTAAAACAAATAAGCATGGAAGCAAGTGATACATATTTCTATACATCATTTTTCAGCAATTTTGTCATGAGCAATATAACCTCTCCATGGTGCAAACTGAAGCAGTTTTGCCACCATCATCTTAAAATCTGTTCAGAAGTGGTAACTATTTGGCTGTTTTGTAATGTTCATAGGTAATGTTAGAGTTGGAATATATGTACTACTAGGTTAAAGAATGCAACACTGCATTCTTCCTTCCAATTGTAGAATTAACTGTATATTTATTATTTTATTTCAACAAGAATGTACTAAAATATAATGGCCACAAAGTTATATTGTGTTCATGTATCAATAAACATGTAGTTAAATAATGTACACAATTCTCGTGTTTCTGTTATGAAAGGAATCGGTTGCATGGAAGCAGGGGAAGGTTTTATTATGTCATCACCAAAAGTGGTGACATATTGTTATGGTCTCCAACTGTGGTGGTAATTGGTGGGTGGCATTTGTAACATTTTCTTACAATATCCAATAACTTAACAAATACTGTTAAGACTGACTTCAATTTTTTCGAAATCATCTACAAGTTCTCGGAAGTTTAAATCTGAAGTTCAAGATTAAACTAGGTGGTGACATTTTATCATAGGATCCATTTATTGCAGTCAGAGGTCCTTTGTCAAAAATGATTATCCAAATAAGTGGAAGCAAAAGGACCAGATTCGGAGGTTGAATTAACTTTTCAAATAGTAAAACAGTTTTACCTATGCATTTTTACGAAAAAACAAAGACCTTATGTCACGAAGGCCTTTCTGATGAATGGCGAAATTTTTGAAAACCAGCAATAATTTAATCCTTGTTCTGCGCCAACTATGGTATGATTTATTGAATTGGTCTATTGTTATGATATATGAGGTATTTTGCAATCATTTTGAAAAAGGAAATTCCCCTTTCCATATTCCATCAGACCTCTCATATTTTACAACTTCCACTGTTGCCAGTTCAAGTGTTGTGTCATGGGAAACTGTTATGATTGTATGTTCTCATGATAACAAGAGTTCACGTACTGACCACAATAGGGCATTCTGATACTCCTAGCGTCTTTCTGTTTCACCTGAAACATGCTCTGATATTATGAGGCATATTCTGTGATCTGAGCACATCAGATGGCAAGAGTCATAACTGTCAATAAGTGTGATAGTTATCATGTAATCATTTACCTTAATGTACAATTACAATACATTACATAATAGGCATTGTATTTAACAGCAGATATTACAACAGGCACAGTTACACACGTTTTATGACCCCAATTAGATGAAATATGAGCTGGGATGAACGATCTCAAAAATCCTCAATTTTGGGCTCTCCTGGATCGCCAAATCAAGCTCATTATATCATGGCATCTCAGGGCTGAGAAGATTTGAGATGTCATGGTTTATCATGATGACAATAGGGAGTTTAAGCTTGCATATGAAATCGAAACACCAACCTATACGTATGACCAATCGTTCATACAAATGCATCCTTTAAATATTTTCCGTTCACGTTTAGGTTATGAAAAACATTGCACATCACACAGCTCATACTGCTGTCGCCCAGAGACCCATGATCACAAAAATGTCTTATACCAATACCATATTCAGTATTCATATAATTTAGACATTACATAAATGCTACAGAGCCTTTGAGTGAATTCGAAATAATTTTTAAAACATGATTTTTTTTCAAAACATGATTTCTCCGATTTTGAGTGAGAATTGAAAATTATATATTAATTTTTCTGTCAATGCGTATACGCTTTGACAAGAAAAATTTTCGGAAATGTACTCCCAGATTTGGGTGTTTGACTAAATGTAATGTCTAATTGGACCAATGTTCCCCAAGTCAGTAAATAATCTGTAGTCTTACCCAATGTTACTAAAATGTGATATGTGAAACTTCTTTTTAGTAATTAAGTACATGGCCTTCAACATAGAGGTGTCGCAAAAAGGTGGCGCATTTGTTTTTTAAGGGTATCGCGTGAATGTAACTTTGATTTCCCGGATTATAAGATAATATTCTAATTAAAGTTATATATCATTTTAAAGCTGTATCGATGAAGTTTTTAGATCAACTACACTCCGATCACGATTCTTGCGCGTTTTTAAAAAAAAAGAGTTTTTTACCAAAATATCTGGCAAATATCCCCTGTTGACACGTTACATTTTGAATTATTTTTCGTCTTTAAAAGCTCATAACTCAAACAATATATGACTATTATACTTATTTTTCGTCTTGATAAAGGTAGATGGAAGTTTTATTTCAAAGGATGAATTTTAGTAAGCGTCCCATATTGTGACGTTATAGAGTTTGAAAAATAGAATCTGTTGACAGCGACCTTTTTTGCTCATTTTTTGTTACCAGAATCAAATCCAGCCCTTTTGCACCGTCAAATATCGCAAGCTCCGTAAATCAAGGTTGCAACTGCTATGAATAGTGTCTTCATGATTCACACCGTTTATACGATAAACTTGACACAAACAAGAAAGGGTTCACCCCTTCAACCCTACCCCATAAGTTATGTTTTACTACAGGGCTCTAGATCAACAAAGGCCATCAAGCCAAGGACATATTCTCTCATCATTGTTGACCCAGATGAACATTTATACTAATTTGAAATGGTCGTTGGAAACGATTCGAGAAAAAAATATTTCGTTAATTTCTTTGCTATCAATATTTCATTATTAGCCTAATATCAAAATAGTGTTTCGCAATTATTTTGGTCGGGCGTTAGCTCTAGGGCTCTGACGTACCAATCATGTGCTGAATGTAGAAAGGGTTCTCGGTGTAATGTGGATATGGTTATTCGCGTCCTGTTTTTGCTATCGGTGGTAATAGGGTGGACACAGGCTCAACTGACGTAAGTCAATTAAGGCACTTATTCTGAATAATTTAATATTACAATATAAATGTGTTATTCTTACATACCAGTACATACGATATCTTTTATTCAAATTGGATATTCCGAACGTAGGTAAATGCATCGTTTTTGCAGTTACATTTTTAAGGAAATCATTTTTTACTTACACATATCAACTTTAGATGCCAATGTGCCATTATGGTACAGAACCCTGGTGCGGTGGAGCACGAAGAAGACGGAGAAGATATCATATCGTTGGATATCGTTCAAGTAAGTCTGGGAGTTTTTTTAAAACTACCAATATCTTTATTAATCCATTTATCATATTTCCAACCCTTTTTACATTCAACAACTAGATATAGTTCTATTTTTTGTTGAATTTGTCCGAGTTGAATATCAGTATGATTTTTAATATAATAAGTTTAAAATGATCTAAAGTGAAAGTAAAAGATTAGTAATAGAACCAGTCGAAATAATGCATATTACTTTTAGCATTTAGACAGGGAAAGTTCGGGATTTCTCACGTTACAGTTTCAGTTGTCGTTTGCCTAATTTAATAAAAAGAGAAAATTTATGATCGTTTTTGTCCATAGGTAGGAAATTGTAACGAGAGTAATAAAATATTAACGGATTTCAAAAGATTACGACGCACTTAGAATAACCGTGTAACTATATAATTAAATTAACTAAAACTTATAAACATTCAAAAACTCAAATAAATAAGTCTAAATATAAAGTGCTTGAATGAAACATGAAAATCATTTTGATGACGTAGCCGGAACTATATTTTGAGGGTCAATCAGGTAAGGATGCCATTGATTTGTCAAACCATTTTTGGCGCTAAATTCAATACGCAAATTGTACAGGGTGACACAAAAATGACACCCACCTTACGTTGTATCAGTTGTTTGTCTATTAACATACTCGTATAGACTTGTTCTATTGCACATTTAAAGAAGGCATAATGCAAAAGCACCTCCAGATATTTCGGATGTGTAGCTCGAGTTGGTCAACATTTATACGCGTTACAACCTTTGTTCTAAATGTCAATTCCTATTTGCAGACACGAATGGATTCTACAACCCAGGTTTTAAACATAACTTTGTAAATACTAAATACTTTCTAAATGATTCTGGCTTGTACATCTGTTCAGGGAAAGGAAGTCCATTCAATTAAACACAAAATAATGTAGTTGTCATTGATAAAAAGACTTAAACTTATTTCAAAAATTATGTTACAAAAGGTGGGTGTCAGTTTTTTGTGTAAAATCCAGTTGTGCCAGCAAGGGAATAGACGAAACATTTTGTAACGCTCATAAATGTGCACCTAGGTGAGCTAGTCATCTGAAACTTCTTGTGGAGTTGCAAAATGGTAGTTTTAATGTGCGAAAAAGTCAGAATTTCTTCAGACAAGAAAGTTATAAAACATTATGTTGGTGGATGTCATTTTTGTGTCCTTCTTGTGCTGTTATCCCATGATATATCTAGTAGGAGGAAAATTATCATGCAGTAATAAAAAAAAACTGATGCACTGCATAGACTTCGAGGATAAAAAGTTTAACCGGTTAATACGTTTACTTGACACCTCTAGTAAAAACTGAAACATTGCCGGAGCCAGTGACAAGGGTGGTGTCCGGAGGTGGTGTGGATTGTTTATCTTCACTCCTAATTTAAGTATTCTTTCTAGTCTACTGGACATCAGGTAAAAGAAAAAATTGTTTGGGTCTCAGAATTCGAAGTAACTGAATCAATTTACTACTTAGGAAACACCGATATACAAAAAAGGTTCGACCGACCCAAAGAAGAAATGTGGTCCGCCAGATTTCTACAGATGCGAGGAGGAATGTGTTGAATGGGGATGGGCGTATGGAGAAGTCGCACTCGATCTTGGACAGATTGTTGAATGGGTAATAATTATATTAATTCCTATTCAACATCAAAAACACTTTAAAACATCACTGGGAGTATGATTATATAATATCCCGTCGATCAACTTCAAATTTGTCTTCTTACAGAATGGAGATCCAAACTACAGAGGACGGCGATTTTGCGCCATTCTCAATAATAAGGGCCATAAGGGGTTTGATAAAGATGGCGGACACGCCTGGTTGTTTTACAGGATCAACGGTGGTTGTAAAGAGGCAGACTGGTGGAGTCGGACTTTTCCATACTTCAAAACAGATCCCCTTTGCTGCAAAGGTTGGTCTCGGAGGCCAAGGAATTCCGGATATTTAACAATCACCTGATCACGCACTCAGTCTGTTTACGGACTTAGATATGTAGCTCAGCGATAATGAACGAATGTGCCATTTTGTACAAGAAGTTTTGTACCAGAAGATCGTATTTTTACATTTACTTTATATTTCGAATTTCCGAATTCCAGTCCTGGTCCGAATCCGCAAATTATGTTCAATTCATACTCGTACATCATATATGGTGAGATCTCTCGATTCTATTTACAGGTAAGAAATGGCAAGCGTATTGTGGAAAGGAGCCTCCAGAAGGTGTAACATTACAACCATTACCAATGGAAACCACAACAACGAGTACAACCACCACTACCACCACCACCACAACAACCACCACTACTACTCCAGAGCCAACCACCAAAGCTCCAGAAGATGGTTCAGGTGAGGAACCACCACTCGAAATAGGTTCTGGTTTTGACGATTTATCCTTGTTATATGGGCAGATTGATTTGCCAGATTCACAACAAGAATTAACAGATTCAGCGGTGGATTTTTCGGACATATCAGATCCGCTTGAGGGAATGGATGGTTGGAACGACGAATTGTCAGCCTTATTTGAGGAATTCAATATGGATGATGATGAATTTGATGATGATGATGATATTCAAATACATGACTTTGACTAATTCGTAGCAGTTAATCATTTTGAAGCTTTTGCTGGGTTTCAAAATAAAAGTTAAAGGCTCTCAAATAATGATTTTTATGTGATTATTTAGTTACATATTACCTGATTACTGCTCGATAAGCAAGGAACAGATAGTCAAGTTGCAGATTCAGGGCTGTAATATTGGGTTGTCGATGACTTCATTACCTACAGTAAGGGGCAACAAGGACTGTAGAGAGAAAATTCGATTTTTAAAAACAATTTCTGAGCAATCTGGTCAATATTTGGCTTAACTATCTTCTTTGACAAAATGTATGGATAAACTATAAATTTCAGCATTAAAGAAGTGTAAATTCAGTTCAAAGCTTATAGAGGGAGTCCCACTTTTAGATTTTCAACACCCACCACGTTTCAAAAGGAATATCAGCTGAAATAATGTTCATCCAGGGGATTTCTTTGTAGATAATAAAAATATATGTTAGTCTTGATGGAATATCCAAACTTAAATATATTTTGAAACTGGCAAGTGATCGTTGAATGCCCCCTTGCACTAATTGTTGCAACTTTAACAAAGCCATTATTTGTGTATCTTAGATTTGAAGTGCGAATCCACTACTTTGTATGAGCCCCGGACTTTAAATCTGGACGTAATAAAAGGAGTAAAAGACCATTGGGTACTAGTATAGTCCAGTGTCTACTTAGTCCATCAATACAGCAATATCTAGGACCCACGGGCTTTAGGATATATAATAAAATTGTCACATACTGCAATTAATATTGCCACGTTCCGCAAATTACCAGTTGTACTTTTGTCAATTTGATTTAGTTCTATCCTGGGAATGCTTCATAGGTTAGCACTTTAATGCTGTAGTTCGTAACAAGTATGGGTTTCCAGTGGCTGATCCAGAAATTAACAAGGAGGGGGGGGGGGTGCAAATTTTGAGTATGGAAGAAATATTTTAAAAATTAAGGCCCATTTTTGATAAATTGGCCCAAAAAAGGCCAAATTATGACCATATAGGCCACAATTTTGTGGGGCCCAAAAACACTTTTTCTGGGCTCACTAAAGGGGGGGGGGGGCGGTCGGTTCCACCAATGGTTTCGTAGAGACTTCCCTTAAACATCCTGAAACTGTGACCAATATAAAAAACAATAGTCAATTTGACTCAACACTTTCTCAAAGCACATACACATACAGCCAGATAGGCATTGGGTAGATAGAAAGGTGGCAGTGAAAACTGGTAAATGTATACCTATTTGATGAATATTTTTCTGTTCTGTTTCTCTTTTCTAGAATCGCATTTCTGATTTAGCAAACAATAAATTGATACTTTTGGCAAATAAGAGAATTCTTATTTAAACGAATGTGTTTGCTAAGTTATTTGATCATTCAATGAATAATGGACTAGTGTTGTATGCTTGTATCAGATTTACTGACAAAACTGAAAATCCAATTCCAAAAGTTGAATTTTTTGGACCATCAAAGACATAAACACACTTAGACAGAAAACCTGATTTCTCCAAATATTGAACACCTTATCTGCACTGATACTCAACTCATCTTTTCTGCCTTCAACTAGAAATATGAATTCTAGAAAGAAACTACTAGATAAAGTAATGATCTGCACGAGGTAATACAAAAAGGTTCAATCCTCAATCAGGAAGTACTAGTAATTCTTTTGAGGGTTTCACTCTTTATGACAAGTGAAATCAGCACTCAATACATAGTCAGCTAAGAGGCCTTGTGAGCCGCCCACTACACACCTACCCACAGGTGATGTGTTGATGAAGTGTAAGGTTGAGGGGTCCATAGTCTTGGACTATAGTAAATAGGTTGTTTATCTTTATGCATTACCAAGAGAGAAAATGTTTGGGTCAGTTAATACCTTTAAAAGTTGATATTCACAGGTAAGGATGCTTTGCATAGGGATATTGTCATCCCATTATACCAGTTTAGCAAGTTGAACCTGCTTTATTCATCAATTTCACTCTAAGCACACAAACACAGAGCATTCTTTTGAAGAAGATAAATCAAAATTGTATTTAAGGTGAAAGAGTAATGAGCAGATAAAAATCTATGACTCTGTCAGTCATTGAATCAGATGTAGATGAGCACGAACCTTACTTTTTTCAAGTCTGATGTGGATAAACAATGAGATTGTATGATATTCAAAGGGATGGACGTAAAGTTAAAAAACAGGCTTATTTTTAGAAGAATTAATTGCAGCTTTATTGCTATATAAAACATTTTGATTCTTCACTGTATATTTGAAGTTACTACATGTAGATCACAACAAACATGTAATATTCATGTATCATACATCATAATACAAAGTATTGTACTCCACAATACTATAAGTTATTGAATGATTTGAAGTGCAATATAGTATATATTCTGTTCGAGAAATTTTGTATTGGAACGAGGCGAAGTCGAGTGCCAATACATAATATCGAGAGCAGAATATATCCTGTATTGCACTTCAAATCATTCAATAACGTTTTTATCGTGTGCTCTTCTGGATTGCTACTGAGATTGTCCCCTCCGTATCAATATTTTCTGTATTGCGACGGAGATGATCAACGGGGACAATCTCAGTAGCAATACAGATTGGTACAGCACAAGAACTGACCAATCAGAGGGCTTCATTTTACAGATCATACGATAAAAAGTATTACACACCATAATACATAACCTATCTTGGATATGAATTACCATGAGTACAATTTCAACATGTATATTTTTACTGTAAATCAGAGGATTCTACAATGTAAAACACAGCATAATACAATATTATACACGATAATACAAAGTATTATACATGATAATACAAAGTATAAACCACAATATTAAACCATGCTGGATAGGAACAACTTTTCCACTTAGATTTATAACTTGAGTATGAGTTCAACATTTATATTTTTACTCTTCAGTATATCCAGGGCTCTCGCTAGGCTTTTAGACTGTGGCGCCAGGTGCAGCACCACACTCTATTTAGCTCCCACCACAACCTATAGGCAAATCATGATTGTTTCCGCAGTCTAAAAAACTCAACAATAGCATGTAGAGAGGATAAAAAATAACGTAAATATGATTTATCAGGACTAAACAGTTATGCTAAAGATGTTTCCACCCCACCCTGAATGTTTCCTGGTGAGAGCCCTGATATCGGAAGTTACCATAATGTTGTATACATCATAAAACAAACTATCATACATCATATTAATACAAAACTTATCTTTGGTAGAAACATCTTTATCTCACAGGTTCATAACATAAATATGATTTCAACAAATGAGCAAATGGCCTGGAAGTTCAACTGATCATAGTCTCTCAACAAAACTATCTAAAACCTGCACACATAATGTTGATAATATTGATAATAGTTTGAGTTTACAGCAAGGAAAGACTGCATATAACATGTGTGACCTGGGATGAAGATACTTTTGAATTCTAATCTCTTGGTGAACTGTCTCCTCACATTCGATGGTCAACATTGAATACACTACAAAGTACCGATTTCCACACACACTGTGAGGTATTTTGGATATTAGTGCTCAATATTTCTTGCATTGGAAACCAAAACAGTACCTTCCAACCAGTACACTATTTTCAGACACCAAGTACTTTGTTTGACATGGAGACATTGATATGTGAACTTTTTTTAAGTGAGCGCATCAATGATGCAACGTTTTGCCTCCAATGTGACATTTCAAACATCAAAAAATCATGTAGTTTCACTCTGCCAAGTAGATGAATCCGCATATTAAATGCTAATGCTGAACAGTTCATTTTACATGTAAGCTTGGATATCAAGGCGGATAGACTCCCAGGGTTCCAACTTGATATTCTGCCATAAATTGAGATTATAAAATTTGAATTCAAACAGCCACCATTGTTCCCTTCAGAATTTGAATCGTGAGTTTTGGTCTCAAATCCAAACAAAAAATTCCAAAAATACATAAGAATGATTCAGATATTGGTTTGAATCTTTTCAGCTGTTGATTTGAATTTAAAGTCAGTAATAATGGCAGAAAACAACAACATTCTTATTTTTATTGTTGGAAAATATTGAGTTGCATCCCTGGGAGTCAATCCTCTCTGCTTGGACATGTTATACACGCTACTATAACTATATGTCACATTTCACATTTTGCACAATAAATATTAACTACATATTTACAATATAATTTCACTACTCAATAAGGCTTTTATAAAAAGTGCTCAAGAATTTTGTGCCATTTCTCTTGATATAAGTAATCTAACTTGGTTTGATCTCGTCAAACCCAAGTATTCTAAACATATTTTATAAAATACAGTACATAGAAGTTATTTAATGGGAGGTTTTTGATACAGGGTATATCCGAGGGAAATACAATATATCTACCCGAGGGACTGTAGGGACCAACGGTTGATATATTGTATTTACCGAGGGATATACTCTGTATCAAAAATCGAGCATTCAATAACTGATTTATCCTATGCTTAGTGGATTATGAGAATTAAATATGCATTGAATGTTAGGGAACCCTAATGTAATAATTACAAACGATAGTTACATCAAAACATATATAATTTATCTCATTTTAAAGTCCTAAACAATTTTGTTTTTTAAAACTCAACAGCTTTTAACACTTAACACTGTATGAAATTTATATTTATCAAATAGAGCCAAAGTATATCCCAGGAATTCAAAAAAGCACTGAAGAAATTTCCAGGGAGATTGTTGATGAGCGGGTGATATATATCTCCCGCTCATCTCAGCGGGAGATATAGAGATTATCCTATATGAGGTTCAGGATATCGGGATTATCCCGAGGTCAATATAATATATCTGCCCGAGGGCCATAGGTCCCGAGGGTAGATATGTTATATTGGCCAAGGGATAATCCACATATCCTGAACCGACTATAGGATGATCTGTTTATCCCATACCAATCACATTGTTCAATTGGCCAAAGTTCAGAAACTTTGCAACCAACCATTGAATTATTTTAAGATATTCATGCCCAGTTTTGTATTCTTGTCCGTAGCCAGATTTTTCTGTTCAAATCTTTGATTATTAATGGGGCATACTGCTCCTTCCCTCTTTTAAAGTATCAAACAGATTGCGATTGTTTGCGTTTTTCTCCATTGTCGTTTATAGTATGCGAACGTTACACAAAAGAACCAATATGGGAACAGCGATTATGACGTAAGCGGGCAGATATACTATATCTGCCCGCTCGGAGCGGTGCGTAAAGCTATATCTGCCCGCTGATGAAAATATAAGTTTTTACAAACCGGCTTTATGTACCCGTGACACATCCAAGTATGGGATAAATATATATATCACCCGCTCAACTCAGATATCAATTATATTCCCGCATGTAATTTACCTATAACACTACTAAGTATTGGATGAAGGTGAATTCCCTAGCAGAAGATCAACTGGGTGAAGTACCCTAATGGAAATTACCATTGACATTCTATCAGATGAATGCCCATGAAATTACATGTCATTATGTTAAAATTACACCCTGTCAAAATAATGAAATATTATAGGTGTTTTGAGCAAGAGGGTGAAATTAGGATTTTACAGCCTGTTAAGAAAGAAACGAGGGGAGAGAACTAATATTGTCACATTATATCTCAATGAATCTTAAATATAAACTAGTTTTATGTTTACTTATACTGTTATAGGGCTTATACCTTGTGCATATACAAAATTTGGCAAATCAAAGCACCTTAAGATTTGAGTTATATTCAGATCTTGTTTGGAACTTGCATTCACTCTTGATATTTGAGGCAACCTGATAGATCTCAACAATTTTGCGAAAAATAGTTTTGATGTTATCAACTAGATATAATGAGCATTTTTATTGATCAAAGAGAGCAATATGCTCTACTGTTAAAAACCAGGTAATTGTGCACTGCTTGACATGTATATCGCAACAATATATAAGAACCCTAAGATCAGGTTCATTTGTGCTATATAATGAGGCAATAGTGCTAATTTACCAGTTCTGAACATTTTTTCTGCTTTCAAGGCCATCAACATTGTTAAAGTTGGTAAAAAACACCAAGGATTAAATTTTACAGTCATAACAGCAAAAATTGCTGGAGGTCCAAATATCAGTAAAGCAAACACAACATACGATGCTGTTTTTCCTATAAGTATCGGGAGTGTGACAATCCCTGCAGCCTTATCAGATTCAAAGTCCCGAACATTGTTACTATGCAGAATGGCTTCGGTGTTTAGAGCTACAGGAATAGCATATGCCATAGGTAGAAGACTCAATTCACCACCTTGTGCTAGAAAGGCAAATAATACTGTAATTGGTCCAAAAGAAATAAAAATAAGAATATCTCCTAATGCAACATATTTTAATCCCAATCCTCCAGTATAGAGAAAACTAGCAGATAATCCTCCGAAATACAGCAAAGCTAAATGCTCCATCTTTGTTGGAGATAAAATTGTCATGACAACAAATCCACAGCATCCTATGATATAAAAAATGCCTCCTAAGCGTGCAACTTCATCAGGAGCTAAAAGATGATCAACTAATGTTCTGTCATCACTTTTCTTACTATCGACCCCTTTAACATAGTCAAAGTAGGTGTTCACCAGATTTCCTGCTGCATGGACTGCTAGTGCTGTGATACAAGTAACAATAACTGGAATTAAACACATAGCACAGAATTACTTATTTGAGGAAAAACTACATGAACTAGGAGGGTCAAATTTTAGAGAAGAGTGAACATGGTGAAACCTTAACAAAAACATGTTGGTTAAAAATTTTAAAAATACATAAGATATGTAACTCATCTACAGACAGTTTTTAAAAAAATTAATTTAGTTGCGTCAATTTACTGAAATATTAGAATGCCACATTTCGCATAACAAAAAGAGGGGGAAAAACTCCAAGGTCTAGAGATGACATAATGTCTATAATTATGTGTATTGAGATGACATCATCGCTGATTGGTCAAATCTTGACCAATTTGATTTGAATTCAGGTCCAATTTGAATCAAGCATTTGATGATTAAGACATTGGAAAGTATCTGAAGATTTGGACTAATGATAGAGCACCGATGCAACACAACTCAAGATGCTTACACTTTTGAACCAATCAAATTCCTTGACCCTTGGATCAATAACATGAATTCCTTACTCGAGTCTCTGGCTAGAGGGGGTTTCATCTGGAATACTGTGAACTCTATTTGAAAAAAGCTGGCCGTGGTGTCATAAATTTATTGAATATTTTAAAAATCGCCAGATAAATAAATCAATAATCAAATTGGACCCAGCTCGGCTCCTTGATGAGATATGACATGATTTCATCAGGATTTCGTCTAAAATTAAAACAAAATGGCTCCAAGAAAAATGGCGATGTTCGAAAACTGGACGAAATGTCGTTAATGTCTGACATTAGTAACTGGCTGTAAATTCTAAGTTAGCGATCCAGAAGATGTGAACTAATACACTGATCACATTATGTGTATTTTGGAATTTTTGGTGAGGTAATAAGACCAAAACTCGCAATTCAAATTGTGATGTGGAAAAATGGCGAACATATGATTTCAAATTTTATGATTACGACATGACCAGTTGTTCATGCAGGAATATATCTGTACTGGAAGGCCACGATACAGCGGCCTTAGAAGAAGGTAATCAATTCCCATTATAGCTATCATTTTTGTTCCTTGGGAAAATTATTCATTACATGTTTGAGGACTCCTAATCAGTAATCAGCACGGAGAGTGCTGATACTTTTCATAATATGTAAGTATGACGAATCGATTCCAATGATCAGTGAAACATTTATAGAAGTTGCAGATTTCAGCGTCTCAATATTGTAGGCCTCACAAGTCTGTGGGAGGGTATGACCAGGACAAACTGCTACATAAAAACCAGCCTTGGAAGTTATTACACTCACAGGTGAAGAAGAAGAGTCTGTATTAGATCTATATATTGTACATGTAGCCTTTATGTGTTTCAATATTTTGAAATACCTTGGAGAAAATGACATGAATGTCACATGAATAGATAATATATTATAAAATGACGTGTACCTATCCATATGTTGAAATCCCCAGTCATTTTGTATGCCAATACAGATCCTAGAGCAACTGGAGTGAGTGAAGCAGTGAACGACCAAGGCCGAAGTGCAACGACATAGTCTGATAGACCAGATGTCTTCAATGTATTCTCTTTGACAGTACACGTCTCACCATTCTGATATACTTCTGTGGTCATAACATCGCTAAAAGAAACAGACTTGACTTTTTTCGAAGGCATTTTATAATTTTCTTTACTTCCGGTTGCCGAAATCTCGATCACGAGACTTGAACAACGAGATCCCACTAAACCAGGAACTAATTTGCGCGGGCTTTTCAAAATCATTCTCAAAATTCATTTCGTTCGTTGTGTAAGCTTACCTCACTAGGTACCAAAGGATTAGCCTAGCCTATTATCAGGAGCTTAGGAACGTTTAAATTCAACACTAGGCTACACAAATAGCCATAAATCACGCCTAACCATCGCGTAAACACGTGTCACTGTACACAAGGGTGAACGTATTACCCCGAACGTTCGCAAATTGGCAAACCACGGTTTTCAGGTCCATGATTAAACATAGGGGTGTGAGAACTTAAAATATTTTCTGACGATGTGTGTTACCCCCCTTTGGACATAAAGTCCAGAGCTGAATATGTCAGCATATGTTTATTTATTATTATTTGATTGATATTCTATTAACCCTAGAGTTCCTAAGGGGGGGGGGGGGGGGGTAGATGCTCCAAAGGATATATAAACTAATTTCCTGCAAAATATCGTACACGTGGGCCTACTAATTACCTTTTTTATTAATTATCAAAGTCGAGAAGTAAGTCAGGAAACACTTTCATGAGAGACCCGATTTAGGCCGATCATTGCATCTTTTTTCATATTGCAATAGATCTACTTTTACTTGGGAGGGGGGATTAGGAACTCTGCTAGTGCAATTCGCTAGAAACTCCATAGTTAATGAATGGAATTAACCCCATTTACCATACAATCTCAATCCTTGGATAGTTTTAAAAAGAACCTCGACAAGCATTGGAAGGGGGAGGGTGGCAGGGGGGATTTAATCACTATGAAGAGGAGGACAACTACAGGAGGTACATGTCTTCTTATTGATACCTGATATCTAGGATTTCTACAGGGTGTCAAATAAGTCTGTTCTCCCCCCTTAACTTTTTCGATTCAGGAATAATATAGGGTTGTTATATATCATCTTAAAGGGAATTTAATTTGCTGATCACACACCAAATTTCAGAGTGATTGGTTTAATTCCAAATTTTTTAGAGTATTTTTAGTGATGTCCATATTTCACTTTTTTAATAGTCTGTATGTCTCCCCCAGCAGCCCAGATGGCCTCAATTCTACGAGGTAGTTTAAATCCTCCCACTCTTTTTGCACCCCGTTCAAAAATTCTTGCAACTGGAAGTCTCATCTTCACGTCATGCTTGGCAATTAAAACTACCAAGGACACCCAGTTGTATGAACAACGGTGTATAAACTTACATAGTAAATTGCAAAAAACATAACAAAGATTCGATTTTGTGATTCTATTCTACCAGAAAGAACTGTTTTTATTAACATGGTACAAAGTATTTGCATACCAGTATGCAAAATGTTAGAACTTGCATCAAAATCAAATAAAGGTAGCAGTTAATCATCCACAATATATCGATCATCACGATCATTATAAGTTGGTCATCTACAATTTAGCTGCTTGAAAATCAGTTGATCACCAACACTATATCATAACACTATGAAATTAGGTACAATGTAAAAAATAATGTAAATGTTGCAGTGAATTGGTCATCCACACAGAGACATATAGAACAGTTTTATATGTCTCTGATCCACAATACAGGGTGGTCCAAAAAAATGGGACACTCGTATTTCAAAAATAAGTAATGATTTTCTTGATGAAAACATGTCATATTATATACCAGTGGATAGGGAATTTACTTATCTTTAATTTGGTATATCATAAGTTCAAATTTATAATAATGTCTGTCAACCAGCGTCCATTATATAAATGACGTCATTTTAGTTTCAAAACGGGTTTTCCAAAACTTGCAAAAAACAAGTTTTTTGTCAACTTTTTTTTACACAAACAGACGTTCAATATGTCCATCATTTTGATCAATTATAGCCCTCAGTTTTGGCCTTAACTGGTCAAAAACATCATTGATATTCTGTTGAGACAATGAATTCTACTTCTAAACAAGTCTATCCTTAATAAGGGACTGAGTAGATGTAAGGGGCTCATGGTAAACCAATTCTGTTAGTTCTCTCAATACGTGGTAGTCGCAGACGTTGACATCGCATTATCCAATTATGTTGTTTTTAGACCATCCTGGTATGAGCTCATTCTCGAATCATTACATTTTCCAACAAGATGGGGCTCCAAGCAACAGATCTCACAAGAGTGTCAAATGTTTAAAAGAAAATGTGCCTAGATTCATCTCTCTAATCACTGTCTCCCCCAGATCATACGATCTGCGACAACCACGTATGGGGAGAACTAACAGAATATGTGTACCATGAATCCTTTACATCTATTCAGTCTCTTGAGAACAGACCTGCATTAATGAGAAGTGAAATTCATTGTCTTTAACAGCATATCAATGATGCTATTGGCCAGTTTAGGCCAAAATTGAGGGGAACAATTGATCAAAATGGTGGACATATTGAACGTCTGTTTATGTAAATATAAAATTGACAATAAAACTTGTTTTTGCAAGTTTTGGAAAACCCGTTTTGAAACTAAAATGACGTCATTTATATAATGGACGCTGGTTGACAGACATTATAATGAATATGAACTTATGATATACCAAATTAAAGATAAGTAAATTCCCTATCCACTGGTATATAATATGACATGTTTTCATCAAGAAAATCAATATTTTTTTTTGAAATACGAGTGTCCCATTTTTTTTGGACCACCCTGTACAAATATAGAGATTACAATGAATTGATAATATTATACAATATATCGCCTAAAATGTAACACATTACAATCAAATGGTCATTCACAATATACATATAGAGATAACAATCAGTCGATCATTTACAATATGTCGCCGTAAAGGTTACAATTAAATGGTCATTTACAATACCCGTCTTGATATCACAAAGATCCCAGCAAAGATCATACACATGTCAGATGTCATACATGTTGACTCATAATAAAAGATGTTGCAATCAGATTATCATCTGAAATATTCAACCACAACGATTGAATTATTATCAAACTTAGGATATTGGAGTGTAATCTTCTCCCCTAGTATCTGAGAATATGTTTGAGTACTACTATAAGAAACGAAGAGAAATGATTGCGATGCATACATAACTTTCCAAGATTTTGTGATATCTCTTCGGCAAATATTATCCAGAAATAGTATATATATATACTGTTTCAATATCACCAGGATATGAATAAATTAAGCATTGTTTGAGTCCAATGTCGTATGATTCACTGTGATTTCTATGGTATGGTATGATGATAGGCGTTTTCATAGTTTTAATGAAAATTATTTATTAGAATACACGAATATTAATACAGTTGATTTTGTTAAAATTGGGGTAGTGATGCATTTTCTAACATTGTATCAATTGGGACTTAGCCCAGCTTTTATTCAGAAAATATTCACAGAATTCAGATAGAAGAAAATTTAAGTCCTTATTGGCTAAAGGTGTAAAATCTCATCAAGTAATCTTTATTACATAATGGGTAATTCAACTAATATATAATAGAACGCACACACAAAGCAATTACAAATTCAAATACACAAATACACTATACTAACTACCATTCAAGGATGATAACATTGTAATAGTATAAATAAATTACAAAAGCATTCATAAATGTCTTTATCTAGGTTATGTATTGTAGAGGTAGATCAATGGCGTAGCGTCACACCATGGCGTAACTTGCTCTCAAAATTTAGAAAACAGTCGATTTTTATATTGAATTGCCACACACTTAAAGTCACAAGTCTATAAAAGTCGGAATCCCGTATTTCAAAACGCCACAGAACGCTTCAAATGCAATCTCATTCTCAGATTTTCTTGAGGGAGAACCCACCACTTAACTCCCTCAAAGCTAGTTCGTTTCGATCACTCACAAAATATACACGCTACGCCACTGTAGATTATGTTACACTTGAGAAGAATGCAGTTTATTGTAGAACTGTGTGTAGTATTGCTTCGCTACCAATGGGCCATTCTGCAAATAAAGGTAATGTATATTTATGATATATATACTATGCCAATGTAACTGCAATAACAAATATATTTTACTAATATAAGGTTCGTCAAGTAATATGTAAATAATTATACATTCATATACATCATTCTATTACACTCGCCAAAGTGGACAGACCAAAAAGAGTTAAACAAAGCACCGATAGGAAAGAAAATATTGAAAGTGGTGATAAGGAAAAACCTAAATATCTCAAACAATACCAACCTAACGAAAAGAAACATATATACGATTTCAAAACAGCTTTCCAATGCATGGATCTAATTCAATTCATGTCACTTACCCGAATGAGAATCAAACAATGTCTACTCACCTTTCGTGGGCCAAAGTCGATTTCTGATCTTATGTCGGAAGGGGATAATGGTTTGCTATTTTCGTTTTGTTCAAATGTCGGTGATGGATCAGGCGTTCCTGGCAGGCTGATATCTTCATTCTCGTTGGGCTCTGAAACAATGATTTCTTAGTTGTTAGACTGCAGAAAGGGAGAAAAAAAGATTTTTTTGATGTGTAAAATACCAGATATAGACATAGATATAGAGTACAGCTTAACATTCTGAAAGCATATAAAAGAAGGGGACCTGGAAGGCTATCTAGCTTTAAAATTTGGACACCAAAATGCCGAGATCAAAATCTAGGTCAAATTAATAGTTTTTCCTTATTTTTGCGATTCTGACATTACACTTTAACGATTTGCTTCCAAATTTTGTATACATGTAGCAAAGAGTGTGCTAATAGTGTTAGCCTTTTGCCGTCAGAAAGTATTTTGACCCATTTTTGAGATATTTGTGTCCGAAAAGTAGGTCAAAATAAAAAGTTCTCCAAATTTAACGTATGAGTTATGAATTTAAGAAAGAAATTTCTCAGGAATCCGAATCTTTAAACCAAATTTCGATCCAATATATATTGGATATCGGTTTGAAGTCTCGAAAAGTTGATATGATGATATCCCCATGTTAAGCCAATGGAGTCGAAGATAACATTCTTAAGAGTTGTCTAAATGTCTATATTCTAGCTGACTCAGCTTATTCTGAATGACTCAGCTTACAAGTAATTGTATTAAAAATTGAATAAAAAACGTCCAGTGGTGTCTGACTAAATTAATTCCCTGAAAAAGTTGTAAGCTTTCATTGACAAGTCAAATCCAGAGTACAATAAAATTGGGAAAATTATATTCAAAAGTCCTTAGTAATGGTGTAGCCATTAAGTACTCAAAAATTAATTAATGACACAACTCGCAAAACATTTCACAGAGGGAATACAATTTCTTTCAATTACCTTCGTCTATGATAGACATTTGATCTTCTATGTCCGAGGCATCATCGATATCATCATCCGACGTTCTTCTATGTAATTTCTCTCGAGATGAGTTTCTGCAATATCAAAAATGAAAACTGTTACATTCAAGGTGGTCTGTGTTTGATCCGTGGCAATTTTATTTTCATCTAAGTGCTTTGCATCAAATTATACATATTATCTAAAATATACATGGTAACATGCTAGAGTTTATATATTCAAAGGTATTGGATGAATTAATATCTTATTTATATAATTTGATCTTACCTCTGGCTCTCATCAAATCCGTCTCCTCCACCCATCGATGGTTTTAGTTTACTGACAGCGCTAGAACAGCAGTACAACAAAACATTAAAATCTACCAAAAATGATATTTTTTCCTAAATTTTACTATAAGTAAAGTTTATACAAATGGAAAACTGTGCCCATCATGAATGCCAGTATAGTTCTGGTGGGCTTATTTTATGTACAGTACCTGGAAATTGCGATGTTGACCTAGTTCACGGGTACTATCCCGACCTCAAACATACAGCTGGACATACAGCCGAGCTCACTAATACATAAAGCCATGATACCACCGAGCAAGCTCATGGTACCACCAAGTCTGGTTAGTACCCGTGAAGTTAAAAATCAAAATGACATCGCAAACAGACTACTTTAACTTTAAAGATTCAAACATCATAATTAGGATAGATTGTGATTATAAAAATATGTTATTTATGGCTTTCAAGATATATTGAAATACTTTAGCAAACATCAAAGCTTTAATAATACAACCATTCTTACACTAACTAAACATTTCAAAACTCCATCAAAACACATACTACTGTAATGGTACGATTTTAACCAAATGGAATGTTACAATTTTGAAATATATTTTAGATTCTTTATACAAATACAATCGATTCTATTCTTGGCGGTACGTACCTCATTCCTTTCATAGAAACCTTGAGAATAACTACTACTACTCCCAAAGCAGTCGCTGCGGTTAGTCCAACAGCAGCTGAGGTCACTACAGCTATTCCTTCAGGTGAATTCAACAATGGTGACGCTGCAGTTTCACCTGTGGAATAAGATGTACATTTATTTTAAAAGATACTCATCAATCATATATGACTCACATATTAATAGGATCATGCCAAAATGCCAATTACAATATAGAGTACTATATATTCTATGTACCTATACTACAGTCAGCTCCAGTATATCCACTTATACAGCTACATTTGTAAGAATTTATTTCATCTGTACATGTCCCTCCATTTTGACAAGGATTGGAATCACATTCATCTATATCTATCATGAAATGGAAATAAAACAATACATTAGCATGACAAAATTTCAAAATCTGGCTGCAATAAAAAAGTGTGACCATATGTTACAGAAGCCATCATCAAACGGCTGTCAATGTCACTTTTATGGTAACGTAATAATTATAATCGTAACAGTCAATCTAATCGAAATTGGTAAAACAGAACAGGGATTCTAAAAATTCCAAATGCAACGAATAATAGATAGAGTAAAACAGTACTGTGAAGTTACCTGTAGCACAGTTGCTATCAGTATATCCGGCAACACAGCTACACGTATACGTATTCATCGCACCTTGAGCGCAGTCCCCTCCGTTTTGGCAGGGATTGGATGCACATTCATCAACTGTGTCTATCAATATACGCAGTCATGCATGAATATTATGACGCAAATGAGACATGACATCACTGTGTTAAATATCAACTTCATATTCAAGTGTTTAACCTTAAACGATTTGCAATTGGCTATAGAGAATTACACCACGGGTTAGGGGGAGGTACAGATCTGCCCTCACTATGATCTCGTCAGTAGTAGGTATCAGTGTTTTTTTGAATATACGCAGTTATGCATGAATATTATGACGTAAATGAGACATGGCATCACTACGTTAAAAGATCAATTTCCTCGTATAATTGTATAAATGAACACATTAATATTTCTATGTATATTTTCTAAAACAGATTTCACATACATATATTCATAGTTGATACACTCTTAGTTATTAATTACTGATAGGGCTACTAGAGATAAAAATCAGATCTTCATTAACCGTCCTTACCAATTTCACAGTCACTACCACTATATCCAACAACACAGCTGCACGAGTATGTATTTATTCCATCAGCACAAGTCCCTCCATTTTGACAAGGAGAAGATGCACATTCGTCAATGTCTAAAGATACACAGGCATAAAGATCATTTAAGAGTCAAACATGATATTTTACACATCAAGTTGCGACATATCAATGGTATAAACTGTATTTTTACCTGTAGAGCAGACAACATCTGTATATCCAGGAGCACAGCTGCATGTGTAAGTGTTGATTCCATCTATGCACGTACCTCCATTTTGACAGAGAATACCTGCACACTCATCTATGTCTAAATGTAACGTCATAAGTATTAAACTGTGTGGTGTATACATCATATTGTTAATATAAGTTATTGTGATATAAATTTATTTGTCCATATCAATTTTAATATTTAGGGTACCAAGCGTTTATGTCATCTATCCTCCAGGCAAATACAATATGGCGGTATACCCATTATTCTTACCAGTCTCACAGTCACTACCAGTAAATCCAGCAGCACAATCACAGCTATAAGCGTTAATTTCATCTATACACGCTCCTCCATTTGCACAAGGAGATGAGGCACATTCATCTATGTCTGAAAGTCAACTTTAGTTTATGAGTATCGAACAAGTTTTTGATTTAATTTCAGATTAAGACTCATATCTAAATATATCTGTATCATATAAGCTTGACTTTCACATGGAAATTATTTATATTTTCTGAGACAATCGAGATGCTTTAAAAGCACTTAAGATAGTTGGTAAAATAGAAACCTTAACCTACCAGTTTCACAGTTACCATCAGTAAATCCAACAGCACAACTACACGTATATGTGTTCAATCCCTCTGTACACGTCCCTCCATTCTGACAAGGAGCTGTGGCGCATTCATCTATATCTAAAGTAATAAATATGCCACAGGTAAGTCACAATATATTTTTGGAATATAACTGTTACATTCATACTCGTATTACTAATACAATACTTTTTAAAAGACGAACGAATGTTGAAACATGATCTAGATTTTATCTAGATATAATTTATTTCTAACATATTTGAATCATAGCGTTACATAACGATGTATTTTTTCCATACCAGTTCCGCAGTCACTATCAGTATAACCAGGTACACAGTTGCATGTATGACTATTGATTCCATCTACACAAGTCCCTCCATTAAGACAAGGTGAAGCTGCACAATCATCTATATCTAAACAACAGTATAACATTATAAATACAAGTGCTGGGAAATGTGATCATGTTGTTTTTTCTGGTAACTATCGAAATGTTACCAATCCTTCCTTGTTTAGCAATGTCAAAATATAATTTACTTCCTTGGTATACTTTTGAATGTACTAAGCCTAAAACTGTATACAATGCAATCTCAACTTACTAGTTTGACAATCACTCCCAGTATATCCAATAACACAGCTACACGTGTAAGTGTCAATTCCATGTGTACAAGTGGCTCCGTTTTGACAGGGCGTGGTTGCACATTCATCTATATCTGTAACAATATATCAAACTAATAACAATAGTTGTTATATAATTATCACGTTTGAATAAACTTTATATGTGCCTTGATAACATTTGATGTTAAAGCATTTCATTAAAACGGACTTCCAAAGAAAACGATATCATTCCCAAGAATGTATTTTCACATCGTTCTTTATTTTTGTTGTGTTAATCATTTTATTGTCCAGCAGAGTCACTGACTAGACTAATATATAAAATAATGAATATGTTCCAGCAAAGTTTAACATTAAACATTTTATAATGCATTGTCAAATGCTAATAGTGATTTATGAGATCTGCCTTACCGGTTCCACAGTCGCCAGCAGTATAGCCAGCTACACAGTTGCATGTATAAGTATCGATTCCATCTGTACACGTCCCTCCATTCTGACAAGGAGCTGTTGCACACTCATCTATGTCTAAATGTTATATCATAAACGAAGTATTACTTTCAAGGATTTTCCTCAGATGTCTACTGACAATATGTGATGCCAGGGAAATATTTGATTTAGGAATGATTTAAGTATTCATCAACATTTTATGATAAGCAGAGTGTAAATATGATTTACATGTATTTAAAAGAGCTTATAAGTACATGTTCGAAAGTAAGAAGATATTAAAAGAAGATCAATAGCAAAATGTATTTTAACCCTAGGTTTGAACTAGTAAACAGTGTGGACTATACCATAGTGTTACTTATCAATTTATGAAATAATACTCTCATGATTAAAAGTTGATATTGTTATAAAATGAACTCTGCCCACCAGTTCCACAGTCACTATCAGTATAACCAGGTACACAGTTGCATGTATGACTATTTATTCCATCTACACAAGTCCCTCCATTAAGACAAGGTGAAGCTGCACAATCATCTATATCTAAATACAAATATAACATCATAAATAAAGGCGTTTACAAAAGTTTTTTCCATTTCATTTAGTATCTTATCATTATTTTCGTTTATTTACTCGAGGAAAATATGAAAGGTTGATGAATGGTGATGTATGAAGTGCGTTCGTCGACAGGAATTTTGGCTTACTTGTTTCACAGTCACTACCAGAATAGCCAGTTGCACAGCTACACGTGTATGTGCCAATTCCCTCAGTACAAGTTGCTCCGTTTTGACAAGGCGTAGTTGCACATTCATCTATATCTAGAAATGTTATACCATGAACAAATCATTTCATTTCAAATAGTTTTGTAATTTACTTTGACAAGCCACAAGCTGGCATTCTGTTAACTAAAAATCTCACATCATGTACTTCCAAGTATTTCAACTAAAACTGTAAAGTTTCTATCGTTTTGTACGTCTGATCTTAACTGGTAGGAATTACATTTCTTTCACACGATTTGATATCCCAATTAATCCCCGTGTATGTTGAGGGATGCTCCCCTTTGGTCAGTACAAGTGCAGAACGCTGGACCTATGACTCATGAATGAGCCCACTTGAAACGAAGGGTCGATAGGATACCTTGGAGAAGGCCGTTATCATCTACAAAGGTCATATGTGTACATGTACCTTTTCATTGAAGATTTTCCCCTGTAATGCCATGCCACTATAGTGAACAACCAGTTATGACTTACAGTTTTAAACGATACAGTTTTAATTGCAAAAATTGTTATAATTACAATAAATCATTATGAGTGCTCCATATAATTGAAATCGCGAATAACGAGTGTAATATATTCGAATTAAACGTTATTTGTGAATGATGACATTTGAAAAAGTATTTTAATTGAAATTGGGTACCATAGGATACTGTCTACTCGCAAATTGCCCGTAAATTTGACCAAATGAGTGGTGAAGAAAACTAGAAAAACTAGCACCTGTGAAATGTAGCCAGTTAAAGGCGCCCCTCGTATTCCCACAAACGCTACATTAAAGCAACTCAATGGCCTCTAATATTCGACTAAAATGCTAGAAAGGTCCAACAAATAGCTATACAGGGCTCAAAAAGGCATACTTTTGTCCATGATAATCCAAAAACGCAATGCAATGTCTTAAAACAGCCCTAAAACTATACAACAGGGCAAAATGCTATATACAATCCCTCTAAAAGTTGGTCCAAGAGAACTCACGAGGCCAGACAGAGACCCCTAGTTTCAATAAGAAGCTATACAAGGCACCGAAAACAAGATAAGGTATCCAAAAGATTTATAGGGGCCCTGGATGCCCGAAAAAGCAAGTGAGGGACACCTAAAGGTTTTAAAAGGTCCCCAGTCTACCTAATACAGTATACAAGCCCCTTCAAATATCTTCAAGCTACACATAGATCCCAAAGCTATACAAGTCTCCAAAAAGCAATACAGGACTTATAAAAGCTATACATGAGTCAAAAAGGTCAATATAAACATTAAATGAGAACCTGGTATCCCCCTCCAGCCATAAAAAATGATACTTTTCGAGGGAAATAAATAGCTTTCATGAGGACGGGGGAGGGTCCCTAGGATCCCTGTAGGGCTTTCGGGGTCTATTATTATTAAGCGTCCAGGTAATTTGGGGTTAATGGGGGGCAATGTCAAGCTTTTCAGGGCCTTGTGATACTTTTTGGGAGCCCCTGAATGCCTGGGTGCACAGGTATACATGTAACTATAGGAGGGATATAACATTTCCATTATATCATCTTTACCAAAAAACATAATGAATAGAAAATACTTTTTATGCTTTAAGACCAACTGGTGATTTTACCTGTAGAGCAGACACTATTAGTATATCCAGCTACACAGTTACATGTGTAAGTGTTAATGCCATCTGAGCACGTCCCTCCATTTTGACATGGAGTAGTTGCGCATTCATCAATGTCTACAATTAAATACAAACAGAATTTTAAATTATACATAATGTCGGCGTCACACATGCGCATATTTTAATCAAACTATCTTACAATAAGGTCAGCTGGTAATTCTACCTGTAGAGCAGACACTATCAGTGTACCCAACTACACAGTTACATGTGTAAGTGTTAATGTCATCTGTACACGTTCCTCCATTTTGACATGGAGTAGTTGCGCATTCATCGATATCTACAAGAAAATATAAAAACAAAATTAAACATTTTTATTATTTTTTTCATCAATCAAGAGTTTATTTTAATCAAGGTTTTACACATAAGATAAATCAGTACTTTTACCTGTGGAGCAGACACTATCAGTGTAGCCAGATACACAGTTACATGTGTATGCGTTAATGCCATCTGTACACGTCCCTCCATTTTGACATGGAGAAGTTGCGCATTCATCGATTTCTAAAAGTGAAACAAGCAAGAATATATGATTTTCCCTCTATCAGTACCTTATTTCGATTTTCCCTCTACCAATACTTTATTTCAATAATATTCTTATACATTTAAGTCAACTGGTACGTTTACCTGTAGAGCAGACACTATCAGTGTATCCAGCTACACAGTAACACGTGTATGTGTTAATGCCATCTGTACACGTCCCTCCATTTTGACATGGTGCAGTTGCGCAGTCATCAATATCTAAAAATGATGCAAAAAGAATTAAACTTATCATGATTTCAATTTCACCGTCATGCAATAATGTAAACTGAAAATAATTCCTAAGCAATGAGATCAACTGGTACTTTTACCTGTAGAGCAGACACTATCAGTATATCCAGCTACACAGTTACATGTGTAAGCGTTAATGCCATCTGTACACGTCCCTCCATTTTGACATGGGTTAGTTGCGCATTCATCAATATCTACAAGTGATACAAACAAAAATTAACATTTTCATGATTTGAACTTCATCTATGACTTGCTATGAAACAAACTGTAATGGGTTAGAATCAACTGGTAATATTACCTGAAGAGCACACACTATCAGTGTATCCAGCTACACAGTTACATGTGTAAGTGTTAATGCCATCTGTACACGTCCCGCCATTCTGACATGGAGTTGGTGCACATTCATCGATATCTACAAATGATGCAAAAAGAATTAACATTATCATGATTTCAACTTCAGCCTTGAAGTGACCCGTGAATAAGATTCTTATACATTTAAGTCTAATAGTACGTTTACCTGTAGAGCAGGCACTATCAGTGTATCCAGCTACACAGTTACATGTGTATGTGTTAATGCCATCTGTACACGTCCCTCCATTTTGACATGGAGTAGTTGCACATTCATCAATATCTACAAATGATGCGAAAGAATTAACATTATCATGATTTCAACTTCATCTGATCTAATATGAATCGAACTAACATATACTAATCTAATGTCAACTTGTTTTATATAAATTGAGACCAACTGGTACTTTTACCTGTAGAGCAGACACTATCAGTATATCCAGCTACACAGTTACATGTGTAAGTGTTAATTCCATCGGTACACGTCCCTCCATTTTGACACGGAGTAGTTGCACATTCATCAATATCTATAAGTGATAAAAACCAAGAATTAAACATTTTTATGAGTTTCCTGTCAATCAAGAACATAGGTCAATCAAATTCCGATAAATTATTATCAACTAGTACTTTTACCTGTAGAGCAGACACTATCCGTGTATCCAGCTACACAGTTACATGTGTAAGTGTTAATGCCATCTGTACACGTCCCTCCATTTTGACATGGAGCAGTTGCGCATTCATCAATATCTACAATAAAACAGAAAAACCTTTCCTAATTTCGCTGTCACTTACGCACTTGAATCAAATTCTTATACTGTATATTGAAGTTAATTCGTATTTGATTACATAGGTAAGATTAGATAGAAATGTTTTAACATTTACCTGTAGAGCAGACACTATCAGTGTATCCAGCTACACAGTTACATGTGTAAGTGTTAATGCCATCCGTACACGTCCCTCCATTTTGGCATGGAGTAGTTACACATTCATCAATATCTACAAATGGCGAAAAAAGAATTAAAATTATCATCATGATTTCAATTTCATCTTTGATGTGATATGAATCGAACTATCGTATAATAATGACAATTGAATAATTTTTTTAAAATTGAAATCAACTTGTACTTTTACCTGTAGAGCAGACACTATCAGTGTATCCAGCTACACAGTTACATGTGTAAGTGTTAATTCCATCGGTACACGTCCCTCCATTTTGACATGGAGTAGCTGCGCATTCATCAATATCTAGAAATAATGCAAAAGATAAATGAATTTTTTTTATTAGTTTTCTGTCAATCGAGAACATATATCAATCACGTTTCTATAAATTATTATCAACTGGCACTTTTACCTGTAGAGCAGACGCTATCAGTGTATCCATCCACACAGTTATTTGTGTAAATGTTAATGTCATCTGTACAAGTCCCTCCATTTTGACAGGAGTAGTTAAGCATTCATCGATATCAAAAATTGATTAAAAACAAAAAATAAACCTTTTCCGAGTTTCTGTCAATCGAGAACATATTTCAATCCTATAAATTATGATCAACTGACACTGTCAGGACAAGGTCACATTTGCTCCGATTCATCGGCTGGCAACCGAGAGACTGCAGTATTTTGTTCAAAACTGATTTCAAATCGACCAAACCTTTTTTAAAAAACATGTACAAGTTCTCAGGAGTTCACATCTGACCTCAAATGCGAGATTTGACATTTAACTTTGAATGAAATATTCAATTAGCCAGGCTCAGGTCGATTAATTGGGGCAAATGTGGCCCAGGCATTACCTGTAGAGCAGACACTATCAGTGTATCCAGCTACACAGTTACATGTGTATGTGTTAATGCCATCTGTACACGTCCCTCCATTTTGACATGGAGCAGTTGCGCATTCATCAATATCTACAATAAATTCATAAAAAGCTTTCCTAGTTTTGCTGTCACTCATGCACTTATTGGAATCGAATTCTTATATATTAAGGTTAACTCGTATTTTAAAATACATAGGTCAAATCAAATACAAACATTGTAACATATTCATCGTTTGCCATCATCATTGTGCTCATTTGAATCAAATTCTTGTATCCAAGGGGCGATCCATATATTCTTTGATTTTGTGATTTTTCGACTATCCCTCTCATTTTTTTCAGAATATATAGATTGTGTAATTACACATACAATGCCAAAATAGTATAGCCAAATGTTAAATTAATTTAGAGATAGGGTTGCCATGGTAACCTGTATTAAGGCAGGTCTGTAATAATAACCTATAAAATATCATAATGATTTGTCATTTTGATTATTTTTTATCAAACGGAAATCATACATTTCATACACTCCAGTTTGGTATTATTGCTCGTTATTTGTTGCTAAAGAAATGTTAATGTGTGCACACTATAGCATCTCATTAGCTCACAATAGCAATGTATGACAGAATTTCACAGGCAGGTATCGAAAGATTTGCCACTAGTTTTCACAAAAACACTAAGAAAACTCCACAATTCCATGCAATAAAATTTTTGTCCCCTCTTTTAAATGTGAACTACGTTAAGAAATTAAGAATTTAAGATTCATTATATATCTATATATTTCTTTTATTACAGTTTAGATGAGAGAATATGTCAAACCTCTATCTGAAATATATTGCAAGTATTCCTCTAAAGTGTTGTTGTAAAATAATAAAAATATGTTTGATAAATCACACGTATCTCACATTTGAAACTGCTCCGTCACAGCGGACAAAAAATGTAAACATTATCTTTTTGGAAAAAATTAAAAAGAGCAAATACATCCAGATGTCACTAAATCGTCAGAGTTATGCTGAAAACATGTGTAAATATTTCCGTGTCACTTTATCGTTCCATTAAAAAGTTAAGAAAGAAATGGTACATTTTAGCGTATCATACTCTGACCACCTTTTCAATAGTATTTACTCCTAGCGTTATTTGAATTCAAACAGAAGTGTAGGTTACCGACAAATGACACATCCATAGCATGGAGTAAGAAATTTTCTTTGGAATAACGTAACATATGAGTAAATAAATAAATTTTGAGTTTACTTAGCTTATGAAAAATAGCATGCTCCGTCACAGCGGACAGATTTTTCGATACATGCCTGTGAATTTGCATACGATGTCACATCAAAAATCAAATTATTAGGTGAGGTTAGTGTGGTTGATGCAGTCTGACATTAACATATACACCAGGAGTACCATTAGATTTTATATACTGTCAAGGAAAAGTTAAGAGAACACCATCAGAGCCATACATACATGGACTTATAGCATATATGGGCGAGTTGCTACATCTGCTTCAAGAATCTACAGAAAGTACTATGAGTTTAAGGAAGGCAGGGTCACAGTTGATGATCATCCACGATTAGTTAGCAAAGAGGGCTTGCAGAGAGAGAAGAACACGAAGATAATATGAGATGCAATTTATGAATAAAGAACTATCCCACTGTGGAAACTAGCAGACAATGTCAACATGGGGTATGAAATAGTTCAAGGAACAGTTCACAATGATCCAAAGATGCGTTTGATCTGATTAAAAAAGATACCAAGAAATGATTGAAATAACAAATCTATAATTTTTACGTTATAATTAAACTGATCTGCCTACCATAAATACAGGTTACTATGACAACCTCATCTCAAAATCGATTTAGCTATAATAGCCATTGTATGTGTAATTAAACAATCTTTAAATTCTGAAAAATAAGAGGGCTTTATGAAAAGATCACAAAATGAGAGCATTTTTATCAGAATATAAGGATCGTCCCTTTTATTAAGGTTAACTCGCACGTTTACCTGTAGAACAGACACTATCGGTATATCCAGCAACACAGTTACATGTGTAAGTGTTAATGCCATCTGTGCACGTTCCACCATTTTGACATGGAGTAGTTGCGCATTCATCAATATCTACAAATGACGCAAAAAGTATCTTTATCATGATTTCAACTTCACACATGATTTAATATGAATCGAACTATCATATACTTATGTCAACTGAATAGATTTTTCAAATATTGAGATCAACTGGTTATAATTACATACGAGTAAAGGTAGGTCAAATTAAATACAAACATTTTAACATATTCATCGTTTTGTCATCATCATTGCGCTTATTTGAATCACATTTTTGTATATTAAGGTTAACTTGTACGTTTACCTGTAGCGCAGACACTATCAGTGTAGCCAGATACACAGTTACATGTGTAAGTGTTAATGCCATCTGTACACGTCCCTCCATTTTGGCATGGAGTAGTTGCGCATTCATCAATATCTACAAATGACGCAAAAAATAAATGATTTTCACAATTCATGATCTGATTCCATGATCTGATATGAACCGAACATGGAGTAGTTGCGCATTCATCGACAGCTAAAAGTGAAACAAGCAAGAATTAAACTTTTAAATGATTTTTTGTCAAAAATGTGCTTATTTGAATCAAATTCTTCTACACTAATAGGTGAACTAGTACTTCTTACCTGTAGAACAGACACTATCAGTGTATCCAGCTACACAGTTACATGTGTAAGTGTTAATGCCATCTGTACACGTCCCGCCATTTTGACATGGGTTAGTTGCGCATTCATCAATATCTACAAATGATGCAAAAAAAATTAACATTTTCATAATTATAGCTTCATGCATGATCTGATATGAATCGAACATGGAGTAGTTGCGCATTCATCGACATCTACAAGTGAAACAAGCAAGAATTAAACTTTTAAATGATTTTGGTCAAAAAATGCGCTTATTTGAATCAAATTCTTCTACACTAATAGGTGAACTAGTACTTTTTACCTGTAGAACAGACACTATCAGTGTATCCAGCTACACAGTTACATGTGTAAGTGTTAATGCCATCTGTACACGTCCCTCCATTTTGACATGGGTTAGTTGCACATTCATCAACATCTACAAATGATGCAAAAATAAATTAACATTTTCATAATCATAGTTTCATCCATGATCTGATATGAACCGAACATGGAGTAGTTGCGCATTCATCGACATCTACAAGTGAAACAAGCAAGAATTAAACTTTTAAATGATTTTGGTCAAAAATGTGCTTATTTGAATCAAATTCGTCTACACTAATAGGTGAACTAGTACTTCTTACCTGTAGAACAGACACTATCAGTGTATCCAGCTACACAGTTACATGTGTAAGTGTTAATGCCATCTGTACACGTCCCTCCATTTTGACATGGGTTAGTTGCGCATTCATCAATATCTACAAATGATGCAAAAAATAAATTAACATTTTCATAATTATAGTTTTATCCATGATCTGATATGAACCGAACATGGAGTAGTTGCGCATTCATCGACATCTACAAGTGAAACAAGCAAGAATTAAACTTTTAAATGTTTTTTTTTGTCAAAAAATGTGCTTATTTGAATCAAATTCTTCTACACTAATAGGTGAACTAGTACTTCTTACCTGTAGAACAGACACTATCAGTGTATCCAGCTACACAGTTACATGTGTAAGTGTTAATGCCATCTGTACACGTCCCTCCATTTTGACATGGGTTAGTTGCGCATTCATCAATATCTACAAATGATGCAAAAAATAAATTAACATTTTCATAATTATAGCTTCATCCATGATCTTATATGAACCGAACATGGAGTAGTTGCGCATTTATCGATTTCTACAAGTGAAACAAGCAAGAATTACACCTTTAAATGATTTTTTGTCAATAAATGTGCTTATTTGAATCAGATTCTTCTACATTAAGGTGAACTGCTACTTCTTACCTGTTGAACAGACACTATCAGTATATCCAACTACACAGTTACATGTGTAAGTGTTAATGCCATCTGTACACGTCCCTCCATTTTGACATGGAGTTGGTGCGCATTCATCAATATCTACAATTAAATACAAACAGAAAGGATAGGTATCGATATGGTGAACTGAATTCAACAAAATTTGTCATGATTTCTATATCACCCATGCGCTTACTTTAATTAGATTTTCATACATAAAGGTGTAAAAATGGCAGTCAGGATATTATATGCTTGTTTTTATCACATAGAACAACTCTTTTGTTATTTTAACTACTTAAATTATATTCGAATCCCCTCAAAGCACGATTTATTGAGACGAACACTCTTAAAAATTATTACTTAGATTTCCTTATATTGAGAAATTGTACTACTCATTTTAAGTCAAAAATTACTTAAATAATCTTGAACTACTGAATAATTTTTAAGTAATTTTTAAGTAATTCATTTATGGTGAATTTACTAATGCAAGGAGAGAAATGGAAATACTTACTGTAGTAATTGTAATACTCATTTACATAATTAAGCAATTAAAAAACTCAAAATGACAATATAAGTTAAACCTAAGTAAAATGAAGTAAAACTAAGTACAGTATTTAACTTTAAGTAATTTTTATACTTGGGAAATACTTGGGAAATACTCAAGTAATTCAATTTAAACTGTCGATATTTCTCAAAAAACTTATATCATGTTTATTATTCCCGTACAACGTATAACTAATGAAGAGTTTGATTACGTCATCAACTATTATGCAGCTCTATACGTCCATAAGTTATACATTTAAGTTATACGTTATAATGAATGATGATTTATAATATATTTTATAATTAATGATAATTATTTTGACACGGGGTCCCTATTCAAAAAATTTCAAATATCTTTTAGTATTTACTTTAAAGATTAAATATTCTGTTGATAGGAAATGTCATATTCAAATTAAGGAAAATACTCATGGTGAAAAATATGACCGTCTAAAATCACTTGCCATACCAAACCTTGCCCTTTGTTATTTTCCATTTTTCTGAAATTCCAATACTCACAAACCTCGACATCATTGAATTTTCAATCTCGAAAATATATAATTCCATATTTGATAGGTTTTCTAATTTTACGCGTTATGAAGTAAAAATAGACATCGTTTATTGTTCTCAATATTTCCCAGCTTTATTTTTTGCTGCCACTTTATCACGTACCCGTGCGACCATATATAGCTTGCCCGTAGCCAGCTTTCACCAGGAGGGGGAGCTTTTTTCCAGGGGGGAGCTTTTTCACAATTTTGGCTTAGAATCATGCGAAAAATTCTAAGGATGGTGAAAAACTGCATGATTTTGAAAAAATTTCTGGCCAGGGGGGGGGGGAGCTTCCGCTACCCCAGCTCCCCTTCCTGGCTACGGGCCTGTATACTAATATAGTTTTACCTGTTTGACAATCACCTCCAGTGTATCCTGCTGCACATGTGCATGTGTATGCCAAATATGCATCGTTGCACGTCGCTCCGTTAAGACAAGGGGATGATGCACAATCATCAAAAGCTGCAGTAAGGCGAAATAAAACTATACAATAACAACAACATAATCTAGACGTACGTACGTTAAGTTGTGTATCCACGTGATAGTTTTACATTTATACGTATATATCCAAAATATAGAACAATGTATTGAATTAGTTACAGATAGTAGTGTAACATACCTGTTACGGTAACCGTTAAATCGGCACTGACATCATTGCAATCATCACTGACTTGTATCGTCAACACATAGGTGCCTGTAGTCAGTGCACTGTCAACAGTTACTTCACCTAAAAATACAATTTTCGCAATATCTGATATAAAAGATAGGTGAATTGCAGTACAGTTACTATAAATGTTAGACATAATTTGTATTTTGATTGTAATTTTCACCAGATTTGATTTCTTATATGTTGCTTTGGATGGCTTATTATCACAAACAATTTTCCGATTACAGGGCGCGATTGTGGTATTATTTTTCTGAATCGTGCAGCAGACAATTCAAAATGGCTGCCTAACGTTGGAATTCGCTATTATTTTGAGCTCTTTAAAATATAGTTACATCACAAATATTGTGTTGTTGTTGTGCATGCCATGAGATAAATACAATGCTGTGTAGTATTTGGGCTTACTTTGAACTATAAACATGTACACAGTATAATGGAGTTATTAATTCATTTTGTTGGTTCTGGTCACTGCGCTCTTTGGTTGGGATAGCTGCCCTAGTCAGCTATAGGCGGTTGCTAGCCATATTGGCAAAAAGTTTTGTTATATAACATTATGTAATTTATAATAAAATTACGTCATTATATTATATAGCTAACTACAGACCTATTTTTGTTCCTTCTACTTTTGCCTATCTAAGAGCGCATGTACCCAGAACACTACAGCCTCATAAATTCATTTTAATAGACAATTAAAAGTTTTCTGAAGTAAGTGTGGAGGGGCCACGTGTTGATGTCGTCTGGGACACACATATTGTTATATAATTCAGCCAATTATATGGCTCCTCAATTACATACATCATTTGAAAGATACCGCGAGGTATCCTATCTCACCATTCTATACCTTTCTTTGAGGATACAGCAACACATACTTCTTGTTGCAGGACATTAGACTTTCAATACTATTAGATTATATTATATGCTTAAATTTCAAAACCTGTTAATTTTTTTTCCTTTTACTTTTGCCTATCTAAGAGCGAAAGTACCCAGGACACTATATTTACGGGTTAATATAAAGAGAAGTAACTCGCCCGACAGCCATATCTGGTGTAGTATAGAAAAAGCATTAATTTATATTAACTTATATTTTGAAGAATAAGTAGAACAAGGTTTGTTGTATTGAGTATAAAGTAAGGAATATTGTACGTTTAATATATATCAGATAATGACATTTACCGTTCGATCCATTTATTGCAAAGTACGTTGTTGGTGATATCGTCATCGTGAGCGTCTCTAGGGTGTTTGCATCTACCGCATTTGCAGTGAATATTACAGTCCCTGATGCAGAATTATCCTCAATGCTTGTTGTGTTAGGTACATTTTGGAATGTTGGAGGTTCACCTTTGCAAATATAGTATTGTTGATGAACATTTACAACACAATTTTAGACTTAAAATGTAATATTATCAATATGTGATATGTCAAAAAAATGTTTGAACAACTTTTTGTTTGAAAGTATTGAACACTTTTTTATGGTGGTAAATTTATGGTGGTAAATTGAAATAATAATGGGCACACATGTCTAAGTAAGGCGCTACATATGATTATTTGAGTAACCTACTTGGACCAACTTCAACCATTACTCCGAAGTTCCTTTGTATCCAAGGTGAACTCCCCCACAGAGCAGCTGGCCCGGCAAACGCGACAGAACCTCCAACCGATAAAGCAGAACTGTCATCTTTTTCGAAATAATTTGAGGGTGAAATGCAATCATCATTATAACCGAGGGTGTTGGTACAGTCTAAGTCGTATTTAATTATATTTTGATCCCCCGGAGAATACCAGCCTATGACATCTCCATTTCTAACAGGAATTTGATCAGATGCACCATCAACAACCAGTGCTGTATCTACAATAGCAAAAATAATATCTGTAAAAAGTATCCCCCTAATGCCCACATGTGGTTACACATTCTTGGCCCCAATAGTCAATATGATTAGATATATTTGAGTATTCTACACCAGGAATCAACGTTGGTATTGATGAGTGGTTGCTGGAATCATAGTCATGCCCAAGTCGGTATTTTTCTTAATTATTTTACTTGAAATTCAATGATCTGATCGAGTATTTCTTCAGAGTTACAATATATTATGTAATTATATATTGCCCTTCGAAATGACGTTATTGTACTATTAACAGAAATCGCGATGAAAATGCACGAAGATCTAGTCCATGTAGTCGTCGATCTAATTCAGTGATTGATCTGAATCTCGGCCTAGGCCTATGTTCGACAATTTCAGCGATCGTTTCAACGTTTCGTGTTGAAATCTTCTCACCCCTGGGTATCCTATCGGTGCTCCGGCATCTACTAAACTCTGGATTGATATGTATCTGGTAAAATATTTGTATTTTCATGATGCATTGTGCAAGATTTGTCGGAGGATTTGTTCCGTCGTTGATTGGTCAAATTAACCGACATAAGCATTGAGTCGGGTACAGTCAAATTTTGAATGTTTGGAATTAAAAAAATAAGAAATCGAATGACTATATTGCAACAGTATATAAAAATAGAAACATATGTACTTGTCCTAACTTTTGTATATTTCAGATAGTTATGTATAATGTGCAGCAAATCTGTGGCCTTTTGTTATTTGTGGAGTTTCAGCCATGTTAATTTTTCCGAAAATAACATGGCAGAGAAGCATCAAAATATAAGAGGCCACAGATATCATAGCTAAACTACAAAATAAACTAAAATAAACAAAAGTTAGGTATGTATAAGTGTTCCTATTTTTACACATTCTGTTCCAATATGGTGCTTTGATTGCTTATTTTTTAAATTCAAAGTAGTTCCAAACATTTAAAATATTACTGTAAGAACGTGGCTTTCTCATTGGTACAAGGCGGTCATAATAGATAAGTAAAAGAGACCGACTTGGGCAAGGCTAGTGGAATCACTGTTCAATAGTATATTACTCAGAATAACTTACATGCCTATTTTGGGATACTCGAAGTGATATTTTGAATTTGTTAAATCAAATATATTTGCATACGACAGTTTATCAGGTGTTATACAACCGCAAGACCTTTCCGTAGAAGAAAATACTCTATTTATAGATTTCCTTAACAGCACCATCGATTTATTGCAAATCACATAATATCAATTTTTTAAATGCAAACAAACAACTTGAAGATGTTCTTACCATATCCATTTGTATATTGATAATTAACAGTGATAACATTTTCCCCTCGTAGGCTGTATTCGTATCCAGACACGGGAGTCCATATTTGCATATTCACATCTCCAGGCCAAAAAACGGCCACGGTCCATTGTTCTACGACCCCACAACAGTCGATGGTATAGCGAGTATCATTCACTACATATATACTTTGCTTAGTTCCTGCAATGGTTTATAAAAACAGACTGAGATAGTGTACATCATATGTTTACTGTATAGATAGGCCTTTCTTAAACACACATGCATGTGTATATAAAGAAAAAATTAAAAGCTTTTTTGAATTTTGAGATTAGTTGAATGAATGATCAGCTCTATACTGTATAATCGGATTTTCGGGATACAATGTATCAGATAAAGAATGCACCCCTCCATAGGTTTGGCAACCTTTGCTCCCCCATTGAACTAGGTGTTAAAGCCTCTTTACCTTTGACCTTTTATTTACTTAAAGAGATCGAGTCGTCCAGATTTCTATTCTGGACAATCAGTAATGTCCCAATATAATTGCTCATAAAACATCATATATACCTTAGATATACATGTATCTTGAGACCAAATCATAAGCACGATATCACAAATATATTGAGGATATCAACAGGACAACCAAAAGAACAACCAACTGTCAGAATTGAACGCAATAAGTCGAAAACAGAATACAATGTTTTTTTTTGGGGGGGGATTTATCTATATTGTAACCCCTTAGAAGTAATAAATATGGCTTCTATAAGCCAAAATAATCTGAAGGAAAAAGCCAATCAGACTGGAACAAATTTGAGCGGGCTTTTTAAATTTAATTTGAATTTCTATTGATGTAAGTGGAAATTCATGGCTAGGAACAATCATCGAATTGATACTGTTAACGAATTAATTCAAGCCTCAGAATTGATAAACAAACTTGTTTTACATCAAATAACACGAAAAAATCAGGGGGTTACTTGAATTGTGTTTTTAGGAGACCCGATCTCTTTAACCTGCAATGAAAATACTTATATTGATGGAAACGTAGTTTGACTTTATTTCCAATACCTCCACATTTTCTCAATTTCTTTCCTCTGTCAATTACAATAGGTCGAAAATTGATGATAGATTTGATGGATTTTTGAAAATCGACATTCCCATGTTAATCAATAGAAAATGGTAGGTTTGCCGCAAGTCATAATAATAATAGGATTTTTATTAGTACTGATGCCCTTTTTGGGCCAAACGTACATCCGATATACAATTTTCAATAACAGTAGGCTTAGATATAGCAATAAAGTAAAGAAAATAGGATTACATTCTTCAAATGACATATTAAATGTTACTTTGATATAAGAATCCTGTCTCTACCAATCATTAGATACTTTATCATGTCAGCAGATTCTTTTAATATGATCCCCTCACTCGTCAATAGAAAAATTGTCTTTTGGTGGTCATTCATGTTTTTAAAATTACTACACAGGTTTTCAAGTTTTTCAATATGGGATTTTCTGATAAACTCCAATTTTTTACATTTGAATAAAAAGTGATCAGTAATTAGTTTTGTATATCGGCATCTCTCTATATGTCATATGACAGAAGATCCATCCATCCGAATCCTTGCAAAAATAAAAGATGGCTAGGAAATTGAATTTGCTAACTTTGTATAAGAAAAACGTGATACGATTCTTCAGGTTAAACAAAGTTATAGGTCTTTAAAGTCAAAATTGTTTTTCAAAAAACCTCTCCCATTGAAATAACACAGGAGGCGAAAAATGATTTTCAAAAATGACTTTGAAGCTCTGTAACTTTAATATTCATCAAGGAAACTAAACACTTAGTGCAAAAAGAGTAAGACAACTCAATGTTCTATATAAAAACATTTTTTTGCTGAATCTTTTACTGAATATATGTCCTGATTTCTGAATTGCCCCGAACCCACCACTTCCCATTGGTTTACATGGGAATGACGATTTTCAAAAATTCATCAAAATCATCAATTTTCGACCTATTGTAATTGAGGGAAAAAATTGAGAAAATTTGAGGGTATTGGAAATAAAGTCAAATTACGTTTCCATCAATAGCAAAGTACTTCAAAATTCAAAGGTAACGAGGCAATAACACGTAGTTCAATGGGGGGGGGGGGGAGAAAAGGTTGCCAAACTTATGGAGGGGAACGTACATCCATAAGGGCCACCACTGATTACAATGATAACTTTTTGAATATGACCCACAGCGAAATTTAACATTTGTCTTACCACACACCCATCATGAGAAATCATGATTTCTATTAGATCCTCTCTAGTTGAAGGCAGAAAGACGCGTTGAGTATCAGAATGCCACATACAAAGGTTTCATCTAATTGTATAAAATATTACTTAACAATCTATTTAGCAAATAACAATATAGTTTACCATAATCATAGCCATTATTACTAAAAGCTTGATCGAAGTAGTCGTGATAATTAAAGTAGTTATATGTGGTGTCGGAAGGGTCCGCAGTAATCCAATCCCCACTGCCGGTAGCACCGAAGTATGTATAGGCAGAACAAGAGGTCGCAGAAGATCCTGGAATAATGTAACAAAGACTAATACGATCACGTTTAATTCTCCATACTCCTACATGCTGTTATATAGTAGTGCTTGTATGTAGATAAGCGAATGAGAGCTTAAATAAAAACTAAAACGTTACTTTGTAAATAATAACAAAAACGCTTCATGTCAAAGTTTACTCCTTGTAATCTAGTACATCGATGTCAAAGCTATGTGTGGAGACTATTCATTTGATTTTTTCAGCTTGTCATCACTGTCATTGTGAATTATAAGTGACATGTTCCTCAACACCTTTAATATCCCCGGGAAAACGTAAGTTCCTTACCTGAATAACTAGCAAAGATAAAAACTGCAATGAAAATACTGAAACGATATTGTTTCATTTTTCTATGTGTTTAATCCAAATATGACATAATCCTTATGTAGCCGCTTCATGTCGATCCGTTTTAGTAAGTTTTTGTTAAAAATTGTATGGATGTATATCCCGTCGCCATTTTGTTTTAAATCTGGATATGTTCCTTGTAGTATTTTACTAATTTTATGTAAAGCCGTCATGTGGGGGATGTGTCACCAATGTAATTGAGCTTTACATATACATTTTGCGTGGACAAAATATTTTCATACATAGTCGTTTATTAATACACAATTGGTTTCAAAATAAGCAGTAAGGCTAATATTTGATGTCAGGTTGGCATGGACGTACGTATGAGTGCTTGGAAATGGATTATAGAAAATTGCTACTTGTAACAATTTTGACACTTCCCCCAGGTATGTAAATATCACAAAAAGTTAATTGTATAGCCAAACACGAATGTTGGATATATTGATCTGTAAAAACGTGTTTAGAATTTCAACTCTCAACAACTTTCTTTGATTTCTGTTACAACCATTCCATTGTTGATGAATTGAAATAGTTGTTAATTTTGTCAAAGCGTTTTGACAACGTTGTAACTACCTCTTGGACACAGTGCGTCACCTCCCAACATTTGTGTATAACTCCAAATAGAGCAAATATTATCGACCTATCAAAAATAATACTATTCATATGTAGTTGATAAAGTGTTAAATGGTAAATATTTGATATAGCTTTGACGCTGTTATAAACATTATTTAAAAATGAATCGATTAGGTAGTAGTATTACGCTTAAAGGTCCTACAGTTCAACACATTAATACCATTGTCATATGTATGTAAATAATGCACTGTGATATTCAACATTATTGTTTTCTTTAATTTGCCTTGTGACCCGTCAGAGGAATCCCCTCTCCCGAACTTATATATTGTAGAAACAGTTCAGCATAAGCACTATATACTTAAATTTTATAATATTGTTTTATTGGAGTATTTGCCAATATTGAACATACACATTTCTTCAACCAAATATTGAGATACCATTCTCTTTAAATGTTTTTCTTTAATTGAAGATATGATATTGTATTAAAGACTTTGATGTAATTTTGAATTTTATCATGTAAACCAATGTTTCCGGTATGGTTCATTCACAGAAAAGCATGAAGAAGACGAGTGCATTTGAGTACATTTACAATTTTTGTTTTGCATTAACATACATAATATTACATTTGCATAAACATATTACGGTTTGCATACATTAGGAATACAGCTTTGACTTTTAAAATCATTTCTTCATCATTGTCTGATTTGAAAGTTTGAAATATAATGTCATAACCAATTCTAAATAAATGAGAAGTGCAACTCTTTCCGCATCTATGGAATTGTAGAAACGTAAAAAATGATCCAATGTTTCTATTTCGCCAGTATTACATATATTGCATTTTCTGTCGTCCCATTTTTTATTTCCATTGAGTGTTTGATTCAATAGCAGCTTTACCATTAATTTGAAATATTATTTATTTAAGGAATATGGTAAAAGTATTCCATGCTTAATGTCATAAGTATGCTCTCGGCAAGACTTTCTAATTACGTTAACATATTCTCAAGCAGATTTTTTCGAGGTTATTCCACATACGTCCATGTGAACATTTTTCAACCGGTCAATTATGTGGGAGGAACTACCAAGATAAAATCTGAGCACCGCTCGATATATTAAGGTAATTAGAAAGTTAAAAGTCTTGCCAAGAGCATGCACATGAAATTAAACATGATATATTTCATCATATTCCTTAGATAAATCTTTTAAAGCCTTCATTTTTGCTTCAAACCAGACAACGTACAGCTAACGTGTACACCCGTGTATGTTGTAACTGTACGTTGTCGATGGTTAGGCGTGTGCAGAGTAAATGTATTTTACAGGTGCAGTTCAATTCTGTTTTTCTTGCCGACTCAGCTGCGTGTGTTATATACATCTCAAGGACCAAATTATTTATAAAATAGTATAAAAAATAAGGACATGGGTCATTTTACGCATTCTTTTAAAAATGAAGTGGGGATTATATCAGTATTTTTTCAATACATAGCACACACGACAGCTAATAAACCAAAAAATAACGTACTATTTGGATAACTACAAGGTTGAAGAATGCTACTCTTTTGAATGCTATTTATTTGTTTTGGGCAATTGCATTTAACCATCAACAAAACACATTATTCTATGAAAAGCTTCTTTTGCTGAATGTCATAACAAGCTCAGAAGTATTGCTACTTGATCCAAACTACAATTTACACCATCACCAACATGATATTATTTCACGGTAAATAGTATCCAATTGTTTATATTAATCATTTAGACGAGCCCATGGTAAAACAGGTTTCCCAGCCCATTGGATTTTCCATTTACATTTACACATATAATTCCATGTCTTATATTTAAATTATGCTACTGCATGGTTTTGTTTTAAATTAATGAAGAGTTACACATTTTTAACACAATATTTTTGCTAATTTGCGTGGTAGATCACATAATATGATTTCTATAGAATTTGAATTTATTTATCAAAACCTCATCCAATCACTGCGCGATGACTTACAATAACTTATTATTTATAATAAGCCTCTAGTATCACAAAAATAATTATGATCTAATTAATACATAATTATAATTATCAGAAGGTGGCAATCATGTTTCCAAAAACTGGGTAGCATTTGCGAATTCAACTACCGGCTGACTGTTTAACCTACCTTTTAAGGCCAATTCATTTAAATATTGTTGGAATATATAGTGGCTGGCTCTATTCATATTAAAATACGTTGGCCATAAAATAGTAGTTAGCCCTCAGTTGAATTCGCGAATGCTACCTTAGATAATTATCCACAGGTAAGCACACATTATTTCTTAATATTTGCAAGAGCTTTGAATTCTAAATCTTATTCATCACAAGCATACATATTCTGTATATCATTAACAAAAATATTGAGATCTTGGAATCACAGCATTAGTATTGCACATCCTATATTTACAAAGAGTATGTCCATATTTTCTCATTGTATATCATACCTTTATTATCATAATATATTCTGTAGTGAAGTATTTCATATCTGACTAATAGCGATTAATGCACATGCAGATTATTGTTAAATTGTTCTTTAATTTGTTTTCCAGAGCTCTGTGCATTGATATATATTTGTAGACAGGGGTAAGGTGCCTGTCAATCTGCGTATCAGACAGTAAATATGAGGTTGTAAGTATCAAGTTGTGATTACCGCCTTGTCCGCTGAACCTGGAAATAGACACGATAAAAAATGAACTTGTGTACTATCTTATTTCTTCAATGCTTAAATTGTAATGATGATTGTAAAATATCGAAGCAAAATGTACTATATTTAGTTTAGAAACCAGCCGCTGGTCAAGGATTTTGTGTTGGGGGAGGGGGCTGGGGCGCTTGATTATTCTTCCAACAGTGTAGGAAGACGAACGTGTTACACAAGTGAAATATACATCACATTAGGACATTTCAGTAAGACAACATTTGCACACTTAAAGATTACAAATTCAGAGAAGAATACTGTAACGTAGGAAATAGTGATTTATGGTTTGGTGACTAGAATTCTATTCATGTAAACATTTGGTATCCAGTAAGAGTATGTGTTTTCTTATATGGGGAGTAATTAACACATAATGCAAAATGCAATCTAGTATACAGCATACTTACGGTGTTATTTCCATGGAGGTTTCCTTACTATTCTGTGCACTTGCGTAATAGATTTAGGAATCTTCATAATTGATTGCACTGTCTGAAATGCAGTATAATACGTACATATATTTAGGCTCAAAGATGACTGGCAGAAGTACAAAACATCTAAAGTAGAATATACTTGAAAACAAAGCAGAATATTCTCATATATCTGATTTATACTATCCTTCACACAATGATAGGAATATACGCATTAATATTACGTCCATAATCGTATAGCTATAAGAACATGGATTTTTATATGAACATATTTGTCGGGTAATTCAAAACCAACCTTTCTAGGTGTAAAGACGTCACTAACAAATTTCGCTTTTATTTCTGAAGGAGTCAACGCTTGATTTGATCCCGGTGACATATTGGTTTGAGTTTGTTCAATAGATGGCGATGGTTCAGGTGACCCCGGAAGACTAATGTCTAGACTTGATTCAAGATTTTCATTTGGACCTTCCTCGGGAATTTCTCCTATGGAGGAAAATTCCTTTGTGGGGGAAATTGGCATTTCCTCTTTCTGGAAAACTTCCTCTCGAGGGGTAGTTTCGTCTGTAGGGACTAGATCCTCCTTGAGTGAAAGTTCCTCATATGTTGTGGGCTCTGGAATAGTATAAACAGCAATGACAGGACATACGAGAGTTGATTCAAAAGAAATGAAAAAATCATGAGGCTAAAAATGTCTGTAAATTATCTAAAGTGACTAAATTTAATATTCCATGGTCTCTTTGGGAGAATAAGACTTGTGAATATTTTATTACGAAAAGAGGAGTGAGTTATACCGTCCATGATAATAGATATATCATCCTCTATATCCGATACATCTTCCACTTCATTATTAGAAGTCTTGTTATGTAGTGGTTCTTGGGACCCGCTACTACAGAAACTGAAACAATAACCTACATAGTAATAATGATATAATTCTACATGTGTAACACTATCTTCAAAATATACAAATACTGTGACATTATTATTAGCCCGTCAACAGAAGGTTCCACAACTTTGTGAACATGGCAGTGAAGGTTTAATATTGCAAGTTTCGTATTTTTGATTATAAATGGCAACATGTTTAAGATAAAAAACTCCTGGTTATTAATGCAAATGGTATTTACGTTTGGCATTGCTTAGGTTCCTCCCTATCACCAGTATGTTTCAGTTTAAATACAGCACTACAAAATAGAATGTTACAAATGTTACAAGGTAACACAATATGAAATATAAATATAGCATTTTTATCTGAATGGTCCGATGTATGTTTACAATAACGACGTTCAAATTTGGTATGTCCCATTATTATATATTTGCTAGAAATCGTGTGATTTAATGGACTTATTCCATAACATGTGATAAAAAATATCACGGCTCCCTGAATTATTGGAATATAAGACATATTGCCCTGCGTATTGCCAGCACGAGGATTTTGACAACTACACTTGAAGAAAATAAAAGTGTACTATACAATGATACTTGTGTGTAATTATGTTCATTGATGGGTTAATGATATATCTATTGATGAAATAAATGTTCACGGGTTAAAAGAAATATTCTATATTTCTAATATGCAAAGTGATCGTAGAGAATGTCTAGCGATGATATAATAAACAAATATTTCGTTCTAAGTTTGGGCAATACCTGTTGCACTTTCAATGATCTTTGCAACATGTATTACCCTCGCCGTACAGGCTGCTATTATTAGTATGTTATATTTTCAAGGAATATTACATCTTTTTTACCTTTTACGCTTTTTGATAAATCTGAAAATGCTGATTCCTGTTGCCACTGCTGCTGCTACAGTCAGACATCCAACAATAGCACCAATCATAGCTTGGCCCTCTGGAGTACTCATTAGTGAGGAAGACTCGGGTATAACTTAAATGGACGATCAAAAGGGATGAATAAGCTTGTAACTCACTTCAGAAGTTTGAAACACATTGACATGAGCTGGGTTCAATGCTTAAATATAGAGAATATTTCAGTAATGCAATTTTTCTTTGAATTATACCTTTTTCACATTCACTCCCAGAGTATCCAGGAACACACTGACATGTATAAGAGTTGATTCCTTGTGTACACGTCCCTCCGTTTTGACAAGGAGTACTTACACATTCATCTATATCTGTAAAGAGTCAGTCTTTTAGTGAATAAAGGACGTATACAAACATAAATATTATGAAAATTACAATAAGATGTTCAGTTTCTTTCTTTTTATACTAAGATCAACAAGAATATGCACTACGCGACGAACACAAATTATGTTGTATCACCTGTGCTACAGTCAGCACCAGTATAACCAGGAATACAGCTACATGTATATGTGTTAATGCCATCTGTACACGTGCCTCCATTTTGACAGGACGTAACTGTACAATCATCTATATCTGCAAACAAACAATATACGATTAGATGAATTAAAGATCAACCTTCACATAAAACGAAATTTTCATACAAATGACAAGACTATCAATGCTGTGATATAATATTGACATGGTTATAACTGTTTTTTTTGCATAATATCAAAGCACAACCAAATACTTAAAACAAAAAATAGTTAGATGGGGATTTGATCTCCGCCTATCCACGTACAAGTTGAGGATTCTACCGCTAGACCACAATACATTTTAAATTCAGCCTTAAAATTTAACGCGTGTTATTTTATTGTTGTGTTTTATTCTACTGTAGTAACATATACTATTCATAATCTAACCTTAGAATCTACACAAAAACTGGATGGTCGGCGAACATCCGCGCAATCGGAGGAACAATCCTCATAATGACACATTTACCGTAAGTATTCAAACACAATATTAACCATATTTGTTCATTATAGTATATTCTCTCATTGTAACTCAGAATATCACTAGGTACTTTGGAACAACCCCTGCTTGGTTTCTAGAGAGATGCAGGTTTAAATTTGATCATTGTACAACCACATATAAATAACACTTTTCATGAATCAAAGTGAATAGGTAATACCTGTTTCACAAACAGTATCTGTGTATCCCGCTAAACAACTACACCTATAAGTCTCAATTCCGTCTATGCACATCCCTCCATGTTGACAAGGACTAGATGCACATTCGTCTATGTCTAAAAAACAATTAATCTGAAGTTGCTGTTTTATTTAGGACTACGTTATTTTATAAATATTAAAAGAAAAGTATTGAATAGTCAGATGTACAAAGCAGTCGTATCAGAAATTATCAATGTTGCGTTGCTCTTCAATTTGTTTGGGATTCGGAAAAAGTATATAATGCTTGCTATTTTCTGTAGGTGTCCGGAGTTTCTCTTGTTAAGCAATTGTTAGATCCTTTTACAAAATACAAGTGCCTATATGGTATTGTGATAATTACCCGTTTCACAGTCATTATCAGTGTATCCAGGTACGCAGCTACACGTGTAAGTATTTATTCCATCAATACACGTCGCTCCATTTTGGCAGGGAATAGGTGCACATTCATTTATATCTAAATTATAAATAAAATAGAGTTAAAATAAAGTTAAATAAAACATTTTCTTTGACATAACACAAAATACATTATTGCTTGAATCAGTTTAATTGGTAGTGTAACTTTACCTGTTTCACAGTCGCTACCGGTATATCCAGCCAAACAGCTACAAATATATTTATTTATACCATCTATACATGTTCCTCCATGATAACAAGGATTAGTTGCACATTCATCTATATCTGAAAGAAAACATCTTTCAATAAATCGCAACACCTATACAATTTCACCATGACACGTACACTATTTACAAGGGGCGATAACAATGTCACCTTCGGAACACCACGTCAGGTAATACTGAAACACAATGAAGTGACAAGCGTTGATAAGATATATCATAGTTTATATAAAAAACGACGTGTTGAAGTCATGTTTTACTTTTATCCAAAAGGACATATTTTGTTTATCTAGTTAATCTGTGCAGATATATCTTTTAAAACAAGTTTAATCTTCAAAAACAAAGTCCCAAAACAGGTTAAAATTATATGAACCAATTTGTATTTGACTTGCCTGTACCACAGTTACTATCGGTGTATCCCGAGAGACAACTACACGCGTAATTGTTATTTGCATGTTGCGTACAAGTCCCTCCATGTTGACAAGGGCTATCTGAACAATCAATTATATCTGTAATAAAAAAATGCGATGGATTTAATATAAATCAGTTATGGGTTTCAAAGAACAAAAATTGGCAAAATAAACAAGTAACACACAAAATGAGGCATATTTGAGATCAATTTATTTCAATGTAAAAATCTGATTACATGCAAACATAAGCAGCATTCATTCAATTCGTGTTAATTTAATTTCATGTATTACGTTTGTAATATAGCAATTCATGAAACCAATTTTCGATGCCTATACACATGCCACAGTCATTATAGGAATATCCAGATAAACATTTCCAAATTATTTCCAAAGTATTTATTCTTCATACAGATTGGGCCAAAAATGTTACCCATTCTTAACTGGCAAGACTATAATAAAGGTAACATCTGTTTAGCCAAAAGTACATATCACACAATCATGTGTATCACTTTTGCACAACAAGTGAAATAATGTACCTAGAAAAGAATGTAATGAAGAATATTTTGATAAAATGTATAAAAAACAAGAAAATTCAGTGAAAAAATTCAGAAAAATTTCAGAAATCTTTTTCACTGAGTTTTTTTATACATTTTACAAAACAAGTCTTCTCACCAGTCTTTTCTAGGCACATTAGTGTACTCTTTGTGAAAACTGGAATTGAGGAAGGAGTGATTCCTATTTGAAAAATAATATGTGACTCAATTGAGGAATTCAGCAAAATTCCGAACATGCACCCTGGCCTTAAATCATTTTCACGTTTATTGATCCCGTTTATAACACATTTAAGGGCCATGTTCATTCCCAAGAATTTCTTTTCCGGAAAAAGATTGAAAAATCAATTTGACAAGTTTGTTAAGTCTCTTCGAGCAGATCAAGATTGGATTTTATACAGAACGGGACAAGAATTTTATACAGAGTGTTCAAGATTGTAGGCGCGTTTCCAAAGTTGGCCAGAATACCTCTCATTGAAAAAGAGTATAGGTATTCTGCCATATATAGCTCCTGATCATCCAGTATTTGTATATTACTTGTCAATACAAGACCCTCCCAAAAAGTGTTAGCTCTCGCAAACCAACTAGGGTTTGAAATAGGTTTAAAATTTATTCATTAGAAATAAGGACATGTACTTTATCAAACAAAATGTCATAGTGCAAATATTAACAATTTTCAAACCACACGTCTTGTAATTGTTAGCGGGATCAGATGTCCAGATATAACCCCTTTTTTGTTCGGCTTTTTCAGGAAAGCAACAAACTTGGCACATTTGTAGAAACATATGATTTGAGTGGAAAATGATTTCAGGGCAAGTGGTTGGGGGTGGTCTTCATGGATTTTTTTACCTCTGACCCCCACCCCTATCAGGTGGGGAGGGGTAAATTATAAAAAATAAATAAAAATGGTTTTAAAGTATTTTTGTTTAAATGACTTCATTTGGTGATTGCTTTGAGCCTTGAAATGATGTAAAACTCATTTTAGAAGTGGTATTTAGTGAGGAAAATACATTTAAACCCAATTATCCAGGAAAAATTCATTATTTAAAGGGCCAAATATGGGACGTCGATTACTGTATTTCAAGAATGTGATGACTAATAGCCTTAAAAAAATTCACAGTAATAGAAGTATAAGTGTTTATTGCAGATAAAAAATATTGCTTTGGTAGCTGATGTATTCTCAGAGAAAAAAAATATCGAAATTTCAATTTTTTGGTGCATTTGGCCCAGGGGTAACCTTATCTTACCTCAATAATTTTTAAGATAGTCAATGTATGCATCTCATATGAGCTCAGAATGGTGCTTCTAGTCTTGTTTTGTCATATTATTGCTAATTAGATGTACAAAAAAGATTGGAATCAAAAAAAAATTCAAATTTTCATTTTCGATTCTGAATGGCCCGGGGTAACCATATTGTACCTTAATAATTTTCAAAATATGTAATATATCCATCTCAAATGAGCTCAAAATGGTGCATCTAGTCTTGTTTTGTCATAATATTGCTAATTAGAAGTAAAAAAAACATTGGAATTTTTTTTAAATCTAATTTTCATTTTCGCTTCTGAAGGGCCACAGGTAACCATATTGTACCTTAATAATTTTTAAAATATGTAATATATCCATCTCAAATGAGCTCAATATGGTGCATCTAGTCTTTTTTAAGCATATTAACCCTAATAAGATGTAGAAAAATGATTGATAATTCTTAAAACTCTAAATTTTCATTTAAGCTTCAGATGGTCCAGGGGTAACCATATTTTAGCATAATAATTTTCAAGATATGTAATATATGCATCTCAAATGAGCTCAAAATGGTGCATATAGTCTTGTTTTATCATACCCCAAATAAGATGTAGAAAAATTATTGGACATTTCTTAAAAATCTGAATTTTCTATTTGACCATATTTTTAACATAATAATTACATATTATTATATATGCATCTAAAATGAGCTCAAAGTGGTTCATATACCAGAAGTCTTGTTATCATATTTCCAATAATAATATATAAAAACATAATTTGACATTACTAAATATCTAATATCTAAAAATCTAAATTTTATATTTGAGCTTTTGACAGCCCAGGGGTAACCATACTTAAGATAATAATTTTCAATGTATGTTACATATATGCATCTCAAATGAGCTTGAAATGGTGTATATAATCTTGTTTTGTCATATCATTTCTAAGGAGATGGAAAAAATGATCAGATTTTGATTTAGCTTTTGACTGGTTATAGGTGGCCTAATTTTACCATAATAATTTTCAAGATATGTCACATTTGCAACTTAAATAAGCTCAAAATGGCATTTTGTCATATTCATATGTTCATATATTCATACTGTGATATAAAATGATAAATCAATGAAGTATTACATAAAGATATTAAGTTTAAGAACACTTGCATCACCTCTGGGTACACCTTCCATTCCTCCAAATCAGATGATTTAGAGTAGTAGTTAAATGCAGATGTGACATCGCATAGAATGATTGAATGAAAAATGGGGAGGACTAAACTTTGGTCATGGCCAATTGATCTTGCAATATCATGCACAGATAGTTATTGAATGGATTTTCTTTTACCAAATGCAATCCAAGATGTAGTGGGAACAAGAGGGAGCTGTCCTCCTTCCAGGCATCAACACTGAAACCCTCAAGAACATGGCAAGATGATAGTGACCAAGTAATGCAATGTCTTAGGCGCCATCAAGGATATTTCTCCATACGAGAGACTGCTTCAATCATTGCCTAACAATTGATTTTGATGTAGTAAAACTGAAAATGTCAATTTGGATTGCATATGGTAAGGGGAAATCCTTCCAATATCTACCTGCCCACAATATTACAAGACCACTTGGCCATGACCAAAGTTTAGCCCTCCCAATTTTTCATGCAATCAATGGATTTGATATGTCACCTTTGCATTCTACTACTTCTCTAAATCATCTGATTTGAAGGAATGGAAGGTGTATACCCAGAGCTATTGCAGTTGTTTTTAAACTTTGAATCTTTTTTTAGAAACATTGCAGTTGTAGAGTCATTTGTTATTCTGATGCATTCTAACCCACAGTTTCTATCACTACATGAATGTGGTTGGACTACTCCCACTGCTGATACTGAGGCCACAACATATGAAAATGTAGGTCCTATGAGGCGGATATCTGTATAATAACAAAAGATGTTGCATCCGAGGCATGCAAAAAACTTGTTTGATGTTTAAGGAGTGTTGAGGGAACATATGCAAATGTTTGAAATCATATCTCATTTGCTCTGGGCTATGTAGCTGTAGGGGAGACTGTCAGAATCTATAAATCCTGACCTGTTTGATTATGTTTTATGGATTTGGATTATATTTTCAAATGATTATACATAGAATCTTAACAATGCTACTACTCAGTACAAACTGGACTGTCAAACATTTTCAAATCTTAGAAAAGTGCTCGATAAAACTATAGTACAGTATTGAGCTAGTGGTACTAAAAAGGAATGAATGGATGTTGTGATTCTTTATATAAATAAATAAATGGATGTTGAGATTTTTTATAATTTTTTCTTATTTCAGAAGGAATAAATGACAAAACTTGACTATAATCAACATTTTGAGCTCGTTTGAGTAACAAGTGTGATATATCTTTATTTAAATTATTACGGTAAAATGGCATCAAAAGCTAAGGCCGTAAGAATTAGATTCTTTGTTTTGCTTCCCCTTGCTTGCATGATTTTGACTAAATCAGAAAAAACAAACATATCCAAATAGCAACCACAAGGGTCTGAAAGTAACATCGCATTTCATTCAATCAGAATCAGACGAAATGGCGGATAAATTGATGTGCGTCAAAATTGACAGTGTTATTGATTACTTAGGCATACATTTTTTTATTTTTACCCTTGAATAATACCTATATTTAAATATATTGTATAAACGTATAGATCTGTGTTTGTATCACTGCAAATTGGTATGTCATTCCTTTTAATGCCCATAAAATGTATACATTTCTCAGCAAACAAGTTTGTGTTTTTTGAGTTTGTGTTTGTTTCCTTGTACCCTTGCATGATTTGGATTTTGCCAGGACGCAAACCTGACAATCTAATTCTTATGGCCTAATATGAAAATATCATTTTTTCAAGTTTCCAAACATTTTTTACATCCCCTAAAAATAATATATGACAAAAGAAGATTAAAAAACCCTTAAAAGCTCATTTGAGATGCATATGTCTTGTACTTTGAAAATTATTAAGGTAAAATATGGCTACCCATAGGCCACAATAAGCTAAAATGAAAATTTAGATTTTTAAGAAATGTAAAATCATTTTTCTACATCTAATCAAGGGTAATCTGATAAAACAAAGCTATATGCACCATTTTGAGCTAATTTGAGATGCATATATTACATATCTTGAAAATTATTAAGGTAAAATATGGTTACCCCTGGCCTTTCAGAAGCGAAAATGAAAATTTGGATTTTTGAAAAATTTCCAATAATTTTTTTACATCTTATTAGGAATAATATGACAAAACAATGCTCTATGCATCATTTTGACCTCATATGAGATGCATACATTGCATATTTTAAAAATTATTAAGGTAAAATAAGGTTACCCCTGAGCTGCATGCACTTAAAAATTGAAATTTCGAGAATTTTTTTCTCAAAAAATACATGAGCCACCCGTAGTATATTTTCTATCTGTGATAAACACTTAAACCTCTACTACTATGAATTTTTTCAGGACTATTAGACATCACATTCTTGAAATACAGTACTGGATGTTCCGTATTTGGCCCTTTAAACAACGAATTATTCTTAGATAATTGGGTTAAAATGAGTTTTTCTTGCTACAAACAACTTCTTAATTGGGTTTTACACAATTTCAAGGCTCAAAGCAATCACCAAATGAAGTCATTTAAAGAAAAATACTTTAAAACCATTTTTATTTAATTTTAATAATATACCCCTCCCAGTCTGGTAGGGGTGGGGGGTCAGAGGCTAAAAAATCCATGAAGACCACCCCAAATCACTTGCCCTGAAATCATTTTTTACTCATATCATATGATTCTACAACTGTGCCAAGTTTGTTGCTTTCCTGAAAAAGCCGAACAAAAAAAGGACATCTGACCCCGCTATGTAGCAACACAATAGAATGAACAACAGAAAGAACTGTGTTTTTATTCGTCTTGGGTCTTAGGAGAAAATAATGGCCCCGGGGCTTTGCCCCTTGGCCATTCTTTTTCCTAAAACCCAAAACTCATTGTTTATCCCTAATACCTAATCCTACCCTTTATGCACTCACAAAAAGTTAAGGGCTAACCCTTCCCTCCGATTTCACATGAAGTGGTTGCACATTGATCATTTTCTAAAAATGATGCCAAAAAGAATTTAAATTTTCATGATTATGGTTTTACCATCGATCTGATATTAATCAAACTGATATGCAATCAGTACAACTGCTACTTTTACCTGTAGAGCAGACACTATCAGTATATCCAGCTACACAGTTACATGTGTAAGTGTTAATGCCATCTGTACACGTCCCTCCATTTTGGCATGGAGTAGTTGCGCATTCATCAATATCTACAAATGGTGAAAAAAATAATTAAAATTATCATGATTTCAATTTCATCCACGATCTAATATGCATCATACTATCATGCAGTAATGTAAACTGAAAATAATTCTTAAACATTGAGATCAACAGGTACTTTTACCTGTAGAGCAGACGCTATCAGTATATCCAGCTACACAGTTACATGTGTAAGTGTTACTGCCATCTGTACACGTCCCTCCATTTTGGCATGGAGTAGTTGCGCATTCATCAATATCTACAAATGGTGAAAAAAGGATTAAAATTATCATGATTTTAATTTCATCCACGATCTAATATGCATCAAACTATCATGCAGTAATATCAACTGAAAATAATTCTTAAACATTGAGATCAACTGGTACGTTTACCTGTAGAGCAGACACTATCAGTATATCCAGCGACACAGTTACATGTGTAAGTGTTAATGCCATCTGTACACGTTCCTCCATTTTGGCATGGAGTAGGTGTGCATTCATCAATATCTACAAATGGTGAAGAAAGAATTAAAATTATCATGATTTCAATTTCATCCACGATTTAATATGCATCAAACTTTCATGCAGTAATGTCAACTGAAAATAATTCTTAAACATTTAGATCAACTGGTACTTTTACCTGTAGAGCAGACGCTATCAGTATATCCAGCTACACAGTTACATGTGTAAGTGTTTATGCCATCTGTACACGTCCCTCCATTTTGGCATGGAGTAGTAGCGCATTCATCAATATCTACAAATTGTGAAAAAATAATTAAAATTATCATATTTTCAATTTCATCCACGATCTAATATGCATCATACTATCATGCAGTAATGTCAACTGAAAATAATTCTTAAACATTTAGATCAACCGGTACTTTTACCTGTAGAGCAGACACTATCAGTATATCCAGCTACACAGTTACATGTGTAAGTGTTAATGCCATCTGTACACGTCCCTCCATTTTGGCATGGAGTAGTTGCGCATTCATCAATATCTACAAATGGTGAAAAAAGTATTAAAATTATCGTGATTTGAATTTCATCCACGATAGAATATGCATCAAACTATCATGCAGTAATGTCAACTGAAAATAATTCTTAAACATTGAGATCAACTGGTACGTTTACCTGTAGAGCAAACACTATCAGTATATCCAGCTACACAGTTACATGTGTAAGTGTTAATGCCATCTGTACACGTCCCTCCATTTTGACATGGAGTAATTGCGCATTCATCAATGTCTACAATTAAATACAAACAGAATTTTAAATTTTACATAATGTCGGCGTCACACATGCGCATATTTTAATCAAACTATCTTACAATAAGGTCAGCTGGTAATTCTACCTGTAGAGCAGACACTATCAGTGTACCCAGCTACACAGTTACATGTGTAAGTGTTAATGCCATCTGTACACGTCCCTCCATTTTGGCATGGAGTATGTGCGCATTCATCAATATCTACAAATGGTGAAAAAAGAAATAAAATTATCATGATTTCAATTTCATCCATGATCTAATATGCATCAAACTATCATGCAGTAATGTCAACTGAAAATAATTCTTAAACATTGAGATCAACTGGTACTTTTACCTGTAGAGCAGACACTATCAGTATATCCAGCTACACAGTTACATGTGTAAGTGTTTATGCCATCTGTACACGTCCCTCCATTTTGACATGGAGTAGGTGCGCATTCATCAATATCTACAAATGGTGAAAAAAGAATTTAAATTACCCTGACTTCAATTTCATCCACGATCTAATATGCATCTTACTATAAAGCAGTAATGTCAACTGAAAATAATTCTTAAACATTTAGATCAACTGGTACTTTTACCTGTAGAGCAGATACTATCAGTATATCCAGCTACACAGTTACATGTGTACGTGTTAATGCCATCTGTACACGTCCCTCCATTTTGGCATGGAGTAGGTGCGCATTCATCAATATCTACAAATGGTGAAAAAATAATTAAAATTATCATGATTTCAATTTCATCCACGATCTAATATGCATCATACTATCATGCAGTAATGTAAACTGAAAATAATTCTTAAACATTTAGATCAACTGGTACGTTTACCTGTAGAGCAGACACTATCAGTATATCCAGCGACACAGTTACATGTGTAAGTGTTAATGCCATCTGTACACGTTCCTCCATTTTGGCATGGAGTAGGTGTGCATTCATCAATATCTACAAATGGTGAAGAAAGAATTAAAATTATCATGATTTCAATTTCATCCACGATTTAATATGCATCAAACTTTCATGCAGTAATGTCAACTGAAAATAATTCTTAAACATTTAGATCAACTGGTACTTTTACCTGTAGAGCAGACGCTATCAGTATATCCAGCTACACAGTTACATGTGTAAGTGTTTATGCCATCTGTACACGTCCCTCCATTTTGGCATGGAGTAGTAGCGCATTCATCAATATCTACAAATTGTGAAAAAATAATTAAAATTATCATATTTTCAATTTCATCCACGATCTAATATGCATCATACTATCATGCAGTAATGTCAACTGAAAATAATTCTTAAACATTTAGATCAACCGGTACTTTTACCTGTAGAGCAGACACTATCAGTATATCCAGCTACACAGTTACATGTGTAAGTGTTAATGCCATCTGTACACGTCCCTCCATTTTGGCATGGAGTAGTTGCGCATTCATCAATATCTACAAATGGTGAAAAAAGTATTAAAATTATCGTGATTTGAATTTCATCCACGATAGAATATGCATCAAACTATCATGCAGTAATGTCAACTGAAAATAATTCTTAAACATTGAGATCAACTGGTACGTTTACCTGTAGAGCAAACACTACCAGTATATCCAGCTACACAGTTACATGTGTAAGTGTTAATGCCATCTGTACACGTCCCTCCATTTTGACATGGAGTAATTGCGCATTCATCAATGTCTACAATTAAATACAAACAGAATTTTAAATTTTACATAATGTCGGCGTCACACATGCGCATATTTTAATCAAACTATCTTACAATAAGGTCAGCTGGTAATTCTACCTGTAGAGCAGACACTATCAGTGTACCCAGCTACACAGTTACATGTGTAAGTGTTAATGCCATCTGTACACGTCCCTCCATTTTGGCATGGAGTATGTGCGCATTCATCAATATCTACAAATGGTGAAAAAAGAAATAAAATTATCATGATTTCAATTTCATCCATGATCTAATATGCATCAAACTATCATGCAGTAATGTCAACTGAAAATAATTCTTAAACATTGAGATCAACTGGTACTTTTACCTGTAGAGCAGACACTATCAGTATATCCAGCTACACAGTTACATGTGTAAGTGTTTATGCCATCTGTACACGTCCCTCCATTTTGACATGGAGTAGGTGCGCATTCATCAATATCTACAAATGGTGAAAAAAGAATTTAAATTACCCTGACTTCAATTTCATCCACGATCTAATATGCATCTTACTATAAAGCAGTAATGTCAACTGAAAATAATTCTTAAACATTTAGATCAACTGGTACTTTTACCTGTAGAGCAGATACTATCAGTATATCCAGCTACACAGTTACATGTGTACGTGTTAATGCCATCTGTACACGTCCCTCCATTTTGGCATGGAGTAGGTGCGCATTCATCAATATCTACAAATGGTGAAAAAAGAATTAAAATTATCATGATTTCACTTTCATCCATAATTTAATATGCATCAAACTATTATGCAGTAATGTCAACTGAAAATAATTCTTAAACATTGAGATCAATTGGTACGTTTACCTGTAGAGCAGACACTATCAGTATATCCAGCTACACAGTTACATGTGTAAGTGTTAATGCCATCTATACACGTCCCTTCATTTTGGCATGGAGTAGTTGCACATTCATCAATATCTACAAATGGTGACAAAAGAATTAAAATTATCATGATTTCAATTTCATCCACGATTTAATATGCATCAAACTATTTTGCAGTAATGTCAACTGAAAATAATTCTTAAACATTGAGATCAACTGGTACTTTTACCTGTAGAGCAGACACTATCAGTATATCCAGCTACACAGTTACATGTGTAAGTGTTAATGCCATCTGTACACGTCCCTCCATTTTGGCATGGAGTAGTAGCGCATTCATCAATATCTACAAATGGTGAAAAAAGAATTAAAAATATCATGATTTCAATTTCATCCACGATTTAATATGCATCAAACTTTCATGCAGTAATGTCAACTGAAAATAATTCTTAAACATTTAGATCAACTGGTACTTTTACCTGTAGAGCAGACGCTATCAGTATATCCAGCTACACAGTTACATGTGTAAGTGTTTATGCCATCTGTACACGTCCCTCCATTTTGGCATGGAGTAGTAGCGCATTCATCAATATCTACAAATTGTGAAAAAATAATTAAAATTATCATATTTTCAATTTCATCCACGATCTAATATGCATCATACTATCATGCAGTAATGTCAACTGAAAATAATTCTTAAACATTTAGATCAACCGGTACTTTTACCTGTAGAGCAGACACTATCAGTATATCCAGCTACACAGTTACATGTGTAAGTGTTAATGCCATCTGTACACGTCCCTCCATTTTGGCATGGAGTAGTTGCGCATTCATCAATATCTACAAATGGTGAAAAAAGTATTAAAATTATCGTGATTTGAATTTCATCCACGATAGAATATGCATCAAACTATCATGCAGTAATGTCAACTGAAAATAATTCTTAAACATTGAGATCAACTGGTACGTTTACCTGTAGAGCAAACACTATCAGTATATCCAGCTACACAGTTACATGTGTAAGTGTTAATGCCATCTGTACACGTCCCTCCATTTTGACATGGAGTAATTGCGCATTCATCAATGTCTACAATTAAATACAAACAGAATTTTAAATTTTACATAATGTCGGCGTCACACATGCGCATATTTTAATCAAACTATCTTACAATAAGGTCAGCTGGTAATTCTACCTGTAGAGCAGACACTATCAGTGTACCCAGCTACACAGTTACATGTGTAAGTGTTAATGCCATCTGTACACGTCCCTCCATTTTGGCATGGAGTATGTGCGCATTCATCAATATCTACAAATGGTGAAAAAAGAAATAAAATTATCATGATTTCAATTTCATCCATGATCTAATATGCATCAAACTATCATGCAGTAATGTCAACTGAAAATAATTCTTAAACATTGAGATCAACTGGTACTTTTACCTGTAGAGCAGACACTATCAGTATATCCAGCTACACAGTTACATGTGTAAGTGTTTATGCCATCTGTACACGTCCCTCCATTTTGACATGGAGTAGGTGCGCATTCATCAATATCTACAAATGGTGAAAAAAGAATTTAAATTACCCTGACTTCAATTTCATCCACGATCTAATATGCATCTTACTATAAAGCAGTAATGTCAACTGAAAATAATTCTTAAACATTTAGATCAACTGGTACTTTTACCTGTAGAGCAGATACTATCAGTATATCCAGCTACACAGTTACATGTGTACGTGTTAATGCCATCTGTACACGTCCCTCCATTTTGGCATGGAGTAGGTGCGCATTCATCAATATCTACAAATGGTGAAAAAAGAATTAAAATTATCATGATTTCACTTTCATCCATAATTTAATATGCATCAAACTATTATGCAGTAATGTCAACTGAAAATAATTCTTAAACATTGAGATCAATTGGTACGTTTACCTGTAGAGCAGACACTATCAGTATATCCAGCTACACAGTTACATGTGTAAGTGTTAATGCCATCTATACACGTCCCTTCATTTTGGCATGGAGTAGTTGCACATTCATCAATATCTACAAATGGTGACAAAAGAATTAAAATTATCATGATTTCAATTTCATCCACGATTTAATATGCATCAAACTATTTTGCAGTAATGTCAACTGAAAATAATTCTTAAACATTGAGATCAACTGGTACTTTTACCTGTAGAGCAGACACTATCAGTATATCCAGCTACACAGTTACATGTGTAAGTGTTAATGCCATCTGTACACGTCCCTCCATTTTGGCATGGAGTAGTAGCGCATTCATCAATATCTACAAATGGTGAAAAAAGAATTAAAAATATCATGATTTCAATTTCATCCACGATCTAATATGCATCATACTATCATGCAGTAATGTCAACTGAAAATAATTCTTAAACATTGAGATAAACTGGTACTTTTACCTGTAGAGCAGACACTATCAGTATATCCAGCTACACAGTTACATGTGTAAGTGTTAATGCCATCTGTACACGTCCCTCCATTCTGGCATGGAGTAGTTGCGCATTCATCAATATCTACAAATGGTGAAAAAAGAATTAAAATTATCATGATTTCACTTTCATCCACAATTTAATATGCTTCAAACTAGCATGCAGTAATGTCAACTGAAAATAATTCTTAAACATTGAGATCAATTGGTACGTTTACCTGTAGAGCAGACACTATCAGTATATCCAGCTACACAGTTACATGTGTAAGTGTTAATGCCATCCGTACACGTCCCTCCATTTTGGCATGGAGTAGTAGTGCATTCATCACTATCTAAAGATGGCGAAAAAAGAATTAAAATTATTATGATTTCAATTTCATCCACGATCTAATATGCATCAAACTATCATGCAGTAATGTCAACTGAAAATAATTCTTAATCATTGAGATCAATTGGTACGTTTACCTGTAGAGCAGACACTATCAGTATATCCAGCTACACAGTTACATGTGTAAGTGTTAATGCCATCTGTACACGTCCCTCCATTTTGGCATGGAGTAGGTGCGCATTCATCAATATCTACAAATGGTGAAAAAAGAATTAAAATTATCATGATTTCAATTTCATCTACGATTTAATATGCATCAAACTATCATGCAGTAATGTCAACTGAAAATAATTCTTAAACATTGAGATCAATTGGTACATTTACCTGTAGAGCAGACACTATCAGTATATCCAGCTACACAGTTACATGTGTAAGTGTTAATGCCATCTGTACACATCCCTCCATTTTGGCATGGAGTAGTTGCGCATTCATCAATATCTACAAATGTCGAAAAAAGAATTAACATTATCATGCTTTCAATTTCATCCACGATTTAATATGCATCAAACTATCATGTAGTAATGTCAACTGAAAATAATTCTTAGCATTGAGATCAATTTGTACTTTTACCTGTAGAGCAGACACTATTAGTATATCCAGCTACACAGTTACATGTGTAAGTGTTAATGCCATCTGTACACGTCCCTCCATTTTGACATGGAGTAGTTGCGCATTCATCAATATCTACAAATGGTGAAAAAAGAATTAAAATTATCATGATTTCAATTTCATCCACAATTTAATATGCATCAAACTATCATGCAGTAATGTCAACTGAAAATAATTCTTAAACATTGAGATCAATTGGTTCGTTTACCTGTAGAGCAGACACTATCAGTATATCCAGCTACACAGTTACATGTGAAAGTGTTAATGCCATCTGTACACGTCCCTCCATTTTGGCACGGAGTAGTTGCACATTCATCAACATCTACAAATGGTGAAAAAAGAATTAAAATTATCATTATTTTAATTTCATCTACGATCTAATATGCATCAAACCCTTATGCAGTAATGTCAACGGAAAATAATTCTTAAACATTGAGATCAACTAGTACTTTTACCTGTTGAGCAGACACTATCAGTATATCCAGCTACACAGTTACATGTGAAAGTGTTAATGCCATCTGTACACGTCCCTCCATTTTGGCATGGAGTAGTTGCGCATTCATCAATATCTACAAATGGTTAAAAAATAATTAAAATTATCATGATTTCAATTTCATACACGATCTAATATGCATCAAACTATCATGCAGTAATGTCAACTAAAAATAATTCTTAAACACTGAGATCAACTGGTACTTTTACCTGAAGAGCAGACACTATCAGTATATCCAGCTACACAGTTACATGTGTAAGTGTTAATGCCATCTGTACACGTCCCTCCATTTTGGCATGGAGTAGTAGCGCATTCATCAATATCTACAGATGGCGAAAAAAGAATTAAGATTATCATGATTTCAATTTCATCCACGATATAATATGCATCAAACTATCACGCAGTAATGAAAATAATTCTTAAATATTGAGATCAACTGGTACTTTTACCTGTAGAGCAGACACTATCAGTATATCCGGCTACACAGTTACATGTGTAAGTGTTAATGCCATCTGTACACGTCCCTCCATTTTGGCAAGGAGTAGTTACGCATTCATCAATATCTACAAATGGTGAAAAAAGAATTAAAATTATCTTGATTTCAATTTCATCAACGATCTAATATGCATCAAACTATCATGCAGCAATGTCATCTGAAAATAATTCTTAAACATTGAGATCAATTGGTACTTTTACCTGTAGAGCAGATACTATCAGTATATCCAGCTACACAGTTACATGTGAAAACGTTAATGCCATCTGTACACGTCCCTCCATTTTGGCATGGAGTAGTTGCGCATTCATCAATATCTACAAATGGTGAAAAAAGAATTAAAATTATCATGATTTCAATTTCATCCACGATTTAATATGCATGAAACTATCATGCAGTAATGTCAACTGAAAATATTTCTTAAACATTGAGATCAATTGGTACGTTTACCTGTAGAGTAGACACTATCAGTATATCCAACTACACAGTTACATGTGTAAGTGTTAATGCCATATGTACACGTCACTCCATTTTGGCATGGAGTAGTTGCGCATTTGATTTAATTTCAATTTCATCCTCGTTCTAATATGCATCAAACTATCATGCAGTAATGTCAACTGAAAATAATTCTTAAACATTGAGATCAACTAGTACTTTTACCTGTTGAGCAGACACTATCAGTATATCCAGCTACACAGTTACATGTGTAAGTGTTAATGCCATCTGTACACGTCCCTCCATTTTGGCATGGAGTAGTTGCGCATTCATCAATATCTACAAATGGTGAAAAAAGAACTAAAAAATTATCATGATTTCAATTTCATACACGATTTAATATGCATCAAACTATCATGCAGTAATGTCAACTGAAAATAATTCTTAAACATTGAGATCAACTGGTACTTTTACCTGTAGAGCAGACACTATCAGTATATCCAGCTACACAATTACATGTGTAAGTGTTAATGCCATCTGTACACGTCCCTCCATTTTGGCATGGAGTAGTTGCGCATTCATCAATATCTACAAATGGTGAAAAAAGAATTAAAATTATCATGATTTCAATTTCATCCACGATCTAATATGCATCAAACTATCATGCAGTAATGTCAAATGAAAATAATTCTTAAACACTGAGATCAACTGGTACTTTTACCTGTAGAGCAGACACTATCAGTATATCCAGCTACACAGTTACATGTGTAAGTGTTAATGCCATCCGTACACGTCCCTCCATTTTGGCATGGAGTAGTTGCGCATTCATCAATATCTACAAATGGTGAAAAAAGAATTAAAATAATCATGATTTCAATTTCATCCACGATCTAAAATGCATCAAACTATCATGCAGTGATGTCAACTAAAAATAATTCTTAAACACTGAGATCAACTGGTACTTTTACCTGTAGAGCAGACACTATCAGTATATCCAGCTACACAGTTACATGTGTAAGTGTTAATGCCATCTGTACACGTCCCTTCATTTTGGCATGGAGTAGTTATACATTCATCAATATCTACAAATGGTGAAAAAAGAAATAGAATTATCATGATTTCAATTTCATCCACGATATAATATGCATCAAACTATCATGCAGTAATGTCAAATGAAAATAATTCTTAAATATTGAGATCAACTGGTACTTTTACCTGTAGAGCAAACACTATCAGTATATCCAGCTACACAGTTACATGTGTAAGTGTTAATGCCATCTGTACACGTCCCTCCATTTTGGCAAGGAGTAGTTACGCATTCATCAATATCTACAAATGGTGAAAAAAGAATTAAAATTATCTTGATTTCAATTTCACCAACGATCTAATATGCATCAAACTATCATGCAGTAATGTCAACTGAAAATAATTCTTAAACATTGAGATCAATTGGTACTTGTACCTGTAGAGCAAACACTATCAGTATATCCAGCTACACAGTTACATGTGAAAGTGTTAATGCCATCTGTACATGTCCCTCCGTTTTGGCATGGAGTAGTTGCGCATTCATCAATATCTACAAATGGTGAAAAAAGAATTAAAATTATCATGATTTCAATTTCATCCACAATTTAATATGCATCAAACTATCATGTAGTAATTTCAACTGAAAATAATTCTTAAACATTGAGATCAATTGGTACTTTTACCTGTAGAGCAGATACTATCAGTATATCCAGCTACACAGTTACATGTATAAGTGTTAATGCCATCTGTACACGTCCCTCCATTTTGGCATGGAGTAGTAGCGCATTCATCAATATCTACAAATGGTGAAAAAAGAATTAAAATTATCTTGATTTCAATTTCATCAACGATCTAATATGCATCAAACTATCATGCAGCAATGTCATCTGAAAATAATTCTTAAACATTGAGATCAATTGGTACTTTTACCTGTAGAGCAGATACTATCAGTATATCCAGCTACACAGTTACATGTGAAAACGTTAATGCCATCTGTACACGTCCCTCCATTTTGGCATGGAGTAGTTGCGCATTCATCAATATCTACAAATGGTGAAAAAAGAATTAAAATTATCATGATTTCAATTTCATCCACGATTTAATATGCATGAAACTATCATGCAGTAATGTCAACTGAAAATATTTCTTAAACATTGAGATCAATTGGTACGTTTACCTGTAGAGTAGACACTATCAGTATATCCAACTACACAGTTACATGTGTAAGTGTTAATGCCATATGTACACGTCACTCCATTTTGGCATGGAGTAGTTGCGCATTTGATTTAATTTCAATTTCATCCTCGTTCTAATATGCATCAAACTATCATGCAGTAATGTCAACTGAAAATAATTCTTAAACATTGAGATCAACTAGTACTTTTACCTGTTGAGCAGACACTATCAGTATATCCAGCTACACAGTTACATGTGTAAGTGTTAATGCCATCTGTACACGTCCCTCCATTTTGGCATGGAGTAGTTGCGCATTCATCAATATCTACAAATGGTGAAAAAAGAACTAAAAAATTATCATGATTTCAATTTCATACACGATTTAATATGCATCAAACTATCATGCAGTAATGTCAACTGAAAATAATTCTTAAACATTGAGATCAACTGGTACTTTTACCTGTAGAGCAGACACTATCAGTATATCCAGCTACACAATTACATGTGTAAGTGTTAATGCCATCTGTACACGTCCCTCCATTTTGGCATGGAGTAGTTGCGCATTCATCAATATCTACAAATGGTGAAAAAAGAATTAAAATTATCATGATTTCAATTTCATCCACGATCTAATATGCATCAAACTATCATGCAGTAATGTCAAATGAAAATAATTCTTAAACACTGAGATCAACTGGTACTTTTACCTGTAGAGCAGACACTATCAGTATATCCAGCTACACAGTTACATGTGTAAGTGTTAATGCCATCCGTACACGTCCCTCCATTTTGGCATGGAGTAGTTGCGCATTCATCAATATCTACAAATGGTGAAAAAAGAATTAAAATAATCATGATTTCAATTTCATCCACGATCTAAAATGCATCAAACTATCATGCAGTGATGTCAACTAAAAATAATTCTTAAACACTGAGATCAACTGGTACTTTTACCTGTAGAGCAGACACTATCAGTATATCCAGCTACACAGTTACATGTGTAAGTGTTAATGCCATCTGTACACGTCCCTTCATTTTGGCATGGAGTAGTTATACATTCATCAATATCTACAAATGGTGAAAAAAGAAATAGAATTATCATGATTTCAATTTCATCCACGATATAATATGCATCAAACTATCATGCAGTAATGTCAAATGAAAATAATTCTTAAATATTGAGATCAACTGGTACTTTTACCTGTAGAGCAAACACTATCAGTATATCCAGCTACACAGTTACATGTGTAAGTGTTAATGCCATCTGTACACGTCCCTCCATTTTGGCAAGGAGTAGTTACGCATTCATCAATATCTACAAATGGTGAAAAAAGAATTAAAATTATCTTGATTTCAATTTCACCAACGATCTAATATGCATCAAACTATCATGCAGTAATGTCAACTGAAAATAATTCTTAAACATTGAGATCAATTGGTACTTGTACCTGTAGAGCAAACACTATCAGTATATCCAGCTACACAGTTACATGTGAAAGTGTTAATGCCATCTGTACATGTCCCTCCGTTTTGGCATGGAGTAGTTGCGCATTCATCAATATCTACAAATGGTGAAAAAAGAATTAAAATTATCATGATTTCAATTTCATCCACAATTTAATATGCATCAAACTATCATGTAGTAATTTCAACTGAAAATAATTCTTAAACATTGAGATCAATTGGTACTTTTACCTGTAGAGCAGATACTATCAGTATATCCAGCTACACAGTTACATGTATAAGTGTTAATGCCATCTGTACACGTCCCTCCATTTTGGCATGGAGTAGTAGCGCATTCATCAATATCTACAAATGGTGAAAAAAAATTAAAATTATCATGGATTAAATTTCATCCACGATCTAATATGCATAAAACTATCATGCAGTAATGTCAACTGAAAATAATTCTTAAACATTGAGATCAACTGGTACTTTTACCTGTAGAGCAGACACTATCAGTATATCCAGCTACACAGTTACATGTGTAAGTGTTAATGCCATCTGTACACGTCCCTCCATTTTGGCATGGAGTAGTTGCACATTCATCAATATCTACAAATGGTGAAAAAAGAATTAAAATAATCATGATTTCAATTTCATCCACGATCTAATATGCATCATACTATCATGCAGTAATGTCAACTGAAAATAATTCTTAAACATTGAGATCAGCTAGTACTTTTACCTGTTGAGCAGACACTATCAGTATATCCAGCTACACAGTTACATGTGTAAGTGTTAATGCCATCTGTACACGTCCCTCCATATTGGCATGGAGTAGTTGCGCATTCATCAATATCTTCAAATGGTGAAAAAAGAATTAAAATTATCATGATTTCAATTTCATCCACAATTTAATATGCATCAAACTATCATGCAGTAATGTCAACTGAAAATAATTCTTAAACATTGAGATCAATTGGTACGTTTACCTGTAGAGCAGACACTATCAGTATATCCAGCTACACAGTTACATGTGAAAGTGTTAATGCCATCTGTACACGTCCCTCCATTTTGGCACGGAGTAGTTGCGCATTCATCAATATCTACAAATGGTGAAAAAAGAATTAAAATTATCATGACTTCAATTTTATCTACGATCTAATATGCATCAAACCTTCATGCAGTAATGTCAACTGAAAATAATTCTTAAACATTGAGATCAACTAGTACTTTTACCTGTTGAGCAGACACTATCAGAATATCCAGCTACACAGTTACATGTGTAAGTGTTAATGCCATCTGTACACGTCCCTCCATTTTGGCATGGAGTAGTAGCGCATTCATCAATATCTACAAATGGTGAAAAAAGAATTAAAATTATCATGATTTCAATTTCATCCTCGATCTAATATGCATCATACTATCATGCAGTAATGTCAACTGAAAATAATTCTTAAACATTGAGATCAACTGGTACTTTTACCTGTTGAGCAGACACTATCAGTATATCCAGCTACACAGTTACATGTGTAAGTGTTAATGCCATCTGTACACGTCCCTCCATTTTGGCATGGAGTAGTTGCGCATTCATCAATATCTACAAATGGTGAAAAAATAATTAAAATTATCATGATTTCAATTTCATACACGATCTAATATGCATCAAACTATCATGCAGTAATGTCAACTGAAAATAATTCTTAAACATTGAGATCAACTGGTACTTTTACCTGTAGAGCAGACACTATCAGTATATCCAGCTACACAATTACATGTGTAGGTGTTAATGCCATCTGTACACGTCCCTCCATTTTGGCATGGAGTAGTTGCGCATTCATCAATATCTACAAATGGTGAAAAAAGAATTAAAATAATCATGATTTCAATTTCATCCACGATCTAAAATGCATCAAACTATCATGCAGTAATGTCAACTGAAAATAATTCTTAAACACTGAGATCAACTGGTACTTTTACCTGTAGAGCAGACACTATCAGTATATCCAGCTACACAGTTACATGTGTAAGTGTTAATGCCATCTGTACACGTCCCTCCATTTTGACATGGAGTAGTAGTGCATTCATCAATATCTAAAGATGGCGAAAAAAGAATTAGAATTATTATGATTTCAATTCCATCCACGATCTAATATGCATCAAACTATCATGCAGTAATATCAACTGAAAATAATTCTTAAACATTGAGATCAATTGGTACGTTTACCCGTAGAGCAGACACTATCAGTATATCCAGCTACACAGTTACATGTGTAAGTGTTAATGCCATCTGTACACGTCCCTCCATTTTGGCATGGAGTAGTTGCGCATTCATCAATATCTACAAATGGTGAAAAAAAAATTTAAATTATCATGATTTCAATTTCATCCACAATTTAATATGCATCAAACTATCATGCAGTAATGTCAACTGAAAATAATTCTTAAATATTGAGATCAATTGGTACGTTTACCTGTAGAGCAGACACTATCAGTATATCCAGCTACACAGTTACATGTGAAAGTGTTAATGCCATCTGTACAAGTCCCTCCATTTTGGCACGGAGTAGTTGCGCATTCATCAATATCTACAAATGGTGAAAAAAGAATTAAAATTATATATTATAATTCTTAAACATTGAGATCAACTAGTACTTTTACCCGAAGAGCAGACACTATAAGTATATCCAGCTAAACAGTTACATGTGTAAGTGTTAATGCCATCTGTACACGTCACTCCATTTTGACATGGATAAGAAGCGCATTCATCAACATCTTCAAGTGATACAAACAATACTTAACATTTTAATAATTACAAATTCATAAATGAACGGATATGAATCGAACTGTAATACATTAGCTTCACATGGTAATTTTGCCTACATATAGAAAACACTTAAAGGCCCCATGTAAAGTTTAAACCTCTTTGGCTAATATTGTAGTCTTACCCAATGTTATCAAAGTGTGATATGTGAAACTGGCAACGCTTGCTCTCCAATAATACAAAATTAAACAGATTTGCGCAAATTCAGACTGAACTTAAACCAGCAATACATTGGGTAGCTGGCAGGAAATATCCTCTTAAAACATAGGCATTTGCAATACTTCTACATTTGGCTTCAAGGGAACTTCCAGATGACGATTTCAATACGCAATGTCTGAGGTGCGGTAGAACCACCAATGATACTGTCAAACACATGATAGTAGAATGTCAATTTTTAATTGCATTAAGAAATGAAATGTATGAAAATATTATAAATAGCATCTCTGTGCATAAGTCATGTGAACTCCTAAACAGTGAAGATGACATAATCCTAGAATTTCTCCTTGGAGGACGCTCCGATATTTTGCATACAATTGATGATGCCACATCAATAAAATTGCTTAACATATGTGCAACATACATCAATATGATGATGTACAGATTCACCAACACTTGTTTAGAATAATACTGCACTGGTAGTACAGATCATCTACCTATATTTTTAAAAGAAAGTCACACATCTGTACATACTATGATACTATAAATAGTTTTCTTATTATAATTTTATTTTGATATAATGTAAATTGCTGCTTATTAATGTTGTAAATCTTCATACTGAAGGAAATAAATCAATACAATACAATACAATACAATACATATCTTCTAATTAGCCACAATTCATATCAATGCATAGCATTCATCCTCCCATGTTTTTTGCTGAAAAAATTAGGAAAATCGGTTGATAAACAAGCGAGAAATGAACTTATAAGTGCATGAAAATGGTTCTGAGAAAAATGCATTTCAAAATTTTAGTTCTCATAGAAACCAATGGTACAATGATATCTAAAACATAATTTATTCTTCCTTTTAATTTGGTTAGACAATCAACATTGGTTTTTATGAAAGTCTAGCATATTTAGAAAAGATTGACATTGAAAAAAAAATTCAATTTTTTTCAAAAGGTTTTTGTTACCTTAGTGACATCACTAATGTCTCAAAATATTTTTGATAAGCTTAAACATTGGTGTAGCCCATTAAATATGACATTTTATTATTGAAATAGCGTGTCTTTTGTTCAATCTTTGCATTGGTGTTAAAAAGATAATCTTTTTTGAAATGCATTAAGAAATATTTGATGATTAAGAAATTTCAAGAAATGAAATGCTCACAACTTTTTTTTGAAATTTTTTTGGTTCAAAAATCTCTAAAATCACTTTTTAAGTCCTGACAAATAGTAAATGAATGAAAAAAAAAAATTTCAAACTTTAGACGGGGACTTTAAAATCTATCAAGCACGACATTTCTTAAAAAAAAGAAAAGGGTTTTCATGATTTGAACCTCACAAATGACATGATATGAATAAGAAAAGTAGACCCTATATATCCCAAAACCATGATCTAACGTGAGAAGAAACAATGTCTAACATCCCCCTCCCCCTCCAATCGAGAACCAATATCACAATATGCCCTAATCATGTGCTATATTTTTTGTTCAACTTCACTTTTACAGTGCTTCCGCAGGCCCGGCCCACACTATCACTAAACTGTGCCCCCTGTCATAATGTTTACATTGAGGCATAAAAAGGAGTGGGCGAGGCCTGCGGAAGCAATACGCTATTCGAATATATATGCCACATTGATACAAGGAAGTGAAAAACACACATAGCATGATATAAAAAAAACAGGCCACATTTGATTCAACCTCCGACCACAGGGCTTCAAAATCCAGAATATATTCTTTCTTTTTACCACTGCGATAAGCAGTTAGCATTTCCCCGTTTAACAACTCGCAATCTGATTGGCTGTTGCGACAGAAATCATGTATAAGTCATTGCGCATTATAAGATCACATGATTCAGTTTAATCGGGTGCTTTCAAATTGGTTATAGCAGGGGGGAAGAAGGATCTAGGAGGTACGGATTCTGGACACCTGCTAAGGAGGATGCAATTGATTGCCTCCGATGAATATAGGATTAGAGTGCCTCCAAACTAATAGGCATTCATACAGCTTGATATTGTTAGAATATTAAATGAATATATTCTTAAACCCCATAAAAATGATTGTCAAAAACACACGCTTTTGGCAGAGGAATGGGTCACTCTTGCAATTGCCTGAAAACATATTATTGGGTTGATTTAATTTCAAAATAAGAATGGCATCAGTGAGTTAAGAATATTACCTATATCATTATCATTTCATAAGAATTACCTATATGATCGTTCATTTGATTTATACATTATTTATGGTGACACTTAATATTGACAGATCCTTTTAATATACTTCGACATTCTAATCTTAACAATTTTCCATAATTGATGAGGTTTTTTTTTATTCCCAATGAATTTTGAGTCATTGGGGAAAAATTGGCACTTTTTTATAGAATACTGTATAAGTGGTAATTTTGCCTAATAATTTAATTTGCCTATTGCCTAATTTTTGCCTGGCTCGGAAAATTAAACGTCGGGATTATTGTCTTCATAATGCTATCCAATGGGAAGTTTCTTGTCATTAGGAAAATTGAAATTAGGTTATTGATAAAATTTGACCATTCGGCAAATTAACCACTCGGATTAAATACCACTTAAACAATTTTGCATATAGTAATATAGTTTTACCTGTTTGACACTCGCTTCCTGTGTATCCTGCTGCACATGTGCATGTGTATGCCAAATATGCATCGTTGCACGTAGCTCCGTTGAGACAAGGAGATGATGCACAGTCATCATTAGCTGCAATTATATAGAACTATATACTAGAAACAACAACATGTTCAGGCGTATATTATTGATGTTCGGGCGCATGTATTGAGTTGTGTATTCAATTCCAAATGATATTGTAACGACCCGTGGGTATTCGTTCGCGAAGCTCTAGTTTAACGCGTCAGATACTAGATCTGAAAGGGAGTGTGTTAAAGCCAAGCCTCAGGGCGGGAATCGAATACAAGACCACTTGCAAAACCGACGCTCTGCCGATTCGGTCATAAAGGCTAGCCACTACAAAAGGACCATTACACAATATTCACATTTACACGTATATATCTAAAATATAGTCCAAATTTCTAAAAAGAATAAATTAATCAACAAACGGATGATAGTGTATCATACCTGTTACGATAACCGTTAAATCGGCACTGATATCATTGCAATCATCACTGACTTGTATCGTCAACACATAGGTGCCTGTAGTCAGTGCACTGTCAACAGTTACTTCACCTGAAAACACAAGGTCAGTTTCTACTTTTCTCTTTTAATCCATCTACGTTATACAAGGGAGTAAAAATGTGACAATCACATAATTATATTCTTTCAAATGAACATGAACCAAACGTCATGGGAATTAATGAGTATGAGGTTTTTATATGTCCATATGCATGTATCTTTAAGTGTAAATCAGGTCTATTTCATGAGTTTTATTTGTTACTTTTAATACTGATCAGATTGGAAATTGATCATTTTTTGATCAATTTATAGATTTTAATATTGATAAATAGGGGAAAAATAATGGCATATTTGCACATATTTGCAAATGGCACTGCTTCATATATGTGATATTATCTATTTCAAAAATTATACAGAGGTGAACATGTTTGATTTGTGTACAAATCAATGTTGATTCAGGAGTAATAGACAAAACAGTGTATGTTGTAAAATTGTAAAATTACACAACTGTATGTCATTTACCGTTCGATCCATTTAGTATAAAGTTAGTTGTTGGTGATATCGTCATTGTGAGCGTCTCCAATGTGTTTGGATCTACTGCATATGCGACGAATATCACTGTTCCCAATGCGGTATCATCAGCAGTGCTTGTTGTGTAAGGTAAATTTTGAAATATTGGAGGTTCACCTTAAATCAGATATTGATTTTAAACTAATTTGAAGTTAACTCGAGATACATAGGAATGTTTTATCAACTATATAATATTAAAAATAAATGTATATAGTTGATTCGTATATATGATGTGCAATGGTAATATTTAAATAGAAGTAATTTAAACTAGGTGTTTTGTATTTTTATTTACATTATATGTAACACAAATACATGATCATAGTCTAACTGACTTACTTGGACCAACTTCAACCATTACTCCAAAGTTCCTTTGTACCCAAGGTGAAATCCCCCACTGAGCAGCTGTTCCGGTAAACGTGACCGAACCTCCAACGGGTACTGCCGAACTGCCATCTTTTTCGAAATAATTTGAAGGTGAAATGCAATCATTATTTTTACCGAGGGAGTTAGTACAGTCTAGGTCATATTTCACTATATTTTGATCTCCCGGAGAATGCCAGCCAATGACATCGCCATTTCTAACAGGAATTTGATCAGATACACCATCAACAACCAGTTCTGTATCTGCAATATATAGTAATACCATCTGTAAAAGCTATCCTTCTTATTAGTTACATTACATGTCGTGTGTATTGTTTATCACAAAATTGCATTTTCTGGCTGCTGCACAATCTTTACCCGTTATCTATGTTTGCATACTCGAAGATAAATTTTTAATACTTTCAAATCGAACCTCATTTATATGGCAGTATTTCCTCTAATACAACTTTATACAGATAGATTAAGACCTTTGTTGTATACTTTCTTTTTATTAGATTTTCTTGTGAGAACCAGCGATTTATTGCAAATCTTATATTCAAAGGACAAGTTCCGGTTTTGAGAACAGTCTCCTTAGCTAATATTTTTTATGAACAAAATGGAAATATCACCCAAATTAAATTATGAATCAAACGGAGGACATTTAAATGTACAAGATGTAAAAAGATCACGATTGTCCGAAGCATGCGCCGGGATAATGGTGCAATTGTATAGTTTCTAAATAGCTGAATAACGCTGGCGTAATAGATGTCACCCTTGTTTGTCTTTGATTTTCTTGGGCCAATCCTACATTCACTTCAATGCTAGAAACTTGCAATAGTCACTTAATTTCATGATTTATCAAAAAGTGTTGGTTGAATCTGAAACTCGAATGACATACTTAAGGATGGCACTGTCAATGTGTATATTGTGATTAAACGTGAAAATGTTGGTTGTCATACATATAAGCCAAGGTTTTAATGAATTTTTAATGAATTTTAGCATTTTACCAATGGAGATTTGGCCCAAGTTTTTTAAAAATGTCATGGAAAATTATTTAAATGACATAGCTGTGTAAATCAAAGCTATTGTAGGTGAAAACGTGTCACTGGATTCAAATATGCTATCAACGGTAAAGAAAAGTAAGTCATCGTAGGTAAAAAGTGCAAATCTCTTTAAATCTCACGAAAAAACGAGATTTAGCGAGATTTCGAAGCTATTTAGAAACTCCTCTATTGACCGATTCAATAAAATACAAGTCTCGATTTGGAGATACAAACAAACAACTTAAAGATGCTCTCACCATATCCATTAGGATATTGGTTATTAACAGTGATAACATTTTCCCCTCGCAGGCTGTATTCGTATCCAGACACAGGGGTCCATATTTGCATGTTCACATCCCCAGGCCAATATACTGCCACTGTCCACTGTTCTACGACCCCACAGCAGTCGATAGTATATCGAGTAGCATTCACTACATATATACTTTGCTTAGTTCCTGCAATGTGAATGTTTAAAAAACTGTTAACAGTGTTTTATCAAACTATTTCTCGAAACATAATTCTCATAGTATTATTCATTTTGGAAAAATTTACATTTTTAAACCTGAATAACTCCACGTTTCGATGATATACCATTTTTGTGTTTTTAAGATGGTGAATAATACATTTTGATGATAAATCATTTTTTGTGATGATTAGGAATACATTTTGATGATAAATCATTTTTGTGATGGTGAGGAAAACATTTTGATGATAAATCATTTTTTGTGATGATGAGGAATAAATTTTGATGATAAATCATTTTTTGTGATGGTGAGGAATACATTGGTTGGGTATATTAACAAATATATGATTCATGCCACGTATACAAGATTCTGCCTTTTCTGGTAGGGATTTATCCATTTCAGGCAACGTATAAAGGCCGACGTAGGATTTCATTAGAGCAAAAATTACATTTTGAGTGTGAAATAGATTTCACCTTGGTATCGTTGTCATTCCGTGGGTTTCAATAAAATACAAAATACTCATGCCCATGTACGAAATTACGTATATCAAGCTGTGAACAAATATCAAAGTAACTTACCATAATCATAACCATTATAACTGTAAGCATTGTCGAAGTAGTATTGATAATTATAGTAGTTATAAGTGATGTCTGAAGGGCCCGCAGTAGTCCAATCCCCAGTGTCAGTGGCTCCGAAGTATGTATAGGTGGAACAAGGTGTCGCAGCAGACTCTAGAATCATGCAAGAACGACCAATTAACATGATTTTGACCATGACTTATTTTAAATATTCTTATAGAATTCAGAAAGAAGGCGTTTAATTGCTCATTCACTATTGTATTTTATATCACGTATTATGGTGTTAGTTTTTTTTACTCACTACACATAGTTTGCCATACTACACTCAAAAACAAACGGCTAAGTTCCTTGTATTATTTGATAACAGTGTACAAAATACATGGCTGCATTTATATTGCACAAAATATTGTCCACGCCTAACCATCGACAACATACAGTGACAAAATATACCGTCGTACACTTTAGATGTAGGGTTTCACTATTAACCAATTTGAAGCAATAAAGACAGTGAAGTAGTTTGACATAGGTTTTAAAAAAATATCTGAGGAACGCATTAAGGAATTCGTGTTTGATTGTGTGTGCATTTGTTTTAGGAATACATTTAACTTTCCAATAACGTTAAAAGAAATGTGGTCGCTTTTTTCTTGGTCAATCTAATATAACTGGTGGGTTGGAAAATGTTGTTTTATTTCACATTTCCTTTAATCATTTCCTCCCCTGTGGTCTAAAAGTGTCGAATATTTTTATGAGAATATGTTTCTTTAAACTACACAATAATTATTAATAAGTATTAACGTTTTTGTTATAATTTAGAAAATAATAAGTGTACGTTGTCAACTCGAGTGTACATTGTCCCATTGAACTTACTCAATTCAGAGTTAACCCTAATGCAGGCAACGTATTTTTCTTAGCACTAACAGGCAGATGGAGGAGGGGTTCAGATGCATTTGAAATTGAAACCGAACAATTACAGTATTATTTTAATTTGACTGAACTATTGAAACTATTGAGCACTTTCAAGATATATCATAAACGGGATTTTAAAAAGTCATATTCGATAAGCTATAGTATATAGATCTATCTATCAACAAAACGTAAGGTACAGACATATAATCAAAGAGGCTGGAAACTAACACCTTATGGTCCCTAATTAATCACCACATTAACCACCACCACAACAATGCAATACAAATGAAAAAGCACTCAAAATAGGTCAAAAATCACATTAACCTTATCTTTAAAATCATCTGTACAAAGCATACTTGAACATGTCCGTTAAAGATTACTTTACTCATAAAAACCTTAATAATTCATTTTGAAATGAAATTGTTTCATATTATATCTTATGAATTTCAATTACAGGGCAAGGGACAACGTGCACTCGAGATGACAACGCACATTTCTGATTTTTTCTAAAATTACAATAGATACATGAATATGTATTATTCTTCAACTGTCGTAAATCGTGTAGTTTAGAGAAACATATCCTCATAAAAATATTCGACACTCGTAGAGGAAATGATCAAAAGAAATGTGTAAAAAACAACATTTTCCAACCGACCAAATGGGTAGATTGACCACGAAAAAAATCGACCACTGTTCGAAAATCTTTTAACATTATTAGAAAGTTAAATGTCTTCCAAAAAGAATACACACGAAATCAAACATGAAATCTTTAATGTATCCCTCAGATCATTTTTTAAAACCTACAGCAAACCTACATCGTTTTCTTTGCTTCGAATCGGTTAATAGTGACACCGTACATCTAATTAAAGTTTACGACGGCGTATTTTTTCACAGTACCACGCCTTACCATCGCGTAAGCAGGCGTCACCGTACAGCGTCAAAAAATAGCGGAGTACAGTTTTCTGTACGGTAACGCAAATTAACTGCTTTGAAGCAAAAACTATGACAAGGGTTTAAAAAAATTAATTTGATGAAAACTAATACGATTTCATGTGAAATAAAAACAGCATTCTCTTAGAAATGGTTTTAACTTTCTGATTACGATAAACGTTTTACGAGCATTGTTCGGATTTTTTCTGAGTGAATCGGCCCACATAATCGACCAGAGTGAAAAAAGGTTGTTTTTTCACATTTTGTTTGGTTATTATTTTCCCTACCGTCTGAGGGTATGGATTATTTTTATGAGAATATGTATTTGTTACTTACACATTTTAGAACGGGCGAAGATTAAGCAAACAACCATTCATTATGTATATTTAAAAAAGATCAAATTTGTACGGTGACGCACCAACTGTACGGTGACGCTATGCTTTGATGAACTAAATGAGACTAAGATTGTATGAAATGGAAACTCTGGAGTATGATCATTTGTTTATATATAGTGCATGGGCGCTACAGTTCAACGATATCTTCCACAGCTTAATGAAAGGTTACTGGAAATGTATGATACGGTAAAGATCATGAAACCAAAAACTCTCTTGTTGCTATGTTATTGATGTTTTAAAACAAGGGATGTCACAAGTAAATCTCATCTTGCACGTGTGACTTTTTAGGATGAAAGATGCAATGTCTTGCATGGGTAGATGGCTATGTAGGCTATCTTTGTTAGTCATATGAGAAAAGCCTGGTTTAGTTCAAATGATACCAAAGCATTACGTCAACTTTCAAATAGTTAATTGACTTAATTCCATGAAAACTAAAAATATCGAAATTAATACTTCCTGTCCGCCATCTTAAATGCGAAGGTGACGGCTGTAACCTTCGCTTGATACTTACCAGTGATAATGTACATGTAGATCTGACGCTTCTTTACCTCTTGTTCGAACAGTAAGCTTAGAGCACTTCATAAAATCTATGGAAGCGTCACCGTACAGCTGATGCGTCACAGTACAGTTCTGATCTTTTTTAAATAAATACACTGAATGATAATTTGCCGAATATTCATCTGTTCTAAAATGTGTAGATAACAAATACATATTCTCATAAAAATAATCCATACTCTCAGACGACAGGGAAAATAATAACCAAACGAAAAGTGAAAAAAACACCATTTTTCTCTCGAGTCGATTATGTGGGCCGATCCAGTCAGAAAAAATCCGAGCAGTGCTCGAAAAACTTTTATTATAATTAGAAAGTTAAAACCATTCCTAAGAGAATGCTGTTTTTATTACACCCGAAATCGTATTTATTTTCATCTAATTAATCTTTTTAAAACCCTCATTATAGTTTTTGCTTCAACTCAGTTAATTTTCGTCACCGTACAGAAAACTGTACTACTGTATTTTTTGACGCTGTACGGTGACGCCTGCTTACGCGATGGTTAGGCGTGAGTACGTTGTCGATGGTTAGACGTGTTGTGTTTTTTCCTTACCTGAATATCTGTCGAAAAGCGAGACTGTAACAAAAATACTGAGATAAAAGTGCCTCATTTTTCTATGTACTTAATCCAAATATGACATATTCCTTGTGATGTTGCTTCATGTCAGTCATTTTTAGCAGGTTTTTGTTGAAAATGCTATACATGTATTCAATCGCCATTTTGATTTATTCTGGATTAATTTCTCATTACAGGGTTACACCAATTTAATATGTGGCGACAATGTGGGGAAGGTGTCACAAATATAAACGAGTTTTGTGTATAAATAGTGTTTATAAAAACAAATAGGCATCCTTCGACATGGACTACATATTAAGTACAATTCTATCCAAATAAACAGCATGGTTAACATCGTATAAACATGTAAATTATGAACCATTAGAATTGCAATTTTTAAGAAGTTTTGAAACTTCCCCCAGAAGTGTAAATAGCACAATTTTTTTTTACTTTTCAGCAGTTTTTGTCGCAAGTTAAACCTCAAGTGTTGACGAACTGAGAATATAGTAATTGCTTTTTTATCATAGTGCTTTGGCAACGTTATAACTGCATCTTAGACACAATACGTTATTTCCAAACGTTCATATTTTACTATTTACAAAGTAAATGTACAATATAATGTAACCATTCACGTGTAGTTGATGAAGTATTAAGTATCATTGTTAAATGTAAACATTTTTCAAAATTTAATATATAAAACATTCGATAAAGTTAAACGCCCAATACTTTTTACCGTATGAAATAGGATATAGTCGTTGACACATACAAACAATATTATACTCTCATGTACTATTCAATCCAATGTTTATATGAATTTATTAAAAAAAAAGTCAACAATAAAAGTGATATTTTACGTTAATAAAAAGTGGAAAATGCACAGAGCAATAAATAAACAAACCAAAGTTCCCTTCAGGCCATGTAAGAAGAACCATTCTTTATTAAATCTTGATATGAAACAATGGGTTCGGGGCATGAATGTCCACCCACTTGATATCCGTAAAATAATTACAAGAAAAGATTAGAAAGCAGCAATGCTATCTTTTTTATTATACCATAAGATATTACTACTCTGGACAAAACAGCACTCGTGTCACTTTGTGTTTTAATTGGATGGTTTTGTGAAAGCTAAGTTTGACTTTGAAGATATTATATTTATCTTTCAATGTTGAAGAAATTTAACGTGGAAAATAATTCACGTAATCCAATAAGGAAGTTGCTGAACATAATAAATTGTATTTTTTTGTATTGCAGGCAGGGGCAATCTGTAAGTCAATTTGTGTGTCCGTCCATCCTTCAGTAAATGTGAGGTTATCGACATCAACATGCAATAATCGTTTTTGTGTAGGTTCTGAAGAAACATGAATGTTTATTGTTATACAGATTTGATACAATTTCGCTTGAACTTTCAACTAATAATTGTGTAAACCATTGTAGTCGAACATTGGAGCAAGATATCTTGAGATATGAATAAACTATGTGTTTTGACAACTTTACAATAGTTACTTTACAATACAAGTTCTTTCCGATTTTGTACCAACACCTTTGAAAGGAGTTACAAAAGAGTTATTTTAAATAAGGCGATAGGTGAAAGATCTTTATTCAAATGACACAAACGCTTAAATATTGATATTTTGTTGTTAAAATCAATACATTACAAGAGAGCAGAAGGCTGTAAGTGCTGATTTCGGCCTCGATTGAGAGCATACTCAGTGCAATTCAATATTTTTAATAGTAGGTAAGGCTTACAAAAAAATCCTTATAATAAAGTAGAAACATTGCTACTGAACTATATAGCTAATTTCGGGTATTGTTTCTATATCAATCATACATATCTTGAAGTTTTACCATTTTATAGCTAGTTAGAAATCATTTACATTAACATTACAATTGGTATATTTTGTAAGATATTCATAGTGTCATTTAGTGCAAGTTACGATCTCTTTGACATAACCATATTTAATTGTCACGTTAAACGGTGCTACACATTCATTATAAACAACTAATGTAAATTATAGTAAAATAAAAGTAGTAGGATGTGTACTATATATTAAGTATATTATTGATATTCATGGTTATCATGGTGATATAAATGTGTAAATAGAATATTACATAAAAGTTTATAGCTACACTGCGTTCTTAACACGCGTAACTATATTGCACTCTTACTAACCTTCAGTTTAGTTGAGCGAGGAGAAAAAAGGCGAAAGATATATTATTTTTATCTATATATTATATATATAGGGGTTATGCACTGGGAGGTTTTGGATACAGGGAATATTCCGAGGGATATACAATATATCTTCCCGAGGGACCGAAGGGACCGAGGGAAGATGTGTTGTATATCCCAAGGGATATTCCATGTATCCAAACCGACCGTGCATAACTGGTGTATCTCATACTTGAGTGGGTTTAGGGTAGATATAACCTTTTCCACCTTTTTCAAATGACAAGATATTTATATTTAACATTTTCGTAATATTCTTTTTGTTCAATACAATGAAATTGTAACATTTAAACTTAAAAAATTAAATTTTAAAATTAAAAAATTAAAACTTTTGATATTTAAACTTTTTTAAACTTTTGAAAAATTCCCGGGAGCGGGATGGATATATTATATCTGCCCGCATTTGGCCTGGAGCGGGACATATACAATATATCCTGCCCGCTCCTCAGATACGATATATATTCCCGGGTGATATCTACCCCAAACCCACTCAAGTATGAGATACACTTGTATATGTATATATATACTAGAGAGAGAAATAGATCGATTGTTATATACTTTAAACGAAGAAAAGCGTCTAGATACTAGACTGCAATGACATCTATTTATGTCATACGTACTTACCATGCGTATAAAAAAACGCAACAAGTAGTTATCTCGTAAAATCGCAAAACTACTGATGACTACATCAATTTCATTCAATGTACCATAAAGCCACGTATCTCCTCTTGTACTGACTTTTGCAATGTTTAAAACTTGGATCCGAGTTGAATTTTGCCCCACTTTGCAAAATTAATGATTATTCAGCCAGAGATGACTCCCTGTGAATGAATGATATTCCATTACAAAGAGGATTAATTTGGCTTTTTGGTACACTGAATGAAAAGGTTGCAGTCAGCATTGGCTTTATGTTTTCTTCCAGTATTGCATCGGGCTCCGTACACTGACTTTTGCGATGTTTATAACTTGGTCCCAAGCTAATTTTGGCCCACTTTGCAAATGGAGTGATTAATTGCCCAACCATGACCAAATATCAAAGAATAATTATAATTGTAAAGAGGAGACACATGGCTTTATGGTGCATTCAATGAAATATTAATTTGCTGTTATCACTGGTTTTGTGCTTTTCCGAGATAACAATCTGTTGCTTTTTTTGATACGCACTGTATATATGTAATATGTCAAAACCTTTTGCATTGTATAAAATCCATCGACACTAGCATTATACTATTTTTGCAATACATGTACTTTTGTCATGACCAAATACAGGGCGTTTCAAAATAATGCAGCCTATATAACAATGTATATCTTGTTAACAAATATTCTTAGCATACTGTTAAAGTTTGGTCAATGTGTTCACCTCATACAGGGTGGTTCAGACAATGTGGATAACACTGCAAATCATTTTTAAGATTCTCGCAATCTTTATCCAACCAGCGTTTGCGAGTGTGTCGGCTCACGTATAAAAGGCGAATCCAACTCAAATCCATGCAGGGGTGTATGAGGTACTCGAATAGGAAAGAGCTCGTGAAATCTGAATTTATATGCACATGGTCAATGTTTACACATGTTTGGAGTTATTGAAGAAAATGTGATATGGGTGTGGTTCCGAATTTGAAGTCATTGCTGGAAAATATGATTTTAATACGTGAAATTATATCTATAAATACAGCACTAAAAATAACAGTACACATGAAGTACATGTATGATTGTGTTCAGAAATGTTGGAAGCCCTTACGGAAAATTCTGTCTGCATTTTGTCACCATTGCTCTTTCTTCCCGCATTCTAGTGCTGTTTGAATGAATATATTAATTAATGTATTTCTAACTAAAATATATCACATTTTTTATAAACCACAAACATTTAGATCATAAAAAAATATTCAATACTTGAGTGAGCACGATATGCAAGAGTTACTAAGTTGACACAGTAAATGACCACTGATATTGTGTTAGTCCATGCACACAGCGTATTCTGCTAATACACTAACACCCCTCACTTTCATAGTGAAGTGACTTACGTTTTAATGTGTTTGGGTTCCTTGTTACAGCAAGGGGGGCCAGTAAAGTAGACTAACATGTTTGCATGGCAAGTTTTGATCGAATATGTGAGACACTTTAACCAAATGGTTTTGAAAAATATATTTTGGCATGAATATTACGCACATGTATCAAAATGAATACACGATATGTGTTTGAACTTCCAACATTACTTTTGTTAAAATCTGATGTTTCAGATACATGATGATGAATAATCGAAGCTCCTTAAGATGATTACAATCTAACAAATTACGCTTTACATAATACATCCCGCATGCACATTTAAAAGATTAGTTTAGTCACTTACGTAGTTGATGTTAGCACTCAACAAAAACATGAATATATAAATACACGAGTAGTCCAAGAAAAGTGCTTTTTTGCATGTGTGAATGCCTTTAATGCAATGATAATTCCCTATTGTATCTGGCTAATTTTAGCTAATGATCGCTCAATGCTGTTCTTATGGCCTAATTCTTCATCTTGTCTTAACTACATTAATTAATTAACTTCACAGTTTACTTAACATTTTTATAGTGTAGAATGTTCTATTTATTCATTACTGAGAATCATTAAGTTAATAAAGACATAGAGCAGTAAGACATAAACCATTTCAAATACTACAGATAGACGACTCTTCTCATTGAGAAAATCTATGACGATAGATTTTGATATTTCATCTAATCGAATCACCTGTCTGTTTTGATATATATTGACAATATGTTTTATACCTCTTATGCAATAATATGCATTATGGGCAATAAATGCCCAAGCCCGTAGCCAGGATTTGCCAAGGGGGGGGGGTCACTTTTTATCCCATCGAACGAAGTTCGGAGGGGTATAGGGAACGCCTCCGTCTGTCCGTCCGTTCGTACGTCCATCCGTCCGTCCGGGCAATAACTCAAATACCGTTGGCCCGATTTTGTTCATATTTTGTACACATATACCCTATGGGGGTAGACGTTCTGCTCGAAAGCCGATTTTCAAAATGGCCGCTCATTTAAAAATGGCGGCCATTTTAATGCCGATTTTACAGTAATTTAAGTGCAATATGTAAAACTGTAATAGCAGTATGTTTTAAATGTAGAAAAATTATATAGGACATTAATAGCAAGAAATGTAGATATTAAAGAAGCACATGGCAGCCATCTTGAAAAATGGCGGTCTTTACTCATTATTTTACGATTTTCGCTGTAACTCGAAAAGTAGTGGAGCGATTTTGTTCATACTTGGTAAGTGAATACTACAAGCATGGCACACTGTCTTATGACACTTTGAGTAGAAAAAGTTTGAAAAATGGTCGCCATTTTAACGTATTTTACTAAAAATGGCCACCATTTTAACGTATTTTACTATAGCTCGAAAAGTAGTGGAGCGATTATGTTCATATTTGGTATGTGAATACTATAAGCATGGCACAATGTCTAATGACACTTTTGGTAGAAGGCGGCCATTTTAAAAATGACCACCATTTAACATATTTTACTATAACTCGAAAAGTAGTGGGGCGATTTTGTTCATATTTGGTATGTGAATACTATAAGCATGGCACACTGTCTAATGACACTTTTTGTAGAAGGTGGCCATTTTGAAAAATGGCTGCCACTTTTGCTTTATACCTAGATTGATTTAGCTATTTGATACTGCTATATCAGCAAGGCGAGTAAAACTAAAATATATCATTAAATAGCATGGCGGACCAATGGAACTCCTCTTTTAGATCAAATATATTCCAAGTTGAAGGACTCGTTACACTTCATTATTACTAAGAACCCCTTGGACTATTTAACTACAAAATCTTGGGTATGTAGGTTGGAAAATAAAAAAGTTGTAGTGTCTTGAAAAAAAGTGGCGTTTTTTGGCCCACCCTGTATAAACCCTTTGTAAACTTTATAACCATATAAAGAGATAAACGAGAAATAAGTAAATAAAATAAATGAAAATAAATTATGAATTAATACTAACTTTCATGTAGCAACAATTCGGCAATACCTAAACAAGGAAAATAGTGAGAACATGCATTTCATAAGAGTTTTAGAGAATAACGTACTCCATCGTCCCCGGGTGGTACCAGTAATAAGCATCTCGACTTCGTTTCGCAATGTATACTATAAGTTATTCAATGATTCGAGTGAAATACAGAAAATATTCTTCCCGATAAGGTCGTATTTCACGATGCGCTAGCAGAGTATCCCAACGCCCCAGATGTCCATCCAGGATATGATTATTACTGAAAAAATCAATGGTGATCAGTTTGCACCAACGCATGCTAATACTGATCTTTTTATATTCACATATCTGTGTTTTTTATCCTAAAATGATAAATTGTGATGATCACCGTATCATTTCCTGATATTCAAATCAGATATTTCTAGCAAAATTCAAATATTCCCTTGGACGTCTGTATTTCACTCTGCTAGCGCATCGTGAAATACAACCTTCTCGGGAAGAATATTTTCTGTATTTCACTCGAATCATTGAATAACTTATATTATTATATCACTATCTAGCTAGCGACAGTATGATTGGTCAAAACCAGGTCACATGTCGTGGGATATCTGGCGATATTCAATGGCAATGCTAATCAGATAAGACAACCGTGAGATATCTAGCGATATCCCACGCTCCCGGGAATTTTCAAAGAATTTGTTTTCGTTCAGTGTAAATAATTTAGTTTAGTGTAAGTCAAAATGGCAGACGAACTGAGTAGATTCGTAAAAATATCTGAAGACTTAATGACTTAATAATATTAGGGATGTTTAGCTAGACAGTGATATAATAAAACAAATATTTCACTCTATTTTCGGTGAATACCTGTACAGCACTTTCACAAGGTGATATTCCACTTGCCCTTCGGGCTTCGTGGAATATCACTTGTGAAAGATGTACAGGTATTCACCTCAATAGAGTGAAATATTTGTTCAGTACTACATAAGACAAATAAAACATCTTATTCTTAATAGCATGTGGCATGATAGTGAAACCTTTGGACATAATATTTAGTCTATCGCCACATACATATTTTACATAAAATCATAAAATCATAAAATATACTGTACATTTTGCAGTCAACGATTGAACCTGTAGTTTTGAGTCTCCACGATGGGATTACAAATGCCTTCATAGCATGGATACAAAGCATAACAAACAAAATGAAAAGCAGTATATTATGATCAATATCCGTTCCAATTTTTCCTACAAGGTACAAATTAAGTTGCATAGTGAAATGAATTATTTATGTGTCACATTCATCTGAAGACAATTTAAAAATCTGGGTGATTTGATAAAGGCATAATGGGCGTACTTATGTAAATTAAGCGTTATCACAATCTATATATTTCCTAACTGATAGAAACAGGATATCATATTGTGATTTCTAGTCCGTTTGACCAATTTAAAGAAATACCAGTTAATGCGCTAATTAAACTGTCAACTATTCTTATTTTATCGTTTCACCACATGCCTTAACAATTCTAAAGACAGCTTATGAACAATTTACGGATTATCAGAGTGTTTAGAGGTCGTTGACCAAAACTATGGATAAGACTATTAGGATATCCTAAGATTTGAGGGATATATTATCTACGTGATGATATTGATGCACGAGAGAACTAAGCGAACAAGCTCAGATAACAATATCACCGAGTAGATGAAAATGATATTCTGAAAAAATCATAGGATGTTCTTATTATCCTCCAATAAGTTTACTAAGTGTTTAATATCATTGAAAAATAAATTCCACCAAAACCAACAAGCGGAGTATATCGTTACATTATCCTACACTTAGTGTACTAAATATTGTATAACATTAAAAAACCATTGATATCTATTGGCAAAATGAATAACCGGAGGATATCGCCACAATACACTCCGGAAAACCAATATGCGGAGGATATCATGACGATTTATCATGGAAAACCAATATGCGGAGGATATCGTGATGATATACTCGGCTTGTTGATTTAACGTCAAATTGAACTATTTGATTTACAATGATATTATTTAGTACACTAATAGTAAGTGTAGGATAATAAGAACGTTGCTATTTTTTTCAGAATATCATTTTAATCTACTCGGTGATATTGATATATGCACTCGTTCGCTTCGCTCTCTCGTGCAGATATCAATATCACCTCGTAAATAAAAATGATATTCCTCAAAATCATAGGATATCCTATAAATATCCTCTGCATATTGATTTATCGGAGCATATCGTGATATCCCCATGTTATTCATTTTGCCAATAGACATTAAATCTATTTTAACGTTATTATACATTTAGTACATTACGTGTAGGATAATGTGGCAAAACCACATTACGATGACCACCTATTTTGGAATATCTAAATAGTTTTAGTTTGACGTGGCATCTAACTGTATAAATGTATGTATATCTATAACGCTCCCGAGATATATTTCCCCGCGTTATAGAATCTCAGTTGATATGGGATATTACTAAGTACCTGGATAAACAAGTTTTGTAGTTTTATATACTTTATTAACGGTGTTTTAGTAAATTATTACATTCATCTTATACAGTGTCATGTTCCCTCGCATCGTGATAGACCATATTGTTTCTGAATATATGTCATTTTACGTTTTGTGTTTTGACCAGTCGAATCATTACTTTTGTGGGGATAAGTAATAATTCAGAACACCCAGTTTATAAAACAGTTCACTCATCACAGCAGTATTTTTACAAAGTAAACGAGAATAAGTTAACCAAATCCATAAATTGAGTGTTGGAGGAAGATGTCTTCGATGAGAGATGTAATGTATGTAGAACAACGTAGATTTCCCAAATATGTCTTCGTTACGTCATACTAGCAGAGTAATTCATCTAGCTATGTACGTATATACTAGAATGAGTTAAACCAATAAGTAGAACCAATAAGAAAAGATTATCAACGTGTAGCGAGATATTGCTTGTATGAAAATATGACCAGTATTTAATATATAAAACATATAATGCACAGTCATCGTTTTATAACAAAGTTCACCATCATTATGTCGTAACAGTGTGTATGATCAATTTGATCTCACCCCATGCTGGGCCGGCATGGTCGTCAAATCGGTCACTCGGTAGAACAAGCCTTGGTACAGGCGAAAAGTAGATCCCTACACTCCGTCGTTAAACACGTGCCCAATGGCCCAGGGATTCTCGCACATTTCATGATAAAACACACTGAAATAGAAAACAAACTCTTAACGTAAGTGTATATGGTTTCAAAGCACTAAATGCGTTAAATCTGATATTACTACCAACTTTTATGTTCGCTACTCTTTTTCAAGTCACGTATTCTGTATACGTTATTAAAGATTATTGGTATTAGGTCAACACAGATGAACATGCATAGAAAAGATGAAAAATAACATGCAAATTAAGAAATCTATAAATCTTGTTTAATTGACTCTGGCGATATTCTATATATAGATTGTATGGCTCTGTTTTTCGTGTCACCTTGTAGTGTACAATTTAGACTATTCGCAATTCTCGAAATCGTTGTTCCCTCTTCAAAAGAGGAGACGCGAAAATCTTTCCTTATAAGGTCAAAATATTTCCCATGATGCAGTTCGCGGAGGAACAAATTTATACTTCCTTGTTTTCCCTCATAGGTTTAACATGGGGATTTTCACACCTATTTTTCAAACTATATATTCGTTCATATTCCCGTTCAAGAGTACAGAAAATATTATTAGAAACGATTGGTCTCTTATTAGTCTTAATATAACAGCTATTTTTTTCATTGTATTGATTCATAGCGTGGTGAAAACGATGATTGAAAAGTGAGAAAATATTCCGGAAGAGAAGGTCTCGTGATCAGTTGACTAGTCGCCATTTTGGAAAAAACAATTCCATTCGACTTTCAATAATTTCCTACCAATCTTACCGCACTACAAAGTGCAACATCGATGCAACAACTGAATAACAGTATTCATCTTCAAATTACATTATAGAGTTACGTTGAAAACCCACAAACAACTGAGCAGTAGACCAAAGAAGACGCGTCGCTATTATCTAGGTCAATCTGTTCAGTGGTCCGAAAGCAAATCTATAATACTCGTTTCCGAATTTTGTTGGTCATCGTACAATCTTTTATTGATTAAACTCGGTATACTGACTATTAAAGCAAGGACAACGAAGAATACTTCCGATGGTGTCATTGTTTTATTTAGCGTGCGGGTGTACAAACAAAATTGCGTAATTAGTTTGATTTAGAACTTTCGGGTCACGCAAATAGCTACGCGAAATGCATAGTGGGAAAATATTGGCCAATCAAATGTTGTCCTTTTTGAGTGCTTTTTCAGTTCATATTTGCGAACGTTCTGATTCAAAGAGCGAATCGCGAAAGGGAGAATTCAATGACTGTAGGTAAAGTGGTGATTGGATTATATTTCTAATTCAGTTATTGGATTTAGAAATATAATCCTCACCGTTTTAGATACAGATCTTTCAATTTCATAAATATCTATTATATCAAACCCGTGATTCTGGATAAGAACGACTATGGCCAGTGTCAATTAACAGTTCGTATATATTAATATATGTGTTTCCTATTGACGAAACAATTCTACACAAATTGACAATGTAAATCCTACATTTATCTAGTTTACTAACTAGCTTACGTTTCAAAATCATTACGTAAAATTGCAGGGTGTACCAAAAGTTTATTTGGAATGATTAAACTTGCAAATTAGAATAATAATTTGAATAGTGCCCATTGGTATATGGGCCCATTGGTTCTTTTAAAGTCGATGTATCTCAGGTAGTACATTGCTTATGGTCCTGAAATTTCATGTATGTTTTTAAGAAGGGTGATACTATATCTGTATCAAATATCATGTGGAAATGATAAAATCTCTTATCTTGAGAAGCTTTCGTGTAAAACTTTTCGAATGACTCCTGTACATTTGTACTTGGATGGACATAATATTCCAAATATAACTATATTTTGGCACACTCTGTAATTTGTATACAATCTATAAGTGATGCCACAATCAATTTAAATCGAATTGAAATGATAATAAATTGAATTTGATATTGCATTTGCAAAGTGACATACTATCTTGTATCTAAGGGATATCGAGGCTTAACTACAAGCCCTACAAGTAAATATATTACAAGTACGATTTTAAGCTACGTCGTACGTTAACATTGTACAAATAGATGTACGTTTACAACTTTCTTTACTCACTTAAATTATATTTTTGTTCTTTCTTTGTATATTGATAGTAGTAATTTGCTGTAAAATACGCTTTAATGTTTTAACACGAAGTATGGTATACACAAGCTTTCAGATATTACAGTTTATTTAACAAAATATGCGCTAATAACATTTTTTTGAAAAAGAAAACATGTTGATTAGATGTCGATTAGATATCGATTAGATACTTCAGATATAGGAAATTATTATTTAGGATATGGATAATATAAAATGAGTATGTTATATGTTATATGGCTACAGTAGAATACTTAACAAATGCTTTTTTTGTAAAATAAAGTACACATCATTGTAGCTACGTGGACTACATCCGGAGGATACTCACGTTCTATATTGTCACCATAGTCTAATGCATTTGATATCGACTTTTTGCTCCACCAGGCTGAAATGTAAATTTAAATTCTACCTTTTAAGCTTGCTCACTGGACTTTGCGGAAATCATATCACAACGTGCCCTTGGGACAGATACTTTCAGATCCGGGGTGTAGGAGGTGAAAACTAACAGAGTCATTAATACGCATGCAATTCTGTAGTTAACTACATAAAGCGCATTAATTTTAGTTAAGTGACACTAATGCTGAGGGATTTGAAATGGATTCACATTATTCAGTCACTTTCTGACTTTCTCAAGAGATACAAATGACAAATGGCAAATTTGATTCAATTTAAATTTTGTTTTATGTGTAAAATCTGTTGGAATTAGTATCTAATTATACAATACCTACCCCTCGTTTTAGGAGATATATTTTTATACACTAATTTATAAATGAATAAAATATTTGAATTACACTTTTTAATTTACTAAGTTTACTAAGTGAACACCAAGCATAGAGTATATACTTTATATATCGATATAAATTCACCATAGCGTATCACAAATATTTTATGACATCATTTTCACTCCGAGCTTTTTCCTTTGATTGTTGAAGTAGCCCTTGTTTGTAAAGGACGAAATCAGTTTCCTCAGTTCATTGTATTGGTCTAGCGATTGCATGCAATAAACGCCCCTCATAAATATCTGGACATTGACATAATCGTCTTACCAAAGACAGGTCCGATTGGAATGTCAAATTAATTGTACTTCAGTAATTAGTGTGACCTTATAAGAATTCTAAATAAGGCATTAACAATGGATGGGCCTGCTCAAAAAGAAAGTTAATTAACGATGAAACAAAAGTAAAAGAGAACCACTTAACTTAAATGAAATGGTAAAATAGAAACATAGATTGAGAGCAGTGTACCTTATTGTCACTTTGGATTATCAAAATCCCTTCAAGTACCATAACTATTTTGGCATGGCTGATCTCTATCTGGTACAAAGTTCCAATCAACTTGGCTTGTTTTCTTCAGTGAAACGTAACAGTAGAAAATAATTTTGGACACAAACCTAAGACAACCAAGGATTGCGACCCCAATGAACGTTCTGGTATATTTGGAATACACGCTGATGTTGAGTTTTCGAGAAGGGGAGGGGGGTTCAAAGACACGCCCCCTCTTAAATGCCCAATGATGCTCGACTAAAACAGGCCCACAATGGAACCGAAGTGAAACTAATTCCATAGCTTACTCCGACATTCAAACGTTTATGAACTTTAGGAATGATCCATGAATAATGGGAAAATAAAGATACAATAATAAATGATAATTTTTACAAGAGGTAGTGTTCAGAATTGAAGATGGTTCATTAATCAAACTTACATATACTTTTAATCATATAGTAATATAACACGATAATCATCCAACACTATTCATTGATTTCGTTCACAGAGCTCTTCGTGCATTGTAACTAACTTGGTACATGTTATTGGAGGCAATAGTTATATTCATTCAACCATGGGCTTAAATCTAGTTGAAAGCTCATGATTCAACTTGACAAATTCGGAAGTGAAAAAGTATCAGTTCCGGAATATCTATCCATAAAAAGTCAAGGTTAGCGCTTTAAATGTTGATCCATCAGTGGAACAGTACTCACCGTTTCTTTTCTTTATGTTATGAGATGAACTGCCCCCTGTTGGCTTTGCATATACATCTGCAATTTAGAAATTGAAATAGTATTTAGGATTTAGTTAATTTGTAAACTAAAATGAAAAACGTAATCTATTTATGAAAAGCGGGTATATGTATAGGTAAGCCGAGGTATGTATTGTGCTAACAAATATAAATACACATAACTGCTGAATAAAAAAGTACAAGTGATTGGATATAACACAAACACAGACGAAGACAATTCAAAAATAAATATTTACACAAGACCCTCTTTGTGTGAATAACATCTTAGAAATCAACCTAGATAATTTTTAATTGAAGATTGACTGTTTTGCGCATGATTCCTGTAACTAATGGTATATTTAATGAGAAATTAGACGGTTATCTCACCCTTTTCTTTCATTAATTCATTAAGTACACAAATGAGGGTACATTATGAGATTAAAAAGTACAATTCATGATCATTGAGGTGATGAGGTCTTTATTCACGCGAAAAAATAAACAAATTACAAATGACATATCAATTTGATCTCTACTATATCCACCTCATCAAATGTTCGCACTTATTTGGTATTTAAATGACTAAGCCCAATGTTTTTAAAATGAGTCATTGATGGATCGAAGTGACGGACAAGATTGTACCAAATGGATTAAATTATCTTTAATCGGGACATATTGACATGTCGACAGTTGATTACTTTATTTATTTACTAAGAATAGCCAATTGCAGGAAAAGGACACGTCTCTATCTATGCAGATTTGCCAATTTCAATAATGGTTTTATCCCAAAGCCGGGGATTTTCAGAATAGTTATATAATTGATTGATCGTTCTGTCTCTTCCCAAATGTCTGCCTCTTCCATTCTTGTTGAATGGAGAGTTGGAATCAATTTAATTAACAATATAATAATACGTGAAATGATAAGAATACTTTTGAAAGCATCCAACATAAGATCTCTACTGTAACAGTAAATGGCAATTCATATTTGCATAACTGAAACATTGAAAATGTATTGAAAAACGACACTTAAAAACGATGCGTTGCGTAGATCACACTAATTGAACTTCGTGCCTTAGTGTGTTGCCAACTTTAACGAGATACTGCAAAAGCGATTATATGATTTGAAGAATCCTTAGATCTCAAACTATCTATTGCATTAAAACGTTTTAAATGATATTGTTTTAAAATGGAAACTCAATTGTCGATGTGCTTATGCAAATTAGATTTAAAATGGAAATGGTTTAATCAATTTTGTGGTTAAACATTGAAAAGCGACATTTTACGCGTCAGATTATTATTCATATTTTCAAGGAATCGTGTTTCTAAGATTGATAAATGGACATAATTACTAACTTGTACAAATAAAGTTGTGATTCAATATTTTTAGTAAACATTTGTTCGTTATTAATAATTAGTGTTATAAGTAGGTCCTTGAGTGATAAATAGTAATGATAGGTACTTGAGTTGGAAAACTTGTTGATGAAATGTTTAACTAATATTGTTAGGTTGAAGATAAAGGTTCAAACTGTAATACTTTTTTGTCTGTAGCCATGGACAATATGCCGCTATTCTAAAAATAGAAAATTATTTGTTATCCCCAAAACTCATAATAAAGTTACTTATGAATGGGTTAGTGTTGGAATAGGAATGTTTTTACAAAGACCCCTACAAATCGTTGTTGCACCTTTTGCCCAAAAACGCTACAATCATTTTACACTTTTACCGGTGGATTACCGGTAATATTTATCCATCTCGGTGAAAACGATTTGTACTTTTGTCCTTTTGTACTTTTGCAAGAAGTCATATTTTTTCTAAATAATATATTGTTTCGATTGATGAAGAACCTCTTTTGTCGACAGTCAGCAAGACATACAAACGAAATCAATCAAAGTTTTACAGTGTCCGCCATTTGTGGGGTTGTCCACAGTACCTCACAAATTCATCCTATACTCACAGTGTGAGTCCAAATGCACTGAATGGGGTCACAAAACACATTGCAATGTTAACAGATATTCTTGTCCAGATTACAGAAATTATCCTGGTCCTATTGTCATATAATGTACCCTCAAGGTGTCTTGAGACAGACGGACAAAATACTTTCAAACTTGAATAGAATTATCATCAAGGTCGTATGCATTCTCGAATTAAAACTTTCTAAACTTTCCCACATTGAACAAATTGTAAGACCCTGCCTAGATTCGATGGGTTCGAGGCAAGTTAGATTCCGACATTTCAATTCACAAATTATTCAAAACAAGTTTTTCAAATGAAAAGGACAGTCTGTATTATTTTAATTAATGGACACTTAAAATCCAGACTAGAAATATAAAGTGTTAGGTGTTAATCATTCTAAATGTTTCAATAAAATAAACAAAAAAGAGTCACCTGAAATCTTTAAACAATTTGATAATTTGAATTTTCAATAATCAAACTTTCACTCACCAGATATTAATAAAATGAGACATCCTAAAAGTCCTAGAGAGAATATTCCACGGTTAGTGATCCTCATGCTCTTGTCGGTATATTGTTACACTCACAGCTGTGGTGGTAGCTCTTTCAGCTGTTGTAACACTGTCAGCTGTGTAGCGAGGTGATGCGACGCTGTCTGTTTAAAGGAGTGCTACAATTAGTTAACATAGCATTTATAGTTTACCTAAACGCTTTCTCCCTTCTTATACACCCTCACTCCCACTCAGCTTCCCCCTTGACGCATGAAATACATCGCTGATTATAGCTTCAGGATGTCGTTTGTTTTCACAAGTGATTGCCACTAATTGAGATATGCGGCACAATACCAGGTCAGGTAAATTATAATTATTAAAATAACAAATATGAACTTTTACGGGCGATGTGAAAATAAAGCTCTAAAAATAAAATGTCATGTTTACAATGGACACATCCCGCGTTTGAATCAAGCGAGGCACCTCACCATTTTTCAGAAAAAGCGCATATGCTTTTCAAAAGAAGGTATAGAACATGCAATGTTATGTGTGATTCTATACCCGTTGTCTATACTTATTCAAATTGTCTATTTCAAGAATCTGACAAAGCTAAGTGCATGTAAGTTTTGGAGACATGAAAATACCAGAAAGGTGTTTGTTGTGTATATCAACAAATTATGTTTTTGCCAATCTTTCATAACGCTTAAGACCAAACCCAAATGCAAAAACCGCCTTCGGTGGAGTTTAGACGTCAGTAACACAGGTGTCAAGTGAAGTATCGGTTATTACCTTATAATTTAAATGTAATTTTTTTACAATTAAATAAACCATGCTGAATGTACCCAAATTCTTTCCAATGGCTTTTCTCAATATTTGTGAAAACAAAAGGGGATATCGCTTTTACGACGCCTTGAAGAAAGTAATCAAGGCTTAAGAATCATTTCTAAAAGTGTAAGTTGCAACCGTAAAACTGCTTAACTAAACCTAATCTAAACGCGTGTTGAAAGTTTGACGATTCAATGGTCTATTAGTCAAATATCTCTTTTCTTACTATTCGATCATAATAATGCATTGAAATGGAAATAGTTTTCGATGACTATGAATGTGGATAGCACTGTATCTGCGAACAAGTTTCAAAGACAGGCAGTACAGAAGGCACATATCATTATATCGGAATTCAGGAATTCTCGAAACATAGTCTTGACGTCTGTTAAGTGACTCAATTATCATTTTGCACGTCAATCCTGGTCAATTAATATCGAGATGAATAATGTCTCCGTTTGCTTGTGCTTTAATGAAAGGTTGTGATAGTTCCATTGTCTTGCGTTCGTCGTTATCATAATATTATCTGGTTTAATGCGCGAATCACACACATGTCGTACTTACGGAGCTATTCATTAGAAGAATGACATAGTTGCGAATTACTGACAATTTGACTCAGATAAATTTATTCCACCTTCAGCATGTCGCTTGTGAAGTTTTGATTAAACTAATTAAGAGGAGCTGGAAAACTTTACATTTTCCACACAAATCTATCGTTAATAATGTGAAACACGTTTCTTTATGTGGTGTTACAATTAGGTGCCAGGATCTACACGAAAACAATGGCCTTGGGAAAATGACCACCCTTGCAATACAAATAAAACGATAAACCTTTTTTGGAAATATTAAGGAAATGTATCATTTAAACACCCCCATAATTTCACTTTTATATCCTAGCTTGGTAATCATTAATTGTACATTGTGAGGTGGATTGGCATTTTCTTTTAAACAAGACCAAAAGGATTCATCTTGTTTTGGATCTCCCAATGAAATGATTTTTGTTCAATAATTAGAACTTCATCGAAAAATCAGTTAAATGAACTAAAAGAGGCATTAGAGTCGAGCTGAGAACTTTTAAAAAATTGTCACACAACACATTTTGTTCTAGTCATTCCATGTCACGCCTATTTTCACAGTTCTGACTTTATTTCAGGAACATCCTTTGATAGTGTAGGACATCAAGGGGGCGTGCCCTTTCTCAATATCGATGATTTTGACATTTCTGCATCCAGGATCTTTAATAACTTCTATATTTTATAATTTGATCAGATATCTGTTTCTATGTTCATAGTTTGGCATAATTCTGTAAAAGTTTGCTTCAAAACATTGAACACTCTCTACTCCATATATTTTATCAAATTTTTTAAAACAATAGAACATCAGAGAGAAAAGAAAAGGTCGTAGGAAACCTATTTGAACCATTTTTACTTTTGGGGCTTATTTTGCAAATTATGGTCTCCAAAGAGTTCATTTAGCTTGGACATGGTTTCTTACACAGCACTTTTCTAATTAATCCAAATTAAACATATGTATCTTGTAAGATTTCTCATCAAAATGTTGTTAAAAATGTTACAGTTATCTATAGCTAGATCTATCTGTTTTATTGATTTATCCCGTGTTTTCAAGTTAAACTCGACGAGGTTAGTCCCCATCCTGTTAGATATAAAAGACTTAACTTATGAATTTATGGTTCTCATGTACGTATGGATGCACAGCTGTAATTATACATTTCTAGCTCCTGTAACGTTCACCCTTCGCAAGTTGATTTTCATTCATGATAGTGATACGAAGAATAGCTGTTTGTGTCCACATATTGTACTTAAAAACCATCATGGGCCCACTAACAACACTTCAAAGCTAAGTGCAGAACCAATTATTATAAGGTATGACAATGTGTTATCAAAGTGTCTCATTTCAGCTTTAATCTAAATCGCTATTTCAATCGATTTGTCATCACTTCATGGAACTGCTTGAAGGTATAATTGTCAATACGTTTTTTTTAGATTTTCATACTTGCGATGAAAATATTTATGATGTCAAGATTCAGGAGAATTTATTTAAGAAGCGTACTATTGAGCAGTCCATATAGCATCCGACAACAAAAGCGGATTATGTCTCGTGATTTGTAAATACTGATTCATAGTATTTACAATATAGATTTTTTAATATACATAAGAGTCGTTCGAAAAGTTTTGCATGAAAGCATCTCAAGAGAAGACTGAGATTGTATCATTTTTACATGTTTGATACAGATATAGTATCACCCTTCTTACAAGCATATTTGAAATTTCAGGGCCATAAGCAATGCACTTCCTGAGATACGTTGACTTTAAAATTAGAACCAATGGGCTCATGGTCCATATGACGACATTAAATTGAATTGATTTTGTGAATGCCTTGATAGGCTGAAATTGTTTGGTCAATCTTTGTTCTTTCAGCTGTTAGTCAGGATATGGTATATTAACTTATTTATATTTAATCTTAATATACAGTATAGTACTTAATATGTGGTTTTCCTTTTTAGTAAAATGATATGGACCACAGCGTCATCACCTTGGTTACTGTAGCAACCATAGAATGTTAAGTTGTAGAGTTATATACATGACACATTAACAGTGTAAAGAAATAAGATGAGGGCACATACCTACCAACAATGAACAAAATTGGTCCATTATTTTTATAATAATATATATTTGTGCAAAACTTTTTGAACAACCCTAAGTTGTATATAGATATATTCTTAATAATTAATATCTGACATTTTTAACCGACTTGGCCAAATTGTAGCGATGTTGAACACCTCTTGGAAACAGAGTCCCTTGCCTGGAATTAGGGCCCTGTCCTAATGAAAGCTGGCTACGAGCCTGGAATACTACATGACCTTTAAAGCAAACATATAATTTACTTAACTAATCAACAACCAGTTTATTGCAACTCCACAGAAAGAAAATCAAATTAGTTGACCTCATCGAAATTGATGTAACTTGATGTTTGGCCTTTAAGATTTCTTGATATAATTTCATCCCTTCAATTCCTTTCAAGTCATTTACGGAATCCTGATAATCTGGTCACGTGGTAAATTAGTACACTGTTCATGGACTGAATTGATAGATTTTACTGAATCTTCCCAGAAGAAAACAAAACAATCTGTAAATCAGAAATGAGGTACCGCTTTACCATTTTGTTATTTTACAAATATATTTGCAGTTGTGTCTTACTGTAACGCTTATATACTTTTATCATTCTTGACATTTGTTTAATGATTTTATTGAACAAAGAATCAAATCAAATCAGAGTATTGAAAAAACTTAAATGAGCCTACCTTTTTGGAGACTTCTTCCAAGAAATTTCGAAATCTGATTATCTTAGTTTCTTTTGTAGATCACGTCAACCCACAGATTTGCAGCGGCAATCAAAGAAATAAATTGCATCCAAGGTATTTTGCATCAATGTTCGATTATAGCTGGTAAAGAACTAGAAAATAAAACCCATAATCTTCCCCTGTGCTCTTCTGCTTGTTGCTTTCTCAGAAGTAAATGTGCCGTGAGCTTGTTCTGATTTCCAATCGGGAAACCTATACAGTATGGCCCAATCCGATCTACTGAAATATTCTAAAGAGCTGATACAGATATGTTTAATTTGAGAATATCGGTTATTCGACGAAACCTAATTGTCATTGAAAGGGTTCTTACATTAATCAAGACCATGACCACCATTGTCGCATGATATTTACTTCACCAACTTCGATGTTTACGAGCGCCAGTCGAAAATGAAAATTAAATTTCTATTCTTATTCTAATTCCCGTTGTCTGTTATAATTACAAAGTTTCAATCTGATACTTGTTTTTTTAAATGAAATGATAACCGTATAAGAATTACAAATAGTAAATCAATCTTGATGGGTATTGAAGGGTGTTCTTTAAATACTCACCAGAGACCCAGAGGCATTATTATACCATTATTAAAGTTATTTTAGAAGAAGCGTATGCATAACAAATTAAGTGTCTAACTACATATGTAAAAAGTATACCTTTGAAAATGTCATTTAAATATATGAAAACTCTAACCACTTTCTATGTGTTTATGCTCATTTTTATTGAATACGGGAAATGCATATCAGTATTTCAAACCATAACCACGCCAGGATCTATTGGTAAGATTCTTTCCAAAAACTCACACCTTTGTTGGGAGGGTGGGTTTATGTGAAAAAAAGAACAGATTTCTTATTTATGGAATGTTATTACATATTGCATTACGTATTACATCGTTTGATTGGACTTGTCCCATTTTTTTCTTTCATAATATTGAGGTTTGCTGAATGTGGCACAAATGGGTGCAAAGAAAAACTGGTGTTAAGGTTAACATTTTAAATAATGTAGTTTAAGCTAATAGGAAATACTGACTACCATTGTATTACGTCTTTAAATAAGCGTTACTGGTTACTTTAATGAATGGTCATAAAGTTATATTAAATTAAAATATGAGGAGTTTCATTATATTATTGTTTAAATCACATAAGGAATTATGAGAGATTTAAAAAAATAAAGCACAATTTTTATAGCAGTATTCGTTTGATTCTTTGAACGTACTTTCCTGTATATTCTTGAACAGCATGTTTTTAAATGAACGTTTTTATTAGAATTAGTAAATCAGATTTGGTCGCATTCTTTAATTAAACACTGTGTTAAATGTAGAATCGTGTTTTTCTTTTATTGTTATTGATTATGTTATATCTAATCTGTATTTCATAAACACCTTATTGGCCGAAGGTGCTTTATTGAATCCTATCCATAATATAAACATGTTTCGATTCGTGTTCGTCAACCGATTTTCTGCTTCTTTTTGTTTTGAGATCACACTATGAGCTTTTAATAACTGTTGCTATTGTAACATAGCTTGCAGGTATCATAATGATCATGATTATGGCCATCATCTCATGCCATCAAAGTGGAATCCACTTGGTAAGAGCTGTGACCCCAGTCAGTCATCTCATCAATTAGAATGATCAGTCAGTTTATCAAAAGACCATGAAAAATAGCACATGTACACGAAGACGTGATATTACGATATTTACTAGAAGTCTCTGGGGTTTCATTTATTATTCTGCTGTGATACGTAGCGTTAAATAGTAGTGTCTTTGAAATGTATGTTAAACCTAAAGATAATTTATATCATATTATATTGTATTGTATTATTATCAAAACGAACGAAGTTCGGTAGGGATTTAGTGAAGCCCTCCTTCCGTCCGTCAGTCAGCCAGTCCGTCAGTCCACCAGACTGTCCAGAAGATAACTCGATTACTAATTGACAAATTTTCTTCATTTTTGGCGGAGGATGTATATTGGTATAAAGTTTTACGCATTTTTCCAAGATGGCCGCCGCTTTAAACATGGCGGAAATTTTCACAAAAAATCTTATGTTTTTCTTTTTAAACCAAAATAATAAATATTATTATTTGAAAGTGTATTCACAACATCTATCTATTTCACAATCATGTATCCCGTGTTTTCACCTTGACCCCAAGGAGCCATGAATTGGGGGTTGAAAAATTAGGAATTTGCGTTTATTTTGAGATGGTTTTTAAGTATAGCTTTATTATACTCAAATGAAAGGCAATTTAGAGTAAATTGCAAATATTGTATCGTTTTTTTTGATCCGGGCCTTTAAAATTCAATATGACCGCTTAATGTGGGATTTTGCAATTCTTTCTGCTCTCTTAAAATTATGGCTAGTATACAGATTGAAGGAATTTCTGAATAGATCACAACTATGGTATTGTTTTTCTGATTTGTGCCTCAGAAAATTCAAAATGGCTTAGTAGAACAGGATTTCGCCATTACTTATTTCGCCATTACTTATCTTTAAAGTGTGGTTACATGATGCTACAATGATCTCAAATAATCCTCGAATGGAAGTCCGAAGAGTAAATGGTGAATATCACATTGTGATTGTATTTATTATTATTATTAGATTATTATTAGATTTATTTCCCCTCTATTGATTGGAGATAATATAATAATTATATATTACAGAAATATTAAAACTGTATCAAAATTTAAGTTACAATAGACAAGATAGAGCTCTTCTAACTCAAATAATAATTATATATAAGCTCTTAGAGCTGACATGTATAGTAGCTGCTCTGGGCACTGTACTCCATGTACTTATGGCTTTTGGAAGAAATTTTGAGTAGAAAGGGGTAGCTGCTCGAGGCAACGTACTACCCCTGCCATAGATAGGTAGCTGCTCTGGGCACTGTACTCCATGTGCGTAATTATGGCTTTTGGAAGAATTTTGAGTAGAAAGGGGTAGCTGCTCGAGGCATTGTACTACCTACGGCGTGACTTTAAAAGGTAGCTGCTCGGGTCACTGTACTACCTGGAAGTTCAAGTATGAATACCACTTACCGTGGAACAATCCTTGTCGGTTCGCGTGCGTCAACCGCGCCGGTTTGTTGCTAGTGCACCACAGGAGTTCGATTACAATAAACCATGATGTCTTTTAAGAGAATTATGTGAGAGTTTTTGAAAACACATGAGTATGTAATGGGCACTGCAGGGCTTATTGTTCTTTTAAGTGATACCTGGGGAGAAACCTCATTAAAACATTACGCAATTCACTAGCACCGCGGGCATATAAAAATACAGTATAAGTGTACACCAGTCACGAGGAAAACAAACCCCAACTTTCCCAAACCGTAATCCAGCGTGAGAAAGAATAATGGTGAATACCCTTCCCCAATCAATCAAGTTCCATTTTCACAACCTAGGAAAAGAACACGACAAGGGATATTTCATTCATACTGATGAATATAATATTGAAGAAAAAAACAAACAATTCATAACATCAAAAATAAAAAAAAGTTGTGGATACTAGAATTCATACAAGATTCAAATTCATACGAGGGCATTCAGTCTCTAATGATGTGGGACAGACAAAAACCAGTCTGGAAGTCCATAAGCGTATCGAATGGTCAACATCCATTCGCAAATCCGACATCATTATCCATAAAATACAATATTTCACTATGGTCATCAAGAGAAAACTATCGCTGGTTTCGATCCGTATTTCGCAACCTCCATTAATTCCATAGCGGGATCCTCCAAAACGGGCCAAGTGAGTTCGGTGTCTGGAGTTCCCTAAGCATATCAAGTAACAAAACTTGAAACTTCAAAATTAATGAATTGTATGTTTCTGTAAAGCTTGGAAAGTAATTTCTAAGCTTTTACAAGTATAACCTTGGACTGAAATATTATGCCTTGGCCTAAAATCTAAATATCTCGATCATGCCCTGCTTTATCTCATGGACCGGTGTAAAAGGGTAGGAGGTCCTATCAAATTATGGTCCTACTCTCCATTGATTTATATGGTGACCTAAATATAACTCTTTCCCTTATTATCTTATACACAATCAGGGCCAGTAAGGGCCGTTTAGAAAGGAGACCATAATCCCCAGGGGACCATAATTTCTTTCACACCGGGATACATAGACCCCATATGCTGGGTTCAATGGAATATTTACTCTCCAAATGTGGAAAATTCGCAATAAATAATTACAATATATGCTGTTGTCTAATTCAATGTTAATTAGAAGGCAGACTCAAGCAACTTTCACTAAACTTGACCTATTTTTAAAGATTGATTTTATGCATATAAAAACAGTCCACTGCACGTTACGTCTGCTTTGGACAATTTTGATATAATTAAATTTGGGTGATATTTCTATATTTTTCATGAAAATAATCATTAGCCCAGGAGTCTGTTCTCCAAACCGAGATTTGTCCTTTCAATCTGAACTTATCGAACTTAACGCGTGATGGTTCTCATTTCAAGTTTTGCAATATAACATTTGTGCAATTGGGTGAAACGTAACATTTCTGAACTAGCCAGCGGCAGTGCTAATATTGACAAACTGATGGCGTGAAACATCCAGACCGATAATACAGATAAATAATGATTGAGCTAGTCTTATCCTTGTAAATTGCACCCATACACCTATATTTAAGAGGATTGTTTTATTGATTTTCTCCATTTTGTTTAGTTGTCATAACAGGATTTGTTTTCATTTTTCAAATCAGTCAAGCCAATGTTCGGGACAACCAACCTCCTCCGCATTTTATTTAACCAACCACCGGTGATCATATCGTCCAGATTTTGATACTGGGAATAATTTTAAGATAAAATATAACTTAATAATGATATAATGGTGTATCATGATCGAATCTGAAATCCTCTTAGGTAATTATCTTGTCTCGTAATTATTTGTAATATTGTAGGTAATACAATAAATAAATATTTAATAATTATACTAAATTACTTAACAAGGTTCAACCATCTGTCATTTCCTGAGTATTGATGAACTAATATATTCTAAATACTT